AAACTGCCAGATATCCAGTATTTGTGACAAACAGACTGAGTATCATCCGAGATGGATCAGAGACAAATCAGTGGAAGTACATTCCTACCAAGTTAAACCCGGCAGATCATGCATCCAGGGGATTGGATGCCAGTGAACTAACCAAGAAGAAGGAATGGTTTGAAGGCCCAGAATTCCTAAAGCGGTCTGAAGAAATATGGCCATCTGAGGGTGTGAAAGCTCCAGCAAGAATGGAGAAAGCTGATGATACTATGTCAGGAGATTTGGATGAGACTCACATTCATGCCACAATGATAAACAAGGAGGATCCAATAAGTGCACTCCTGTCGTACTATTCTGATTGGGATAAGCTGAAACGAGGAGTTGCCTGGATATTGAAGTTCAAGAAAATGCTACAAGGAAAGGGGAAAGGAATAGATGGCAATTCCAGTGAAATGTTCAGCCTGATAAATAAGGACATTGAAGATGCCGAAGTCGCAATTGTTAAACAATTGCAACTTGAATCATTCCCAGAGGAAATGAAACGACTGGCTGGTCACGGAGAAGAGAAAGGAGTACCAAAACGCTCTACCCTTAGTAACCTTGATCCAGAATTGAGCAATGGGTTACTTCAAGTAGGTGGAAGGTTGCAGAATGCCCAGATTCCAAGCAGTGCTAAACATCAATACATCCTACCAAAGAAGCATCATGTAACCACTCTTTTAATGCAATACATCCATAGGAGAGTTGGTCATCAGGGACAAAATCACATGGTAGCTGAATTACGACAGAAATTCTGGGTGGTAGGAGCTGGAGTTTTAGCACGAAACATAGCAAGGAAATGCATCATTTGCAGAAAGAACCAAGGAAAGGCTGGTCATCAGAAAATGGCAGAACTTCCAAGAAGTCGAGTTCAGAGTGACGAGCCGGCGTTCACCAGAGTTGGCATGGACTATTTTGGTCCTTTTGAAATAAAGTGTGGAAGAAGCATAAGGAAAAGATATGGCGTAATCTTCACATGCCTGTCCTGCAGAGGGGTGCACATTGAAGTTGCATCGAGTCTAGACACAAGCTCCTGTATTGAGGCTATTCGTCGCTTCATCAGCCGCCGAGGACCTATGAAAGAGATGTTCTCGGATAATGGTACAAATTTAGTAGGAGCTGAAAGGGAACTGAAGCAGGCATTAAAGGAGCTGAATCAAGACCAGCTGATCAACTTTCATGCAAACCATGGCATGAAATGGCATTTCAATCCTCCTGCTGGTTCCCATCAGGGGGGAGTATGGGAACGCCAAATTAGAACAGTCAGAAAGATACTGTGTGCAGTCATGAGAGAGCAGTATCTAAAGTCCTACCAGAATGAGGAGCAGCTCCATACATTCATGTGTGAAGTGGAGGCCGTCATAAATAGTAGGCCTCTTACCCGATGTTCAGACAACCCAAATGATCTGGATTTAATCTCACCAAACAGCTTGCTGACTATGAAGGGTTCAACGACGCTACCTCCAGGGATCTTCGACGACAAGGACATCTACGCAAAGAAGCGGTGGAAACAGATGCAGTACTTGGCAGACCTATTCTGGAAGAGGTGGGTGCGAGAGTACCTGCCTTCTCTACAACGCCGACAAAAGTGGCTGCAGCCAAGTCGTAACCTTCAGGTGGGGGACATTGTACTCGTCATAGACGAAACAGCGCACAGATGTTCCTGGTCCATGGCCCGAGTGCAAGAGGTTATGCCAGACAACAAGGGGTTCGTCCGCAGAGCGAAAGTGAAAACTGCAACAACATCGCTAGTAAGACCAGTAACCAAGTTGTGTATTCTACTGGAGCAGGAAATTTGAATGGAGTTTGTCTCAAATTTATGAAAGGATCTATATGTATAATATGTGAAAGTGCCTTTAAGTGGATGTGCTTTGAATCATTATTGGAGGAGGATATCAAGCAAATGAAGCAATTTGTGTTTGGATCAAGCGAACAAGTGGAATTCAGAGCGCCAGTGAAATTTTGTGTTTGTGTTAAAGTGAGAAGTAAAATATTAATAGCCCTTTGGCTAGTAATTGGTAATCATTTGTGATAATGAGCCAATACAGGATCAACACATATTTAATCGCGAATTTGCATTGGATCAACACATGTTTAATCGCGAATTTGCATTGGATCAACATATGTCAAGTCGCGAATTTACACAGGATGATTTTGTCAACACGCGAATTGCAAGAGAGCAAAGTTTTACGTGAATTCAAGAGAAGACGCTTCCATGAAAGGATGTCAATTTAAGACATTTAATTATGATAAGTCAGCACCGAATATTGTTTATGCTTTGCAAGAACGATAAAGGATATGAACATGAACTGGAACGAACTATTGAACTTTCAAACTGTTTAAGTTGAACTCTGTGAAATGCTATTCATGACTGAAATGTTTGTTTTGAAATTTGATGTTTTATATTCATACATGTATATATGTAAGTTTGTTGAGTTTCAATATTTCTTTGTGTTATCACAATTGGGATGTTTAAATTGAGGATGATTGAACATACATGTACACAAATAATTAAAAGAGAATATTTTGTTAAAAATTTGTTCAAGGTAATGATTGAATTAGTCTCAGAGTTAAAATCAGATACATTTTGTTAATATAAAACATACCAGAAAGAGAGAACTCAAATAGGGTTAAAGGGAGAAAGTGTTTTTGAAAACAGTGTATTTGTTGACATAGAAAGTTAGAAATTTCATTTCATTAGATGTTCAGAACATTAACATGAATGAAAAGATTTAAATATATGTGTCTGCACTCTGCAGTGTAGAGCATTATAAGGAAGTCCAGAGTGTTATATTTAAATTGAGGATTAACATGTTTAAGTGAAGTAAGGAATGTTATTTAGTTTTATGTGCAAATGGCAAGGATATTTGCATGTGCTTAGTAGTCAATCCACAATGTGACTTCAGTCATGCAGGTAAACTTCGGACAGATTGATATATGCAAATAGAAAGAACAAGGTTAATGTTCAAGCAGAAGTATAAGTATTACATGTATGAAGATGGTATTATGCACAATGCTAAATATTTCCTTTTCTCTATTGTTTGAAAGTACATGTGCATCTACGTTATTTGAATGTTCCTTTTATGTTGATGTATACATGTACATCAGTTCAGTTCAATTGAAGGTGTTCAGAAATTGTTTTATGTTTAAGTAAAAACAAAAGGAAAAATGTTAAAGGTAGTAAATACAGCCACTAATTATTCTTGTGTTTGGATTTCATATTACTGGTTTATTTCCAGAGTTATTTTTTGAAAGGCAATTATAACGAAAATGGTGTTTTGATAATTTAATTACCATAGGTATTACATTTTGACAAAAGTTTGACAGAAGTTTGACAGCTATGAGTAAACATTGAAAATATTTTGGTTTAAAGCTATCATTGATTCATGATGATTTTGTATTGGATGCCTTTGTTGAGTTGATACAGGAATGTTTATAGTAATCCAGGGATAAAGCTTGATTTTGCAGAATTTAGTGTATTCTGTCATTTCTGTGCATTTAGATAGTAGAAATTGGCAGAGTATAGAGAGATAAGTGTTACATCTCATTGTGATTACGATTTGTTTTGGAAACAGTTAGGTATTATATAAATAGAAAGTGTTTGAATTTAATGTAGAAACTAGGTTATGAGACAATATACAGAAAATGGTTGTAAACATTTGATAATACATGTAGATAACAGTTGGTATTTTGTTAATTTACATCAGTGATGGACAATTAAGTTTTGGTTAAATAAATGTTAATCGTTGCACCCTCTAGCTGCAACTGGGGGGAGGAATGTAAGGATCAAGTTATAAGAAGCCAAATTTAGTTTTTGTTTTAAGGATACCGTAGATTGACTGGAATTGTTGTACAAACGTAGCTAGGCTTGTCACATGGAAACTACAGATATGATATGATGTGGGCACGGATTCAAGGAAGGAAAACTTTGTTTTACCTACTAAACTACTACTACTATTGCTACTTTGTACATTCCGGTGTATGGAAATGATTGGAGTTCAGTTGAGTGTTAATAAACAAAGAACCATGAAATTACCACATTGTCTCAAGGATCATATGTAGATATCTCTACAAATATAATTACATGTATGTACCAAGAATGGGATGAATAGAGAACACTGCTTCTTCTAAATGTTCTGAAAGTATTTTGACCAGTTAAAATGTGACACAGCAAGATGGAAAAAAGGAAGAAGAGAAAAAAATATTTAGAAAACACAAAATTTACACAGACATATTTTGAGAGAAGCTGACCTTTTGTTTTATTACTTTGCTGTTAACTACATTGTTGTTGTTGTTGTATTAATATTTGTATCAATTTTATATATTGTTGTAGTTCCTTTTTGTATTTGATATTATTATAGTTCAAAATTCATCCAGATATTTTAAGGCAGATTTTGTTGTTTGATGAGAAAGCATACATACAAGTAAGACAGACATAAATGACATGCATACATGATTGAGATACCAAAATACAATTGTAGAAACAAGATGATTGATTTCAGTTTTGTTTTTTATTATTATTTGGTATACACTTCAGTTATACATTTCCTTCTTCCATGCAACAGAATGGTCATCAACATTATCATCTTTAAAGATAAACTCCAGTACTGGTAAAAAAAAAAAAATTAATTCTCACAGAATCAAACGAAACTTACACTGAATGTTCAAGATTACAAATAAATGACATGTGCCAAACAATTTTGGAAGAAAATGTATACTGGCTGAGTAATGAGCATAGAAAGACAAGGAAACCAAGGTAGTACCATCCCCGACACGATGTGTGTTGTCCCATATATAGCTTTCTATGTGAGTGTTTGTTACTTTACCAAGACTCGGTCAAATTTATTATGATTTTGATGACTCCAGAACCTTGCAGTGCACACCAATACTTACATGCTACATGATCAACTGTTTCTGATCCTTTCACACCTTTTCTTTCACAATGCAGTCGCATTACCAGTACTAAAGTTTAGCTTTAACTGTCTGAGTAATAAATTGAGATCAACATAGGTAATAATAATAATAATATTCAGCTTTTATATAGCGCTTAATACATCTCGGACGTCTCTAAGCGCTTTACAGATATATTATTACCCCAGTCATTGGATTCAGTGCTTGCCCGCACACACTGTGCACAATCTCTACTCACTGGGAAGCATTCCAGCCAGGTGTGACTCGATGCTCAAAAACTGTTTGACCAACAATGACGGTCGCATCCTACCGGGTATCCATTTTAACACCTGGGTGGAGAGTAGCAAGTATAGGTATTACAGCCATGTAAGTAGAATATCTATAAAACCGTCACACACTATGCGAACCTTCTGCGATCAGACTTTTAAAGAAATTGCTGTTGCTTTAAACAAATGACATCTTTGTGATGGAGGTTCTGAATAATGACATGAATACTAACAATCAAAATGTCAGTACATCTATTCATTGTAAATATTATAAATTGAGGTGCGATGACTCAGTGGAAGAGAAAGGTCCTCTTACAAAGATACACATGCTTTCTTAGCAGTCAGGTAAAACAAACAAAATACCAAATCAGCTTAAATCACCCAATTGAAATGACGTCACTATGATTCGAGGTTGTTCTGAATTTTAGTCCTTTTATTAAGCTTGCTATCAGATATTGTTACTTCATCACTATAAGTATTCTGAACCTCGATTATTAATATTGTTCATGTTTTTTGATTGCTCATGTTCAATGTGGATCTTAATTGGGTCAAATAGTGCTGGGCTTATTGCAAATAATATACATGAATATTTCATTTTTGAGATATCAAATACCTTCTTTGGGCAATGTTGTATGACATTGTACAGTGTGTATGTACGTTCATTTGTGAATGGTACTACACAAGGTCATGTAAATCCTTATTCTTTCAAATACAGTCAAAGGTCACCTACTGTAAGATTGAAAGTACAATGCGCATTGAAATGAAATGTTTGTTTAAAGCAAATCATTCCAACAAATGGTCAACAAAATCCAGGCCTCTTTAAGAACAAAATAACATAATTTGTGAAGGATATTCATACAAAGTTCCTTAGATTTTTAAGAATAATACATGTATACTATCTTCATGAATCATGATATATTCAAAATGTCTATTATAAACAAAAAGACATAGAAGAACAAAAGCTCAATTGTTTTTCTTCATGGACTTGGCCTTTTAAAAGCTATGAAATATTGCGTTGTACAGAAAAGGCCAGAATTAAAAAATTACACAATAAAAGGAAACTAAGCATTACATATTCTACATTCTCTATATTTTATAAAGATACAAGACCATAATCAAAGTAAATTTGATTACATTCATTAAAATTTCTACATGAAGTATTCATACCAATTGCTTGTAAATGTAAATTATCCATTTTTGGCAAGTACAGTGTGAATATGCTGTAATGTGCACATCACAATAATTGCATTTGAATAGAATAAAAATAAAAATTGAAAGATCATATATAAAATAAGAAAGATATATAATTGAAAACATGCTTTGCATGGAAAACATGATGTAGAGGAAAATCTTTAAAGTAAGTGAACATTGATCACATGTAAGCTCTTTAACCAAAATGCACAAATATGAAACATATGGAAGAACAGATATTGCTCAAAACCAAATGATCTTTACTTTTCTTCTCAATAATATTTATATCTCTCTTTTTTATGTCAATTTAGACAAATGTAATTTTCAATCACTAGGTCTCCCAAGAACATTTTGATCATAAGTACTCATACAATGTACCTTCACATAAAAGAACATATAAAAATAAAAAACTGCTTGAATCACGATGATTGGTCATTTCTATGTATTCTTGATCCACTCCAGAATGTCTGGCACAAAGTATGTGATGATGATGTCCGCTCCTGCGATAGGAGATGAATTGATATGCAGTTGCAGGTTATGATAAATTTAAACTATACTTCGTGGATTGCTGAACAATTTCACTAATCAGAATGATTTCAATTATTTGAAATGGGTTTTATGACTCAATCAGGTTCTGGTAAGACAGATACTAAATTCTCACAGAATCCAACAGAACTTACTCTGAATTTTCAAGATTACAAATAAATGAAACATGCAAATCAATTTTGGTAGAAAATGTACAGGAGCTGAGTAATGAGCATAGAAAGATAGGGAAATAAATGTATTATTAAAGTAGGCCCGACTCCATCCGCTTAATAAACACAGGTTAAATACTTAATAAACACAGAGTTGTGGGTTATATTGAAGATGATTTCCAGCAAGTTTTTTGTGAGGTTGTTTTTTTATTTTACTGGTTCAAACAATCAATCTACTGCAGGATAAACAATCCAGAATAGATGCCCATACCATACAGAGCTCAAGATTAGCTATACGTGTTGATTGAAGTCTGTACCTGTAGACTATTCATTACATTAGCTTACCTGCTCTCCTCATGCACTTGACCGCCTCCATGACGGCCTTGGAGAGGTCAAAGGCTCCCTGGTTAGCCCCATGGTACAGCATAGCATACTCCCCTGATACATGGTACACTGCTAGCTTCAGATCAGGATGCTGCAACATAATGGGGTTTAATGTACAATATTATTCACATCTAGATGTAGAGTGTGTCATATTTTGAGAGTTACATATAATAGATACGCACACATGAATCCCAAAGATCAGTAATACAATGAAACGTATCCTAGTGACCATCTGTTCATAAAGACCAAATATTTTAGTTTCCCTTGAACAATCATTCTTGGAACCTGTAATTTAAGAAAAATATTTGAATTCATATATATTTTAATTGGTTGAAAGTCCAATTAATGATTTTTTCTATTAAATCACAGTTTTCTTTTAAAGCCCTACTGTACTACTTGTAGCTACTTGCTCCCTCTTTATAAAAAAAACAATGCCTAATCGGTGACCATTGGTCCCCCATGATCATCTTTTTCTTATGTTATTTGAGAGCTGAGTTGATGAGATAATCACCTGTCAGTGACGACCCTGGGTGGTCTAATTCCTCCTAGCCAAACTACCCCCGGTAGTACAGACGGCTTTAACCCTATTTAGCCCGGGCTATTTTGAAACTGCAGAAGCCCCCCCCCCCCCCCCCCCCCAATGATCTCCGCCGTGAAATGACCAATCGCTGCAAAATTTGCATACATGTCAAGTAAAGTGTATAGAATACTATGAATACTATAATTTCTTATGTTTTTCTTTGTTTTTTTAACTTATGTATTTTATTGTTTTTGTTGTTTTATTTCATTTCCAACTATAATTCAACTATTTTGACCCCAAAATAAACACCTAAACTATAAACAAGACCAAATAACCAATGTTTTATCTCTTTATTTGAAAAATGAGATTTCCATATGTTTTGTACACAAATCACAAAAATGAGCGATTTTCGGGCTAACATGCAAAGACAAAAGGACAAGTGACTTTGTAATGGTAGGTCCGATTTTCAAAAAATTTCTTTCAAAAGATGTGCAAGACTCGAAAGAAAAAAGTCACAAAATTTCAGTGCAAGATTTTTCTTGCGTTAAAAAATTATCGCGAAAAATGTTGAGGGGGGGGCTTCTAAAGTCCCCCCCCCCCCCCGGGCTAAATATGACCCGCATTCATGACTCACCTTCTCCTTGGTATCCCTTACTATGTCAAGGTATGGCATGCCTGGCTTGACCATCAGATAATCAGACCACATTCATGACTCACCTTCTCCTTGGTATCCCTCACTATGTCAAGGTATGGCATGCCGGGCTTGACCATCAGATAATCAGACCACATTCATGACTCACCTTCTCCTTGGTATCCCTCACTATGTCAAGGTATGGCATGCCTGGCTTGACCATCAGATAATCAGCTCCCTCTGCTACATCACGATCCTGCAAAGGACAAACAAAAAGAAGGGTTAATCCCTCTCTCAATCTGGGCCATTTTAAAACTTCACAAATGAAGAGACAGATAGTCAACAATGAGTAATTTTGACAATTTGACATATACTTCAAAGGAATGCAAAGGTCTTATATAATCATTGATTTAGGGAGTTCGGGTATAATTGGCTACTTGACCAATAACTTGAATAAAAGCTGGCATACATGCACAACAGTGTAAAATACTTTTCTATTCGTGGGAGCTATTTAAGGATCTGGTGTGGTTAAAGTGTGATTTTCTCACAGTGATAATAACTTTATTTTATTGCTACATTACCAATGCTCTTTTACAGGTTACTAGAGATATTTTGGAGCTTTCTAGATTTAAATCGCTCACTGCTCTTGTGTATTTTTTTGTTAAATAAAATTCAGTCATGTTCATCACACTTCCTGTTTGTTACTACAGCATTTTTTCCAAGGTAGTTTAATGCCTGATACCTTCATGGGCCTTAAAGACCGTCAATACTACAGGGCCAGAAGGGATTAGATCACCCAGCCAGGTCACTGACAGGTGGCTATCTCATTAACTCAGTTCTCAACTAACATAAGAACTAGATGGAATTTTGACTGCGCGCAGTCGAAAATGATGCCTCCGCCATAGAGCAATTTAAACAAGTTTGGAGTTTAAATCTCCAGTGGTTCTTGAGATATCATGATAACAATCTCAATGTATGGAATTTCATAAGTTGACCTCTATGACCCTTGACCTTTGACCTACGTGCTCCAAAATGTAATAGATTGTTTTCCTATAGTGATACACACTATCACTAAGTTTGAAGTTTAAATCTCCAGTGGTTCTTGAGATATCATGATAACAATCTCAATGTATGGAATTTCATAAGTTGACCTCTGTGACCCTTGACCTTTGACATACGTGCTCCAAAATCTAATTAGATCGTCTTCCTATGGTGATACATACTATCCTTAAGTTTGAAGTTTAAATCTCAAATGGTTCTTGAGATATCGCGCTAACAAACTCAATACAAGGAATTTCATAAGTTGACCTCTGTGACCTGTGACCTTTGACCTACGTACTCCAAAATCTAATCAGATCGTCTTCCTATGGTGATAAATACTATTCCCGAGTCTTAAGTTTAAATCTTAAATGGTTCTTGAGATATTGTGATAACGGTCAAATGGGACGGACGTACGGACGGACGTACGGACGTACGGACGGACAACCCGAAAACATGATGCCTCCGGCACCACCTTCGGTGGCGGAGGCATAAAAAGAGGATCATGGGGGACCAACAGGCACCGATTGGGGAAGTTTTCTATATATAGGGAGCAAGTAGCTACAAGTAGGACAGTGGGGCTTTAATACATGTACATGTATGGTTTGGACTTGCATCTTACCACAGCTCTCATGGCAAGCCCCCTGGCCCCTGGGGGTAGCTGGTAACACCTCCGGTCTCCAAAGCTAGGCGCTGACTTGGCAGCATCACGGAACGGACCATAGAAACAAGAAGCAAACTTAGCACTGTAGCTCATCACTGATACCTGCAAGAAATCAAAAACATCTGATAGTAAATCAAATGACTAGAATAATGAAATCTTCTTTAACACTAGCCCAAGGCAATTAACTCAGTGATAAGCATACCAGGAAATAGGTGTGTGGGGGGATTCCAAAAGAATTCTAGGCAAGCAACAACAATTTTGTTTCAGTGATTATTTCTACAAGGCAAGGGGGAAATGATTTTCTGATTATTCAGCAGCCTTTTTTTTTTGGGGGGGGGGGTATTTTTTTCCTTTATGTACTTAAGTTATTGTTATGACACTGGTTTTGAAAGGGGGCAAAAATGAGTTGCTCCACCCTCTTAAATCTCCCACTGTTTATTATCACATCACCCATTGGTTATGAGATGATAAGACATTCTAATTACCCCACCTATGACACCACAAGGAGCCACAGCATCAATCTAGCCCCAAGCCAAGGACCACTAACACCTCATCAATCACTTGTGAGCATACTTACCGTATATCACCACACCGTTCATAATAACAAAATATTTGAGACTATTATTTATCCTTTCCATAACACCACAAAGAGCCACATCACCACCAAAGACCAGTAGCACCTCAATGATCAATGAGCATACTCACTTTGTTACCCAACCCATTGGTCATGAGGAGGTGCTTGATGGCGCCTACTCTTCCATCCATCATGTCAGAGGGCGCAACAACATGACAACCTAAAATGACAACAAATAAATAAAAAAGTAATTAATCAATGATGAAATGATGGAACTCTACAACTGTACAGATGATCTCTTCTTAGAGTTTAAGACTTCCTTTGTTCTTGTAAAAGCTGTATTTACATAGAGTGCAGTTGTCACTTCAAATACGTGTGGCTGATATGTCATCAGAGGTGCCATGGTCGAGTGGTTAAGTCGCTAGACTGTCGATCACAAGGTCCGCGGTTCAAGACCCGCCGTGGCACTAATGTCCTTTGGCAAGACATTGATCTACTTTTCCCACGTTCAACCCAGGTGATGTAAATGGGTACCTGGCAGGTATTAATTCTTTGAGGTAATAATCTCCAAGTTTGGAAGCGCTTAGTGATTCTAATAAGCGCTAAAATAAAAACTAAGTATTATCATTATTATTATCACTTTGTCTCTTCCCCCTCCCCCTCTCCCACCCAAATACCCAGACCCATGCCTGTACCATGAAAGCAAAGGACTGCTCTACTAAACTGGTCACTTGATATTATTATTACTAACTTGGCCATATATTTTCCATTTTAATTAGAATTTATGATTACATGTAACAGTAAGGTAGACCAAAGATGTTCTGAAATGTTGCTTGCAGGAGGGGAATTATCCCCCTTCCATGACACCCCTATAGATGGCAAGAAAGTGAACTTACCAGCCTGGGCATATGAGAGTGCGACCTCCGCCAACCTCTGAATGCTTGCCTCGTTGTCCAAGGTGCCGCCTTCATTGAGAATACCTGCAATGAAATGGTTGGACTTGAAAATTAAATTTAAGCAATAATCCTTAACATGAAGACATCTTATTGCCATAACAGAGCTTAAAATGGCATCCTAGCTTTATCACCTTCTTCACCTCTCTCTAGAGTTATCACGGAGTCCATACCCCCTTCCTCCCCTCGTCATTACTAAAATAAGAACTTTTACACAGATTACACTTTGTCTACATCTATGACAAAGGAAAGTTAGTCTTTCTTCTCAAAACTGTAAATTGCTTTTTGAATTGGGAATCATAAAATGAACAATAACCAAAGGCACTTGTTTGGAAAAGAGTCTTACAAATAATTAAAACACACTGTAAAAGTTATATACTTTTCTTCCACTGGGACTTTTGGAACTGCAAATATCCATTAACCTTGCTACTGGTCCAAGCACAGACTATGAAGGTCAAGGAGAGGGGTGTAGATGACTTCGTCGCCTGGGTGGCAGAACAGGGTTAGCTCGAATTTCAGGTAAAAAATGTAACTTTAAGCAGAAGGGCATTAGCACTAAATTGGCTCAAATTTTTTATAAAACTGACTTATTTCCACAAAAAAATTGTGGTCATGTTCTACTATAACATTTCTATTAGTCTATAAAGTTTTAAACCAATTTTTGGGACCCAGAGCAGTTTAAATATAAAACAAATCTTTAAATGCGAATTCGAAAAGTAGTTTTCGAGTCGCTCGCGCGCTAACGCCCTTCTGCCAGCCGGCCCACAACTTACCACAGTGACCATGACTAGTATAGGCACAGAGACACACATCACAAGAGATAAGGAGCTGGGGGAACTTCTCTGAGATCACATGAATAGCTTGAATGACGGGCGAGTCTTCAGTGTCTGCACTTGACCCTCTTGTATCCTGGGGTAAAAACCAAACAAAATAAAAAACAAGAAACAATTATAAATAAACAAACCAAGTGAGAACTATTAATGTATAAAAGCACAGGGAGAGAGAGAGAGGGGGGGGGCAGGAGAGAGAGAGAGAGGAGTGGAGGAAGGGCGATGGAGGGAGAGAGAGAGATATTATAGAGAGGAGAAAGAAAGAGATAGAGGAGAAAGAGAGAGAGAGAGAAAGAGAAAGAGAAAGAGAAAGAAAGGTTGAGGACATTGATACAGAGCAAAAAAACTATATATAAAGGAGGAGACACAAGTATATTGCTTCCTATAACACTTATATCCACAAAGCAAGGTACACAAAGGTGCTCCAAATATTACCCCAGCAGCCCAGCTCTATCTAAGCTACCAATTTCAGTGCTAAAAGCATCCAAAAAATTACTTTCTCCAAGGTACTTATTTAACCCCCGGGTGGAGAGTGGCAAATATAGTTTTATGCCTTACAAAAGGACATTAGTGCCACACAGGTGTTATAACCCACAACCTTCGTATCTCCAGTCAGGTATTTAAACCACTCAACTATGATACCTCTACAGATAGGGGAAGAGATAGAGGAGAGAGATACATGGAAGAATTGGGGGAGGGAGATACAGGGGAAGAAACAGAGGGGAAGAATTATATGGAAAGAGATAGAAGGGAAGAGATAAAGGGGAGGAGTTGGGAGGGGGTGGGGTTTAACAGGGGGATAGAAAAAGCAGCTGAGAAAGGATTTTTTTTTTTTAAAGAGATGTTAGACACAGACACACACACAAAATCAGAAAGAGAGAGACAAGGGCAATTTTTAGCGATAGATAGAGATTTAGAGAGAACAAGATGGATAAATTATAAACAAAAAAAATCATGTTTACCTTGGGTAAACCTGTTGGCACCCCAAAGAGTAAGACAGCTTTCAGGCCTTTGGCTACGAGTGGAGTGAGTGCTGCCTGTAAGGTGTTCACTCCATATCTATTTACTCCTGGGAGACTAGAAACTGGTTCTATCTGGTCTGGGTTATCTCTGAAAGACAAGTGTGACAGCAGAGAGGGATTTAAACAAATTAAATGGAAGCCTTGAGGATGCATTCTGTTAATTCATGCATAATTAAATCTTTATATTAATCATGTAATTTATTGTATAATTGATTGTTGTAAAGCGCATAGAGAATTTATTATTATGCGCTATATAAAAATGACTTTATTATTTATTATTATTATTTGAGAAATTGAATATTTTCTAATCAGTTGTCATGTGGCAAGCATTGAAAATTCATAATGAATACAAGCAATGAATGACCAATGGTGTTGGTTTTAAAGTGTTTAAGATAGGCTACAATTACTTATTCTCCTCTTTTACATGAAATTGAGGAAATAAATCTTACAAAGTAATAAAGCTGCCTGACAAGCATGACCGTTAATTTTAAACTAAGGAATTATTAATCTAACATAAAATTAATATAACAAGAAAATTTACTGAGAGGGGAATACTATTGTTGGCATAATACAGGAATCTTTAAATAAGTTTGTTGATTTTATTGTAGAGTATGGTACTAGAGTAAATTTTTTTGTATTCATTTATTCAATTATTTTTTACTTGAAATGTGTCAGCAAGTGTTACAGGCCACTATACTTACATGATAAAGAGAGGGTATACAAGATTGTCGGGTGTGATGGTTGTGTCAATGTTCTGCCACGATCGTAACACTTCATGATGGAAGGTGCTATGAAGAACATGCTTTGGGGGAGGGATCACTGGGGAACTCATTCTCTGTTTGGATCCAAAGAAGTACCGGTAGTTGTCAGTAATTCGAAGTCGCCTTTTCTTGTGCTAACATGAACAACAACAACAAAAGAGAAGTCAAAAGTTAATATTCCCATTATAACTTTTGAATGAGTAAAAAGTCCTAGTAAAAAAGAACCCATGCTACATGTACATGTAATTATTATTTTAGTGAGATATCAATGATGTAAACAAAAATACTAAAGGAATAACATATATATATATATATAACTTATGAATCTGAAGAAAAAAATGCTTTGAATTGGAATGTCTAATAGATCTATGGAGATATCCATGATTTGAAAAAGACTAAAACTTTAAAGAGTAAAATGTACATTCTCAGCACAGATGTACTAATACACAAGTAGGAGAATAACAAAGAAACACAGAAAAATGAACTCTGATATTAGGACAAAATAAACACTAGTACATACTTTACAGTATATTGCAGTATATACACCTGTACATGTATATTCCAGCATGTCTTTTGAATTTGTACAACTACATGTATTTCCCCTCTTAGCATTACAATCAGTTGTATGTTCCAGTAACACAAGAAGTATACAAATCTACGTGTTTTTTTTAAGGAGTTTGAAGTATATTTATTCATATATCTTGGAAAGTATAAACATTTTACACACAATTATTTGCCAAAGGAAAACTGATTGTATTTATTATTTAAAGCCTGTCTGCACTAGTTTGGCCAGGGGGATTAGACCTTCCTTCAAGGTCACTGACAGATGGTTATCTCATCAAATCAGCTCTCAATTAACATAAGAAAAAGGGGATCATGGGGGACCAACAGGCACCGATTAGACATTGTTTGCTATATAGAGGGCGCAAGTAGCTATAAGTAGTGCAGTGGGGATTTAAGATAAGATAAATTGTGTTTTAGCTTGTAGTTTTTTTCATTTAATGTACTTATTTTTTCAAATATGCTCTACAATAGAGGCAAATTGAGAAAATTTCTCACTGTAAGAAACTATCAAATTATCTTGAAGATGAAGTATATGTATTTGAAGTGTACATGCTGTCTGCTGTCATACTTTTAATTCAAAGAATATTTCAATTTTTCAAAAATCAAAGTTTAACTTTGAATGTGATAAAACCATTTCACATGATGTAAGAAGATCGTCTCTCCTTTATCTGACATACATTACATACACTATAAATAGAAATGCATGTGAGCATCATGCACTTATGAATTAAAGATATCTATTATCTATACCTAGACTACAGAAGGTCCGAGCCATATGGGTTGCCACATGTACAGTACATGTACACATTAATGGCTATATCAATGACAAATATTTGCAATTCCTCAACACCATATGGCAAGGACAGATAAGATCACACGAGATGCATGTATGTACCGTAGTGTGAGTCACCGTTTATCAGTTTATTGCGTGCCAGGTCCTAGGAGCTGGGGTAATGACACATGCCACCAAGCTTAGTGAAGACAGTGAGATTGAGTGGATGCAGTATTACATTTCTATTAAACATTTTCCATCATCTGTACATGCATTGTTTAAGTCCATTTTCATCACACAATGAGTTGTTGGAAATGTTGAGCTGTCTCCAACAGGTAAAAGATGAATGCATTTGGCACAAGAAATTGCTCTTCAGGGCACATGCAGAGTTTTAAAAACATGAAAGAAAGACAATTTTTTTTTTGTTGATTCACATGCAGTATTATTAGTAGTATGCAGGCAGCTCTAAGTCATCCAATTTAAAACTGATGCATTGTAAACCATAATCACCATTGTGGGTGAAGAAGTTGCGGATCGGACTTTGTTCTTCAATCTTGGCCTAGGAGCGATACCTCCGGCATCACCTAGCACCCTCTTTAAAGGGATCATGTTGACTTTAGGAATGTTGGAAGCACTAGATCTAGAAGAATTACTGGTAGGTAACACGTCCGTTAAGCCACTGTCTAACTCTAAGATAGGAGGATCTTTACAATCATTTTTTGCGATAGGAGTGTGGGTTGGGACAACATTGCCATTTTCTGTTGACTTCTCCTCAATCACTTCATCTATCTCTTTCTGCGGTCCTCTATTATTGTCGTCCTTTTTTGCCTTGGGTCGGCGTGATCTGTAGTGTGGGCATTTGTGATGGTGTAACCCTCGAGTGCCATCGCGTGTTGAATACTTGATAAGGCTGCGGCACTCAACACATGCTGTATATTCCTGTTTTCTACCATCGACAAAGATTTGGACGAATCGGTCAAAAACAGGGATCTTCTTGTCTGTGAATGGTTCAAAAGAGACACGGGAATCATTGATATCTTCTACCATGGATTGAAGTTCCTTTTTGTTGTAAAAGCCACTCGTTCTCATATTAATTTCGTCTCGATTTAATCTCCTTCTTAACGTCGGACTTGCAATACCCTCTTCGTCATTGACATTGTTGTTAGCCAATCCGAGCTCGTCTGGTTCACCAGCTGTTACACCACGCTGCGGGCAGTGCGGATCGTACTCCTCTTCCTCCGCTGATCCTTCGGCCCCGGTCGAGCCCGAGCAGTCCTCTCCCTCAAGCCAGCCTAGCCCTTCTCCCACCTCACTCGGACTTCCGACTTCTACTTTCACCACATTGACGAGAGCTTCATTAAAATGCATCGGATGATCGTCGAAAAGAGCAGACATTATTTAGGCCTTTACAGATTTGACTTTCATACAGGTATGCGTACTTTAAAATGGGTTATATGGAGCTGAGTCCGAACTGATTTTGTTAAGACTCACCGTGATTCGTTTCAGTCAACACGTAAGAGAGACAATTATGGAACGCCATTTGTGAAATCAGCGAGTACCGTGAACAAATAAAAGAAAGAAAGGGGAGGGGTCTAAAACCATATGATCCCTGCATGCATGGATGCCAGTGGCGTACCTGGGGTATTCCGTCAGGGGGGGGGGGGGGCAAGCGATCGAACCAAAACAAAAAAAGGCGATGCTAATTTTCACTTCTGGCGAGCGAGCGGGCGAAAAAATATATTTAAGTAACGTTTGGTATATAAACCGGTATTGTTGCAAGTCGGGGGTGGGCACATTCATTTGTTAGCCACGTTAATTTCATTTTTGCAAGCGAGCGTAGCGAGCAAGAAAAAAATCCCTTCTTTTTTAAGATTTGCCACTTAAACTTGGTCCAATTGTCCCATGCCGGGTGCGGGAACAATATTGTGTTTAGGGTGATTTTATACCCATTTTAGCGAGCGAGCGAAAATACACCTTTCTCTTAATGAATTGCTATATAAAACTTGTTTCATTGTTGCAGGTCGGGGCGGGCACAATCGTGTGTAAGGCAATTTCAATCCCATTTTGGCGGGCAGGCAACCCCCCCCCCCTACATTTATATTTTTAATGATATTGTAGCAGGTCAGTGGTGGGCCCATAATTCCACGAGCTAGCGAGCGAAAAAATCACTTCTCTACGGTGAGAACATGGTATACATAAACTTGATTTCATTGATCCATGTCAGGGACATGATTATTTAAAGCGATGTTATTTCTATTTTGGCGAGCGAGCGTAACGAGCGAGCAAAAATGTTGTAATGATAATTGGTTCATAAATTTCAGGTTTTTTTGTTGCAGGTCAGCGGCTTACACAATCATGTCTAAGGTGATGTTAAGTCCGTTTTGGCGAGTGAGCACATCAAAACTTCTTTGAATAATGTTCGGTACATAATTATTAACTAGTAGGCCTAATGTTGTTGCATGTTAGGGCGGGCACGTTAGCGATGTTAATTTCATTTTGGCGAGCGAGCGTAGTGAGCAAGAATAAAAAATCGCTTCTTTTTTAAATAATAATATTGCCAATTAAACTTGGTTCATTTGTCCTCAATGAATTAGTACATAAACTTTGTGTCATTGTTGCAGGTCGGGGGTGGGTACAATCGTGTTTAAGCCAACGTCAATCCCATTTTGGTGGGCAGGCAAAACAAAATTAATGATGATTGGTGCATAATTTTCAGGTTTTTTGTTGCAGGTCGGGGCTTACACAATCATGTTAAAGGTGATGTTAATTCCATATTGGCGAGGGAGCGTAGCTAGCGAGCAAACCAAATTTTCTTTGATTAACGTCTGGTACATAATTATCAACTGGTAATTTGTTGTAGGTTGGGGTTAGCATGTTTGTAAGCGATGTTCATTGTAAAGACAGCGTAGCAAGAGAGGGTAAAACAAAAAACAAATCAACTCATATATCAATCACTAAAATCAATCAATTCATCAATTCTGGCGAGCGAGGAAACAATATCTCTCAAAATAACGTTCGGTACTTATTTACTGGGATTTTCGTTGCAGGCAAGGGAGCGCACATATTTTGTTAGGAATGTCAATTCCGTTTTGGTGAGCGATCATAGCGATGCAAAAAAAAAATCAATTCTCTTTTAATAGAAATTAATACATAAACTTGGTTTTATTGGTGCAGGTCGGGATGGGCGCAATTGCGTTTAACACGATATCACTTCCTTTTTGGCGAGAGGGCGAAAAAACACTTCCATTTTTAATGATATTGTTGCAGGTCAAGGGTGGGCACAATTGTTTTCAAAGCAATGTCTATTTCATTTATTCGCGAGCGAGCGTAGCGAGCGAGAAAAAATGAATTAGTCTCTTTTAGTAACATTTGGTACATAAACTGGGTGTTATGGTTGCCATGGTTGCAGGTCGGGGCCAGTCGGGGCAGACACAATTGTATTCTAGGCAATACTAATCCTTTTCTTTTTTTTCAGGGGGACGAGCAAGTGAAAACAATTAATACAAAATAGGCTTGGAAGCAGCTCGCGCCAGCGAAGAGTGTCGAATTTGTTATATCACTTATATTTTCCTATTTTCATTTGTCTTTTTCTTTGCCGTATGCGGAATATTTTTCTGATGGGGGAGGCCGGGGAAAGATGCATAAAAAGTTTTTGAAGAAACCCAAAAGCAAAAGGAGTGAAGGGAGTTCGAGCAACCAAACTGGTCATGAGTGTACTTATGCATTTTTCAAAAGTAGAATTTAAGGATTTGGTATAGGCCTTCACTACTTGTGAGCTTTGTTAAACATTTTCAGGAAAAAAACTGTACGTTTTCAAAATATCTGGGGTCAACTGCCCCCCCCCCCCCCGTGCGTACGGGGGGGGGGGGGTCTTTTTAAAAATAATTTTCCCATTTTGTTTCTTTCCTTTTCTTTTCCCTCTTTCTTCCTTTTCTCTTCTTCTTCTTTTTTTTTTTTCCTTTTCCTTTTTTCTCTTTCTTTTCTTTTTTTCTTTTTTTTCTCTCCCTTTTTCCTTTTTTCTTTCTCTTTCCTTTCCTTTCTTTTCTTTTCTTTCCCCTTTTTTTCTCTTTCTCCTTTTTTTTCCTTTCCCCTTCCCCCCTTTTCGTTTTTTCTCCTGGAGCCCGTCAGGGGCCGGGGCACTCTGCCCCCCTTGCCCCCCTCAGGTACGCCAGTGATGGATGCCCCCCCCCCACCACCACCCCCCCCCCCCAGTTTTTAAATTGACTTGAACATTGTCATCAATTCGACCAGGGAGGTGTTTTAAGGGTTGCATCTCTGATGTAAGGCGATGATCCAATCCCATTCTTCATGCTGTATCTAATTATTATCAATGATAATATAGTCAATATATAACTCTGAATCCGTCATCCCGGTGAGAGCGTGTCTGTGTGTGTCTGTGTGTGGAGAAGGTGGGGGAGGGGCGGGAGGGGGGGGGGGGGCGGGCAGCCCTTTAAAACATCAATTGTTCCAATTAAGCATCGCTAGGAGGAATGTCCCTCTCGTTTTTTTATAATGGGAAATGTTAAAGGGAAAGTCCACCCTGAAATTAAGTTAGTTTTAATAGGAGTAGAAAAATGAGAGAAACAAGTCAGTGAAAGTTTGAGCAAATTCCGATTAAAAATAAGGAAGTTAGGATTTTTGAAGTTGTGATCAATCAAACACAAATTGGCAACTCTATGACGTATCATGCGAGCTCAACTTCCATTTGCTCAGTACTAAAAAAATCTAAAATTTTCATTTTCCCTCAAGAAAAATTTCAACCATACATGCACCCTAAATATAATAATTGCAAATATGTTTCTATACTCCCCCTGCAAGGAACAAATATATATTCCGTCATCAATAATGAAGAAAACATGATTTTATGGAATATTATGCACAAAGCAAATGAAGGAGAGCTCGTATAATAAGTCACAGAGTTGCCAATTTGTATTTGATTGATCACAACTTCAATAATTCATAACTTTCTTATTTTCATTCAGAATTTGCTCAAACTTTCACTCACCTGATTTTCTTATTATTCTGCCTCTATCGAAACAAACTTATTTTGGGGGTGGACTTTCCCTTTAAGGTCTCTAGGGGGAATTCGCTAAATGTATGACATAAAATTATAAAACTTTTGTAGACTTCGAATTGATGGCCTTTTTTTTTTTTGGAGGGGGATGTCTAGCGACGCCAGTGATCATAATTAGGGAATATGCTTAGTAGAGGATCCATACGTTATATTTTAGTCCATTCAGTAATAAGGCTATTATCATATCAAAATTATGAAGTTGTTCTCGATCGTTTGGTTTAAAATGATTTATTTATACCGTATATTTTTTGTTGAAAGGTTTACAACTGGCGATTCATACCCAATTGTTCTACCTACCACAACGTGTAGATAAACTCGAATGGAGATGAGTTTTGTGATATGATTATGAAGTCCACAGACGAGTATTCAAGGATTCATCATTCCCACGACATTCAAAACAATCAGGTTGGATGATGGCTTCACCCAATTTCGAGGAACTAGAGTCAAGGGTTTTGCCTTTAACATTAGGTATGAATATGACCAGTCCTACGTGTTACTTTTTGTGTAGGGCCTAATCTAATGTGAAATTGGCATCAGCACACAGAGGTGCATTACTATCCTGGCTGTGTAGAAAAAGCTGATTCTCAACATTTCAAACACCACTGTACAAAACTCAACTGATTTCACTCAAAATCGGTACTTTCGTGACAATTGATGACACCTAAATAGCAGTAAAATACATAATTTTTTTCATTTTACTGATGTTAAAAAGAATAATTTAAAAATTCAAATTGTAGAGTAAAGCCAGGAGCCCGTTTTCGGCCACTTAAGACAAAATCCTATTTTTAGGACTCTTTACTTCCTATTTATTATCATTTCTTGTTCAAATCATGAAGCAAATATTATTATTATTTAAACAAAAAAAGAATCCCAGAAAAAAATCACGAATTGCCATGACAATATTAGGCTTAATTGCAGAATACCCTACCATATCGTTAGTCTTCATATATTAGCCGTAGATATAGATTGTGATTTTATTATTTGTGATAACGGTGATACAGGTATTGAAGATTGTATAATGCAAGTGTTTGAATTCATTTGGTGGATGAAAAGTTGAATTTTACGCGGTTTTGTGCGTCATTGCAGCGCTGAATTTGGTGTGTTTGTCGCTAATTTGTGACAAATTTAGATGGCTTTCCTGATGGTATTTCATGCAAAATGTCTGTTATATTGATAAGCACTGATTCTTGTCCTTACCTTTGTCTTGTTTATTGTCTGTTATAGTCATTTAATAGATGAATTACTTGAATTCTAAGCACATTTCAGTAACACAAAATGTCCAGCCCGTACATAGTCCCACACACATATTTGTTTGTACCTTGTGCCCTCTCTTACACTGCTAGTCTGCTTTCTAAGACCCTATTAGATATTTTAATCAACAAGTAATGTCTCGTTCTAAAAATACAAAAGAAAAATAATAGTGTTGTGCTTTTTTAATCAACAAGTGATGTCTCGTTCTAAAAATACAAAAGAAAAATAATAGTTTTGTGCTTATAATAGTGGAATGTCTCGTGCTAAAAATACAAAAGAAAAATTAGCTTTGTGCTTAGACTAGACTAGTATTGGTGGGTGGTCGATGGTCGTTGGTCGTTGGCCTCATTTTTAATATTTGGGAGTCCTTGGTCGATGGTCGTTGGTCGTTGGCTTCTTTTTTAATATTTGGGAGTCCTTGGTCGATGGTCGTTGGTCGTTGGCTCTTTTAAACAAATATGCCTCACTATTTGGTCGATGGTCGTTGGTCTCTTTTTCTAATATTTGTCAGACTGTTGGTCGATGGTCGTTGGACTCTTCCATTCAATAGTATTTGGTCGATGGTCGTTGGTTTCAATTTCTAATATATTTGTCAGACTGTTGGTCGATGGTCGTTGGAATTTGGCTTCTAGACCTAGACTCTAGTTCTAGACTATATTTCTAATATTTGTCAGACTGTTATAGACTAGTTCTAGATCTAATTCTGTAAAACCGTGGTAGGGTATTCTGCAATTGTATTCATTTCAATTTTCACTGTTTTGGAGCCAGTTATCGGCCGAGCGTTTCAGTTTACGGCCGCATGTACAAAGTCAATAGGAAGCGCTCGCGCGCGCCGTGCGTTTCCGCGCTGATGTACAGCACAAGCGGGCGGAGCAGGTATCCCACGCCGGAGCTCCCTGGTGCTCGCCTGGCTGAAGACAGGCACAGCGGTGATCGGAAGTTGGAATCTGAATTAGACAGACATATCGTGTGTGCGTGGCAGGGTCCGGCTGCATTGATTTAATACATGCGATGAGATACTTTTGAGCTTGCGACTAACACAAAATCGGGCTCTTAATCTGAAAAATACTTGAAATAAAGCTGATTTTATGGTACCCATATTTCTTACATACACGCGTAAGAAACTCGATTTTTCAGATTTGGGTAGCGGGACCGGCGAGTACATCGCTAAAATGTGATTTTCCATTGCAAATGTGGTTCTTCAGTGACACTGGCATGGTATGGTATGTGTGGGATATGTGTTATGCTATTATGCGATGTATTTTAGAGTGATTTTACCTTGCATCCAACCAATCGGCCGAAAACTGGAGCTGGCCGATTACCGGCTCCTTTACTCTAAGTCTAGTCTAGATCTAGACTAGTGTCAAATTTGCCGATCGGTCTTATTGTGTGCAGTCTATGCAATATTGTGTGGTGTGTATATTTGTGTATAATACCTGCCTCACAGCAAGTATGCAGTGCTAAAGGTCAGTACGCATTAGCGTTGACCCTATGCCTTGCTGGAGTGGGCATCAAGGGCGCGGGCATGTCTTTTTTTAACCTAACCTTGCTATCCTATCGCTGCATTTGATTGGCTTAATAGGAACCAAGCATCATGCGCTAGTCATAAATCTTCATTTCTGATGCATTTATTTATCAAATAATGAGATTTCATACAAAAATTACAAGTGCAAAGCTATTTTTAGTGAAAATGAATGACATTGCGAGACAATCGGGTGGCTTACCCTAAGCCGCCTTAGCCTCTTACCGTAACGTAGACTACCCAGGTCATAAATTGTCCATTATCATTGCGACATACTGGTTAAGTCGAGAATCTGGCCGATTTAATTTTGATCTCCAACACACCGTACCAACGCAAATATTCATATATTCAAATATTAATATGCAGGGAAGCGTGGCAAGGTTAGGTTTAAACGGATCCCGTTTCTCGAAACCGTCATAAGTCTAACTTCTTAAAGGTACTATGTCCCTTTTGCAGCCAACCTCAAATGCTGTAGAACTTTGCAGGAATTATGAATATGTCATGTATGTCCTATCTCTGAAATTTAAACGTTAGCAGTGTCCTCTTATTCAAATTATGCAAGGAAAACCGTTTACTTGCTAGACTTCACTGTCAGACACTATTGAGTGACTGACTGGCTTTTTTTCTTCTTTGGTAATAACATACATGAAAAGAGTTGTAAAGGGTACATGAGTATTTGTCTACATCAATAACCCACTTTTTGTGATGGCCAAGATTAAACTGATTGAATCTTTGCGCAGCATAAAACGTATGACCATTCGGTACAATTGTCTGAAAATCAAGACTATTACTTTTGGGCTCTATAGCCCTAAAGTTGATTTTACAACTAACACAGTAATAGTCGTTATTTTCCCACTTGAAGACATTTTTAAGCCCCACTTTTTTAGGGAAGTTCTAAATTAGTATTATCTTTCAAATGTCGTTGGAATTTAACCTTTTTATTTTTTTGGCCTGCAAATGGGACATAGTACCTTTAATCTTGGACAACCCATTGAAACGTGTATTATATTGATTAACTCGCGTACCTATGGGATGTCTAAAAATTTTAATAATGGTTTCGAGAAACGGGCCCTAGGAAGTAAAAATATAAGAAAGAGAAAAAGGAGGAGAGAAGAAGAAGAAACAAGAGGGAGAGGAGCAGAAGAAGACAAAAAGAGAAACAAACAGTTTACAATTAATTGAACTGTTTTAATTTAAAAGTTAAAGGAAGGAAATGTTGAATTGTGCTAAAACAGTTAAAACTAGTTAAAAGTACACATAGATCTATATTAAATGTTATATTATTGTAAAGAATTGGGGATTAGCAGAAGACAGATACTGCCCCTAGTGTCAAGTGATAAAGGACATAAAGTACATGTGTTTATAGAATGTGAACAGAAAAAAATGTTTATGTCAAAAATGTTGTGATATATACTCTAATATTAATTTGATATTGATTTTTGCATGGATATCTGATCTCTTGTTTACTTAATAATAAGATTAATACTATCAGTACATATACAAAATATTAGTCTTCCGCGATAAATGTGAAAAGAGTTTTAAGCCAACATGATTATAAGAGAAATTTATTTTTAAAACAGACTTTGGTAAACCATGAATTAAAAAAGCCAGACAAAAGGTTGCCAGAGATATTGTTAAAACTAAAAGCCCTTTAAAAGATTTTAGAGGAGCAGAATATTGTTTAGTCAAAAGATTTTTTTTTTAAAACTCTATTTTGATTGTTGAATACTGAATAGAAATAAACACCTCAACTGAGGCACAAACTATATTTCATTTTTATCATAATTGTATTTTATTGTTTCAGATGATGACCCTCCATTTTCAGTTCTTGAGCTTGGACTCGGTGGGAGATCAGCAGCTGTTCCTTTGACTGGAAGCAGCCCAGAATCCCTACCATACACAACCACTGTAAGTATGGCTAGAGTGCCGTTGTCTGTGCAAAGTGTGCATACATGTAACTGAGCAATTCCGAGAAAGAATGATTAAGCACTAGGCATCCAACACAAGATATCCGTCTTTTTTTATAGCAATATGTAATTATTGATAAATCTAGTAAAACCCAGTGAGAAAAATGTAATTTTTTTCTACTTCTATTCACAAGCCCCAAAATTGTAATTTTGACATAAAATGTCCTTAACTGTGCATAAAGTGAAAGACGATAATAATTGCAGTCTCCTGCACTTTTTCAACATTTAGTTCAGATAATACTTTAAATTTATGATAATATGTTATGGAAATATTAAGTTTCGTTATTATATGAACATGTATTACGGTATGTAAAAAAACATTTTGACATGAAGAAATTATTGTTTGTATATGTTGTATTATACCTTACATGTATATGTTCTTTGTTATTCAGTTGTATTATATTTGGAAAAATGCAGAAATCAAATCAAATCAAAAGATCAGAATTCAAGTGAAAAAGTGTGCAGGCGTGGGAGCCTTTGTTTTTGCTATGTCAAAATGACACTGTCACCTTTTCTTGGGTTTCTGAATTGTAATTTGTTCCAGTATCAATTCATATTGGCCATTCTGCTCTTTGACCAACCAAAATATCTTTGGAAGTGAATGTGACTTTTCTATTTGATCTATTATAATAATAATAATACAAATAATAATAATAATAATTTATGTATTTATTATCATTTTTAGATTTAATATGGAATAATCATTGATATTAAATAATTTAGCTTCATATTTTGTAAAATGGAATCTGATATTACCTCTATAACCACCATATATACTGTGGCTTACACATCTCATTCATTGTATGTTTATCATATGTGTATGTATATCACTGTCCTGTAATATTTCTGTATATATATATATATATATATCTGTATTGTAATACTCTGTAACCAGTGGAAATCAAATTTCCTGAAAAGGACAATAAATTATTATACTTACTTATACTTATTTCTATCCCCACAGCTGCCCTTTGGTTTACCTCCCATTATCCCTGACCTATCAGAGAGGATAAGTGGCTACCTTGACTGCCCTGATAAGCTACCTATACATGATGTCTGTAAGGGTCAAAGGTGAGAGGTCAGAGGTCATACACACTATGAATATGACGGACAAAGAAAGCGGACAAAATATACAGTTCCTCAGGTAGACAAAGGAACATCCCTTCACTGCTATTATGTTAAAATGTGTAGAACAGGTGAATATGCATGTGACACCTGTTCTACACATTTTTACATAATAGCAGTGAAGGGATGTTCCTTTGTCTACCTGAGGAACTGTATATTTTGTCCGCTTTCTTCGTCCATCATGTTCATAGTGACAGGGACTTTTCATGCACTAGCAAAATCACCAAGATTCTTGAGATGGAAAGCCATACACAAAATGATAATGAAATCATTTGCATGTACATGTATTTGAAATGATAATCTTAATTTCTTTCTATAATCATCTTTTTATAATTGTTCACTTTAAAACCTCTTATCTTGTTGTTTTGAGTTATATTGAGCTAACACTTAGGAACTCATTGCAATTAGAAAAATACACAGGACTGGATCTCAAAGTAGCTGTGGAATACTTAAAGAAGCTTTAAAGCGGGACTGCACTTCTTGTAGCTACTTGCGCACTCTATGTATAGCAAACAATGCCTAAGCGGTGCCCGTTGGTCCCCCATGATCCTATTTTTGTTATGTTAATTGGGAGCTGACTTGATGAGATAACCACCTGCCTGTGACCATGCAGGGAGATCTAATCCCTCCTGGCCAAAATATTGCAGACAGGCTTTATAAAGCATGGAAGAATAGGAAGCACCCATAGTCTAATCTCATCTTTTCTATATAAATTCCAAAAAGAGCTGAGACCAACAACAAAAAACAGCAAATTATGACATGCCCAAAACTTGGCGATATTCTTGAAATGTATTGTTTGTCAGAAGTCGTCCATTTTCCCCTTAGTTTTTTGCTCAGTTGTCTCATTTGTTTATGTTTTGTTTATCCAGAAAACAGCCGAGGAAATCTGAGCCGACCAATCTGTACAACGTGAGCCTTTGCCCTCTGCAGACAACCTTACAGGTCGAGAGGCATGCAACAACAGGGGAACTTCTTGGTTATAAAGAAGTAAGTTTACTTGCCAGGAGGCCATGTACAGAACAAGTAAAATGATTTGAGAGGAGTGTGCTATATGGTCTGTTGAGAGCCAAAAGACAATAACACTGTGTTGAACGATGTGAGTTAATGTCTTTATGGCTTTGGGCAGAACCCTTACTTGCATTGATATTGTCCGTCTAGAGAGTACAATGTGATTGGTTCCTCTCTGTGTGAGAATGGTATTCTTCTGCAGTCCTCAAGATTCGTATTAGCACCAACTATGTTACTTTATTTACTGGAGAGAGCCTTGCATTGTAGGTGCTTGAAGTGCATTATCAGGAGCTCTTGTAGCGCAGTAGAATATATACTTAGTGCTGGATAGTTTCTGCACTCTATAAATGAATTATTATTATTATTATAATGCCTCATCGTCTTACTCAGTTATTTGTTGGTAGAAATGCCAGTGAGTTATGAGCCATGTCGATGGAAAGGGATGATTATCTAGAGTCATGTTGATATCCTGGCTGTTCATTGCTCCAGGTATTTTTAGGGGATACCAGTGCGACAGCCAAGAACAGCCTCTCCCTCAGCCGGCAGCCTGGTCCTCTCTCAGAGTCGGTCCGAGGGAGTACCACCAACTTCCCCTTCATGCCTGGAGGTCTCGCCGAAGAACCCTTCCTGGATGAAGACGACGATGCCTTGGTGTCCGACAGACCCAACGAGGCCAATGATATTGACGTTGATGATCTCCTGACAGTTCCTCCAGGATGGGAGGCTGGAATGGTCTTTGAGGATAGGATGAGACGGGATGAGGTGAAGGAAGATGAGGAGGAGGATAGAGGGATGAGCAGGCTGATTGAGGCCTCTGGTGAGGTTGGTCTTGATGACATCATGGGGATGGACGATCGCTTTGACTTCTTGGAGAAGGAAACGGAGGAGGATAGAGCAAAGGAAATAGAAAAGGAGAGTCAAAAGGCAAGTGAAGAGTAGATTTCGATATATTTTTTCTAAGTATTCAGGGATGCCAGTTTTCAGGCAATAGCCTGAATTCAGGCCCTGGCGAGTTATTTTCAGACCATAGTTTAGGCTTTTTTGTGTACAAAATAGCTCATTCTAGGCGATTTCCAGACCCTCCCCTCAATTCTAACTGGCATCCCTGAGTATTACAGTAGAGGGTTTTGATTACTAGATATTATAATTATAACGCTTCTATCTACATGGGTGAGTGAATGGACACTCTGTAGTTTCATTTTGGGTGGATTGGCATGTGCAAGCCAATAAAATAGCAACTGACAAGAATGCTGCCCTCAACTCAAGATGTGAGACTATTAAAGGTTAAGCTCCTTGAGCTCTTTCAAGTGAATATAAGTCTTTGTTTACCATTTTCTTGTTCTTGGAACTCTCTCTCTCTCTCTAAGTGCCATATCGTTTGACTTTGGTGATCATGCTGTTCCACAACCCTCGGCTCCTAGCCTTTTGTATGAGTACCAATCCCAGTTCTTTCACTCCTCTCTCTTCCAACAATTTCTGCAGACTGTCCATCCAAAGTATCCTTCTTCTTCCCCTACTCCTTCTTCCCACAATTTTCCCTGTCAAAACAAGATTCTCAGAACAGTTCTCGGAACCGTAGAATCAAACTAATGAGAAGAAATCAGTGAAAACATTTTGATCAGCTTGTGCTTAATGGTAGTTGATGGACACTGCTGAAATGTGGATGAAGCATCATTTGTTCTTTTATTATTCACAGGTTTCGCAGGAAAAGGCAGCTGCCAAAGATGAAGAACTAGATAAAGTTTTACCTGAAGTAAGTGTAAAAGAATTGTTAGCAAACATTTATTTATTTTGATAAGTAATGTAGACATGATAATTCTTACATAAACCCATCACAATAGATCAATGGATTAAATAGGGACACAGCCACTGCTGTGTTCTTTTTAGAAGTCCAATGCTAATGTATAACATTGTTTCTTTTTCTCTATATAAGTTTAGGATATCGGTTCATGGAAATGAGACAAAATGCTGTTTGTGAAATATTCTCATCATTTTAAAAATATTCAATTTAAAGCTTAGATCTCGTCTAGTGATATAATATTATTTTAGACTTAAAGTTTTGTGTAGAGTCTGAAATAAGACAGTTGAATCATGGTATGATATACAAGTCAACTGCCGTGACTCCAAGGTGGGGGATGGTGGTGTTGGTGCATATGTATATGGTGCATGCAGAAACTAAATGGCTGGAAGTGTTTCTTAATAAACAGGCTACGGTTGTTGATATCATATATAGAAAATACAAAATACTTATGATACCAAATATCCAAATGGAATTTTGCCAAATTCAATCATTCAATATGGCTCTTTCGTTTCTGCACAAGTATCGAATAAGACAAAAGGAAACAAAATATTTTGAAAATACCGTAGGTCACATCAACCAAAGGAGAGTTTTCAGTGTCATATGTAGGCAGTTCTTTATGGAATGAGTCATCCACATCCTGCCTCAGAGTAACTTTTGAATGAGTAAAATATAATAAACTGCTAGGTATTTGATATTTGACTGTTCATCCACTTATACAATTGTATTGCAGTTGTGTTTGTCATTAGTTTTAATATAATGTGTAACATTTCAAATATGTTTCATTTTATTTACCCAGACAACGTTTTTCATACGTTAGAAGGTACCAGGGTCGATTAGCAGTAATAATATATTCTGGTTCCTTTTATCCTTTTATGTTTAACTCTTTATACATATTGTTATATTGCTATCTGTTTATATTGGATAATACATTTCCATTTCAAGTTCAAGAATTAAATCTTGTTTCCTTAAAAGGCAAAGAAGAAAGAGAAAGAAGCCAAAAAGGAAGAACCACTGAAGGAGAAATCATGGGCTGTTAACATTGATGTCAGTACACCAGTTGATGATTTCCACAAGAAAGTTCCTGTTATGGCTCATCAGGTATTATTTCAGCTCCTTACTCTAGATCACAAAGTTTACAGATCATGTGTATCACAAATGTGACCGGGGGAGTGTTTCACAAAGATCCAAAGTTGAACTTATCTCTGTTAGACTTAACAATTATGGACAGCCGTTGGTATCTATGAAAATATTTTGTAAAAGTTATTTTAAAAGGCATAAAATGTTGATTCAAATCATTCATACTTTCTATTATCAAGGAGATTGTATGTTCTTGATGTGGAATTTATAAAAAGTCTAAAATACTTCAATTTTCGCTTTTGAATATATTTTATTTTAAGGCTACAAATGGCTCTTCAAAGTGAAGGAGTACATAAAGTGTTTTGTCCAAGGTTGAAGTTAGGAATTTGGTTAATGTAAGTAATAGACTGCAGAGCCGTTGTCTCTGCGGTATATGTCATAGAACTAAATCAATTCCAACTGCTGTATTTTAAATGGGCTTTAGATAAGAGATATAATCTAATCTAAGAGGTAATGTAGAAGAAATTGGACACCCTAGTCATACACATGTAATCTTGTTTCCCATCACATGTTGTAGTGATTTTGTAACATGTATATGTATTTCAAAAATCTTACATCTTAATTTTAATAGACACACATATACAGCCTTGATGGAACACAGCCATTTATCCGATCTGTATGTATGATGTTGACCAACAAAGTCGTTTTCTTTAAAGGGATCGTTTAACAATGTTAAATCTGAGATGCACGGCCCTACGTGTTATCAGTGTTTGTGATATGGTGTAATATTGAAGCCCTAAAAAAATTGTGCTTCAAAAGGATCATGAAGTTCCTCAAAAATGTAAAAATCTTTGAGGGGCCGGTTTTACCATACTCATTTTCCCCAATAGACTGCAGTGTTATGAAAACCGTTAGGAAAACGCAAAATTTGATTGTGATTTCCAATCATAAATATCGTCGCCTGGGTGGCAGAAGGGCGTTAGCTCGAATATCAGGTAAAAAATGAAGCGTTAAGCAGAAGCACGTTAGCACTAGATAGCCTCAAATTTTGTTAAACTGACTTATTCCCGAGAAAAAAATTGTGGCCGTGTTCTCTACTAAAACATTTCTATTAGTCTTTTAAGTTTTGAACCAATTTTCGGGACGGAAAGCAGTTTAAATATAAAACAAATCTTTAAATGCGAATAATTTGAAAAGTAGTTTTTGAGTCGCTTCCGCTCTAACGCCCTTCTGCCAGCCGGGCGACAACATCTTGATAATCGGACAGCTAATCGACTTGTAAATGTCATGGGATTTATGTACGCCTAAAGGTTTATAATTATCATTGCAGCATGAGCTAAATCAAGGAAAAATTTTAAGTTTCTGAGATGAAAGTTACCCTTTAATCCCATGTTTTCTCTCAGTACCCGTTTGAGCTGGACATTTTCCAGAAGCAAGCTGTTCTCCAGCTTGAGAATCACCAGAGTGTCTTTGTTGCTGCTCATACCTCGGCAGGAAAGACCGTAGTAGCGGAGTATGCCATCGCACTCTCAATGAGACATCTCACAAGGTACACTTTACCTCTTCCTCCAATCCTCTGTGACTTCATCAATACAATATGGTCAACGTTCTTTTGTTAATGCAGCTGCATTTCTTTGGAACAATCTCCCCCTTCAAATTCGCAATGCTAGCTCTGTAAATACATTTAAAATAATGCTGAAAACACATCTCTTTAAGTCTTGTTACTGAATAGCTCTTTTGACCTTTTGCCTTTTATTTTTTGTAGATTACCGTAGGATACTATTTATTTATGAACTATTTGTATTTTGTTTGTAAGTGATTTGTAATTATGTACATGTATTATTTTCATTTCCAAAGTTTTAATGGTAATTTAAATTGATGTAATTTGTAATGCAATTTCTGTTTCCATTACTTATCAGCTATTTTCTTCTAAACCGCTTAGAGGCAATTTGCAATTTGCGGTATACAAATATCTTATTATTATTATTATTATTATTATCATGATGTGCTTCATACTGCTACTCCTCTATTGACAATACCAATATAGTCAAACCTGTCTTTGTGGCCACCTCCCTATACATTGTGAGGCAAAAAAAAGATTACACTTGTAAATATTATAAAAATCATCTATGAACAGTAAATTATTATACATCTTATGAAAGAGTGTTTTATCCCAAATCATTTGGTATAATTTGTGTGTGGTATTGTTCGACTGCAAAAATTGACTTGCCCCAAAGTAATACATGTGATGTATGAATAACAAAATTGGGATTAGGGTATTAATTCGTTCTTTGCAGATCCAAATAACATCCCTACCAAAATTAATCATGCCACACATTTCAAATATCAAAGAACATTTGTGCATGTGTGTGCCAACCACTCTCGCAAACATGCCTCCTGTTCATCCAGGCGTGAACATATACCACATAAAAATGATACCAAACGATTTGCAATATAACACTCTTTCGAAACATGTATGATAACCTTTCGTTCATAGCTGACTTTTAAAATTAATAACAATTTCCTAAGTGTAAATATTTTTTTTTGACTGACACGGTAAAGGCTGCCCGTTAGTAGTGCAGGGGGGGGGGGGCGGACCTATGTCATCTTCCTCTAGGATCAATTGTGTGTTGTACAACCTGTCTATAGAGGTCATCCGTCTATGGCCATCACATACAAGATTGCCTCGTTCTAAACAAAAACATATGTTGTGGAACTATCAAGAAGGGCTACTTGTCTACTGTGACAGGTTTGATTGTACAGTCAAACCTGCTTTAGTGACCACCTGTCTACAAAGGCAACATTTGTTGTTTCCCTTGAAAATGGTTTCTCATTGAATCATGTACTAAAGGAACCTGTCTACAAAGACCACCTGTCTACAAAGGCCACTTTTTGTGTTTCCCTTGGGTGGTCGCTATAGACAGGTTTGATTGTATAGTACCTAAATGTATCTTGTACTTTTTCCAGTCTCTCAAAATGTGATATCAATGGAAATCTCATCTCCTCTCCTCTTCTATTCCCATTTCTTCTCTCTTGCTTCGTTACCAGTCAATCTTGTTTTTGTTTATGTTTATATACTGCTTGATCCTCCCTGTCTCAAAATATTAATTTCCTTTTAACTTCTTACAAAAATAAGTCTAAGTGATATGAAACTTTAACAGCGATTCTCATCGGTTGATTACAGAACGGTCTACACATCCCCTATCAAGGCTCTGTCCAATCAGAAGTTCCGAGACTTCAAGAACACGTTTGGAGATGTAGGTCTCCTGACTGGAGATGTTCAGATCAAACCTGAAGCTTCTTGCCTTATCATGACAACTGAAATATTAAGGTTAGTATCTTTTACTGATAATAACTCTGATTTGATTAGATAACTTTATATGACTAGTGGAAGTTCATAGCTTTCATAGATAAAAGCCAATGTTGATATTGATACCAAAGGCTCAGTAAAGTTGATATTCAATTGCATGTTACACCAATGGGAGTAGCAAATAACCATTCAAAAGATTGGTATAGAAATGGATACAATTTCAAGAAATTGCACTTTGAATGTGAGTAAGCAGTCATGAATTGTTTATATGTTTTGATGTTTGTACCTCACTTTTTCAAAATCTGAACCTCAAGATCAAGAAATGATCACTGTATTCATAGAGAAGTATATGAATAATCTGAAAGCTCAAATAATTTATTTATTTATTTGTTGTTTTATTTTGACAGGGTAGCCCTTTCAGTTATAAAAAACTGCTTGACCAAGGGGCCCTGTATCAACATAATCAAAAACATATTTACAAAATATATAAACATACATAAGTTATAATGAACACAAAAATTAAACAAGATAAAATAAAGGGCAATATAATGGAATTTGTTAAATTATTGTTCTGCATATTCAAAAGAGAAAATGTATTATTAGCAAAAGTCCAAATTCATCCATATTCAAACCCAAGTTCTTTGATAACAACTCTTGTTTTTGCTCCTGTGTACAGGTCTATGCTGTATAATGGTTCGGATGTAATCAGAGACCTGGAATGGGTTATATTTGATGAGGTCCACTACATCAATGATTCTGAGGTGAGGCAACATTTATTTGTTTATTTATTATTAATCATGCTAATAATATACAAATTATACACAGCTGTGAGGGCATTAATTAGAATTACCCACACTCGGTACCTTTGGAACAGTCTAACACGCCCAAGGCGATAGCCGAAGGTGTTTGGAGTGTTTCAAAGGTACCGAGTGTGGGTAATTTTACTAATGCCCATAACAAAATGATCTGTATTATTTGTTTTATAAGATGATGTTTTATTTGTTTTCATAAAATGATGTTTTATAACATGATTTTACTAATGACTGGTCATTGTTAGGCTTAATAAATACCATGTCACGTGTACGTTCTCAACCGATCATTTGATTAGGATCCGCTTCATCTTCTTATAAATGACAATATTTCTCTTGAACTAGAGAAGTGATATGCTAGTATATTCAACATTTATGTTAGCCAAACCTATTAAACAACAACAAAAATATCTTGCCAATCTACAATCAGTTACCCCTTTGAATTTGCGAATCTTCAGTATCCATTTCGAATAGTATGTATTACAACCAAAAAAAAAGAGCTTTTTCAGTCATTCCAGATGTGATTTTAAGGCTCAGTTACCTATTATTTGGCAAGCATGTGCTTACTGCAGTCTGTACACTGACAAGAAAAAGATGAGTAGGTTTTGCTACAGATTTATTCTTACAAGGTTTTTTTAATCCAAAATATTTGCAATTTTCCCCATTTTAGAGAGGAGTAGTTTGGGAGGAGGTTTTAATCATGCTTCCTGAGCATGTGAATATCATCTTACTCAGTGCTACCGTCCCAAACACCATGGAATTCGCTGACTGGGTTGGGTAAGCATCTGCACTCAAAATTACTGTATGGATCGTTATTTCTCAGGCCTGATAATTACCCAATTTAAATCGGTTTCCTGATTATTATTTGTTCCCGATTTTTTTTTCCCTGATTTTTATTTTTATTACCCAATTTTTATTTTTCTTCCCAATTTTATCCTGATTTTCCCTATGTTTCCCTAACTTCTATTCTTCTCTATTTTTTCCCAATGTTCTTACTCGAAAGGGGGGAATGTTGTTTGATGCCATTTTTTGCCCCAAAATCCTCTCTCTTTTTTTAAATTCAAGGGGGGCGTGGTTGATGGAAAAAAAAAATTGTTTGTTAGTGCTCACTATCACCCCTGATTTCTATGTAATGAATGCAATTGTTTTTACCCTGTTATTGATTCCGATTTGTGAATTAATCTAATCATGTAATCATGTAATTCAACTGAAGTAACAAATATTGCTGTTTCCTCAATCTTTGCTTCAATTTTAAAGCACATTGAGAGATTTTGTTATCCTTGCTCAAACGATGTTGCTCAGGATAATCTGCTTCGTGAGTTTCTGTAGAACTCTTAGTGGCCCTCCAAGGCTCCAAGGAAGCACTATAGTATGTTTCATTAGGATAATGTGGGGGGTGGAAAAAAAATTAAATAAATATATATATATTGAGGACTTATGGACTAACAATATCATGATAAGCGTGCATGACAGAGCTTTATGTATGACATCCCTCTGTCATATTGAGATATTTACTTGATTAATGATACATTCAGTTGACCAGGTTGATATGCAGCATTATCACAAGCCCCTATTGCAGGCCTCTTCAAGCTTTAGGGGGCAGGAAACATGTTAGAGATAATATCGTAAGCATGACCTTAGTATTAATGCAGTGAGAATTGAAGATTTGAGAACCATTCTCAATTTCAGGGAGCCAGTTACCAGTTAGACCTATGTTAGTGCATGTCTTGCCTATTGGCACACACACATGCTCATCAGCACATCCATTTGAGGAGGCGCGATAGCTCAGTTGGTAGAGAAGTGGTCTCGTAATCCGGTGGCTCAGGTTCGAAACCAAGGCGATGCGCTAGTGCCCTTTGGTAAGGCATTAATCCTCACTACCAGGTCCCTCAGAGAGGACCTAAAGCTGTCGGCCGTCTGGTTGCTTACTTACAAGCATTTATACTTTCTTAGTGGTCAGGTAAAAATTACCATCAAACATTCTATTCTATTTGTTTGTGTTGCTAGGAGAATCAAAAGGAAACACATCTACGTGATCAGTACCTTGAAGAGACCCGTCCCTCTGGAGCACTTTCTCTATACAGGCAACAGCAATAAGACGAGCAATGAACTCTTTCTTCTGGTGGATGCTCAGAAGACCTTCATGCAGGAGGGGTAAGTAGAAATATGCATGGGTTGAATGCATGGATGATGATGATGATGATGGTGATGGTGGTGATATTGGTGTTGGTGGGTGATGATGTTGATGATGTTGATGATGCTGATGATGATAATGGTGATGGTGGTGATGTTGGTGTAATTGTTAGTGGTGATGATTTAATGGTGTTGGTGTGTGCTGATGATGATGATGATGATGGTCGTGGTGGTGATGATGTTGATGATGCTGATGATGCTGATGATGATGATGATGATGATGATGATGATGATGATAATGATGATGATGATGATGATGATGATGATGGTGATGATGATGATGATGATGATGTTGATGATGGTGGTGATGATGATGGTGGTGGTGCTGATGGTGATGATGATGGTGATGATGGTGATGATGATGATGATGATGATGATGATGATGATGATGATGATGATGATGATGATGATGTTGGTGTTATGGTGGTGATTTAATGGTGTTGGTGTGTGGTGATAATGATATCATGATATGACGGAGTGGTGGTTATGATGATGATGTGATGGTGGTGGTATTGGTGTTGTTCTTAGTGGTGGTGATAATGGTGTTGGTGGTGATGATGATGGTGGTGGTTGTGGTGATGGTGGTGGTGTTTGTGTTTTTGATGATTGTGAAGGTGGTGGTAGTGGTGGTGGTGGTGGTAGTTATTTTAGTTGTGTCAGTGGTGATGATGATAAACAGCAATAAGTCAAGGAATGAACTCTTTCTCCTGGTGGATGCTCAGAAAAACTTCCTCCAACAGGGACAGTAGGAACATTCATGGAATCAATGATGATGATGATGATGATGATAATCATGGTAGAGATGATGATTATGGTGTTGATTATGGTGGGGGGTAAGAGGTGTGGCGGTTATTATGAGGAGTAGGATGAAGCGGATGATTAGAATAATGATGATTTTGTTGATGATGCTGAGGATGATGATGATGATGCTGATGATGATGATAATGATGATGATGATGATGCTGATGATGATGATGATGATGATGATGATGATGATGATGATGATAGTGATGATGATGAATGATGGTGATCATGATGATACTGCTGATGATAATGATGATGATGATGATGCTGATGATGATGATGATGATGATGATGATGATGATGATGATGATGATGATGATGATAGTGATGATGATGAATGATGGTGATCATGATGGTAATGCTGATGATGGTGGTGGTAATGAGGATACTGCTTCTGTGGATGGTGATCATGATGATGATAAGGAAGATGGTTCCCTTCTAAGGGAAATTGCTCATTTTTATCTCTCTGTGTATAGGTATAAACAGGCTGTCAAAGCCAAGAAGGCGAGGGCTACAAAAAGCAGCACTGCATTCGGTGCTAAGGGAAACAGAGAAGGACATTTCAAGAGTGTAAGGTTCTTACTTTATTTTTATGCCACCATGATCAAACCCTGACTGTAGAGTAAGAACCAGCACAAATTATGTTAGCAATCAAATAGCTCAAACATTTGCTCTCAAATTTGAGAGAACTATTTTACAGAATAGGCAAATTTAAGAAGAGAGGGTGTAGGAGAATAGAAATGCCCCATGCCACAGTTGGCCATGTACAGTGTGTATGTGTAAACGAGATTGCATATGAAGAAGCTTATTGTTATACATTGAATTAAATTGGGATTATTTTTCAGACTACCTATCCAGTCAATATTGATATTACATTGTTATTTACTTTCAAATCTGTTATCAAATAAAGGTTATTGTCCAAGGGATTAATTGTCTGGGTACTAGTTATCTGTGAAGATTATTGACCTCAGTAGTCACTGTTGTAGGGAAGTAATATATACATGTACATGTAGTTATAATGATTTCATCATACTATTGTTTTAACTTTGAGTAGAATTTTTGCTATATTTTTGCAAATGTGAGACTGAATGTTCTTACACTTTAGGACAAGAACGTGTACATGTCAGTGGTGGAGATGCTTCGTAAGAAGGAGCAGCTACCAATCGTCTGCTTCACCTTCTCCAAGAAGCGTTGCAACGATAACTCGTCTCAGCTGTCAAATCTTGACCTGACGACCAGCTCAGAGAAGAGTGAGATCACAGTGTTCATCAAGAAGTGTGTTGACAGGCTGAAGGGATCCGACAAGAAACTTCCGCAGGTAACGAACAGTTCCTTTCTCCTTCAGTTAAATACTTTATGATTCAGCAACTGCAAGAATTGAAAGAAGTTGCCAGTACGACTCTGGCTGACTTTTGAGAGAACTTGCCGTAGGATTAGATGTAAAGATATACATGTACTTGTCCACTATACTGATTGAAGTTCCGATTTATATGACTAGTGATATTGAAGGTGCTGAATATTTTGGCCTTCTGGGGAGTGTTTCACAAAGATTAAGACTGAATTTAAGTTGGACTTAACTATGGCTGGCTGTTCATGCCACTGTTTGCTCTCAACATTTACTGACATTGGCCTCTCAAGGGAATTACAAATCACGGTCACAAATCTACAGAAGTTACCTATTTTGATAGTTCATTATTAAACGAAAAAATATCATGTAAAGATCATAATTGAGATACCCATGGTGAGAGCAACTAGTGGCATGAATGGCCTGCCATAGTTAAGTTGATCTTAGTTTTTGTGAAACACCCCCTGGTCTGATGCATTTAAAGAGCTCTGCAAGCACGCCTCATGATAGGTCGTGCCAAACCTGAATTTTGGCTTGATTTCAATTTCATGATAATATTAATGAATGTCATCATGATTTGAAAGGCTCTTTGCAATAAATTTTGATCAGGTAATAAATTTAGAGGGAGGCATTGCAGAACATTACCTGCATCATATCTGCAAAATTGTGTCATTCATGTTTGATTTAAACATATATTACAGAAGTATTACTTACTGATTCTTTTCTCATCATGTTGATCAGGTGGTTCATTTAAGCGGGCTGTTGAAGCATGGCATTGGAGTACATCACAGTGGAATCCTACCTATACTCAAAGAGGTGGTTGAAATGCTCTTTCAAAGAGGACTTGTTAAGGTAGGAATTTTTTAATTGAAATTCATGTCTACATTATGATTATATATATCATTCCTCAAGCCCATGTCGAGTTGCTGTTAAATAAAAAAAAAATTGACTGCTGCTAATTCATTTTTTTAAACAAAGGATTTAAAAACTATGTGAGAGCTGGCAGTGGACAGGTAGCAACACTACAAATTAGCTTTTATGTATCATTATTTTTGTAACTCCTGTCAATTCTGTACATATGCATACATGCCAACATTTGAAAATCAGAAATCTGTACACTATGTGCGCGAAGCGCACATCACGGGCACAAAGCGCGAAGTCCTTTTAGCCGGGGCACAGGGCCTGCTTTAGGGCCCTGGAAGCTCTGGGTTTCCAGATGCTCTCTGGTGCAATCTGAGCCTATTTTAGGGACCATTTCCCCTAAAATTCAACCCAAGTTTATGGGTAATTTTTGTGTCATACCAAACAAAAAAGTGATTGAAGTGAATTCCACATTTTAATTTATCCTTGGCAGAGGCAGAGCAGATAATAGACATAGATTTAATTAGCCACTCATGCAGAGTGATGCATTTAAGTCTAGTTACCTTTTAAATAATTATACATGACATAGATCTATGCATAAAATGAGACTGGCAATAATGGTATTCAACTTTCCAGACAACAGTCAACAATCCAAAATTATTGTAACTCATTGAGCTACATGTAAATGAGGTTGTCAAAATCAATGTCAGCAGAACAAGACATCTGTTGAAAAAATATAATTATTTCTTCATGAAAGGAAGGAGCATTTGGCTATGGGCACCACATACTTTCAAGTTTCAAAACAATGAATTCAGTGCAGGTGTTAAACACCCCTGAAGCTTCTAAGTTTCTGCATGTTGTGAAACCCCATGATGCTTTTATTTTATGGGTATATTTAAAGTTAAATAATTATACAAATACTTGTATTATAATGTAGTTGATGGATAACCCATATAGAATGGTACCAATGAACTGTTTTGCGCATATCTTACCGGTTAACACTGTTCAGTGTTAGTTTCAAGGTACCCTGTAACAGTAATTAAGTCATTCTGATTATTTGGAGGTAGAAGCTCCAGCATGAAGGGCCAAGTATGTAGACTTCTTTGCAGCCTGCAAGACATCATCACTGTATGTTGTGGTATAGCATGTCAGGTTTCTGTTCTGCATACTTAGTTTGTGTGTGAGAAGGGAGCTCATAGTTCTGGTGCTCATATTACAACGATGTTTAGTCTTGATCTTATCTACCATCGAGAAGACCCTCTCTGCATCACTGTTGCTGTGAAATACCACCAAAACACACTTCATCACTTGGGAGAGCAGGGAATACTTTCTCTGGTATCTTGACAGTTCCATCATCTGCCCAATTACATGCCACTTCTGGTCAATTCTTGTCACATCTTTGGTGCGGTCATCTATTGTTTCATCTATTTGATACAGATTGAACTCGTCCTGAAGTTGATCCATCTTGTCATCTGGTATTAAGCTGAATCTGGAGGTAAAATATTCCACTGTAGTGAACTTGGCTGTGCTTCTTTGAGAAATGTCAAGCACCTCTGCATTCACAAGGAGCTCCTCATTGAAAGGATAGTTGTGAATCATGTAGCTTGCTGCAGCAATGTAGAAATTCTTCAAACCTTGGAAAAATGTCTTCAAATCCAAGGAGGCCTCATTCTCTTTCAAGAACTGTCTGCATTCAAACCCTATTTGAACCTCATCATTGCTCTTGTGGTGTGCTTCATTGGCTAGATCTATCTGGGTGATGTTTTTTGCTTGGCGAATTACATTAGGTTTCACAAATCTGGACAGAAGTCTAGACAGTTGACTTACAAGAATTCCATGCATGTGATGAATTAGTGGTTCGTCTCTCTGGAATAGCTGGGGATAGAGGAATAGGAAGACACATGTAGAGCTATTGATCATAGAGCCAAATAAACATTTGTATTACGCAATCAGATATATTGATATTTTAATGACATCAGTGACTCCACATAGGCAATTACAACTGAATACATTCTTGACAATAATCAAATTCCATGTTAAATTTTTATAGTACATTCATATTTCTGTAACAGGGATTCCAAATCAATGATTGATTACAACTGAAAACATTCCTATCAATAATCAAATTTGAAGTATTAAATTCTAATCATTAATCATATTCATGTTTTAATGACATCAGTGATTCTGAATCAACAATTACAACTGAAAACATTATAGTCACTAATCACATTAAATGCAAACAAATAATACTCTGCAGAAGAAATTGAAAATGAATTAATTAACCAAAAACATGAATGTACAAATATTTTCATTTAACCCTTACTGTACTGGGCTATTTTGAGCACCCACTGACTGGGGGGGGGGGGGGGCCTGGGAGGCCCCCCCCCCCCTATGATCTCGGCCGTCGATTGTCCGATGAAGACGAAAATTTGCATGTTTGTAGATATTTACGTAAGGAACAAGATGGAATAATTAGTTTTTTCTGAATATGCAAATTTTTGTCGTTAGCCTAATTAATTATGCAAAATGCGCTAATTTTATGCATTTTACCGAAAACGTGTCAAACTCCACTTTTTAAATGTTGAAACTCATTATTCATATGAAACTTCTTTTCTAACACAAAAAAGTTGTTTTAATGTAATTAATAATGATAATTTATGCAAATTTTGATGCGATTTTCATTTTTTTTTTTTTTTTTTTATGACATGCGCATACTAATTGTTATGTAACGCCTTACAAGTGTATCTGATTTCGACGAAAATGGTATCAAAATGTGCGTAAGACTTGAGGGAAAAAAGTCATGAAACGACAATTCAAAATTCCAAGCGGTTGCGGCGCAATCTCCGAAAATGTCGAGGGGGGGCCTCCCAGGCCCCCCCCCCCCCCCCCAGTACAGTAAGGGTTAAAACAGAATAATAATCATACAAATATTACTCATCAAATTGAACTCCACATTCTTACTGCAATCAAATCCTTCAGCTTTCCCCAAAAGTTGTAAATATCTACAGAATTGAAATGGAAATGAAATAAATGTTAGTACTGAACACATAACACAATAAAATCAAGGGTACATGCATCTTTGTAACACAAATAATGAAACTACTTTCAAGTAGAATAACACAACAATAAAATCAAGGGTACATGCATCTTTGTAACACAAATAATGAAACTACTTTCAAGTAGAATAACACAACAATAAAATCAAGGGTACATGCATCTTTGTAACACAAATGATGAAACTACTTTCAAGTAGAATAACACAACAATAAAATCAAGGGTACATGCATCTTTGTAACACAAATAATGAAACTACTTTCAAGTAGAAAGATGTAAGATTAAATCAATGCATGGAACCAAATGTTTTAGTTTAAACCATGTAACATTTTAATTTAAATAAAAAATACAGTGTATTACCCACCTCATTGGTTTCTTCAAAGATGGGCGAACATGCTTTCAGGAATAGAGCTTCCAGCTTACAATTGGGGTCAATCAACTGCTCATACACAAGAGTAGGTTTGTTTTTCTTCAGAGGCTCCTTGGCTTTCTTACTCGAGCTTTATGAAGCACTCGACTGTCCCTTGTTAGCTTTGATTTTACCTCCATGTAGCTTTGGGGTTTGTGAGTGTTTTTTACTTAATTCTTGCTGACTGAAGAAATATTTGCTAAGATCACATTGTCTGTGAGCTGCACTAGATGTAGTATTAGTCTGTCCAGAGTTGCTACCTTGGTGAACATTTTTGCTGCTTGCACTTGGCGTGGAAGTCTGTGTAGCTTCACCCTTTGTAGAGCTTGCAGGCTTGATTTGTGCTATTCTGCCACTTGTAGATGAGGTAGTGGTAGTCTTAGTCTGTGTACATGGAGTTCCACCCTTTCTAGAGCTTGCGGGCTTGATCTATGCTGTTTTGCTTGAAGAGCTACTCGTGGTGGGCATCTCTGAAGTGGTATTGCCCTTCACCTTGGTATCATCACAAGTTCTCAGCTTCTTTGGATTTCTGGTAGAAGCTGAAGGTGATAATTCCCTTTTCTTGCCGACTTTGGCTACTTTTGTTGTACCTGTACTTGCTTGAGCTTTGAAGAACTCCGTCAAGGGCTGCCAATTCTCAAGAAGCCTTTGAAGAGCTGTTCCAAGAGAGAGCCACCTGGGGAGAAAAAAAGGAAAAACAGTATCAAAATACACCATCATAATTATCTTTAAAAAATAAACATCAAGAAAGAAATACCATGCATGAATTTATATAGCTGTTTTCTTGTGAATTTTGTGAAAATGTCATCACTAGAGTGTCCTCTAACCCAATACATACTGAATTTTGTTTTCTAGCTTCTTACATGCTATTGCTATTTATTTGTTTGTACATGCATGAACATTATCTTTTTAATCTGCACAATAAGAAAAAGTGAAATTTGTTTTCCCCATTCTGCTGATTAATGTGCCTCACCATCCTAGCACTGGGAAGAAAAAAAAGACACTCTAAGTTCCATTTTTCATTTCTAATATTAACATCTCACTATCAGCTAAGTGAGTTAAAACTAATTCAGTGCCATAAATGTCTCTCAAAAAGCCCTCAATGCAATTTTGAAAGTCAGAAGTGTAAAATTTTTCATTCAATTGCAAATCTAGATTTAATTGATTCTTTAGACTTTACTTACCGTGTCGGTACATGCTTTAGAATTTTCCTGATTTCAATGCCATGCTGTGCTTGAAGCTTTATGATTTCCTGGTGCCATAGGCTGCTCTTGTCCATGTAGTACCAGATGTCAATGAGAAGATCATCAAACTGAAACTGAAGACTCTTTCCACCTTTCTTTGCAGACAAATGCATGAGGTGACAAGAACAACCAGAAATGTACACATTGGGATTTTCCTTGTTAATGTATGCTGCCACTCCTTTGTGTTTTCCGAGCATTACCGATGCATTGTCAGTTCCGAAACTTACACAATCTTTCCACGAAATGCCCCAGTTTTTCAGTTCACTGTCCATTATTTTGAAAATATTCTCACCGGTGGACCTTTCAGAACATTCTCTGAGTGACAGAAGTTCACACACTACCTTGCCAACATTCTCATCAAAGGTTCTTAGTAGAACAGGGTAGAGTTTGACTGCGCCTTGGTCCGTGCTACCATCGGTAGCGATGCTGTACGGATGATTTTTCACATTAGCTGCCAGTCTTTTAGCATCATTGTCTGCTAGAGAATGCATCACATTTGTTGTTTTTGTATGAGCAGCAGCATATTCCTTTGCAATTTTAGAGTCTGGAAACATTTTGCGAAACAATTGTCCAGCATGATCAGAAGCATTTAAGGCAATATTATGCTCTACTAAAAAATCGGTAAAACAAACCTCTGCATTGATAACGGAAGTGTCTTCCTTCTTGCCGAAGAATGATGTCAATTGCTTTGATGTCTTGGACGCATTCACTTCGGCTTGCTCATTGTCTTTATGCTTTTTATTGGATAGGTGCCTCGTAATGTCGTTGGCTCCTCCACCACTGATCTTTAGATCATGCCGACAATAAATGCAGTATGCATATTCCTCCCCTTTTGTGCTTGCTCTAATAAAGGGAAATCGTTCCTTGTATTCCTGTTTGTACTTCTGAATTTGTCTTGCTGCTGTTCCGCTCATTTTGACAGATTTTCTTCCGAGACAAATCACAAAGTATACGGTACCTCGAAACACGTACTTTGCATGGGGACCCTATGCATATACGATGCGCTAGCCGCGATAGCGAATGCGTGCATGCTGATATGCGCATGCAAACGTATAGAAATTATACTTACGAGATTTGCCAGCGCAAGTATTTACGTACGGAAATGTTACGTACGGAAACACATATCAGAGTGCACGTGGCGCGCAGCAACACGCTGCCACTGTACGTACATATCAGTGCACGCTGCACGCACCTTGCGCAATGCAATCCGTTCAGCACTCGATCGGATCAATGCTATGTATGGAAAGCCAAATTCCCCAAAATCGGAACGTTCCGTTTTTTAGGGCTATAAAAACTTCAAAAACGGAACAGTTCCGTTAAAATCGGAACGGTTGGCAAGTCTGCATATGAGGTCTTTCAGGCAAACTGTGTAACTCATCTCCTTATGGGGGTGCCTGCAAACAATTACCCAGTGCACTACTGACTGTTACCTCATTCTCATTCCTATGTAGAGGTGTCGTGGTCGAGAGGACATGTCACCGGACTGCCGATCACAAGGTCCGCGGTTCGAGTCCCGCCACGGCACTAATGTCCTTTGGCAAGACATTAATCTACATTTGCCACACTCAACCCAGGTGATGTAAATGGGTACCTGGCAGGAATTAATTCCTTGAAATGCTAGAGTGCCTTAATATCAGCCGTGCTAAAGCCAGGGTAATAATCTTGAGCGCCAGGGTTGTCAAGTCTGACAGACATGAGCGCTATACAAGATCCCACTATTATTATTGTTATTATGTTGGCCTCTCCCTCTGCATGCCTCACGAACAATCCATGTTCATGAAAAATATACCACTTACCTCATCTTTTCTCCCCCCCCCCCCTAGTTGCTCTTTGCCACTGAGACCTTTGCAATGGGGGTCAACATGCCAGCCAGGACTGTCCTCTTTGATTCTATCAAGAAGTTTGACGGCACCAACAAGCGTCACCTTCACCCAGGGGAATACATCCAGATGGCGGGCAGGGCGGGGCGTCGTGGGCTGGATACGACTGGCATGGTCATCATCCTGTGCAAGGGGGATGTTCCTGAGACGTCTGATCTGCATTACATGATGAAGGTGAGCACTAACATTCAGTCTAGAAGGAGGCGCTATAGCTCAGTTGGTAGAGCAGTTGTAAGGCATTAATCCTCATTACCAAGTCCATCCGAGAGGACCTAAAGCCATCGGCTGTCCGGTTGCTTACTTACAAGCATTTATGCTTTCTTAGCAGTCAGGTAAAATAAGATTTAAGTGCAACTTTGCCAGTTAATTTTAGATAGACTTTTAATTGAATCAAGGCAATCCATCTTGATTTGAATATCTATTATTTATCAGGCAAATTCATTTTTACGATATTCTTTTAAAAAGGTTGTTCTACCAACCTTGAATCCCAGTTGTCTCCATCCTACTCGATGGTCTTCAAAGAGCTGTCATCTAAGTATCAGACATGGGTATAATAGAATCAGACATGTAATTAATTTCACTGTCTTCTCTCTTATAGGGTCGTCCCACGAAGCTTGAATCTCAGTTCCGTCTGACGTACTCCATGATCCTCAACCTGCTTAGGGTGGAGGAGCTGAGAGTGGAGGACATGATGAAGAGAAGCTTCTCCGAGTTCACTACCAGGAAAGATGCAGATAAACACAGGCAACTCATCAAGGACCTCCAACAGCAAGTCAAACAGGTATCCAATGCTCAAATTGTTTACATTAGGCCTAAATAAAAAAAGATGTTGTATTGCCCTTTAGGTGCCAAAACACGGGTCGGTCGGTCAGAAATCTATTTGTATGCCTCCGTTACGAAGTAGCCGGAGGCATTATGTTTTCGGGTTGTCCGTCCGTCCGTCTGTACGTACGTCCCGTTCTCGTGATCGCGTTATCTCAAGAACCGACTGATGGATTCCTACTAAACTTTGGTCAATAAAGGGCAATACAACACTTTTTTTGTTTAGTAGATGTGAATCACAGTTTAGAGGGTATTGGTCATATTTGTAGCTTACAATGCATAGAAAAAAAATCAAGATTCCCAGAGTCCCAGCAATAACACTAAAGGTAACTGGGCATTGTGGCGTGCGCCTGTAAATCCAGCTTACTATGGAAGTCACAAACTGATTCATTGTTGGTCAAACAGTTTTTGAGCATCAAGTAACGCCTGGCTGGAATGCTCCCCAGGGAGTGGAGATTGTGCACACAGTGTGTGCGGGCAAGCACTGGATCCAATGACATGGGTAATAGTATATTTGTAAAGTGCTTAGAGACACACATGACTTGTATTAGGCGTTATATAAAAGCTAAATATTATTATTTTTATTCAGCCGAGGACGCGGGTTCGAAACTGAGTCACGTCTTTTGGATGGTGACGTTAAAAGTCGGTCCCCAAACGTAAATAATCATATCTGATTGATACACATCTGTAAAAACCCAATTACACACACACATACAGACATTGTTGCTTGAGAGGTAGTTTCCAACTTTAGACCAGTTTAATGACGTGTGCTGAAGGAAGATAAAGGGTTGTACGTTTTGTAGGTATTTGATCTAAAAATTCTGCATGTAAAAAGATGCGAACAGACACCAGCAGATCTTGTTAGAGATCTCCCACGACAAGCCAAACATGAATTAGGATTGACATATACTCTGTAGGATACCAATAAAGGGCTTCTCTTAGAGTACCTGTTGTTAATAATAATAATAGGCATCTATGTAGCGTTGTCTATCTAGACAGTTCTATTCCAAGGCGTACAAATTAATTATTATCCCGGCTTTAGCCTAGCTGCCATTTCAAGGAATTAATTCCTGCCAGGTACCCATTTACCTCACCTGGGTCGAGTATGTAGATTAATGCCTTGCCAAAGGACATTAGTGCCGTGCCTTCTATCGAGTTTGTATAATGCATAATCCAAATAAGATTTAGCTTCTTTTTGTCTTGTCTGAAATGTCTTTTGCCTGCTGAATATAAATATATTTTTTTCTCTCTCATTTATTTGGTTCTGATATAGATTCGTGATATTGATTGTTACATGTGCTCTGATCTGGAACCATACTACAGCACATGTAAGACGCTGAATGAACTCAGACGAGAAACTCAGGTTCGTAAAAGCTACTTGATGCTCTCCACCTTCAACAGTATTTGTTTATTTTCACATCATTTCTTCTCTCTAACACACAAAATACCTTGATGCTATTATTGGAACGAAAACAAGAAGTCACATCTTCCTGTCCAAGTTGTCAAGGTTGCTAGTTCCAACAAATGTTGAGCTAAACAATGGTGTGGTGATCACACCAGCCCCAAACACTGAATTTGCCCTGTTACAGCCAGTTTCTTGAATGGTTTCGTGTTGTATCTCATGCTCAGGCTATGTTGTTTGGAACCAGTAAACTGGAAGACGAGCAAATATGACGTTAGCATTTTGGTATTATTTAGGGAGGAACTGTAAAAGGAAAATATTTAAGTATGCAATAGGTTATCTGTGTGTTTCTATTGGGGAGTAGTATAATCATTTTTTTCTGCCCAGGGTAGCCTCTTCAGCAAAAATGCTGTTCTTCCTGAGGGCCCTGCAATTAATACCCCAGCAATTGCTAGGTTCCCATTTACAGCTGGGTGGAGAGTGGTAAATGTGGATTAATGTCTTGTCAGAAGACGTCAGTGCCGGGCTAGGATTTGAACCCTTAACCTTTAATTAAGAGTCAAGTGAATGAACCACTATACCAAGACACCTGTATGTTACTGAATGAAAGAACACACTTTCTGTCTCTCACCCTTTCATGTAGAAAATAGTCTTGTCCCATCCTGCTGGTGTGAAATCACTGATACCGGGCCGGGTCATCATCATCAGGAACAAGCGTTACCGGAAGAACACCCTTGGAGCCGTCCTGAGCACCTCGGGCGCCTCCAAGGACAGGAAAGTAAAGACACTCATTCTGTGCAACCCCCAGAGCAATAAGGACTCAAGTAGCAATAGCGGTGAAACGGGAGATGAGGCGGATCTTCATGTGCCTCCCATCATTAAGGAATCCTTTTGGAGACCAGAAGGGGAACCGAGCCACATCGTGGAGGACTTCATAGCAGATGATGTTGTGGGAATCACCATTGTTACCATGAAGCTAGATGCCAACAAGATTGTGGAGAATTTTAACAAGAGGCAGATCCCTAGATTCAGGTAGAGATATAGGAATTTTAAACCTATCCATACTCCTCGCTCTCCACTAATCTGTGGAACACAAGTATATATTTCAGTTTTTATCTCTTTTTAATACCCGTTGGTATTTCGAAGATCTTTGATTTAATCTACTGTTCAAGCCTTATATCTATACAATCATCTATCTCATAATAATGATGATAATTAGATCAATTTATATAGTGCTCTACTATATAGATATAGTCTACTTCACTATGATGACAACAAAACAGTGCTACTTTACAGACACACAGTGAAAGAGCTCATCATGTTTCATATCTCATTACTCATTTGAAGCAGGAACTTCAAACTTTTTACCAGTATTCTTCTTCTCAGAAAGATGTACTGAATTGCTTAGAATGTATTTAGCTTAAAGTTTAGAGCAGAAATGGGCATAGGAAGATGAGCTGATCACACTGGTCATGCTTAGCAATCTAGTTCATGGTCCCAAATGTCTATGTTGGAGCTTTTAAGGGTACTTGATTAGAAGCAAATTGTCAATTTATTTTACATTTTACTAGTTGAACAACCATTATACTACAGGTGTTAAATAAGTCATTGTTGGTCAAACAGTTTTTGAGTGTCAAGTAACGCCTGGCTGGAATGCATCCCAGAGAGTGGAGATTGTGCACACAGTGTATGCGGGCAAGCACTGAATCCAATGACCAGGGTAATAGCTAGTATATCTGTAAAGCGCTTAGAGACATTTGTATTAAGGGCGATATAAAAGCAGAATATTATTATTATTATGATCAAAAATGCAGACTCACTCTTGTGTAGCTTCTATCAAATTAGTTCAATTTACCTGAAAATCAAAACTCAAAATCAGCTTTAAATTCTTGATTTAGGAATGATCCCCCTGGTCAGTCAGCTGTGTCGGCCACCCAAGAACTCCTAAGACTGACCGAGGCCAATCCCGATAGCCTTGATACTCTTGACCCGGTCAAGGATCTCAGTATCCGGGAGATGGACCTCGTTGAAAAGTTCATCAATAGGGCGTATGTGGAGAAAACCGTTGACCAGTTCAACTGCATCCTGTGCTTCAACTTCCAACAGCACGTGAGTCCATGGAGTCAGTAGATTATCTGGAGATTAATTATCTTATCCAATCCAATCTAATCCAGGGATTTGTATTAAAAACACCATTATTTCTTCCTTATTTCTGAAATGTTATTTTTGTAACCTTTCCGGGGCATCCCATTCACTCGAACATTTGAAATAATTCACTTATTTTGTTTTATAACGACGTAGAAAAACTTTCTGTAAAGCAATATTCTGAAGAATTTCTATGTCAAAGTATATGATGTATTATGTATGTAAACTTATTTTGATTCTTTGTATGTTTGTAAAATTTGAGCAAAACAAATTTCCAATATTGGACAATAAATTGAAATTGAAATTGAAACTTAATTGAAATTACTAGTTGCCTAGTCGAAAGCGTTGATGAGACTGAAAAATGACTGAATATACCATTCATGATTCAACTGGTAAATACTAGGGTAGTGGCTAGTTGTATAAGCATAGACTATTTTCTTTATCTTGGATTATTTTACCTGACATTGATGCCTTGAATGCTCTATATGAATAGAGGGTACATCTTATCTTCTCATACATGATACACATTGGTTATCATTTTGTTAGTTGTGATAATAAATTGGATACACATGTGATCACCAAAATAGGGTGCACACTCGAAACTTTCGGGCAATTTCAGGCATGTCTCATTCTCATTGTATAATCTTTCTGATCATATTGTGCGTGACATTTGCTTCTGGGTTTATTTTACGGTCAAAGATATAGGATGAATTGGGCTTTGGTTTTTATGCTAGGTTTAGGATTAGGGTTAGGTACTTTGATGGATTGTAGTTACAAATTGGACAAGTGTTAGAAAGTAGGAATCATGGAGCAGAGCTCGCATGCCTCTGGGCAACAGTGAAGCATTTCACTTTTTTTTGCGAACCCTGGCCCATAGGTAACCATTTCTTTCCTCTTCTCCTTGCTTCTCATTTCCTTCTCTTTCTCCATATTTCTAAGATAATTGTATTCATTATGTTGACTTTGTATATACTGTGAATTTCTGATTTTTATGGCCAAATAAATAAAAAATAATAATAAATAATAATAATAGTGGTAGCTGCATCAAATGTCATACAATGGAAGCTGAATGATGACCTTAAGCACTACCAATAGGCCTATTTTGTGTTGGACACGAATGGGCATGCCGGTACATGTTATCCTAACATGCTATTTAATTTATTGATTTGGGATATTCTCCATTTCCAGTATGCTAACATGTGCCATAAGATGAAACTGTTGGAGGACATGAGGCACTACCGGTATCTCCTGTCTGATAGAAGTCTCCTACTCCTTCCTGAATACCATCAGAGAATACAGGTGAGTGCATGAAGAGCATCTTTGTTCCTTGCTTTGAGTGACACACGATTAGCCTCTGAAGGTATCATAGAGGCGTGACTCGCTTTCAAGACCATTCTGATGGGGAACGTAAAATAATGTAGAACATATTGAGGGTTCAGTGAAACAAAGACGTAACTCCATATTTTGCCAAAATGAGTATTTGATATCAAAATGTTCAGAAAAATGTGGGCTTTCCAGAAAACACAAAGACTTAACTCCACTGAATACCCCATTGAAGTCAATGGCTAGTCACTAGTGAAACATAGACTTACAGTAACTCCTTATTAAACGCCCAAGTGCTCAGTCACACATAAACCACTTTTTCTAAAAATGGCCAAAGTGTCACTGACCCCTCGATATTTGGGGTGGGAATGCCTTTTCTGAACTCCTGGCTTTCTACTCTGGTGCACTTTAAACCTGTCTGTCTCTTGGCTGCTGGTATGCTGTATTAGCGATGGCCATGTTCTGACACCTTCAGACTAATGCATAAAACATATGCATAGCATGGTTTATATGTATAACATCAACATAGAGATATCAGTCCCATCAGCTTGCCCCTGTTCACTTCGTATCTGATTGTGTTTAATGCTGGGAAGAATAAGAAATGCATTTAAAGCCCCACTGCACTATTTATAGCTACTCGGCCCTCCATATAGAAAACAATGCCTAGTAGGTGCCTGTTGTTCCCCCATGATCGCCTTTTTTCTTATTCTTATTGAAAGCTGATTTGATGAGATAAACACCTGTCACTGACCTTGCAGGGAAGTCTAATCCCCTCTGGCCAAACTAATACAGACAGGCTTTAAATGACAATGATTGATATTTGTCAGTGCTTGTACTTTTCCATCCCATGCCTGATAGGTCCTGAAAGAACTGAACCACATTGACAAGACCAACACCATCCAGCTAAAAGGCAGGGTAGCCTGTGAGATCAGCAACCATGAACTTCTTATCACAGAACTTGTCTTCCAGAACATCCTTTCGCTGTACCCGCCCAATGAGATCGCTGCCCTGCTCTCCTGTATGGTCTTTCAGGAGAGAAGGTGCAGCGAACCAGAGCTTACAAAGGAACTGAATTATGTAAGTATTGTGGTATATTCCAATACAAAATATGTGCCCTCAAATATGTGTTCTTTTGCTGCCCTCCCCTCTCTCCCCATCACCCTGGCGCAGTTTATACCCAACAGGCAGTGACCTGACATTTGAACGTTGAATGGCTGCATGATCGAGCAGCGAATTTTTATTCGCTTTTTGGTACATATTCACTGCTTATTGCTAGTTACACTGCTGCTGCAAGAGCGATTTCTTATTTTCGAAGGCATACCGTGCTAAAAATTCCTAATTCTTATTTTCAAATGTTGGCAGGTATGGTCTATACATCTATGTAATTCATTTTCTCTGTATATCCAGGGTGTGAAGAGGATCCAGGAGGAGGCTCTGAGGATAGGGACGCTACAGCATAGATGTGGGGTTCAGATGCCTGCTGAGGACTACGTGGAACAGTACCGCTTTGGACTCACGCAAGTCGTCTATGAATGGGCTAATGGCATGGTGAGTGGTATGCCTGCCTGTAGTGAATCCCTCATGTCAGAGTCATGTGATGGAGTTGCCAATTTGTCTGAGAATTTGGTCTTCATTTTTTGTTGTTGAGATAAATCTTTATTCAGATAAAATCATGGATAACATCGTACATAAATATTCAAAACACTTAATCACATGTTTAAATGAGATCAAATCAAATTATATATATCTCTATTTACTTGATAGCAGATTGTAAATCAGCAATTATCTTCCTCCACTTAGTAATATTCAAATCTGTTGTCTTAGTTTTATTTTCCTCTACTTCTAGTTTGTATTTCAACATAAACAAAAAATATATGCTTATTATTCTCGTTACTACATTTTTATTAAATAGATTTCCAACACTCGCTTTATAGATTGCAAATAAAGCAGAATTTGGTCTTCATGACTTTACACAAACTTCATAAACTTCTGGTTATTTTTCTGATTTTCTTCAAACATTTTTAAAATGTTTTTCCGATCATTCTGTTTTTAATCTCAGCAACAAGTCATTTGAAATTGTGTACATGCGGTGTCAAAAGATGCTTATAGACTTTGAGACAATGATATCGCCAAAGATCAGGATGGAACAGTATTTGCCTCTAGCATATCATGGCAAATATACAGGGTCCAGATAGTTGTACGACTCCTGTGACAATTGTTCCGTCGTAATTTTCTACAATAACCAAATTCCCAACTTCAGCCCTGGACCCAACAAGGTACCTGACCCCAAGCCTAACATGAAACCCAATTGCTACCCTTACCCTAGACCCAACCCTATACATGTACTTTTGATGAAATAAAGCTGATGAAATAAAGTACGGAGCAATTGTGGCCAGAGCAAATTTTGGATCACCATCTAGATTCCCCCTCACATGGTTCATCAAGGATAATCTTCCTTACCGGTAATTAAATATATAAAAGAGGAGATGAAACATTCACTGAAAAGCAACCTCTTATAACTTTATCATTATATTTTTCTCATGATATACTGTAAGTGAAATTGAGCTCTGCCTTCTTTCTTTTGCAGGAGTTTTCAGAGATCATTGGCCTGACGGATGTCACCGAGGGGATCATTGTCAGGACGATCCAGAGATTGGATGAAGTCTGTCGCGATGTCAGGAATGCAGCACGCATAGTAGGTGATCCCATCCTCTTTAGTAAAATGGAGGAAGCATCACAACTCATCAAGAGAGACATTGTGTTTACTGCAAGTTTATACACACAGTGAGCTTGTGTAGGGTACAACAGTTGATGACAGAGCTGATGGCAGAATTTATGACAAACTTAATGGCAGATCTGATAGTTGAGTTATCTATAAAGACTGATAGCAACATTAATGGCAGAGTTTATTGCGCTTTTGATGGCAAACTTAATGGCAGATCTGATAGCTGATTTGTCTAAGACTGATAGCAAAGTTGATGACAGAGTTGATGGTTAAATTGATTGCAGAATTGATGGCAAAACCGATGGCAGAGTTTATGACATAGTTGATGGCAGTGTTGGTGGCAGAGATAATGGCAAAGGTGATGGAAGAGTTAATGGCATAGTTAATTGCTGACTTGATGGTAGAGTTCATTGCAGATTTGATGGCAAACTTAATGACATATTTGATAACATATGTAATGGCTGATTTGATGGCAGATTTGATAGCAGGGGATAGCAGATCTCGTCTGGTTAAAGCAGTGGTCCCATCAGTGTATGTCAGTGAACATTACACACTCTTTTGAAAATCAGGAATTAATGCTATGGAAACAGTATATTGATATTCACCAGATCTCCAGAATTCTTCATAAGTGAATACATAACTCCGTATGAAAACTAGATCCATGTGTACATCTTATCAAATAGTTTATATGGGTGATTACCAATAAGTTAACAATATTTGATAAATGCTGCAATCTTTAAGTATACCTTGTGGCAATATCTCCTAGGATCATAGATTGTTTGATATATTGTATGATGTAATTTGCAAGAAAGTGCCATATATTTATACGAGGTACTGGTTTCAAAATTAATTTTTCTACAGCTATTGGTGCAATCGACTTACTTATGTTTAAACAAAAATCATCATCTTAGAGTTGAGGGATAAATGCGCTCATTTCAACATTCATGTACCCTAAGCTGGCAAATAGTATATTCGGTGTGTTATGATGAAAATCAAAGAAGAAAATACTGAAGTTTCATACGTACACATGTAAGACAGTAAGAGCGACTTTGGGAAATTCAATATCTGTATTTTTGTTTATTGTAGTTATTTTATGAATATTGGTTCCCTCACAAAAATAGTGATTTTCAGTCCTTAAAGTGACTTGGTAACATTGTCTCAGATTCTGAAACAAAATCCTGGATTTAGGTCATGCTGCAATGATAATTAGAAACCTTTACGTCGGTCAGGAACCCCATAACTTTTACAAGCCGATCGCCTGTCTGATTATCAAAAATATTTATGATTGGAAATCAAATTTTTTTGTTTTCCTAATGGTTTTTATAACACTACAGTCTACTGGAGAAAATGAGTATGGTAAAACTGGTCACTCAAAGATTTTTACTTTTTTGAGGCACTTCATGATCATTTTGAAGCGCAATTTTTGTGGGGCTTCAATATTCCACCATATCACAGATGCAGATAACACATAGGGCCATGCATCTCAGAATTAACATTGTTAAAAGATGCCTTTAATAGAATAATGAAATGGTTCGTTTAGAGATGGCAACTTACACCTAGATGTGCAGTACCAGTATATAAAATGATTTTAGTGACCATGTTGATAATATGGTGTGATTATATTGCTTGAAGCATGTATTCTTGGAAAATTGGGATTGGTAAAAAATAAAAATTTGCGATTGGATGATTCATTTTGATCGTTTGTTTTGATATGATTTCAATGCAATAAAGTTTGCCATCAAAATGCAATTCCGAACATAAGAAATTGTCTACTTGGAGCAAAAAGTACATGAAGTCATATGATTTTATTCAATATATTTTAAGCTTACCTAGTTCTTAAAGGAGCTAGCAGCTATTTGTAACTTTGCAGTTAATGAGAGGAGTTGCAACTGATATAATGAAATATTTGCTACTCTGTAAAAGACAGGGCTATAGGCTTATATTCATAACCATGCAGTGCCTCATCATCACCTGACTACATACCATTGTATAGTTGTCCGAGTGATATTTTATGGATATGGGCCTCGTTCCAAACTTTCCACACAGAAAAAGATGTACAGCAATGAGACATGTGCTTATTCCTTGATTCTCAAAGAGTTTTATCCACAACATTGGATTTTTATTGCATAGCTATATAAAAATCTTCTTGTATTGTATACACATAAACCTTTAAGTGCTGTATTTGTCTTTTTTAAGTAGGTTTTTTTTGCTAAGCAAATAAATATTTCAGTGTGACTCTGCCAATCTTAATCTGTCAACAGTTTTCCTGAGTTTCATCCAAGATGATCTATCCTTTTTGTAACATGCTGTTTTTTGTTGTCCTTTTAAGAAGTAAAGAAGATATGAAATATTTTTGGTTAAAATAAAAGTCTTATAAATTAGCAATTGGTGTGCTGTCATTGTTATTCTTACATGGATCCATTGCAGTGAAAAGTGAAACCGGGAGGACATTGGGCAAGAGAGAGAGAGGGGGAGAGAGAGACAGAGAGAGGGAGAGACACAGAGAGACTGAGAGAGAGACAGACGGAGAGACAGGCAAAGAGAGAGAGAGAGAGAGAGAGAGGGAGATCACAATGAGAAATGTTAGGATGGAGAAAGGGAGAGAGATCGAAAAGGATTTTAACATGAAGATTGGGAAAGGGTAGAAAAGAAATGAGAGGAAAGAATGAGAGAGACACAGAGGAGAGATGAAAAGGCAACTGAAAATTGAGATAGAGTTGAGATGAAATTAATCATTGAGAGGGACATGAGATGAAATCCATTAAAATAATAAGAGAGAGAGAGAGGGTAGGGGAATGATTTTTAAAGGTAGAGACAGAGAGATACAGAAGGAGAGAGAGAAAGAGAGAAACGTATTTAAAGCATCTATCAGGGATTTGCAAGCCTCAAAAACTCATCTCAAAATATATCTGTAGCAGCAAATTTTCAGATCAAAAGACTAGTGTTCTCTCTATGAGTGAAAATTGAAGCCCTCATTTTGTACTAAAAAAATTGGGTGAATAAAACACTGCCAGTTGTAAAGTTCAAATTTGAAATGAAAAATGACTGTAATTTTGCTAATGATGAGTATTTTTTACCACCATACTTGTAGGAACGTTTTTAATTATGATTTTGGCCCTTTTACAAGTTTTTGAGATTTTCACCATTCAACACCCTTTAAATGAAAGAATTATATATGTTTACAAGAATAATAAAAGAAAAGGATAGAGGTTTAATCAAAACATGCAGAGGATTTGTTAACCCAAAGTCTAAGTGACTTGACACTTTTAACCAACACTGAGTCATATCACGTCATATAACATATGCATTTAACCTGCACTTGTTATGCAATCAATGTTATTAACTTTGATTCATAGCACAGTATTGTTCCCTTGTCATGATAGACCTTATCCCGGATACAGTAAATGTATGACGAAAATACTGGCTCAAGTAGAAACAGTTCTGCATGGTGAAACGTCATAGGGGTGTAAGGATGTCAAGCATGAGATATCGGCATTGTCCTAGCTCGCATCTATAGAAAGCTACAGAGGCGAGTATATCCCACCCTAAACATGCAACATAATATGCCTACTACTTCTAATCCCCTTTATCACCTAATATCATACAATTAACAAAAGATATTATAAACTGTAACAAACTGCAAGCGAACATATCAACACTGCAATGGAATGCACGAAAACAGACATACTACACCGCACAGACAGCGCAAATAAAACTCATATCGCAATATCTGCAATACAGCTGGTACGAGTTGTCATGGACGCGGTGTCCATTCAACCAATCAGAGCCCAGTAAATTATGGCTTCCAGCTATCCTGGTCTTCGCTTTTTACCGCTCCGATGCCCGTGCTTACGAACTACGTCGAGTGTATAATGCATACCGATATATTCCTATTTACATGGTGTAATGTGAAACCGTATCAGGATTGCTGTAGCATCGTGATTATATACTGTTCTGTTGAAGTCTTTTTTTAGGTCAAAATCGTGTCTACTTCTTGTTGAAATCATGGATTATCATTGGAATATACCAACGCTCAATAACCGTGAGTTATAGTAGGATTGTTTTGTTAAGAGAAAGTGGGAAACCGCAACAAACTTCCCCACTTGTCGGGTAACTGTATGTGAAACTGAAAAGCAGCTGAATTGAAAGCGAAAATATGTCACTTCATCACCCAGTTGCGCCCCCGCGTTCCCGGTCTCGGGTTTCCAGCGGCCATGGCTCGGCGTCGCGAACGATGTCGGCAAATGTTCTACGCCTACACGAATCTTTGACGAATCTCCTGAACGGCCAGGACAAGGCCCATTTCGTTCACGCACTTAACGATTACAACTCCAAACGAAATGTGTACACCCTCGTGCACAACCTGATGGGTATTTTGAACACCCCCGAGAAGAAACAACTCTATGTTTTGCTTGGAAAAGTAATTCCGTCTTCAGATCAGACACTCTTTTGGCAACATGTTGATGCCTTGTGCATGGGGGCTAGTGTCGAAAGACCACAAAGTGTCGTCAGTAATGTCAGTCCTAATAATGTGAGCTCAATGAATGGGTCTATGTCTAGACCCGAATCAAGACTCTACCAGCAAAATACCAGGACTATTGGAAGACCATCTTCCTCGTTGCAATCGCTTAACCATCCATCGAATGTTAAACAAAACTCAGAGACGAGTTTTCAGCATCAGAACCAAAGCTACCGGGAACAAAATCATCTGCAGCAACCGCATCACCACCACCAGCACCTCCAACCTGGTGGAGATGAACTACATGGAAAGGTCGCAAGAAAGACAACAGACGTGCAATTACCGGTGGAGCAGAACAGAGACTTGAAGAGGATAGTATTGAGGAAGTCTGACCAGGATGGGGGTGGGTTGGGGTTCAGTATCAGGGGTGGGGCGGAGCATTCGGTGGGGATCTTTGTGTCGCTGGTGGAAGCAAACAGTTTGGCAGAGAAAAGAGGGTTAATCAAAGGAGACCAGATTATGCAGGTCAATGACATTCCATTTGAGAAGGTAGCCCACTCTGATGCAGTGAAGGTGAGATTATGTTTTTATTTGTTTATTTTATAATTATTATTTTGTAATCATCATCATCATAATCATCTTCATCATTGATTATTTTAATATTGGTTCTGTTCATATCTGTTAGATTATTATATTACATTATGTCATTATTGATTAATATCCCACAATCCCATTATCATTGTGTTGTGTTATTACTTGTATATTACTACTACTTAAGTATAATACTCACTTTTACAAAACAAAAACAAACTCATGCACTGTATGTTAATAGTTGCTTTCTATGCATCAATTGCATTGTAAATGCCACTAAATGTATACATGTACATGTGTACAGTGGTGTACCGGTATGTCTTATATCAAAGAGTGGTCCTCACTCCTCAGATTCAAATATGACCAAAACCGTCTCTACCCTGTGCATGTGCAAAATAAAGACACTGATTCCCCATCGATCAGAGACTGAAGAACCTAGCTAACCCTGAAGAAGTGACCAAGGATTACAGGATCATCTCTAGCTCTTCAAACATGATGATTATTATGATGGTGATGATGATGGTGATGATGGTGATGATTATGATGATGATGATGGTGATGATTATGATGATGGTGATGATGATGGTGATGATGATGGTGATGATTATGATGATGGTGATGATGATGATGATGATGATGGTGATGATGATGATGATGATGATGATGGTGATGATGATGGTGATGATTATGATGATGGTGATGATTATGATGATGGTGATGATGATGAAGATCATGATGATGATGATGATGGTGATGATGATGGTGATGATGATGATGATGGTGATGATGGTGGTGATGATTATGATGATGGTGATGATGATGAAGATGATGATGATGATTATGATGATGGTGATGATGATGAAGATGATGATGATGATGATGATGGTGATGATGATGAAGATGATGATGGTGATGATTATGATTATGATGATGATGATGATGATGATGATGATGATGATGATGAAGATGATGATGATGATTATGATGATGGTGATGATGATGAAGATGCTGATGATGATGATGATGATGATGGTGATGATGATGATGATGATGATGATGAAGATGATGATGATGATTATGATGATGGTGATGATGATGAAGATGATGATGATGATGATGATGGTGATGATGATGAAGATGATGATGATGATGGTGATGATTATGATGATGATGATGATGATGATGGTGATGATGATGAAGATGATGATGATGATTATGATGATGGTGATGATGATGAAGATGATGATGATGATTATGATGATGGTGACATGCATCACATCTGGATCTGATGGAAACATATACTGTAAAAATCCAATCATGGTTGTAGTCACTAAGATTGTACCCTTCTTGGAGGAAATATAGTTGAATGGTGTAAGTCTGTAAGACCTGACTAGAATTAAGGACCACCTGTCTGAAGTGGTCACATAGTGGTCGCAAAAGTAAAATTACATTACTTCATATTTTGCAAGGATAGATGACGGTAAAAATCATTTCTTATAATTGTACTCTTGTCACAATGTGTGTAGACACAAAGCCATCTCTGTTGAAATATTTTGAAAGGGTAACAAAACGATATAGAATTCATTATCATAATCATTTTTACTTTAAAAAGTTCATACAAGTGTAAATCAAGTAGTACATAAAGATCCATGAATGATTATGGAATAATACATGACTAAACATTGAAAGAAGATCAAACATCATATTATATTTACTATTAAAATGGAAGAGTCCGACACAGCTTTGTATTAAAATTGTAGGCTAAAAGTCTTGCAATTTCATGATAGATCGATATCCTACAAAATGATGCTTGAGTAGCTGTGTTCCATGAATTCTAATCCAATTAGCTTCATTGACTTTGTTTGCTTGCAGTCCATCAGTGTCAAAATCAATCATTGTACCGGTGTACATGTATATATTTGGGGGTAGAGTAGTGGCCTTTACAGATGTATCTTTAACTTGGTCCAAAGACGTTTTATTCTGCTCACTTTATTAGAAGATTAATATGATTTATGAATAAGTCATAAATTAATTTGGTGTTGGGCATCATATGCTAAGATGTTATACATGGAGGTCAACTGGTCTAGGGGGTTGGAATAGTTATGTGAAAATGTTTTGAAGTATTGACTGGCATATATCAATTACGGTACAACAAAAGTAGGCTTGTAACAAAAGACAAATCATTGTTAATTTACATAACCTATGTATTGCTTCCTTCATTAGATTTTTTTTTTAATTGAAGCATAAAAAACAAGGAAATAATGTCTAGACAAAATCAAATACATGTAAAGCATGGTTGAACCATCGTAGTAGGTCCATGGTTTAACAAGCCAGATGACTAGAAGTGGAGTACAAGACAGATAGGGCAATTAAAAAAAAAGAGCAATAATAATGATGATGAAAGTAGTATTCTAATCAGGGGCATACTTAGAGGAAGAGCAGAAGTAGCCTGTGCCCCCCCCCCCCCCTTTAAAACTAAAACGATACACTTATAAAAGAAAATGAATGTGCTTCCTTCTCAAATTTAAACTGTCTAGAAAAACAGAGATGTGAAGAAATATCAAAGTACATTGATCTTCATGTATTTATGATCAGTGGCACATTAGGGGTATGGGGCACAAGTGACTAGTGTGCCACTCACCCATTTTCAAAGTACATTGTAGCACAGGTCTGTAAAAGTTGATATGTGATCACTGATCACTTTCTCTTTTCCTTTCCTTCATTCTGTTTTTTTTTAATTTTGTTTAGATTCTTTTCGTTTTTGTCTGTTTTTTTCTTTATGTCTGTCTTTCCTTCTGTTGTTCTTTCTGTCTGTCTCTCTTAACTACATGTATGTCTTTATGTATGTCTTACTTTCACTCTTTTTTCTTCCTTTCTTTCTCTCTTTCTTTCTACTCATAGTGTCCCTTTTACACAAACCTGAATCGATTCTGGTAATGAGATAATTGTTACTCTCACTTCCCAGTTTCTTCCATTCCAAGAATTCAATTTTAAGTGTTTAGTCTTGACCTAATGAAGCTCGAAGGTTGACAAGATACCCCTGCCAAGGACCAGTTCAATTCACACAGTTTTACCCGATCCTGTACCAATGTATACTATGACTGAAAAGTGAACAAAGCTGTGAATTATGTACAGCCACCAGTCCGCAAGTAAACACCTTTATCATCTTACAGTTTACAGACAGGTCCTTTGAACTCTCTTCAATACCATGCAAGTTGGTATGAATGCATGTACACACAGTAGGGGTGTATAGATTGTGAGGAGAAGTAAGGTTGAACAAAGGTAGACCAACTTTAGTCTATGGGAGAAAGGCAGAAAGCCCTACAATAACTTCAGTGCCTGTTTCATTCAAACCCATTTCAGACTCGTCAGTATCCCATTTTCAAGCCAAATTACAATGAAGTAATTCTAAAAGCTGAAATTGTTATATTAGTTATTTTATAATCACATTAATGGAATGTTATAGTGTATCTTGATTATTCTGAGGGGAGGGGGGGCTTTAACGAATATATATATTAAAACCTTTAGTGTATTATTCAGAGCTAAAACGATGACAGGAACACGTACATGTATACAAAAGAAATCAACATCCAGACTTAAGGAGAAGAGAAGATAAATACATTTTTTTAAGGACTAGGGAGATGATTCCCAAATTTGGCAGCAAGACAAATAATTTTTGCATACACCTGAATTGTATGACTTCAATTTCTTTTTAAGGACAAATATGAAAATGTAGACTGTGTTAAAAATGACTTGGGTAATCTTTAAACACTTTCAACAAAAACAGAATTGCAAGGTCCCTAAATTGGGTAATCATCCAAAAATGGCTGGGAATACAGTCTACAATGCAGCCTCCATACCCAAAGCCACGTGTGCACCGTTACCATAGCAACATGTGACTCATGAAAGGTGACGAGAGGCTTTCAGGCGGTAGCTTGGGGTAGTGTAAGCTCGCTCCCACACGTACTGCTTGTGTTTACATGCGTGCCTTCTATGTACACAACCAGTGGGGTAGTATCTGTCCAATTTCAAGTATTGCTTTGTCCTTGGTTATTATATTTTCCCGCTTACAATGGGAAATGGTCTTCCATGCCTGGGAGTCAGGTACATATGTAGATATTTAATGAAAAGTTGAAGTGGCGAATGGATGATTGAATTAATTTGATAGGCAGTGTATGGCAGTGCGAGACGGTCATAAGTGGATAAATATGATTACTGGTCTATTATTTACTCTGTAGAACACTATGAAAGTAAAACATGACATCAAGAAGATTGTTCATTATTTTTAATTTCAAAGTATTTAAACAAATTCAGTTTGATAAATTTTGTAAAAAGTTTGTTATTTACACTGTAGAATTGAATTGAAATCCCTGTTAATGTAGATTCATTAACAAAAACATATGGGCAGTACCCTATAATATTCTTAGAGCATTCATTATTTCAATGAGTTGGTTCATCACTCAATCTAAAGACACAGTACATGTAGTTTTATGAATTGCAGAAAAAATAACAAAATGACAAAAACACAATATGTATTAGTCCATATAATGCAATCAGTCTAAATTGATAATACTTTTACTATTGCTCAATTAATGTATAGTATCTGCAATTGATTCTTGAGTTCTTGGTATTGGACTAAAGATTATAGAATTTTCCTTGGAAATCAGACTTGTAAGCTCCCTTTTTTATTACCGGTATACAATGCTGCTTTTCTTTCTTTTTTCTGTTACATTCTTGCCAGATTAATTATCCAAATTGAGCTACATGTAGGTCTAGAAAATGTTGAAAGTATCCTTGTTTTTTTTAATTCTTTCTCTTTTATAGAAAAGTGGATCAGACATAATATGTACAAGTAAAAGTAAATAATCCCATTTTTGCATTTGTTAGTTTTTTTCCAAAATACATCTGATTTCATTCAATACTCTGTTAGCTTTGTTTGACTTAGTGTAAGCTCGTGATTTTCACCCACTTTCTTTTCATGTTGATTTGAAAGGTGGATCAGAAGTAAAAATATCCTGCCTACATTTCTAATCTCTTAAAGTCAAGACCACTTGTTGTGTGTTGTGTCCATCACAAAGACATCAGTTGGGTAAACATTTCATCAGAAGAGAATCAATACCAGCAGCATCTGGCGTGACAGCCATTTCAATGATTCCATGTTCACACTACCCTAAATTCATCATTTCACTAAGGCACTATATGAGAATCATATACTGTACATGTATTTATACAAAAATTATTGGTTCAGTGGAAGAGCAGTGGACTCATACATGTAACCAAGAGGTCTCAGGTTCGAAACCAAGGTGATGCACTATAGTGCCCTTTGGTATTAATTCTCATTAACAAGTCTCTTGGGGAGGACTTAAAACCCGCTGGTCCCCTGGTTGCTTTAACATGCACATGCTTTCTTAGCAGTCAACCAAAACTCAAGAAACATAGTGCATGTATATATATAGTGAAATGTGTAATTAGCATCTTTTCAAACAAAACTTGGGTCCTGTTCTAGTCTGAGCATTGTATCATACAAACACTTCATAACTGGGCATGCAGGGCTTACCGTGAACAAGCACTGATGATTTGCTTGCGGTCATACCAACTGACCTCTTCAAAAAAACTTGCTTTATACGATTCAACATTTCTTTATACAATGGGAAAGTCTAGTGTAAATGCCCCCTGTCTGCTAGATGATGATTCTTATACCGTAATACATTTGTTTATATGAGTTTCATATGAATGCCCTCTCATCTGAACAGGCTTGGCTTCTAGTCTTTGTACACTTCCATTGCTATAACCCTGGCTTAATTGTGACGTAAATTGTACTAGGGTATTCAGTCCCTATTCTAAAACCCCCTTTGTCATGCAAACTGGGCTTTTATCATTTTATGGTCAGTGGTTTTTTTTACCCTTGCATTCTTCCATTCAACTGAGAGACCCCCATTGGGAATAAATCAATACTGAATGGAAGAAGAGCGCACAAAGGAAAGTTAACTGAACACAACATGGTAGTTAAATAATGAGACTATTGTTAAGTGCAGTGTTGACTGTTGAGTAAGCTTACATGTACATCTAGATGGTGTATGCTATACTGGTTAAAATAAAAATCACATGAAAACAGTATTATGCATGGTGCATTGACAGATAAATGCTTTCTTGGGATTTAAAATTAAAAAAAACTTCTGATGCATAAATACCAAAACCAAAACAAAGAAAATCAAAACTGTTACCAGCATACATGTAGTGGTTTACCTTTACATGTACATGTATCATCAACGGACCAATTAAGGCAACCAGTTAGGTAATTGTCATCCTTGCCCTGATTATCCAGGCAGAACATTAATTACCATGGCAACAGGTTTTCATCCTCTCTGCATCTGTATAAACACATGTACTGTACATGTAGCTTGCAGTTTTGTAATACAAATTATACATTTTGAGCATTATCTTTTAATAAGATTCTTTCTTTCACATTTCACACCCAGCTGCTTTGGAACATCTTAATACATGAACATGTACAGTGTCCTTTTGTTTGTAAGGCCTATATTCTTCAGTTTGAGTGAATTTGACAGAGTGGATTTGGCGCGATATAAGTTACATTATCAGGTGGGTTGTATAACGTACAGACCACCTTATAATTTCGTAAGAATTGCCTTTATTTATTTATTTATTTATTATTCTTTATTTTTCTTATTTCGAACCACTTTTTTGTAAGCGCGATTACTTGAAAATGGCTCAATAAAATGCCTCAATAAAATGCCTTCAAATTTGGCACACATATGTATAGGCATATGTTCAAAGCACAATAATGTTTTTAACATTGACCTTCACTGATGACGTCATCTAGGCGCCATTTTGTAGAATTTTACGAAAATCAACACATGATCATATCTTCATAACCAAAAGCTATTTCTCATTCATATTTATCATGATCAAGGTCAATATCCGTCCGGTCAATTTCAGGTCAAATAACGCGTGCGTGCGCGTACGTTCGCGCGTCAATGCGCGCGCAAAATTTTAAAATGCTCAAAATCGTCTCAAAATCATTTTGCATACGTTTTAGGCCATTCTAAGCATTTTATAAAAAATCGCGCACACGCGCATGCGTGCGCGTTTTCGCGCGTAAAACTATTGCACAACATAGAATCGCCATTTTTTTTCTTCCATAATATTCCACATATTTTTACAAACAAATTGATACCATGTTTATCTCTTTATGACTATTAATTTTCATTTTCATTTCATTTCATTTCTTTATTGAGTCCATATAGGATAATTGTTTATATGCACATGAACAATCTTGCTTCAACATATAAATGAACATAGGAACAACATATAATTGACATTCATAGGGCCCTGTTTTAGTATACATTTGATATAATATACATGTACATGGTCATGATGAATATACATTTAAATACTCTTTCTTCTTCTTCTTCTTCTTCTTCTTCTCTTTCTTCTTACATACCCTCCATTTTTTAAATTCTTATATGCTCTAATCTAAAGTAGGTATTTTGTGTTAAAAATTATTTCTTGATATGGTATAACAGTAGAGGTACAACAGTAAAGTAAGTATACTAAAACAATATATATATTCGTGTAACATGTCAATGAGGGTATTTTGCATGGTTTTCACATTCTCTATTCTTTACTGGGTTTCATTAACTACTCTTATGGAAAGTGGTATGAATGAATTAATGCGGCGACTAGTTCTTGCTTTAATAGATCTCAATCTTCGTCCGCTCCTCAGGTGTATGTACTGGTCATTAAGGGGGTGGGTAAGATCAGACATAATGGATAGGGCCTTAGATACTACTCTTTCCTTACAGACTTCATCTAGGTCAACAGTATGGTTCATTATTTTGCTGGCTTGTTTTACAACCCTTCTCAGCTTTTGTTTGTCACTTTGCCTTGCATTGTTAAACCAGATAATGGAATCAAATGTAATAGTACTCTGGATTATCGACTGGTAAAAGAGAAACAGAATTCTGTCGTTCACATGAAAGTACTTTAACTTTCTAAGAAAATATAAGCGCTGGTTGCATTTTGTTAGTGTGCGCTTTGACTTGTCTTCCCAAGACAGCTTATTGTCGATTTCTGTACCTAGGTATCTATAACTGTCAACATTCTCAATAGTATCATCATTAAAGTATACAGGTCTATCAATGGGTTCAAAAGCTTTCTTTTGCCTAAAGTCAAAAACAATTTCTTTTGTTTTCTTTGAGTTCAGCAGTAAATAGTTTTCCCTACACCAATTTTCGAACATGGAAATGGTAGCTCTGTAATCAAGTTCATTTTCATTTTCAATCAATCCTACTATTACTGTATCATCTGCATATTTAAGTATGTGAACAGATGGAGAATTAGATATACAGTCATTGGTGTACAGGGTAAATAGGGTCGCAGAGAGGACACACCCTTGTGGGGTACCAATTGTTGTGATAAGTTCGTCAGAGAGAACACCGTTGACCTTGACCTTCTGTGTCCTTTCATGTAGGAAGTCTTGCAGCCACAATATAATAGATGGCTGAACTTGTAGATGTTGAAGTTTCTGTAGTAGGATGAGGGGTTCTATAGTGTTAAATGCCGACGAGAAGTCTATGAAAGTTGCTCTGGCATAACACCTTGCCTTATCTAAGTGTTCGTACAGCGTGTTTGTCAAGGTAAGAACTGCATCGGTAACGGAACGCTTCGCTTTATATGCAAACTGGTTTGGATCTAGTAGCGGAAGAACTGAGCTTGTCAGCTTTTCAAGTACTAGTCTTTCCAGACTTTTCATAACAACCGATGTCAGTGCGATAGGGCGAAAATCCCCATTCGCGCTGGGGCGATTGTTCTTGGGTACTGGCGTAACTACGGACGCTTTCCAACAGGCAGGTACTACTCTTTCGGAGATCGACGTCTGGAATATCATAGCGTATGGGACGGCGAGTTGGGACGAATGATCGACGGAATGATCGACCGTTAAACATAAATTTCCGTGCGTGCGAACTCTTGTAATACATAGCATATATGGGCAAAAACATGCCTAATCAAAATCCATAGTAGCTCTTTAGGATGCAAGGTGACCCCAATTTTTTTTCATATTTTGATAGAGTATGAATCGGAGATATGATTTCATGTCTCATTTGACCCTCAATTAACTCATGACGTCATCATAATGGCCTCCGAACTCAAAATTTCAATTTGCATATTATGACGTCATCATATTTTTGGAAAATTGATTGTATCTCTGTAAATATTGATCAATTTTCATCCAAATTTTAATATGTTTTAGCTTAGACGATTTTCTACAGATGCAATTCAACGAATTTTCATTTTGACGAAAGCATCATGGCGTATTTTTGCGATTAAAGGAGGCATGTCAATTTTTTTCATTTTGCGTGTATTCTCTATAGGACATGACTTTTTCTGAAAACTGGATTCTACATTCCCGTCTTTCACGAGCAATATCTCCGTCGTCTTAGCTTCGTTTTCGCTGAGCATCGAGTATGTTGTAGCTGAGACAATAAGCTATCACAAGTGTGCCATTTATTTCTCGATCAGATGCTGGGATCATGCTCATATTTCACTTGCAAAGTGGGATCGCTATGGGAAATGTTTTGGTATATCGGTAACACACTTGATTTCGGACCTCGAGATCCCTGGTTCGAGTCCGGGAGTCTCCAACAATTTTTTTCTTCATTTTTTTTCTTTTTTGACTTTTCAATGATCATAAAATTGAAAACAGACCACCTAATTCGTCCCCATGACGAATTAAATTTCTAGTTATTATTATTATTATTATTAAAGATGTTACATGTACTTGTACTGGTCATAATTTATACCGGTAAACTGATTTTGTCGAATGGAATAATAAATGTTTCACCTTTCAAGTCAATTATGCTTACAATTACAAGTACAAGTATTTATCCTTAAAGTTATGATTTTCAAAAAAAATAAAGTTGTAGTAACAACATTTGTTAATTTTTCCTTTGCAGATCTTAAAGGCGGTCAACAAGCTGGTCTTGTATGTCAAGAGTGTTGGGCGTGTCCCTGGCTCCTTCTTCTCCCACCAGACCTACACATGGGTGAACCCCAAGGGGCGCAGCGTGTCCCCTCCACCGGACGTCGACCCCCTTGGTGGGAGGATGCTAAATGATACACAGAATAGAAAGAGTGGTCTCAACCTCCTTAAGAACGGTGATGAAAAGAAGGTGAGAACTTAAACTTAGTTATTTTAAAACTAGATAAATGCTTTTTTTTTTTATGGGTAAATATGAAACAGGAAGCCCAAAACCTTACATGTAATCAAAGATATATAAGCCAGTAAGCCTACTAAATAAACTCAACAAACTTTATCCTTTTATGAATTAATGAAAAACTAGCCCCAGAAAAAAGAGCCCCCGAAAGTTGAAAAGTAGCCCCAGAAAATTTCCCCCAAACTGGATATGGAGCCCCCGAAAAAGAAAAAAAGAGAAAATTTCCCTGTTGAGAAGATGGGATCGAGCGTAGAGGGATAAAGATTACAATTCAACTTAAATGTCAATAAACCTGTTAACTAATTATATACCGACATATTTTTAGAACTGAAGTTTCTATTGATGACTATAAAGCTTGCCTGACATAGCAAAAACCAATGGATTCAAAGTGAATTTCAACCAAGAAGATGTTGTTTTGCATTGGGAAGGAAACAAATACATGCAGATGGTAACCAGTGGTACAGGGAGAGAAAGATGCAAATATGGAAATACACATTAAGCAACAGGTCTATTGTGTTTTTGCAGTTATTGATAAATCGTTTGCAATAAATAACACAATTGTACATGAGTAGTGTATGATGTCGAAAAAAGATTTGATAGCAATTTTACAAAACATGCCATGCAGTTAATACTTGCAGATAGGGAATGTGATGTGTAAAACAGCCATTACCATCCTATATTTAGGCAATGTGCTCATCCAAAAACCCTGAAAGTCAATATTGGGCTGTGAGAACAGTGAGAATATGGTTAAAATCAATATCTGTGTATTTGCTGAGCAGGATTTGTGTAACAGATGTTATCAAGACGACTTCAAATGTGAAGTTAACCCTTTCAGTGCTCTTACAGCAAGTATAGAGAACCTACATGTACATCTACATACGTGTACTGTATATTACAAACTCTGAAGAAGAAAACATTTTAGTTCCCCAGCTTACTTTTCTACAAACGTATGTACTACATGTATGTAGACATGTACCGTCTCACTGTACATGTACCGTTTTACTATTTCACTTTCTGTCTCATGATTGATTTGCATGTTTCCGTGTTTATTTTATTCTATTACTCTATTAAAGGATTGTGCAGAAAGATAAGTAAAACAAAGAAAAAGAATGAATATCAAAAACAATTTGTTAATGAAATAAACATGCAGGGATGGATTTTTGTGATGAAAAGATCTGGAAGAGTGGTGAAAAACTCAGAAACAGCTCTTTTTAAGAACAAAAGAATACTGGTTGTCACTCTGATGATATCTCACAATTAACTGTAATTGAAAATGAATACAATGCCCAAAAGGTAATGTTCACACTCTGTACATTCTATATCACTGAAATAGCTTAACACATTTATGTTTCTGCCATTTTGTACATTCAGGACACATTTAATAGTAGAGAGCAAGTCCAATCTATTGTCTCGTGCATCACAAACCACATCTAAGGTTTGAAGTATCTGATGGTTGTATAAATTTAAAAGCCTCACTACAGTAGAGCTTTTATCACACCAAATACGAAATGGAAAGACGCATTTGATGTCAATATACATGTATGTTCAGAAATGTACAATACTTTGTAAAGTAAGGGACACAAAATTACCAAAAGATATCTTGGACTTGCCATGTATTGAGGGGAGAGAGCCTCAATTTCTTGGTATAAAAGCTATGATGTCATAAAGGTTCCCATGTAAACATATACAGTGTATGTAGGAAACTAGGAAAACATTCCATAGTTCTCCTGATACATCAAAATGTTCGCATAAGGCATTTCTAAATTTGAGTTGGTACTTTTGTTTTTTTCAGGTGAATGTTGTAGTGAATGAGGGAGAGAGTCTTGGTTTGATGATTCGAGGAGGAAAGGAGTTTGGTCTTGGTATCTACATCACTGGAATCGATACTTACTCTGTGGCAGACCATGCTGGTCTTAAGGTAAGTCAACATTTTCTGTACGCAGAGGGATTAAAGGGGAAGTTAGTAATAAAAGTAGACATATAGACCAACAGATTGGTAAAGGTTTGAGCAAAACCCAATTGAAAATAGGAAAGTTATGAATTTCTGAAGTGGTAACACACAACTTGGCAATCTGTGACATAGATGAACATGTCCCTTGAGGTTCTTTTGTTTTTGCTCTGTACAGAAATTGTATAACTTTATATTTTATTGATTATTGGTGATGGAATAGATGTTTCATGCATGTGTTGTTTTTACAACATATTGTTATATAATGATAATACTAGGATGCATGTATGACTGAATATTTTCTTTCGTGAAAATAGAAATTTGTGAATGTGTTAGTAGAGCAAATAGAAGGGGGACCTTGCAAGATACATTACAGAGTTGCCAATTTGTGTTTGATAGATTGCAAGTTGAAAATGGCTTTAATAAGATTTTGTTTAAACTTTCACTTCTCTGTTTCTTTAATTTGTGTGCTTCTATTAACTCAGAAGTTAAATGAACTTGCCCTTTTAGGGAAATACGACAGGAACTAGAATTTGTGTTTAGAATAGAAGAGAGTGAAAGAAACAGATTACTGGTTCAGTCATATTAACTATTATAATTAACAATGGTTTCATTATTTTAATATGGAGGTTCTTGGTTTGAAACCAAGTTGATGCACTAGTGATTGGTAACATATTAATCCTCAATTTAATCTGTTTAAGATAGAATGACTGAAAGTACAATGAAGTAGGTCAATTGGTTTCTAATCTTCAAGCATATGATTTCTTTTGTAGCAGTCAGATAAAACATCAACATCAAAGGTTACATGTACCTTTCACAAAATCAAAACTACATTTTCTAGACTTTAAAGATTGTGTTTCTATGATGTTTCTTTTTTCAAGCTATACATTCATTTACAAATGATTCTCTTTTTGTGTGAATCATAACCAATAACCATATGGATATATATTCTCAATGAAATGGGTGTATTGTATGTATGTTGAACTGTAATTATTCTCAGTGTTCACAGCTCTTTTGGAGCATGCGATTAAGATGATACATTTCATCCAATTAAGAGAGATATTGATCAAGGATAGAATTATTGTAATATGCCTTGGTCATATCATATCCATGACTCCATGGCTCCATGTTCATATCAAGGGATGACAAATTTGGCTGCATGCCATATCAGAGATGCATTTCAAGTGATGCAATAATTAATTTTCTCCTAATTCAACATTGCATATTAGCTATTTTAATTCAAACATGTATGTTTTGGTACATGTAACGTCATTGATACTTTTGGAATGGATTTTGATTGGCTTGGTATTTCAGAATTCATCTACATTAATGTGAAATTATGTAATAAAAACCCCCATTTACAGTACATGTAGGTTCATCTATAAGAGTCAACCTAGAAAGCATTCAAATCTACCAGATGGTATCGATTTAAAAAAAAATTAACCTTACCAACCTAAAGGGGCAAAGAAAAGAATAAGTTTTTATATTAAACAGACTAATCAGTATCATATTAAAAACTCCATATCATCAGAAGATATGAAATCACCCCCAAAAACAAACTATATGAGGCATTCTGAAAATGGAAGATCTAATAACATACATGTATTAAAGATAATGTATGACTTTACATGTATATCAAGGCCCACATAGAAGTTACAGTAACTTTGATTTAATATTGGTGTTGGTTTGTGTATGGGTGAGTGAGTGTGATGACTCTTCTACTCATGAGGCCTAAAAAAAAAGAAAGTTGTATTGCCCTTTGCGACCGACCCAAAAATCTTAAAATCTATGGTCATTTTTTGTATGTTTTAATGTATTAATGTATTCAACCATTCAAAACTGAGAAATATCAGCCCAGAGGGGGAGTAAAGAATGTTTTTTTTTTAATTAAAAAGAAAAAAGATTTCTGACTGACCGACCAATGTTTTGGCACTTAAAGAGCGATACAACATCTCTTTTTTTAGGCCTAAATTGCAATCATATTTTCATGGCAAATGATTTTAATCTTATACATTTTTCATCATTCAGGTTGGCGATCAGATCCTCGACGTCAACTCCAGGAACTTCCTCGACATCGAGCACCAGAACGCAGTGGACATCCTCAAGTCATCCAAGCTAATGATGATGACCATCAAGGACGTCGGCAAATTACCGTACGGCCGGACGACCATTGACCGGACACAGTGGCTGACCGGGAATGAGGTCAAGGATTCTCCGCCGACCACCAGACCGGTTAAAAGGGATCAGGTGGAGGAGACAGACTCCATCTATGCTGATATTCCAGAGAGGCCTTCGGTGAGATGAATTTTAAAAGTCTTTCATGAAGCATAACTTCATGTTTTTCTCTTCTAAAACCATTATTTCAATGATAATTGCTGCCGACTAATTGAAATGGATACAATTTATTTGATCTTTAATGAATTAACTTATTCTAACTTTTATTTATGACTTCAGGGTTATGACTTGGAATGATCAGAAAGGTAAACTAAATAACAGTATGTGGGGCCCCCCGTCCATGACTAAAACCAACCAGAAAAAAAATCAAATACCGGTAGCTTTTTTCTTGTTCCTTGAATTGTCCAGCATGTGTTCAGCAATGTCACTTGCTCACAAAGATCTACTTTTCTGCCATTGCCTATGGTTATTGCATATTAATTTATTAAAAGACAGTTAAAATAGTCTTCCAATCATTTTCGCCCCATAGTACATTCAATTGTGGAATCAGCTCCCAAGTGATGTGCAAAAAGAGCATGGCAGGGGTACATAACTGGAGTATGCTAGAAGACCAGTCCCGGAACCTCCTCAGTGAGAACGAGAGAAGCACTATATATATTTATATAAGTAGATCAATATGAGACCATATTCTTCCAATTTTGTTAAATTCCCAAACATTATTCTTTCCTTTATCCCTGGAACAGTCTGCATTCAGTCGTGGTATCGGGTCTCAGGTGATGTACAACAAGAGCATGGCTGGGGTCCAGAACTGGAGTATGCTCGAGGACCAGTCTCGGAACCTCCTCAGTGAGAATGAGAGAGGCACCATGATGTACTACCTGGAGGAGTATCAACGGAATACCATCACCGTTGAAGCCCTTGTGATGGCGCTCTTTGAATTATTTGATACTCATGCTAAGGTAGGAATCTTGTCAAACAGGGGGGTGTTTCACAAAACTTATCATCAGTGACAAATGACAGTTTTTGTTATAAGCTACTGAAATCCTTGCTTCTGATTGGTTATCAGCAAATTTGTCACTGATTTTTGTCATTTTTCATTGAAAAAAGGCTTTGTGAAACGGGCCCCTGGAGTACATGTCTGGGGGGTTATGGTGTCAAATCCAATTTCTCAAGAATTTTAGTTTATGATAAAGATTGGACAAAGCTTGACAACAAAAAATGGCAAAAAGTAAGCCCACAGAAATACAATAGTTTGTGCCAGAGAGTTGCCATTTAATTTGAGTTCGCTGTATGATATTCCAGAGAAAGGGCTACAATTTTTTATACACTACCCATTATGCCTATGATAGCAATGTTGTTTATAGACCGGAATTATTCAACAATATTATCCCGAATTATAGGAGTTGTTGTTTTATGGCTCCACCTGTACAAGAGGCTCAGTATGAGTGGAAGGGTTGGTCTTTTAGGATGACTATCTTATTGAATTCATCTAGAATCATGTACAGTATTCCACATCAACATTTCATTTATATCACAATTGTTCTTCTCTTTTCACAGTTCTCTCTGCTATCTGAAATCCGTGCCTTTATCTTCCCTCGAGACATTGACAGGTTTGATGGCCTGGTCTTGAAGAGAGAAGTAGAAGCCATGAAGGTAAGCTTTATCCCATTTTGTATTAACTAAACGTACATATATAGATTTCCAACTTTATTACTTATTTTTTACTGAAATATAATCTCTATGCATTAAAACAGTTCAATATTTTGGCAGTCAACATACTAACCTTTTGAATAAGTTCAAGCTTTCTTCTTTGTTTCCATTAAATCATCAGTTACGAGTAAGAGCAGATTAACCTAATGACCTAGTGAATTATGACATGTGATATTTAAAGAAAAGTAACGTCTCTAAGTTGACTTAGTTCATTAGTGTTTCTATTTTTTCAATTATATGTAACTAGGATTTGATACAAAGTACTATGCTGCATTATGAAGAAACAGACATAGATGTATTAAAGATTAATTATTTACCTACTTAGATATGCTTTGAAACATGCAGCCGACTGTTTAATTCCAATTTCTCTGGTGTCCGATGTCTGTGGAGCTTATGTTTCAAATATTTGGTAGTCCTGGGGTTTCAGTTTATGCCAAAAAGAAACCATCCAGTATATTATGTTATCATCAATTTTCCAGTCATGCTTGGACTAAATTAGTGATTTATTGTTTTATGTTTGTATGTACTCCCAGGCAAGACAGCGTGGCTATTTCATGAACGAACGTGAGACGTCTTTCACAGACACCATGTCAAACAGCAGTCGTTATAACTCCTCCAGCTCCATCGACTCCAGACCTCTGACTCCTCCTAGAATACCTCAGCATCTTCCACCAAACATCAGGGTACGTGATGCCTTCCTGACAATTAAACATCACAAACATAGAGTGGGCAAGCGCTCAGTGACATTCTGTGCTCATACACTGTCCCATTATTCATTTATTTATTTTTCATTGTGATGCCTCGAAAATGCGCTTACATGTTTTCTATCATGTGTTTATGGTCAGAAATTAAGGCTCAAACATCCCTTCATTATAAACTAAGCAACATATTTTCATTGTCCACTATTACGCATTTCAACATTTTCCCATAACATTTTTAAATTTTGATAGAGGTGGTGTGCTTTGTTTTGCAGACTCTAGTAGCTATACAAATTCCATTTATATTTCAGTCTGAATTACTACTCATTGTACTCTTTTTAAAGTTTCAATATTTTTCTACTTTAAAGTGACTCAGTACATTTCCTCAGATTCTGAAACAAAATTCTAGATTAAGGTCATGCTGCAATCATAATTATAAACTTTTAGGTCAGTCAGGAGTCCCATGACTTTTACAAGTCGATCGCCTGTCTGATTATCAAGATATTTATGATTGGAAATCAAAATTTCATTTTTCGTTTTCCTTACGGTTTTTATGACACTAGTCTATTGGGGAAAATTATCATTTTAAAGCACAATTTTTTTAGGGCTTCAATGTTACCCCATATTACAGACACTGATAACACCTAGGGCCATGCATCTAAGATTTAACACTGTGCCTTTAAGGCAATTCCTCCAAGATTTTTAACATATTTTAGACATGCTGTGTACCATTTGAGTAAAATAGGAAATACATATCCCACCGCTGCCACCAGTATAAGAGAACGCATTCAGGTTTTGATGATTACAAGTAGCTTTAAAAAGAAATCCTTTTCACCATGTAGTTATATAAAATCATGCTGGGATGTGCCAAAAAAATTTGAACATTATGAGACATTTGTGTAGTGTCTGGCAGGAGGGAGTAAATGGATGGATGGACAGCTTACGTACATATGTGAAAATGCATTTTAAAGTTTTGAATGTTTGAGATTACATCTAACATATTATGCTAGTCTGTATGGTGTCAAATTGTTTACCGAGAAAGCAAAACTAGCATTTGTAGAAATTGGACTACAATTGTATTATATTATCTACTAGGCACATATCTATTTGTTCTTAGGATGTGATAGAAAAAAATCCCTATATTTTACTGTTATGATATTCATTCCATGTTATTGCCTATTTACAGCTGACTAACGAACCAGAGGAGAGATACCGAGGCTTAGATACCAGGCAGATAAATGATGATACAAACGGGCTTCCAGACTTTGCTTTACCAGTGAGTATTGAAAGAAAACTTTTAATTTGTCAAAATTTGTACTCTATAATTTTTGTTCACCCTTTTGAGTTGAGATGAAAATTAAAACTTTCCAGAGACATTTCATTATCATATTGAGCCGTCATCTTACATAATGTCAAGGTATGACTTTTCCATTTTTTATTTAGGTCAATTGTATGACTAAATGTCTGAAATTTTAAAAAGTTCCATTTTCTTATCGTTCCTGGTTTGTAGTAGATAGACTTTTTTAACATATCTGGAAAAGATACTACAAGAATTACACCTCACAATCTTTAACTTATATAGATCCTTCCTTGACCCAAACTGTATAAAATTTCAATGATTTATTTGTTAATTTCCCTTTTGTACCCCTTTTATCTTCTTTTCCTTTTCAGGATTATGCTATTGGCTCACCAAGCAGCAACAACAACACCATCACCCCAAACAAGAACAAATCTCTTAATCGCTCCTCCCCCTCCATCCTCAAATCCTCTTCCCTCTTCAACCCTACCAATGGATTTGACTCTCCCAACCTCAAGCATGTAACTGTGGATGTGCACCACCACAATCATGTCAACCAGGAACCTTCCACTAGCGGCAGAGGGGTGATCCTACCTGGGTTGGAGTCCATGTATATAGGGACCAAGAGCCCCAGTGAGGATAGTGGTGTGGATGTGAACCTGACCAATGGGTTGCACAGTCTGGTCAACCTTGAAAGGTGGGTTAGCCTATTCAGTAATTGATTTTTAATTTTGATTAATTCATTTTAATTAATTAATTAAGTGTCAGTTTTGCCCATTGAACTTCTCAAGATCAATAATTTTGGCCAGTATGTGACATCTTATATTTCACCCCATATGATCTTGATATATGCTCTAGTACTTTTTTGTGTGCTTTTCATTGGTCAAATGAAAATTATAACAATGATGTGAAATATACCTGACATGTGTATTTTTCTTCATTACGTAGATATAAAATGGGACTTTGGAAAGAGACTGAAAATTTTCTTTTCTGAAAATCATTGGTCAAAAGGTTTTATTATTTCAGATCAAACACTGATGTTTTGGTCACATTTTAAGAATCTTAGACTAACCCATTCTTTCAATGTCTGATAATATTCATTTGATGTCATTATTCACTACGAAATAGACAGACTACAAAGACCATAACATTTATCATATCAACATGGGCTTCATTTTCTTTATTTGTATTTATCTTTGAAGATACAAGATGTCAGATTCCAATGACCGCTACCACAATATGACCAGTGACACAGATTTCAGCCCCCGGTCTTCAGAAGAGAGTCCCCGCTCCCCAGACAGCAGCCTAGAGCCCTCCCCAAGTAGAGTACAGGAGGAGAAGAGAGAAGCATCCTCCTCCCAAACCAAGGATGATGCAAGTGATCGCCATAGTGAAAGGTCAGGAAGCAGACAGAGAAGGATGAGCTTGGACAGTGTGTCAACAGAGGGCTCTGCCTCAGTGGTGAGTTCATCCATGAATTTGATTCAACTCAATTTAAGCTGAGTTTAATTATTTGGCAAAACCATTTTCGTTATCAAATTTTGTTGTCAATATTTAGCCTGGGTGTCAAAAAACAGGTACATTCTTTTAATTATCCAAATCGAATTTGCTAATATGAATCTTTGCCATAGAAATGACTGGTGACTTTTTTATCATATAAATGTTTATTAATCTCTTTCTTTCTCTTAGATTGGAGAACTGATTAGCAGACAGAACAGTGGAAGTGAACATGGTATTCCAAGGAGGATAAGTGATCCCACTCATGTAAGTAAAGAAACTTCTCTTATCTTGAGATTTATTCTGGAAATGGTATTCTAGATCATGACCTGTTGCTAGTGTGGGACTACTAAAGTTGCCAATGGTTAAGGAAAGAGTTTAAATATCTCCATATATACTGGTGTATCTTTGGATTTTAGAAAATCAATGTATTGAGCAAGTTGTGTATTATTAGGCAGACTGAAAAATCATTTCAAGTATGATAGAGTATTATCATTGTATTAATAATATATAAGGTATGTTGTTATAATTATATGTAGAGATGATATCTTACACAAATAGATCGGTTGTAGTTTTACTTAAATTGGGACTATGATAGCTTGATATTGATTATGCACCATTCTCTTCTATTTTTGTACATCAGCACACACCCAAAGACCAGAGGCGTAACATTGACCAGACCAAGAAAGCCAGCGAAACCCTGTATGAACTTAGGAAGAGTACACCAACATCACCTCATTCTCCAACAACCACTTCCAAAACAACATCAAACCAGAGGCTCTCATCATCATCATCATCATCATCATCACAAAGAGGTGCAGGCAATGGTGGAGGGCGAACACGTCCCATCTTGCCTCCCCCTCCTCCACCTTCTGCAAAAGAGAATTCTAACCAATCTTCAAATCCTTCACAATCTTTACCATATCAATCCGTAGAGGATCTGCCTTTACCCCCGCCCCCTTTGGATTTCCTCTCAGCAGCACCTTTTGATCTGCCACCCCCGCTGCCCTCCCCTCCAGTCAATAGATTCCCAGATGATGCACCCCCTCTTCCCCCTACCACGCCCCCTCCTCCGCCACCGGGGTTTGAGACGGAGGATGAAGACGAGGATGAGGTGGTGCTCCCCAATCCATCATCCTTTCCTTTGGTCGCTACCAGCCGTGCTCCGATGAGTACTATGAGCACATTCAAACCTCAGGTAAGTCAGGTGGCTTTTTTTCATTTTGTAGACGACTAGTGTCAAATCATGTTCCTGTGGAATTATTTACAGATGTGCTATATTGAACTGATTGTGAATGCAATATGATGTATAGGTTTTAGTGCATAAAATTAATATTTGAGATAATAAAAATGCTGAGATTTTAATTGAAGAAATAATATCATCACTTGAGAGCCAGAATAGAATTAAATCTGTGATGATGGTGATGATGAAGAAGATGGTGGTGGTAGTGGCAATGATGTTGGGTAGGAAAAGGAAGAGGAAGGGGCAGGGAAATAGAATAAAGATTATCTGAAAAGTTATGGAGAGTAATAAGTATAGTGACAATAATGATGATGACCTCACTTACATTGCTGCTTTTCCTTTTATTGGAAATTCAGCATACCTTGTCTGCTCACACAATTTTAATTGATCCAACTTTCCTGTCTACGTTCCACAGGGCTCATCCACCCCTGACAAGCCAACTCCAGACATCATTGTAAACACACGACTGGACAGACCTCCATACTGTGAGGCCATCCTTGTGAAGAAAACCCAGTCTAACCTTGGCCTAGCTGTAGAAGGGGGCTCTGGGACCAGACAACCTTTGCCAAAGATTATCAAAGTCCAGGTGAGTCTTCCATCCGATCAGTCATCTCTCCGGTTCTGTTAGGCTATTGTCACATGAGCTGGTGATTTTATTGCCATTATGCCTTTAAAAAAAAGATGTTGTATTGCCCTTTAAGACCAACCCAAAAATCTTGAAATCTAGGGTTGGCTCTTTAAAAAAAGTTTTTTTTTTAATGATTTTTTAGAAAACTGAGAAATATCAGCCCAACGATAGAGTTTTAAAAAAAAAATCCTGACCGACTGACTCATGTTTTGCCACCTAAAGGGCAATACAACATTTTTTTTATAGGCCTAACTATTCAGTCACATTTAGGCATAGACAAAGCCTGTAAACACACAGCCTCTAGAAGTTTTGTATTTCTGCTTGTTGTTTTGGCACAGCAGCCTCTTGCTCCTTATATGGGACAATTTGCTTTCTTTACTGTGTAGCATTGCCCAGTGACGTGACTTGTCACGATGAATCAGTTAGTCCAGTTTTCATTTTTCTCACATAATTGATAAATAGTTGCCAATTCTCATCTGTTCATTAGCAAGAAGGGTGTTAACTCTGTATTAAAGTATATGAGTTAATGCCCTTCTGGCTCCAAACAGATGCTTTCAAACTTCAGAAGAAGCTAAAAGAAACTTTTTTATTCACTTTGTCAGAATGGAGGGTCAGCCTACCAGAGCAGCAACCTGAAAGTTGGTCATGTGATCCTAAAGGTCAACGGCCGACCTCTCCATGACCTCTCTCATTCCCAGTCAACCAGGGTCATTGCTGAAGCATTCAAACAGAAGTCAAGCAATACTATGGAATTTCTGGTATTGGATTCCAATAGATTCAAACTTGTGTATTAGATTTGTATAGATTTCTTCATCTAGATTTGATGGTACTTGTGACCTATCACATCAGAATGAGGCAGAAACTGGTAAAATCCTATTTATTTTTATACCATATTCATATGATCTATTTCCTATTCTTCAAGTAAGTACAGGTATTAGCTTTCAAGAAGAGGGGCACCTCAGACAAAAACATGTCAAATAAAAACTGCAAACGATTATAAAAAAAAAAACAATTTACAAGCTTTTTTCTGCTTTTTTCAAATGATGGAATGTACTGGTAAATAAAGAAAGTTTTCATATTTGTCATCTTTTTCTCATGTTCCAATTCAGACACATCTTTCTCATTCTGATGTGACAAGTATGGTTCGTGGTAAACTGACTGATGAAATAGGCCATCATTACACATTCATCATATCAATTTTAGCTGATTAATTTGTATAGCTTAAAGGTACTATGTCCCTTTTGCAGCCAACCTTAAATTCTGTAGAACATTGCAGGAATTATGAATATGTCATGTATGTCCTATCTGTGAAATTTAAACGTTAGCAGTGTCCTCATATTTAAATTATGCAAGGAAACCCGTTTACTTGCTAGACTTCACTGTCAGACACTATTGAGTGACTGACTGGCTTTTTTTCTTCTTTGGTAATAACATACATGAAAAGAGTTGTAAAGGGTACATGAGCATTTGTCTACATCAATAACCCACTTCTTGTGATGGCCAAGATTAAACTGATTGAATCTTTGCGCAGCATAAAACGTATGACCATTCGGTACAATTGTCTGAAAATCAAGACTATTACTTTTGGGCTCTATAGCCCTAAAGTCAATTTGACAACTAAAAGTCATTATTTTCCCACTTGAAGACATTTTCAAGCCCCACCTTTTTTAGGGAAGTTCTAAATAAGTATTATCTTTCAAATGCAGTTGGAATTTAACTTTTTCATTTTTTTGGCCTGCAAATGGGACATAGTACCTTTAATGTACATCAATATGAATATTTGTTTATGAAGTGATAAGGATGGTATTGGAAATGTGGTAATTCTAATTTTAGACGAAATCAGGGTGCTAGTGTCCAATGATACCGCATTCATACACAATGTACCCGATCCCTCAGATAGGAGTTGAATCCATATGTCCCCTGTTCCACCTGTCCTATGGTATACTTGCTAAGCATGCAGGTAGAGAGAACGATTAATCTTAAATTACTCATTAGAACTATTGGTGTATTTACACCATATTTTCTACTTACATGTTAGGTCATGTTTACACCATTAGTGTTTAAGTGTTATGTTCAGTGTTTGCTTGTATGCTACTTCAAACATCTGGTGCTAACACTGCATTTGCAATCACATTATGTAGAATTCAGGGACTTTTTTTATTTTGCAGTCCTTTTTTACTAATTGTTTGGTCTTGGTTAATTCACTTGTCACAAAAAATGTGTAAAAGTAATATTTTTTAAGAAATGATGCCAATTAGATGTGATTTTGAAAGAAATTTTAAATTTGTAGTTGACAGATTCTAGTGAAATAATACATGCATGTTTCATTTTGTGTAATTTTGACTGATTGAGTGAAAAAAGTTACGATGAGAAAGTGGTATGGGGTCAGTACTCCAACAATCATTCTGTGATAAAACGGCTTATTATTTAACAAAAAACTTGTTTCAGTTATATAATTGTTTCATTCCACAATAGCTATCTGCTATCATGCTATGTAAAGGTAATCAGTATAAGAGAGGTTTAAATGAATAGCCATATTTCAGGATGTTTGACGGTGGTAGGGTCCATGGTTTGACAGATTGAATTCTGTACCGGTACCTCCATTGAGTTAGAGACAGGATTCATGAGGATTAATGCCTTACCAAAGGGCACAAACGCATCAACTTGGTTTCAAACCCAGGACCTCCTGGTTACGAGACCACTGCTCTACCACTGAGCCATCGCGTCTCCTGCAAAATATATACCACTAAGAGCATAAGTAAGAGAAGGAAATGTTGATGAATTCTTTATTTATGGAAGTCACATATTTTTTTTCTTGCCATTTACTCATAGGCTGATATAATGCCGGCATTTCTTAAAAGATATTAAGAAAAAGTTATAGAATATTTGTTTTGAAAAAAATTAGCAAATATTGCTCTCTGTAATGTAGAAATAATTGACTTGAATGTTAATTCATGGTTTAAAATAAGTTGAATCTTATTTTTGACATATTTCATTTTGTACTTGGAGGGGTAAAAAGTAATTTTTCAGTCAAGAGAATGTTAAAACTTAACAGTCCATTATTACCCTTCTGGTTTGATGTATTGAACAAGAATTGCCAAGGTGGGTAAAATCCAGCTGGTGTCAGCAGATGATATGCTTATGTTCCCATTTCCACCTGAAAATCGTAATCAGTTTTTAATCATCACTTTCGGTAAGATCGTGATTGTTGAAGAAAAAAAGCCTAAAATGTGTATTTTTTAGATGGATTCTGATAACATGCTGATAGTCTGCAAGTAATGGAAATATGGAATGTTTTGTTGAAACAAAAACACCTGAAGAATTTTTTTAATGTGATATTGATAATTCCTTTTCATTTCATAAATGCAATGTCCTTTGATTAATTTCATATTTATCTTGTGTATTGTAGAATAGTAATTGCAAATTAAAAAACTTTTGTAAAATACATGTGAATAGTTGTAATTTTAAGTACATTTAATGTATATATGTATATTGCTGCTTGTGAAACATTAGTACTGATAAGTTTTTTCATGAAAAATATGTGGCCATATTAGTATATATCCTGGATTATTAATGACAACTAACACTTGTGCTTTCATATATCACACCTTGTTTGCTGAATGACTTTGTAAATATGTAAAGAGTGTTTTTTTTTTATGTATTTTGATATTTTTCAATGCAATATCTACCCTTCCTTATAACTATCACCTTGCTTTTTTCCCATCCAGTAAAAGAAAAAAGTGTGTTTTTTGTAATAAGTGATTACTATATGGGTCAACCATATTTATGTCTTTTCTAAACATTCTCTGAACAGAAACAAATACCTTATACAACTGAGATAAAGGTACCATAAGGTTGTATCAATGTATTGATAGATATCTTTTTAATTTCCATGAAAGATCAATTTATTTGAATGATTATCACCTTGCAATTGTTGAATAAGTTGTATAGATACACGTAGCCTTCAGGGAACCTGTTTCACAAAGCCTTTTTTCGATGACAAATGACAAAATCAGTGACAAATCTGCTGATAACCAATCAGAAGCAAGGATTTCACTAGCTTTTAACAAAAACTGTCATTTGTCACTGATGACAAGTTTTGTGAAATGGGGCCCAGGCGTGGAGTTCATTCCTATATTTCTCTAAAATAATATAAAGTGTATTCAGATAATTGATTAAGATGCAACATGAAGGCATGGAGTTGTTTAAAAGAGGTTGCATGTGCTGTGAATATGCTCATAGCCTTTGTAGCTAACTTATGGAGGAAGTGTCTCATTGCAATTTTAAATAAACAAATGACTTTTCAGTTGAATTGTTGCTGAAGAATTACACTATTTACTACTTTTAAAATATTATACTGCTGGTGTTCTTCTTTGATATTATTCTTTTAAAATGCTTTTGGGCATTTTGTGTATAGTGAATTTGAATTTTGTGATACTGAAAATCATTATTCTTGTATTTAATTTATAATTCTAGTGTATCATTTTTGTGAAAGTGTTATGTATAGATAATTGTGGCTTCAGCTTTTACTCATTTTGTTTTGTAAGATTTGGTATAAAGTATATCCTGTTCTATCTGTGTGTGCTGCTCAGTTTACAAAGTGTGTTAATATGATATTTTTTGGTGGGTTATGGCATCATGTACATGTATTACCAGATTATATGAGATTAAATGACAAATATTTTTTTTTTCCAAAAAAAAATATGAAGAAAAGGCTAACATTCAAAACAGTACATGATGTATGAATGGATAATTGTAATATTACGAAAGAATGTGAAACAAAAATGTATTAGCTTTTAAATATAATGATTATTATCAAAAATAAACACTAACGTATATGTTTTGTTTTTTATCATAAAGAAATTTGGTTAAACCGTCATACATGGAGGATAAGTGCATGTTATTTTTGGTATATACATGTACTTTTCAGAAAGGAAAGGAGCTGCATACATGTGTAGAAAGTAAACAGATTAAAAAAACAATTCTTTGTTTACATGTATATATCTGTAACCAGCGCTTTTTGATATTTTGAAGTGCGCTACACACATTCAAAATACAAATAAATATCAAACATTTGAGTCGGTATATATTTGATTTGTTTTTACCGTTTTGGTGAGAGAAAGAGAGACAGAGAGAGACAGAGATAATGGGCCTATTGTTACATACACATTAATCATGAAACTCACGTGATATAATATAATCATGCATAACCATCACATTGTTCGTATTAGATTCATATTTATTTACATAATGAAAGTATTTTGGAAGAAAATTTTGACATAAAGAAGAAAATTTCATGAAGCATACTTTTGAATACAAATACAAATGGAAGCTTGCAGACACACCATACTCTGAAATCTGAATAAAGTATTAACCTTTGTTGGTATTCAATGGAGAAAGAGAGAGGGGGAGGTGGAGTAAAATGAACGTGATAATACTTCATGTGCAAGAAGGAAAGAACAAAGAGAGGGGTCGGAAAGATTGAGAGGGAGAAAGTGGGAATAGAAAGAAAGTGACAAGGAGAGGGGAAGAGGAGATGAGAGGTACAGAGAGAGGGGTGTGAAGGGAGAGGGAGATAACAAAGAGACGCAAAATAAAAGCTGGTTAAGTTATTTGCTCTTTCCTAACTATAATGTATCTCAATCCTCGGTCAACAATGGATAGGACAGCTAGCCCCCTAGACCATTTTGATGGGGGGGGGGGGGGGCAGATGTATCTTAATCGTATCGGACCATATTGTCGACAAGCTATCAAAACAAAATACAAGAACTTAATTTCAGTGGTCCGTATTTCATTAATTCAGTTAAACCCGACCAATGATCTAAAATCACGTATAAATGAAAATGTAGACCTCATACTAACTCCATGCGTTTAACCCTACTTAAAAAACAAACAGCGTATGTTTAATTGGAGTTGAATTTGGGTCACAGGAGTTCCCTTGTTCATAGCGCAGGTTATGTCAAGTGGAAAAAACTCCGTCCCTCGGATAGGACGTTAAATGGAGGCCCCGTGTAGAGAAGAGTCATCACCTTTGCACGTTAAGAACCCACTGCACTATTCGTATAAGAGTAGGGGGAAACCCCGGTGTAGTGGTCCACCTGCACACCCCCAGTATATAGTACGATAATACTCTGTAAAAGAGGTCTGTACTCAAAAGGAAGAAGAAGAAGAACATGCAAAAACAACAGCAAGAACAAGTCATGTGCACCAATTTTTCTCTCCGATTTGCTGATAAGACTTGAATTTTTTTCGAATGACCGACAGAAAGTTTTGATTGTTATACTCTCCTTAAACAACATGATCGCATGCAACGCAACTCTTAAATAAAATTAATTCAAGAGCAATCCCATAGAACTCATGTTCGGATTACGTCACACGTCAGGATGATTGAACATGACTTGAACATGTCGCAGAGAAGACGCTCGATCGTGTTTCCCAGAGACTTGCTAACATGACTTGAACATGTCGCAGAGTAGACGCTCGATCGGGACGCTTCCAATGGTTCGATGAAAGTACAGGTTCTCAAGGGTCCTGAAAATTATGGGGAAAAAAGAGAGAGGAATAAGTAAAGCAGGAATTTTCCGTCTGAGAGGCATAGCCCCGAAGAAAGTAGCAGGCGCGGATCCAGGATTTCTCTCTCTTAAAAAAAGGAGTGAATTTTCACTCTATTTTCACTTTCTTGGGAGTGACGTCCGTGATCACTTGTTTAGGAGTGAAAATCGATTGATTTTAGAGTGCTCTCTAAGAAGAAAAAAGTGAATGTTCACTCTATTTTCACTACATTTTCACTCTCCAGAGGAGTGACGTCCGTGATCACTCGATTTTTTTAGAGAGCCAAATATTGGTACGTTATGGTGACCAGAAAAGACGTAATTGGGGGGGGGGGGGTGGGTGCAGGGCGAGTTTCCCCCTCCCTCCTCCGCGAAGCGCGGAAGCTTTGACATTTCAATAAATTATTAGAGAAAGAAGACGATTCGTTGTACCGTTCCCAAATATAATCCTCGTCTGAATTATGTTTCCCCCTCTCCCGCGCGAAGTGTGGAAGCTTTTACGTTTTATTAAATCATTAGAGAAAGAAGACGATTCGTTGTGTCGTTATGACTTTTAATCCTCATCTGAATTATGTTTCCCCCGCGCGGAAGCTTTTACGTTTCATTAAATCATTAGAGAAAAAAGACGATTCGTTTTACCGCTCTCGAAAATAATCCTAGTCTGAATTAAGTTTCTCCCTCCCGCGCGAAGCGCGGAAGCTTTTAAGTTTCATTAAATCATTAGCGAAAGAAGACAATTCGTTTTACCGCTATAAAAATTTTAATCCTCGTCTAAATTCAGTTTCCCCCCCCCCCTCCCGCGCGAAGCGCGTAAGCTTTAAAGTTTCATTAAACCATTAGAGAAAGAAGACGATTCGTTGTAACGTTCTCGACTCTTAATCCTTGTCTGAATTCAGTTCCACCCCCCCCCCCTCCTTCGCGAAGGGCGGAAGCCTTGACGTTTTGTTGAATTATTAGAGAAAGCAGACGATTCGTACCGTTCTCGACTCTTAATCTTTGTCTGAATTTCAAAAATGTGCTTTGTCTACTCCCTTTTCTTTCTACGTCCTTTTCCTTTTCACTCTTTTTTTTTTTTGGCCGGCGTTTTTGGGGGGACCACCCCACCGCCCCCCCCCCCCCCCCTGGCTACGCGCCTGCGGTCAGATGAACATACCTTGTCTGCCCCCGGAAGCTCAGGGGTTTACGGTCAGATTAGCATTCAGGGGTCCGCCTTTGGGCCCTAGGCGGGGTCCAGGGGGCAGAGCCCCGGAAGTTCAGGGGTTTTAGGCATTTAATTACGGTCAGATGAGCATTATTTTGATACCTAATTGTGTCACTTATTGGCGTGGGGTTCAGGGGGCGGAGCTCCCGGAAGCTCAAGGGTTTTAGGCACTCAATTACGGTCAGATGAGTATCAAGGGGCCCGCCTTAGGGCTCTTGGTTGGGGTCAGGGGGCAGAGCCCCCGGAAGCTCAGGGGTTTTAGGCGTTTAATTACTGTCAGATGAGCATAGGGCCCTAGGTGGAATCCAGGAGGCAGAGCCCTCGTGATTTTAGGCATTTAATTTAATCATGGTCAGATGAGCATATTTTGATACCTCAATATAAAGTGACACTGGCAGTTAACTATTTTTTTCTTTCTATTTCTCTTCTATTTCGACAAACGCATATAAATGTACAATTTACTTAAAAGTGAGGAAAAATCTGGGAATATTATGTCATTTCAGCATTATTTGTAAACCACCCTTACGGAATTAGAAATAAACCACGTTTGAATTAAATTTCCCCAAAGCCCCCCCACCCCCTCCCCTATCAGTACGCCAGTGCCCCCCCCCCCCCCCGATTTACACCTTGTTGACGAGAAAATTACAACTGATATCTCCTACCTTTCTTCATTCTATTTTTGTTCTTTCCCTTTCTCTTCTCTTTCCCTCTCCCTTCCCTCCCTTCTCTCTCCTTTAGGTTTGTTGGTGGGGGGGGGGCAAGGTCATTTTGGCCCCCACGCCGCTCCACACATTGTTGACTGATCTCCCCTTCTTTTCTCCCTTTTCTTTTCTTCTTCCTCTTTTTTGTTCCCTTTTAGCTCTCCTCTTTTCCTTTTCCTTCCTTCTCTTTTTTTTTTAGCGGGGACGGGGGGGGGGGGGCAAGGGCCTTTTGCCTCCCCCGATCCACAACTTGTAGGCGGAAAAATTGCAACTGATATCCCCCTTCTTTTCTTTTCTTCTTCCTCTTTTTTCCTTCTCTTTATCTCCTCTTTTTCTTTTTTCTTTCCCTTTCCTTCCCTCTCTTTTATTTTTTGATTGGGCATGTAACAGTGCAGGATATATTTGATTTATATGCTTTATTTAAAATAAAATAAAACAGCTACAGTGAAGCTTTTTAAATAATTTACCACTGTGGTAAATTATTTAAAAAAGCTAAAAATATAATCAAATCACCATTTTTCCGAATTAATATTCAATAATGGCAAGAAATATATGATTTAACTCCATAATTTGGGGGTTAATTTCAATGTTATTCATATCGCTCAGTCACATTAGTGTATTGAAGGACAATACACGCCATTAATGGAGGTCCAAATAATGGTTTCCTCCCACCTACAAGCTATCCGTGAAAACGTACGTTTGCGCGTGTCACATCTATCTCTTTCAATACGCTATGGGTTGTAATATTGCACGCACGTGCACATAATTATATAACCCCGGGGGGGGGGGGGGGCTACTCACATATTAGAACATACGAGGGTGTGCCTCTCTAATGGGTCACTTTTGCATAACAAATCCCTAAACATGGGTCCCACTTTAAAAAAAAATACCATTAAAAATGGGTCCGTTTTTTCAAACTTTGCAAACACCTTAAAATTTTCGAGAAAAATTACCCCAAATTACCCCTAATAATGGGTAGGGGTTTCGAGGCTTGAGCGACACACTCCCATCCAAACCTGAGCACCCCCCCCCCCTCCCCCTCCCCCCTTGGGTATATAACAAATCGTTGACACTATCTTCAGCCAATAGAATACTCGCTATTAACAATAATATTTTGAGCTATAAGGCTTCAACCATAACTGTTTGACCTTTGAGGAAACTAGACCGCGCACTGGAGGAACTGAATGGATAAGTATAATCTAATGGAGACGGAGGCGCAAGCTTATAAGACAAAAACATAATCATAAAAAAACCATAAACAGACATGCAGGCATAATCTGCATTTAGGTTTGGAAACAGTCTCCACAATATAAATGTTACGACTTACAAAGCTGCATGTATTGACAAAATGTGTCATGCATTGTAAACAAAGTGCAATTATTATCCTAAGCATAAAAGTGCAAAATGCAAAAGAATACTCGCTAACAATAAGATTTGTCCTATTTGTTTTTATAGAAGCTAGAGGAACTGAAAAGATATTACAATTTTTTATGGAGACCGGAGACGTTACGTTATAAGAATAAAATGTTATGACGTATAATAAATTAATAGCTGAATATATTGACAAAATGTGTGATTTAATGTGAAGGTCGGCTCAAGAACAATGTTATGCATGAAAAAGTGCACTTATTATCTTGAGCATAAAAGTGCAAATGCAGTTCATTGTAATTTGCCATTAAAGTCGATTTCAGAGAATATTGATCCTTTCAAGGCAAAGGTTTTCTTCTACAGGTAAGCAACCGATTCATTTACCATTTACTTTGGGCTCCAAAAAGAATGCAACGAATTCTAATTTTAAAGGATTCTCAAATAACGTTAGATTATTTTGGTCTAATCCAATGACCGGGGTAATAGTATATTTGTAAAGCGCTTAGAGACATTTGTATCAAGCGCTATATAAAAATTAAATATTAAATATTATTATTAATATTGGCAGATGAACAAGCCACGCTTATTAAGTCTGTTAAAGATATTATGTCCCTTTTGCAGCCAACATCAAATTCTGTAGAACTTTGTAGCAATTATGAATATGTCATGTATGTCCTATCTGTGAAGTTTAAACATTAGCAGTGTCCTAATATTCAAATTATGCAAGGAAACCCGTTTACTTGCTAGACTTTACTGTCAGACACTATTGAGTGACTGACTGGCTTTTTCTTCTTTGGTAATAGCATACATAAAATGAGCTGTAAAGGGTACATGAGCATTAGTCTACATCAATAACACACTTCTTGTAATGGCCCAAATTAAACTGATTGAATCTTTGCGTAGCATAAAACGTACGACCATTCGGTACAATGGTCTGAAAATCAGACTATTACTGTGGTATAGTGAGAAAAATTTGATTTGTTATCTTTAAGGCCACCTTAGACTAGACAGAGAGGGGCCTGTGTATTTGCCTCATTACACATATTCAGAACTCACATACTAAGTAGTTCAAATTGAGAGAGTTGTAATTATCCTGAATCTGGATTGTTTATGGAAGTGTAGGTTATTGATAGTATGGTTTGTTAAACATATCTTTGTTTAGACATATTAGGTTGCAGAAAGACTAAATAATTGATTTAGGCGGAAGGATATTAAGAGAGTGATTAGGCAGTTTGGGAAGAACTTTCTTGTGTCTACAGAAAGTTTAGTGCATTGTTCAACCAACTCAGTGAGGAGAGCTGATTGGCAATCAGAGTTTCGCAGTAGAGTATTCAGAATATTTCATGTTTCTGTCGAGGTATGTTAATTGATTTTTGTTATAGTGTAGAATAAGGACTATAGTCATGTTATTATTGATATTGAGTAGAAAGAATGAAGGAAAATGAAGTATTAATAGTGAAGGGATCGCATCACTGGTTAGAGGTCATGAGCACATACAGTGTATGGCCTAGTACATGATACACAATGTACACACGTGTAGTTCGTTGTGCATGAATGACCATGCGTCATCTCGTTGTAGTGGCTTTGTAAACGATGTAAGGCAGAGAATTTTATGTTTATTATAATGTTGATGAGTGTAAATACACATTTAATGTACTTGTATAGCTAAGTGTTATTTAGTTATGGTATTGAGTACTGTAGCTTGAATATAGTGCACTGAGGGAAGTTTGGAGGGATTTGATTAGATAGAAATGTTTGGGTAAAAGTCGAGTTAAGACTGTGTTGTGCTGTGTAAGTAATATTCTCAAATAAGATGGCAGCCTCCATGGGAAGGGTTTATGGTGCAGTTAGTTAAAAATAGGAGTCTACTTATTTCAGTAGATTGGTGTTGGTGCTTGATATAAATTATATCATACTATTATTAGAGAGTAGAGTTTATTAGGAGTTGGTGTATTATTCATTTAATTGATAGGAGTTCCTTTCGTGGATGGGGCTAGAGGTTCAACAGTTGTCGAGGTGTCGCTGATTGACCACGTTTCTGATTGAGAAATAGTTCTGGTGCTTGTTGGAGGTATGACAAATTGAAGCATTTGTTTACATTTCTGTATCTCTTAATCTAGATTCTTTAATACTCAATGTCTGAAGTTGAAGTAATATTGTCATTTTACTTAACGTTTGACTCTTTTATTTCATTGGTTTGAGTCTTTGATTTAATTGGTTCAGTTATTTGATAATGAACAGTGACAATTTTAGTAGAGTATAGATACCACATTATTCATCTGTGTATTGATATACTTGATGCATTTTTACGTTCATAAATAGGATTTAAATTGTTATGATTACATTATCGCATTATAATGTTTTGATGATAACAATTTGATGATATATAGTTGACTGGTTATTCATGGCAAGTAGTGATATTGTCTTTGTTCTAGATTCCAGCGTTTGAGTTGAAGAAGCTGGTTCCATTGTTGTCGTCGTAGCAACAAGTAGTTGTTTAGCAGTCCTAGTTGGGTGAGTCAGGATGGTAGAGCGTGATAGATAGTTTTGAACACGAACACTGCTTGTTATATTACTTCTGTTTCAGGTGTTGATAACAATGTGTTATAACGAATTGTAGGTAGGCAGTCAATGTACATTAATTAGACATTAATTAGAATGAATATCCATGACTATGCATATTTCAGGGGATTATTCTGATGTTAATCTTTAATAGAGTTGATGCTTTCATATTTTAGTGACCTATATTCATACTTTCAGTGAAGAGATTAGTTCGTCATATTTCACACCAAATAGAGGGAATATTTTGGAATGATAAGAAATACATTTTCTTCTTTTACATTGAATTACTCGCTCGATGAATATTGAAGTATCATTGACTTGGTTTTAAAGTGATGTACATTATTGTTGACTCTAAATTGTTGCATGAAAAGATTTTGAACATGTAGTTACTGATGTTCTTTCTTTTGTTGTTTCTTTTCTGCCTTTGCAGAGGTTTTTCTTCTTGTATCACACTTTATGCAGATAGCTCAAGTGGGAAATAAAATCCCGCTCATATCCTACAACCTCGAGTCGTGTCATTGTGTTCTGGTATTGCATTCTTCCTGACAACCGCCCCCCCCCCTTTCTCTCGACTTACCAAAATACTACAGTGGTGTCAGAAGTGGGATTGAACTTGAGCTACAGCGACGAGCATCGGAGGGAAGATTCGCTGAAGGAAGATACGACTTGGAAAACCTCCAGACTACAGGCGATGTGGGAGTAAACCATTAAATAGGTTTATCAGGGATGTAAGCTTTTTACAGTAAACGTAGTTAAAGTTTTGGATTGAAATATTGTTGTAAATGGATTTCTTTTCACAACTGTAAGCCAGCAGGTTCTGTCAATAGATTTCTTTTCACAACTGTAAGCCAGCAGGTTCCAATTGTTTTGAAGGGTAGTCAGCATTCAACAAAATTGACAGACGTACACAAGACGCAAGATGCCAGGTGGTGTTGAAGATGACCCAACTACGTCGGCAGGAGCTTCAGCTCAACCTCCAGGCCTCGCTGAGATGGTGGCAGCCCTTACAGGGGCCTTTCAGAACTTGTCGTCCCCAAGAGGTCTGCCAGCTGTGAAGTTAAGTAGGTTTAGTGGATTTCCCCATAAACAAGGAGACCCGACAATCAACGAATGGCTGCAGGAATTTGATGAGTACTGCAGTTACTACAAACTAGGAAGCAGAGAAGAAGCGAAGGTTCTGCTAACCCATCTTACAGACTCAGCCAAAGATGAAGCAAGATGTTACGACTCTTCAGTCAGGGAGGATAGTAAGGCTTTAAAAAAAGCATTGAAGTCACGTTATGGCCTGAAGGAAACGGTACAACCACTCAGCACAGAGTTACATGCTAGGGTGCAAAAGTCGGGGGAGACCTTAGCGGATTTCAGCAGTGGGCTTATTCGCCTTTACGACCGTATGGAGTCGGCAGCAAGCGGAGATGAAAGAGCGGCCCTGACCATGTTGCGGGACAACACCCTTAAGGAGCGATTTGTCACTGGAGTGAGGGACAAACAAATCCAGAGGGAACTCCGTCGCATACTGTTTTCTGCTGAGGGCAAGCCCTTCATTGACATGCGGAAGGAAGTTCTCCAAACGTTCCAGGATGACGACACAGTGACGTCAAGGCCCAGTATCAGAGAGTGTGAGGTAGAGACAGCGAGAGCATCAGTGACGGCTGAAGACCAAACTATCAAAAGCATGAAGAGTGAGATCACTGAGCTAAAGGAGACTTTGAAAGAGGTAGTTCAAGCCATGAGAGGAATGACCAACAATCCTAGGCAGAGTTCCACATCATTCTGCTATAACTGCAACAAGAAAGGGCATCTAAAGCGAGAATGTAATTCACCCACTCTCTGCTACGGATGTAAACAGACAGGGCATATGAGGAGGGATTGTCCAAGGGAAGTAGGGGTTCGACAATCGCCAAGCACTCCACGGATACAAGACACAACATCTCAAGAGGACCAGATGCAAGGGAATATAAGGAGCTTAGACGCTGGTGGGAGCAACAAAGTACCTAGCTTGGTGTCTACAAGTCCCAAGTCTGTAGTAGGAATAGCAGGAGTACCCACAGGCTGTATTTTAGACACCGGAGCAGAGGCTAGTTTAATTCCTGTATCCTACTATGAAGAGCAGTTGAAGGAAGTTCTTGGTCCCCTTGATGGTAGTGGGGCTGGAATCAGAGTTGTCGGCATCAATGAGAGCAGAGTGCCAGTGATTGGGTACATCCACACCTTCATCACTTTGAATGGGCAGTCCATTGATGTTGGGTTCCTAGTGATCAACGATGAAATGCATACCAAGAAGAAGACCGACTATCCTGTTCTCCTTGGATGTAATGCACTCCGGCCAGTAATACGAAGGAGAGCTTTTAAGGATGATGACGAAGATTGGAGACTTGTCGAGATGACCCTCAATCTGGCACGTGAAAACGAGAGCACTGCAACTCAAGACTCACTCTTGTCATCCAAGGAAAACAAAGTCCTTCCTCCACTGACGGTTCATCGAGTGGAATGTTTGATAAATGATGCACCCTCCTTCAATGAGAATATTCTGATAGGGCCAGATGAACAGGACAGCAGTGTAAACCCTCTAGTGCAGAAAGGACTGGATGTCTATGACACATGTACCAGAGTTGATGGACCAGACTTCCAGGTTACTGTTGTAAACAGATCCACCCAACAATTAGAGATCATGGAAGGTATGGTTTTGGCGTCTGCCACTGAGGTTAAGGAACACCATGAGATTATTGTGCAGGAAAAAGATGGGGTCGTTGAAGTCGATGTAATGAAGATAATGATTGAACCTGGTGCTGAGGTAGCTAGTAGTAGTACACAGAATGACTCTCAAACTCAGACTCCCCAAGAAGGCATGGAGCACACCTGTATGGATGGCGAGAGCATTGAATTGCCAGTAGGTGTGAAACTGGATCATCTCTCGGGAGAAGAAGCAGACTCCATAGCCCAACTTTTAGCTAAGCATCGATCAGCCTTTGCCAAGAGTGACATGGACCTCGGAAACTGTAAGGTGATCCCACATCAGATCCGAACATCGGATGGACCACCTATTCGCCTGCCCTATCGTCGAATTCCCCCTAACCACATGCCAGAACTGAAAGCCCTGCTGCAAGAGATGCTAGAGAAGGGAATCATCAAGCAATCATGCAGTCCCTATGCGAGTCCGGTAGTACCAGTGCGTAAGAAGGATGGATCGATGAGAATATGCATCGACTACCGGCAGCTGAATGCTCGTACAGTACGGGATTCCTTCCCCCTTCCGAGGATTGAGGAGACTCTGGAAGCCCTTGGAGGAGCTAAATTCTTTAGCTCTCTTGACCTCGCTAACGGTTATTTCCAAATAGCAATGGATGAGAACTCCATCGACAAGACAGCCTTCAGAGTTCCATGGGGTCTATTTGAGTTTTTGAGAATGCCCCAAGGATTGGTGAACAGCCCAAGTACCTTCCAGAGGGTAATGGAGCTAGTATTAGGAGATCTCAACCTGACCCAATTGGTGATCTACCTCGACGATATTCTTGTGTTCTCAAGTACACTGGAGGAGCACTTGACTCGACTGGAAGCAGTATTTAGACGACTAACAGAGTATGGTCTGAAGCTGAAAGGGAGGAAGTGTCAGTTCCTTCAAGAAGAAGTCCACCACCTCGGGCATGTCGTCACTGCCTCGGGCATATCCGTTGACCCTAAGAAGATAGAGACTATCAAGACATGGTCCGTACCCAAGACTACTTCTGAGTTGAGATCCTTCCTTGGACTTGCGTCCTATTATCGTAGATTTGTTCCAGGATTTGCAAGCATTGCTACTCCCATGCATGCTTTGATCGGTCATTGCCAGCCTTCCTCTAAGAAATCCAAGAAGCGACACGGAAGCACTTCTAGTCACACAAAAGACTTTGTTTGGACAGAAGAGGTGGATAAGGCGTTTTGTACGCTGAAGGATGCTCTAACGACCACACCAGTCCTTGGATACCCACAGTTTGGCAAGAAGTTTGTGGTGGAGATAGATGCCTCCCTCAAGGGACTAGGTGCATGCTTATCACAACACGGAGAAGATGGGGGACTACACCCACTTGTATACGCAAGCCGAGGACTTCGCCAGGCTGAGAGGAGTTATCCCGATTACTCAAGTTTCAAGCTAGAGCTGCTTGGTCTGAAGTGGGCGATAGCTGATAAGTTCCGGGAGTACCTTATAGGAAGTCAGGTCGAAGTACTCACTGATCATAACCCTCTAGCACACCTAGGAACTGCAAAGCTAGGAGCAACAGAGCAAAGGTGGGTTGCTCAGTTAGCCCCATTCGACCTACAGATCAGATATCGACCAGGAAGAACTAACAAGTGTGCTGATGCTCTCAGCCGTCGACCAGTTGAGTTAGAGCATGAAACCATGGAGCCATTGGTTAAGCAGGTTCTTCACTGTTCAGTGATGCCAGTCGAAGTAGAACAGAACATAAGTAATGATCAGCCAGTATCAGAGATGATGACACCTGGTGTGCTCCCATCGTATGACCTTGAGCAATTGTCAAGACTCCAGCAGGATGACGGAGGGCTGAGCGTTGTGTTGAGTCTATGGAGAGCTGGATGGAAACCAGGGGAGTTGATACCAAATAACACAGCTGAAGTGAGAGGTTGGCTTCGAGAATGGACACAAATAGTGGAGAAGCAAAAAGTGTTATTCCGACGAGTTATGATACAAGGGGATGTTGTTGATCAACTTCTTGTCCCAGTTAGTATTCGACAGACTATCCTGCAGGCCGTGCATGAAGGATGGGGCCATCAAGGTGTAACCAGGACTCTAGGCTTGTTGCGTTCAAGATGCTTTTGGCCAGGTCTACAAGGCGATGTTCGTCGACATATCAAGAAATGTTTCAACTGTACAGTGGCGAAAGCACCTACCCCCACAGTAAAGACACCAATGAGGCATCTGCTCGCATTCAAACCACTAGAGGTCCTTGGAATTGATTTTCTCAAGATGGATCGGGGAAAAGGAGGTTATGAAAACATACTCGTCATGTCAGATGTATACACCAAGTACGCGCAGGCTATCCCTTGTAGGGATCAAACGGCCCACACAGTAGCTCGAGTCCTCAGAGACAGCTGGTTCGTCCACTATGGAATACCACTACGGCTCCACTCAGATCAAGGGAGAGATTTCGAAGGGAACTTGATCCAGGAACTATGCGTCTTGTATGGTATTAAAAAGTCAAGGACTACGCCTTACCACCCAGAGGGAAACGGCCAGGTGGAGCGTTTCAATAGGACGTTGTGCAGCATCATCCGATCGATGGAGCCATCAGATAGGAGGAAGTGGCCCGAGACATTGTCCCATCTAGTGTTTATTTATAACACTACACCACATCGATCCACTGGATATTCTCCATACAGACTGATGTATGGGAGAGAACCATCCCTACCCATAGATCAACTACTGTCTCGTACTGAGCAATCATGGGACGAAGACTTTGTCGAGACACAGGCAGCTGCATTGAGCAGGATGAACAAACTTGTTGAGAAGAATCTTAAGGAGATAGTGTTAGGGAATAAGATCAAGCATGACAAGCAGGTGAAATCTTCTCCCTTGGAGGTTGGGCAGCAAGTACTACTGAAGAGGATGGCCTTCACGACGAGGCATAAGCTAAAGGACAAGTTTTACCGAGATCCGTATGTCATTGTTGATGTCAATAGAGAAGGTGATGTCTATAGTATTCGTCCAATTCATGGCGGGAAGGTAAAGACAGTAAACAGAAAACTACTGATCCCTGACCCAAGGAGTAGTAACGCAGTAGTTGAACCTCCCATTCAGATATGGCAGTCGAATGATGAAGATAGAAGCCAGTCCAGTGATAGTGGAACTGATGAGTCCAGCAGTGAAGAGGAAGGACATGATATATTCCAATTTTATCCTCTATCTTTAAATGAGCAAGAAGCAGCATGTCAAGTACAGACTCAGAATACTCGTCGTTCAAATAGATTAACAAAGGGGGTACATGGGAATCCTTACCATCTTCCACGGTCAACTCTTCCTAACAGTTGAGATATATATCACTTGTGAAGCATGATTTTGTACATTGTATAGTTTTTGTGCTATGTTTCGATATTTTGTGATATTCCAGCTATATCCTTGTATAAATGATGTATTATTGAGGGCAATAAGTGTTTGTCAGGATGGATTGTGGTATAGTGAGAAAAATTTGATTTGTTATCTTTAAGGCCACCTTAGACTAGACAGAGAGGGGCCTGTGTATTTGCCTCATTACACATATTCAGAACTCACATACTAAGTAGTTCAAATTGAGAGAGTTGTAATTATCCTGAATCTGGATTGTTTATGGAAGTGTAGGTTATTGATAGTATGGTTTGTTAAACATATCTTTGTTTAGACATATTAGGTTGCAGAAAGACTAAATAATTGATTTAGGCGGAAGGATATTAAGAGAGTGATTAGGCAGTTTGGGAAGAACTTTCTTGTGTCTACAGAAAGTTTAGTGCATTGTTCAACCAACTCAGTGAGGAGAGCTGATTGGCAATCAGAGTTTCGCAGTAGAGTATTCAGAATATTTCATGTTTCTGTCGAGGTATGTTAATTGATTTTTGTTATAGTGTAGAATAAGGACTATAGTCATGTTATTATTGATATTGAGTAGAAAGAATGAAGGAAAATGAAGTATTAATAGTGAAGGGATCGCATCACTGGTTAGAGGTCATGAGCACATACAGTGTATGGCCTAGTACATGATACACAATGTACACACGTGTAGTTCGTTGTGCATGAATGACCATGCGTCATCTCGTTGTAGTGGCTTTGTAAACGATGTAAGGCAGAGAATTTTATGTTTATTATAATGTTGATGAGTGTAAATACACATTTAATGTACTTGTATAGCTAAGTGTTATTTAGTTATGGTATTGAGTACTGTAGCTTGAATATAGTGCACTGAGGGAAGTTTGGAGGGATTTGATTAGATAGAAATGTTTGGGTAAAAGTCGAGTTAAGACTGTGTTGTGCTGTGTAAGTAATATTCTCAAATAAGATGGCAGCCTCCATGGGAAGGGTTTATGGTGCAGTTAGTTAAAAATAGGAGTCTACTTATTTCAGTAGATTGGTGTTGGTGCTTGATATAAATTATATCATACTATTATTAGAGAGTAGAGTTTATTAGGAGTTGGTGTATTATTCATTTAATTGATAGGAGTTCCTTTCGTGGATGGGGCTAGAGGTTCAACAGTTGTCGAGGTGTCGCTGATTGACCACGTTTCTGATTGAGAAATAGTTCTGGTGCTTGTTGGAGGTATGACAAATTGAAGCATTTGTTTACATTTCTGTATCTCTTAATCTAGATTCTTTAATACTCAATGTCTGAAGTTGAAGTAATATTGTCATTTTACTTAACGTTTGACTCTTTTATTTCATTGGTTTGAGTCTTTGATTTAATTGGTTCAGTTATTTGATAATGAACAGTGACAATTTTAGTAGAGTATAGATACCACATTATTCATCTGTGTATTGATATACTTGATGCATTTTTACGTTCATAAATAGGATTTAAATTGTTATGATTACATTATCGCATTATAATGTTTTGATGATAACAATTTGATGATATATAGTTGACTGGTTATTCATGGCAAGTAGTGATATTGTCTTTGTTCTAGATTCCAGCGTTTGAGTTGAAGAAGCTGGTTCCATTGTTGTCGTCGTAGCAACAAGTAGTTGTTTAGCAGTCCTAGTTGGGTGAGTCAGGATGGTAGAGCGTGATAGATAGTTTTGAACACGAACACTGCTTGTTATATTACTTCTGTTTCAGGTGTTGATAACAATGTGTTATAACGAATTGTAGGTAGGCAGTCAATGTACATTAATTAGACATTAATTAGAATGAATATCCATGACTATGCATATTTCAGGGGATTATTCTGATGTTAATCTTTAATAGAGTTGATGCTTTCATATTTTAGTGACCTATATTCATACTTTCAGTGAAGAGATTAGTTCGTCATATTTCACACCAAATAGAGGGAATATTTTGGAATGATAAGAAATACATTTTCTTCTTTTACATTGAATTACTCGCTCGATGAATATTGAAGTATCATTGACTTGGTTTTAAAGTGATGTACATTATTGTTGACTCTAAATTGTTGCATGAAGAGATTTTGAACATGTAGTTACTGATGTTCTTTCTTTTGTTGTTTCTTTTCTGCCTTTGCAGAGGTTTTTCTTCTTGTATCACACTTTATGCAGATAGCTCAAGTGGGAAATAAAATCCCGCTCATATCCTACAACCTCGAGTCGTGTCATTGTGTTCTGGTATTGCATTCTTCCTGACAACCGCCCCCCCCCCCCCCCCTTTCTCTCGACTTACCAAAATACTACATTACTTACTGGCTCTATAGCTCTTTATGTCGATTCGACAACTAATAGTTGTCATTTTCCCACTTAAAGACATTTTCAAGCACCCTCCCCCCCCCCCCCCTTTTTTTTTTTTTTTTAGGGAAGTTCTAAATTAGTATTATATCTTTCAAATGCCGTTGGAATTTAACCTTTTCATTTTTTTTGGCCTGCAAATGGGACATTGTATCTTTAAGGCCCACACATCATTGATCCAACTCAATGTGTTTACCGTTTATTTTCGCAGTACGATGTCAACCTGGTCAGGCACGTCAAAGACTATTCCAGACTGTGACGCAGACTTGCATCAGTCCAGTGACGTCTCGTGTACAACGGGCAAAATCTAACATACATACTTACTTGGAGCGCACACTGCGTACAGAGGGTAGAAGCAAGAGCAATTTTCCAAAGCGTGCCCTCTGCGTCAAGTAGTGAGCATGGTTATATTCAGCTAAAGTGAGTTGTGTCTCGTCCTGTAGTCTCTCGACTGTCATCACTTCACGAAGACCCCGAGAATCTATTAAAACAAAATATATTGAAAACAGTATTTATGAGTGCCCACAGTGAGATGCGATAACTCTATTTTGCTTGTCAGTTCTTTTTCAGCATTTTGTGATATATACCGCCTTCGGAGAATCCTGAATATGCCACTACCACAAAATATGTATATATACCTGGTCTAAACAAGGTCAAAGCTTTGAGGCATGCGAATTCCATCGGGTCTGCCTGTAGCTCCCTCACTCGGCACACGATGTCTTGCAGGATTCTGACGTCATGCTGAATTGACGTATCTGATTGGTCTTTCTTTAGCGAGTTGAGCGTCTCCGCGCTGACTAGCTGCCCTGTAAATCAAGTGAAAAACACATGAATGATAAGATTGTGGTTGATTTAGGGATTACAACCGGCCCATCTCCCTCCTCTTTAAACGAACGTGGCGTACCCTAAGTTTACAAAAGAGAAATGTGGCCACATCTTTCAAATTCTCAACCCCAAAAGGCCAACAGGATAGTTAAGAGAGTTTATTGTTAGATTGTACCCCGGATTGTAGCCTCCTCTCTTTACAAAACTACCTGGATCCGCCTCTGGTGGAATGAGAAATCAGTGGAAAGCATATCAAGATTTTTTTCATCAGGCCTTTCTATTTCATAACCAATTACATGTTACTGCATTCGTTAAATATTTGAAGAAGACAACAAATTCTTTGCTTAATGGAAGTAAACACTGAACACTGAAAGTAAAAGCAAATGAAACAGTGAGCTGATTACACGACGTGAGTTATGTCTTGTGTCTTGTTCTTCAGATCATACCCCAATTTTCACATTTTCGGTAGACAAATTTCAGAAGGAAACATGGTAACGCTCATTATAAAAGAAGTCACATTATTTACATGAGGTTGCCTTATTGGCATCTTTATCATGCTTAGATGTGAACGTGCTGATGAGGTGACGTGGAATGTATAATATGGGACTCTCTTTATACTGCGTTCTAAAAGTGGAAAAGAATTAATCCCAATGGACATATTAAGAAAGATAGGCTACTGTAGCTTGGATATGGGGCGTGGGGCATGCCCCCGCCCCCAAGAGTAACATGAATAAATACCTGAATGAATACATACAAAAATACGTAAACAAATAAAGAGGAAAATTAAACACAATAGAAAGTGAAAGAAGTAAGAGATTAGGCCATAGAAGAGAGATTACACACCCCTACCATTTACCCCCTATATCCTCGCTTTTATCACCTAAAATAATGGTCTTTCACCAGTGCCACCCCCTCCCCTTTCACGCTGTTCTCGTGATATTTTGTGCCACCTAACGGCTATGCCCACATTACACCTATGGTAATAGTCACTTTCATCAAATGAATTATGCATACCGCATTCTGCAGAAAGTGACCACTGGCAGGCCCCCAGGACGAAGAGTTCTCCCCACGACTCCTCCAGTAAGATGGCCTGATCGCTGAACGGGAGGGTCAAGAACGCCGGCATACCCCGCGCCCACTTCACCGTCATGAACAGCAGACGCGCGGCCCCCTCGTACAGGAGGTCATGTGATGTCAATGGCGTGTTCCTATTGGGCGAGACGGAGTAAGGGTGAATGATGGATGACCCCGGAAGTGGTAGATAGGTGGGCTTGCCTGAAAGACAATATAGCATGAAATCTTTATTTCGAATCATGACTGTTACGACATAGTCACATTACGCTGACAATATTTTCACCAATTTATTAACGGATATAGGTGCTGTCATCTGAGACGGTTGTTCACCTATGGGTGAGTGTTAAAATCTCAATGGTACGACACTTAAAGATAAAGTTGAGTTCTGGTCTTGCGATTGCATTGTGTGTACTGCAAGGTTCTGGAGTCATCAAACTGATAAGAAATTTGGCCCAGTCTTGGTAGAGCTATAACCACTGTACACAGAAAGATGTACATGGGACTACACAAACATGTAGCATAAAAATCTGTCCCGATTTCATGCTGTTACATGCCATATTTAGAATATTAAGGCATTTGAAGAGCCATGCGTTCCAGGGACCATTTTTTATCTGATGTTCTTCCACACTTGCATAATAACAATGATAACGCTCACAAATTATTTTTCACCTCTTCCCAGAACTCAACCTTCTCTTTAGGTCGATTATATAGATAAAACTTTGCCTTACTATCCTGTTTCTCCGACATGTTGTCCTTGGTCGCACAGGTACCCGTTGCTAACCGCTGTACGTCCATGAGGTGAGGCAAATGAACCTGCTGATTGGTTAGTGTTGTCGGAGGTCCGAACATTCCTGCAACTTGATTGGTCAGTTTTGGCGGGAGTCGAGACATGTAATCTGGCACGACGGGAACGAAACAAGACGGCTGCTCCGGTGCGAAAGGCATCATGGGACGTTGGTGCTCGGCAAGCGATGGTATTCTGGGGACTTGGAAGCTGGATTTCGCTGACGAGCTACTATCTTCCATAGGTGAGCTGTGGGAATGGGTAACGGGAATGTTGTAGGGGCGAGCGAAACATCGAGGGGCCCGCTCGTGCTGTACGGCTGGTGTGAAAAGATAGGCAGATAGAGGGAAAGGGAAGAAAAAGAAGATGATGAATAATAAACTTAATAGTAATGAAATGAAGAAGAAAAAGAAGTAGAACAAGAAGGAGAAGAAAAGGAGGAAAGGAAAAGGAGGAGAAGAGGAAATAAGAAAACGAGGATAAGCGATATAAGGGGGGTAAATTAAAGAGAGAGGGAGAGTAAAGAGGGAGAGGGAGAGGCAGGGAGAGAAAAGGGAAAGAGAGAGAGAGAGAGTGGGTGTGTGGGAGAGACAGAGAGAGAAAAAAGAAATAGAGAGAGGGGCACAAGAGAGAGAGAGAGATAAAGAGACATGCAGGTAGATGAGAAAGACAGATAGAGAAATAGGTAGACAGTCAGGGAGAGAAACAGGAAGCAGAGAGGATAAACGGGGAAAAGATAGAAAAGGAAACAGAGTGAGACAGAGAGAGAGAGAGAAAACAAAACCCAGATATATTTCACATGTGGCTCAAACAGTTAATGATTGACTGTCAGCTATCACCCTCATTCCGCTACTACAAGTGTTAAATTATTGTATTGACATGCAAATATTGGAAATTCATTGTTTGTGGGGGCAAAAGACCGAAGCATACGCTAAATGTTAATCAATAGAAGTGAACGAACAACTCTGCAATAACCAACCAACAAACTGTAGTTAACACGAAACCAATCGATTCATCTATATTCCACATCTGTTCCACAAGTTGATAATAACCATAATTAGTACAAAAACACTATTCTGTGGTTCTCAGGTCAACTCACTTTAGCACTCTTTTTTCAAGCTGAAGATTCCATGATGGTGTTTTAAAGGGGTTACACGTGATTTCTCCTTCATTCTTCCCTTCTTTTCTTCCGTTTCGGCCCCGTCGGCCTTGTCGGAAAATCTAAACAAATATATGTTTTCTTCTGAATCTTCTTTTGTTGGATGTTTCCCTTCTTTTGGCGAACACTTGTTGGTAATTGTGGTCCAAAACCTTTGAATTTGATTTACTTTTTTTTTCTTCTTACACATCCACAGCTAACCCCCGCCCCACCCCTTATCGCCCCATCAACGCTCAAAGACCCGCTGCAAAAACCATATACCATTTTTCACAGTCAAATGAATCCCCCTTTGTCAAATCCATTATTAACACCTATTATAATATTTGATAGTTACAGTATTAGTGTTTGCAATTCGCAGAGCATACTTGAATATAGTATTTCATATTTAGTACTGATATAATATGGGATGACTGATGGCTGGAATATTGATCGCTAATAATGAATTGCTCGCGAAACAGTAACAAAGTATGAAATGCAATATGAGCCAGTGTATTATATTGGTTTACCATGAGAGCCAGGCAGTGTTGAAGGAGTCATTAATAAAACTTAATAAGTATTATACGGCCAATTCATATTGAAGGTAGCTGCAAAATTGAGCATTTTATAGATATTTACCTGGGGTAAAAAGAAGTTTTGATCAAATTTGTGGACACATCTTTATATCGAATACACTTGATTTCAAATAAGCTCGTCGTTGCAGCACTAAACCTGAATTTGAAATAAATCAATTCGTGATTTTGCCCCTCGGAATGGCAAAATTTCGAAATTGTTTCAATTCTAATTCTACCTTTCAATATCTCAATTATCGTTCTGCTCACAAAATTTAATAAATATTGCATAACCTTTAATTTACTTCGATGATTGTGACACAGAACGATAATGTAGAACAGGTATGTGCCTACTTCTCATTTTTCTTTATTTTAAAAATGTATAAATATAAAAACGCCTTTTGATATTCGTCCTTTTAGTTACATGTTGGAAAATTTGGAGAAAATGTAATTTCGGTACATTTGGGCCGACACGCATATTCCTCCCCTCAAGCAATTCAAATTACTGTAGCTTCTGTCTCAAGATAATGGAAAAAGAAACATAATGTTACATCGTCTTTATCTTCAACCTTCGATCTCTTTACATTGCTCAAAGACTGCGCCTTACGATGATTTAATCTTAAAGAGTATATAGGCATTGTTTTTGTGTTTTTTTGCAACAAAGATCCCTACATGATTGTATATAACACAATTTCTTTCTTAAATCAATAAAAGTGTGTACAGGGCATTGCCACGTTATGAAAATTATCTTTATCAACATGGTATATCGCACTGTATCATAATAAACTTAAAAATTAAAGTCAAAATGGAAGAAGAAAAAATGAGGAGAAGAGAAAGAAGGGGAATGAAAGAAAGAAGAAGGAAGAAGAAGAAGAAGAAGAAGAAGAAGAAGAAGAAGAAGAAGAAGAAGACGTATATCCAGAAAATGAAAGAAAGGAGAGGAATTAAAGTTGAATAAAGTAGAAGAGAGGAATGAAGGAAAAAGAAAAAGAAGTACGAGGAGGAGAAGAAAAAGAAGTAGAAGTATCAAAGCCTATAACAATAAAGAAGAAAATGAAAAAGGAGACGATCAAAAGAGAGAAGAACAACAGAAAAAGGGAAAATAATACGACAATTACAAACGATAATAATGACGACTAATGTGATGATGAAGAGAGGATGGATGAGAGGGGAGGAAGAAGGGGGCGGGGTGAAGTAGTATAAAAAGACGGAAGGTAGTGCGTCAGCAGACAAATTCAGCTTAGCTTAAAAGAGAAATATTCATCTTTCATTTGTTTGCGGCAACTGTTGGAGATGATCATCAAAGCCATGTTAATCATTAAAAATATGTTGCGATGTAAATCCCTATTATAAGTTGTTATTGCATGGTCAGGATGGTTGTAAATATAATTGTGGTGATATCTGAAATAAATACTAGCGGGTAAAGGAGCATTGAAATTGGAAGATAACATACCATCAAACATTGGGAACGGGGCACCCCTACCCCTCCGCCGCTCTCCGCCACAAATACATGTTATTGGCACGTACAATGTGGCAGCTCGTACTTGGACGCGTGCCCTGCATAAACATTGATCACATTAATCCGACTTATCTGAACGATAAAGATTGACGTAAGTGATTACATCTCTTTCCATCTCTCTCTCTCTTTCTCTCTCTCTCTCTCTCTCTCTCTCTCTCTCTCCCTCTCACCTTCTCAGTCTATACTAATCATTGGATCTTTCCATACAATACTTTATAGTCATAAACGTGTCCATCACTTGTTTTAAAGACTCGGTGCGTCGATGAAATATTTAGAATGAGGGGGAAAAAACAAAAAAACAATGGAAGACAGGGGGATAAAAAAAGGGCATAACATATTACAAATTGCCGAGAAGGGCAGAATGTATGTTTGCAAATATTCCTACTAAAATCTGAATGGATGTGGTGGTGCACATGTGCACGTGATAGTAGCAGTTAAAGGGGTGGGTGAGAGGGTGACACCCTTTCTACCAATCTTCTTTTTTTTTTTACATTGGCCATAATCATACATAACGTCCTAAAATTTCTCTGAAGCAGTGGCGGTTCTAGGGGGTGTTGGGAAGGGCTCAACCCCCTTGTAAGACCCCACCCCTCTCGATTAATCTTCTAGAACCGCTTCTGTTCTGAAGAGTCTTGTGATTGGCTTCCGAGTCAGCACCCCAAAATACTTCGCAATACCAAGGAGCTTGCCAAGGATTTCCTTTGGGAATACTAAGATTTCTGCAGAATGGTACAATCTAATTCAAGACTTTTCATGTTTTGAGGTCTGCAAATAGTAGAGCTATTACTGTAAGTAGATAACAAAAGAGTCGCGTGCGCTTGAAGATTACAAAGCGCTTATATCATTAAGTAAACACACCCTCTTCATTGTTTTTTATTATTATCAAAGTCACGGAAATCTTAAGCAAATTTGCCTCTCGTTTAGTATAACCGCATACTTATTATCAGCAAGAAAACATGTTATGATCCCACGTCCATTGACCGTTAGACTTTATTAAGTCATCTGAAACCAATAACAGTTGGCCACAAGCTAGCTATTAAGCTAATCGTTCAAAGACTAATCTTAAGATGATGTCGTGTATCGAAAATAGTTTTTTTGAAAGTTGACAGCTTGATACGAAAAAGTAACGAGGAGTATGAGAGATATTGGAAGAGAAGATGGTTTTGAGTTCTGCTTTGACCCGTTAAAGTTCATGTGAAACCACACAGGCGTTGCCTACATACTATATCTATTAACCTAAAGCTACGGTCACAAAGGTTCGTACGATGCGTTCGTACGAATCTCCCTGTTTTTCCATTGTCTTCCCGAATTTCCATTGTCTGAAAATCATTCGTATGGCATTCGTAGCAGTTCGTAATGGCATTTGTGACAGAGGCCTAACCATGCTAACTGCTCAAAGACTAATCTTAAGACCCCATCTCTCCTCGAAAATACCGAACTTAGATGACGACCAAAAGATTCTTAGTAATACAAGATGAAATTAAGAAATACTGCAATGATGAAATATTTAGAAGAACAGTTCGTCCAGAACAAGTTAGGGAGAGTCTCAGAAAATGCCATTAATACAACAGAGGAGGTAACATTGGAACGTTGGAACAATTTGACTTGACATGAGTCAGTCTAAATATAGCTATTAACGTAATCGCTCTAATTCGAATGGATGATAATATATCCGAAAATATCGAATGTAGAATACGAGGAAAAGTTATGTAAAATCCGAATGTAAGAAATACAGCGAGGGGGTGGTAAGAGTAATACAAGTGACCCGGTGAAGTCATCTAATCAGTCATTATGCAGCTCTTAACCACATCGCTCGCAGAATAATGTTATTATGAAGTCATATTTCGGAAATACATACATCTCCTTTTATATTTCAAAATTAGAAAACGACAAGATGTATGGCGAGTGTAAGAAAGAACCAGATGAAGTCCTATAGAACAAACTAGAATTGGCCAGAAGGTATAGCTATTATATCCTAATCGCTCAAATACTGAACTATATAAAGACGAGATCGAGAATAGCTTCTTCAGAATTACTTGCCAAAAAGAATGTTTAGTAAAAATGACGAATTCAACAAGGATGACATTGTTAGAACAATAGTTTGACACGGTAAAATCATCTAGTCATAGTAATGAGAACAAAGACAACTCAAAGATGTATGGGAAGTTGTATGGAACTTTTACCATTCTGTCACTTTTAACATGTTCTTGCAAGCGTCCATTGGCAAGATAGTAATTACCTACTTTTGCCACTCTTCACCCAGGTGTTAAATAGGTACCTGGTAAGAAGGATTTGTTGAAGTGCACTAATTTTGATAAACACAATAAGCCCTAGCCTCGGACATTTTCGACGGCGAATGTGCTCTATATCTGTATAATAACTATTGCACCAGACAATTAAAGAACTACAAAAACAGTGTGCCCTCATTTGGCGATTTAGATCAAAAGTAATGTATTTAAGATTCATTGCTTTGATACGCAGTTTTGGAATAACATAGGTCTATATTTTGTATCAACGGACATTTCCTGTAAAAATCATAAAGCTTCCTTTAATTGAAGGAGGAATATTCATTTATTGTTTATTTCCTTACCATCTCGGTTCATGTTGACAGCAAGGCATTTCCGATACCTGCAGGCCTGGCACTGGTTCCTCCTTGGGACATTGACGATACACCGGCCGCCATCCCGACAGACATAGGCCAGGTTTCGCCTCACGCTCCGCTTGAAGAACCCACGGCATCCATCGCAGCTGTACACGCCATAGTGGCGCCCTGAACTCCTGTCCCCGCACACTTGGCATGGAATGTCCAGTCCTCGCTCACCTCGCACCGCTGCTCGGCCGGGGTGGACTGATTGCGCCTTTCCGGTGGTGGGGTTGATGATCCCGCTGGGGTTGCTGATGCTAGTGGTGCCTAAACCTACGAGAGATGACACCGTGAATTGACTTGGTGGTGTGGGAAGCTGCGGGTCGACGGAACTTACAGAAGATGCGTTACCAAGGTGGTGGATGCTGATCATGTTATCAGCCACATCTATGCTCGTTTCACTTGCTGGAGTATTTGCATTTGCACTTCCACTCGATGAACTAAGGTTCGGAGACTGTCTTGGGGAGATGTTGACGTCACAATGGTTAGGTGAACCATTCTCACTCCTGCAAGTGGTCTCTGTGGGTGTATCATCACAATTCTCTGGAGAAACATTCATGTGTCCCTCACGAATTTCAGTATCATGGCCTTTCTCCTGTAACATTGTAGGTTTGCAGTCTGCTTCAGGTGGCTGCACATCAGTCTTACTTTCTAGAGAAGTCGAGTCCTCGTCTGGTTCTTCTTGATGAATGGTCGGAGATTGGCCTTGCAGCGAACAACTAGATGAATCAGAAGACATTATGAAGGCCAATGGTTTGTTCCAAAGGGAAAGGAAATTGTGATACACAATTAAAAATAAATGTCACAACTGAAGTTTCTTGAAGACAATACTGAAAATGAAAAGTGTACGTTTGGAAGACATAAGACTGACAAGCGAGTTTATGAGTACATTTGCAATAATCAAATGCATTTGAAATTAAATCTGATACACAGCATTTAATTGGAAAGGTTCGAAATTCCTATGCACATGTCACTTCAAAGCTGCACTTCAGAGTAATGAACCAGGCACCAATCGGCAGAAAGAAAAAAAACTCGAGTACACAAACCTGTTGGCAAAGCTCGAAGTGTCAGCTGCAAAATGAGCAGCTCCACGACTGATTTTATTCATAGATTTCATTCTGTGTCTGGATTCTCACCAGGGTACACAATCATCATCGATAGAGCAATGATGAAGAAAAACAAAAGGCACCCGATTAGAAATCTATGGATGAGCTGGGAGAAATCTAGTCCGGCTTTACAACGGATTGTCCCAAAGATCAAATTGTACTTTTTAAAGATTTGGGTAACGATGTTGATGATAACAATTAACGGTATCATCACTAGTAAAACGAAGAAAATAATGATGATGGTGATCATGATGATAAGGTTTTGAGAATAAAAGTGATGAAGACGATGATGGTGACGACGAGGATGATATCTTTATAAGAAAAACTGATACTGCTTTCGTTACGAGGATGACAAAGTCAATCAGGAGAAAGAGAGAGAGAGAGAGAGGGTAGACAGGGAGGAGTAAGATAATAATAATAATTATTATTATGTTGATCTTGTATCAAATTCATGTTTCATTTTACTTGTTTTGTAAATAATATATATGTATTTTAAAATGGAACAATAAAGTCCCTCTGAAGAGGTAAAGAGAAACAAAAATAATAGGAATTTGAATAGCGCCGTCTATCTAGACAATGCTATTCCGAGGCGCACAAGAAAAATAGAACGAATGAGAAAGTTTGGACGAGAAAGTTCGGATGATATTGAGAAGGACGATCCCTCGACGATAATGTTGCTAACTGCTGCTGCTCGTGCTGGTGATAGTGGTTCACTTGATTCAACTAATTCAATAACATTGATGTTGCAAATGATAGATAAGAATGCAAGAAATATAGGTTTCGTAGGGTCCTCTCTAAGTAACTATAGTCAGGTGATAGTAGAATACAGATTATGTTGATAATAGATATTTTGAGAATGATGGTTACATCTTTGACCAGGTTTCGTTGTATATATCAGAGTATTTCAAAGTATCTGGATCAAGGACAAAGTATACTCCTTTTCATTGGAACAATGTTCAGTTCGGGGATTAATACATTTTAAAGATAACACGGAGACTAGTTTAAATAGAGGAGGACACCATTTTACGAGACAGAGGTTTTGTAATAGAACGTGGGAACTATGCAATGTGACGCCGCGAGACCAGCCTCTGACTGCATGCACTTTGGTTATACGTATCGTGATCGGGACTACCACTGACTACGAGAGATGAAGGGAGGGAGGGAGGGAGGGGTATTCCTTCTGATTTGGGGTTGCAATCTATTGGGGGTCAAGGTGGGAGGGGTTTATTCCACTACGAGCACTGGCGAAATTAAGGGGCACAACCGGCCCGTACCCCCATTTTGAAACCTTAGTGCTATACCTAATGTCAACCTTCACCCAATTTACAGGCAGTGGATCTGTCTCTTTTTAAATTATCTATCTGTTGTAGTATATTTGACAAAATTACTGAATTGTAAATGCATACACAATATGCGCACCGAAATGATAAGTTAATTTAATGAATAGGGTATATGGCAAAATGATCGCTCGCTTCGCTTGCTTCGTTTTCTCCCAAACCTTACAACCTAAATAGTTGCTATTTTTGGGCAAAAGACATCAGACCATTGCGAATTTTGCCCATATGTCCACTGGGATACCCTTGTCCTTTCCATTTTATGGCTACGCCCCTGGTTGATTGAAAAGGAAAATGGAAATGAATGAGAGGGGGCGGAAATATTCGAGAGACACGGAACGAGACCACAAGACAGAAAAATAAGGATACTCTCAAAAACTATGTATAGGAACTGAAATCACTTTATGGAGGAGTTTTATTACATTATAGGGATCCAACGCTCTAAAAGAGGGGATTTTACTCCCAAAGACGATTTCAAACCACTCATTTGGACCGGGTTCACTACAATTCGGAGTGGATTCAACTCGAATGGAAGTGGTTCCCGATAAGATTCCTACATAAGTCAATTTCGAACCCTTTGCATAAAGAGAGTATATAGAAAGGAAACAGAAAGATATAGATTCAAAGATCAAGAGAGACGAAGTGAAAGAAAGGATATGCTCTATTACTCAAATTCGAAAGCGAAAGATCGTTGGGGAAATTTATCATCAAACTAATCTGTTGTCATTTCGCGAATAACAGTTTCACTTTTTTGTTGGTAATTTGTAAACTAATATATGGTATGTAATCAAAGTTAAATGGATAGATAATCAGAGAGGTATCGTATATAGTTTCAATTGTCGTAGGACAAAAAGGCAAAATCGGGTGAGGTCTCTATGAGAGAGGTTCGTTGTAAATAAGTAGATATGCTAACATCTGTTTCTCGTGATATCAATAATATATTGTTGAATGAAAGGAAACAAAATACGGCAATTAGGAACAGAACCGCTTATAGATTGTTCACTTGTTAAAGACGGCTGTTCGTAATGTTCTATGTTTCTTCTCCAATTGCCTATAATTACATTATTAACTTCATTTCGCAAATGACGATTTGCATTTCACTGATAATGATTATAACTATCCCATTAAATTACATTACTCACCCAATCATTTGAATCATTTTGGGAAATAGTGAAAGAAGATAAGAAAGTGCAATTAAAACGTAGCAGAAACAGGAAGGAAAAGAAACAAACAAACACACAAGATTTCACACGTAATGCTGTATTGTGTTTACATAATTCTTGTAATGTTTAATTCATTAAAATTCTGTTTAATATAACAATATGGTCTCATGACTATGAATCATATTTGAACATTCCCCATCCTCTGTTCGCTTTTTGTATTTTCATTCCATCTTTCTTTCGTTTTCAGAAAAACTGATCACCTATCCTTCTGTTTTTTTTTCTATTCCTTTCGTCCAGATTTTGTTCATCATAGTGTTGATAATTAAAGACATACAATGACTATCAACAAGAAAAGTACTGTCAAATTATGATTTTCATAGGAAATCCAGAGAAGGCCCCCATTGGAATAAAAAGACATTCATGAACTTCATTGTGTTTCAAAATTGAAAATATCGTTGGAGAATATCAAATGCGAAGAATGTTCAAATTGTAGTCATATAAAGTGCATAAATAAAACATCTACGGTAAGTATCATCTAATCGTTGATGCGTCACCAAGCCATGTATTAAAAGTCGTAATAACAGCATCATGTATTCTATATCTTTCTTTCGAACTACCTAAAATTCTATTTAGATATTTGACAATTCTGAGATAAAATGATAAAAAGAGTATCTTCATGACAATAACTGATATTATACATTGTATATAAAGAAGTGGGGGGACATAATATTTACCCTTTTCACAAATAGTACTCTCATAGAATTGTCCTGCTTAATGTACTTTTAAAGCACCTCTACTTGTTTAAAAGGCTCTTCGAATATAGCACAAAATTAACTATTCATATTCTTACCAGTATCTATTTTACGATATCATCAAATAATTAGATTTCTGGAATTTGGTATAAAAGACACATTAATGAACCATTAAAGGCAAAATCATATATGCTAGATGTAAAATTATATTATTTACACACAGTCTTTGGTGCACTGCTGGAAATGACTTTGCATTCCAAGGAACCATGAAATTAGCTTCTGAGAATTAAACGATAAAAACGGCATCTGTTTTATTTAAAATTATCAGATATATCAGTATACGGAGAACTTCTTGTTCGTACCAAGCACTGTGTCCAATATCCCTACCTGAATGAAATTTACGACACACCCCCTTTATTGTTTAATACTGACTTTAATACTGACTTTTGTTTAATACTGAACAACAACAAAAAATGACCACACACAGTGGGAAATAAAGTTTCAATGTATCCATGTTACTATGTGGTTTCAAAATGACCACATGGAATCTGGAGATATCAACCCTAGGTTTTTTTTCAGTACCTATCGTATATCCTGTAGAAATCATTTTCTGATTAAATAACACACCATTTTCGAATGTTCACACACTTTAAAAGATGATGGACGAGGTTATTTAAATTGCCTTAGGCTAATTATCTGAACGTATTTCCCATCGTATTCTTCATATTTCCGATGTAAAACAATCTATTCACACTGAGAACATGTTGTGATACACTTCATTCTCTTTCTTTAAAAAAAAAATGGGGCAAATCATTTGATACTCAAGATATGACTTCTAGAACCAGTTCAATTAATAATTGAGAAAATACCGAGGGTGGTATTCTCGTAAGCAGACTTTAGTCCATGGTTTAATCCACCAACTAAGTATGGAATGCGAAGTGTCCATACGAATATGTTTTTGAATAATGTAATCTGTCACTAAATTAAAAATAAAATGTAATAACATAATTAATAAACAACAATATAACTATTATATAATTAAGTTATCATGGTAGTTAGGGCCATGTCAAATCATTTAAAAAATATATTCTTATGGACACTTGGTATTCCATACTTAGTCGGTGGATTAAACCATGGATTAAAGTTAGTCCCCTAAGTATTTACATCATAACAAGATAGAGCCCAGCTACTATGCAAACCAGGAAGATGAGCTTCAGTGCAATGGGGTATCCTTCGGGACCGTTCGCGATGGGTGTGTCCCGAAACTTGGTTCCCGACACCGTGTTCTGCCAGACGTTCATGATGGTATCCCGCGCGCCGCTCCAAACATGCGGTCCCTGGAGCCGGTAGCTGGCCGGGACCGCTGGGCCGAAGAAGCATTTAAGGGCCAGGATGGGGTCTTTGAGGAAAAGCGACTTGAAGGTGGGTTTGGCGCCGATCTTGGTGGCGATTCCATCCTGGTAGGGGATGGGAGGGATCTAGAAAAGAGATAAAGGAAAAGTATCACAGTCAAAACGAAGGTTGCAATTAACATAAATGTTTGATATTCGATCTATATAGAAGAAAATGATGTTTTTTTAAAAGTAGTAAGCATGATGATACGTTGATGACAATGATGGTGACGGTTGGTATTGATGATAATGGACATTTAGGATGCATAGACAAGTTTTAGAAAATTTAGCCAATCCAGTAACCTTAAATGTCGAACCGTGTCTATATAACATAAACAACGTATGGTACACTCAGTGCCAATAAACGTATTCCAATCAACTTGTTTGTATTCGGTTATCATTTTGGACGGGTCAGAAAAAGGAACCAGCTCTCTTATTTCAAAGATCTAATATTGAATCAATTTCATAGGCCTTTATCATATTACAAAGGGAACCATTGGTAGATTTATTTTATATACCATCAACCGTGCAGCGTAGCTTTGTTCGGCGAGACAGAGAGAAGAATAGGAGCCAGAAGGTGTCTAACTCTGCTAATAGTTTTATTTGACGCCTTTCATAATCTAAGAAGACGTTGTAAAGGTATTGGAAACGCCCCAATTTCAAAAAATGAAATGGAAGCTCTTATTACCAATCATGTGAAAGAATATGTTTTGAATAATACATGATGATACAAATTTTGACGGGAAACCGCCTACTAATTGATATATTTGGTAAATTAGTTTATCTATTGGAATGTGAGTTATAAAAACGCACGTGTCGCGCACATGTGCGTAGTCCCATATTCATCTTTCTGTGTACAGTGTTTGTAACTTTATGAAGACTGGGCCAAATTTCTTATTATTTTGATGATTCCAGAACCTTGCAGTACATCTATGCTAGATGATCAACCTTTTCTGATCGATTTCACAACGTTTCTTTCACAATTTAATCGCATGACGAGAACTGGTCTTTATCTGTAATGTTCTTTATACTCACGAAGATGATGTGTTTGCCGAATTTCTGATAGAGAAACTTCTTCTTCATCTCAATGTCCTTCAGCATGCCACTAACAGGGGGTAGAGATACGTTGCCTTTGAAGACCTGCGTGGCCCAACGTGCTTGGATCTCGAAGACAGGCGCATGCGCACCAACTGTCATGACAAATCCCACGCAGGCGAACGTAGGATGTTTTTGTTTTGCCGGGAAAACGTACTGGTAGAGCTGCAACTCGTCAATTTTGTCTGAAATTGAAATATTTTTCGTGTTTTAGGTGATTTGATGTAGTTAAATGAAAGAAATTTGTTAAAAATGGTACTTCTACTGTTCCATAGTTTGACAGGGAATACACTGTGATAGAGTGTGTTCACCAGGGGCGTACGCAGGATTTTTTCAAGGGGAGGGGGGTTTTAAAATCTGGCCCAAAATATTTTGCTCCCGAAAATTTGAAAATCGCGCCGGCCGAAAAGTCGCTCAGTGGGGGGGGGGGGGAAGCGGACATTTTTTTTTTTTTTGGTAGTCCAAAAAAAAATCGCAACGACTCAGCCAACCGAAAAGCGAAAAGTCGCTCAGTGGGGGGGGGGGGGGGGGGGGGGGGGGGGGGGGGGGGGGGGGGGGGGGGGGGGGGGGGGGGGGGGGGGGGGGTGGGGGGGGGGGGGGGGGGGGGGGGGGGGGTAAGAGGACACTTTTTTTTTTTTTTGGTATCGAAATTTGAAAATTTGACATTTTGCTCCGTTGGGGGGGGGTAAGGTCATCTTTTTGAGGTCGGCCATGGGAATTTTTTTTTTTTTTTTTTTTTTTTTTTATTTAAAAAAAAAAAAAAAAAAAATCCAAAAGGGGGGGGGGGGGGGTTTAGGGAAATTTAGGGGGGTTTACACACAAAAAATTACCAAAGGGGGGGGGGGGTTTAACGCAGAATTATGAAGTGACCACACCACAATGTCGCCACAAAGATGATCTGGAACATTTTTGTTGTTTTAATGTGTCATGCGAAATGTGAATGCAAAATTTAGCCACATAGAGGAATTGTTTTTCTTGATTTTAACTTTACGTGGCAACAAAAGCATTGGACATTGAACACACCAAGGTGGGGAAAAATAGTGAATTTATTGTGAATATACTGTTCACAGATTTAAGATTCAAGATTTAAATGATTTTATTTCTCATGCAAAACATAATACAATGAAATGGCAATGTAATTTGCAATTTGATATAAGTATATTACACAAAATATACAATGAAACAAGACAAATATAATAGACATGCTGTATTATAATCCGTCTTGAAACCAAAGTATACATAGAAAATCGATAAGTAAAGCCCCAGTCCCATATAAAGCCGGACCAGCACGGACGAGCACGGACCACTCCGGACCATCCCGGACCATGGTCTGGGGTGATCCGGGATGGTCCGGGATGTTTTGTTCAAAAAAGTGTGATGCTTTAAAAGCTACAGTCCCATATACGTCCCGGACCGTCCCGGACCATCCCGGACCCCATCCGGGGTGATCCGGGATTCGGTCCGTGTTGACACCGTGTTGGCACCGGGGTGGTCCTGGATGGTCCTGGATGGTCCTGGATGGTCCTGGATGGTCCTGGGCGGTCCGGGAGTCGACCCCGGATGTTTTTGACGGTCAAAAACTGCCGGGGTGGTCCGGGACGGTCCGGGACAATAGTTTGATCCGGGTGATCCGTGTAGCCACCGTGCTGGGTCCGGGGTCATCCGTAGTGGCGCCGGGGCGGTCCGTGTTGATCCGTGGCAGTCCGGGAGTGAGTTATTGACCGCCCAGGACCATCCAGGACCATCCAGGACCATCCAGGACCATCCAGGACCACCCCGGTGCCAACACGGTGTCAACACGGACCGAATCCCGGATCACCCCGGATGGGGTCCGGGATGGTCCGGGACGGTCCGGGACGTATATGGGACTGTAGCTAAAAAGCCCCAGTCCCATATAAAGCCGGACCAGCACGGACGAGCACGGACCACTCCGGACCATCCCGGACCATGGTCTTGGGTGATCCGGGATGGTCCGGGATGTTTTGTTCAAAAAAGTGTGATGCTTTAAAAGCTACAGTCCCATATACGTCCCGGGCCGTCCCGGACCATCCCGGACCCCATCCGGGGTGATCCGGGATTCGGTCCGTGTTGACACCGTGTTGGCACCGGGGTGGTCCTGGATGGTCCTGGATGGTCCTGGATGGTCCTGGATGGTCCTGGGCGGTCCGGGAGTCGACCCCGGATGTTTTTGACGGTCAAAAACTGCCGGGGTGGTCCGGGACGGTCCGGGACAATAGTTTGATCCGGGGTGATCCGTGTAGCCACCGTGCTGGGTCCGGGGTCATCCGTAGTGGCGCCGGGGGCGGTCCGTGTTGATCCGTGGCAGTCCGGGAGTGAGTTATTGACCGCCCAGGACCATCCAGGACCATCCAGGACCATCCAGGACCATCCAGGACCACCCCGGTGCCAACACGGTGTCAACACGGACCGAATCCCGGATCACCCCGGATGGGGTCCGGGATGGTCCGGGACGGTCCGGGACGTATATGGGACTGTAGCTTTTAAAGCATCACACTTTTTTGAACAAAACATCCCGGACCATCCCAGATCACCCCAGACCATGGTCCGGGATGGTCCGAGTGGTCCGTGCTCGTCCGTGCTGGTCCGGCTTTATATGGGACTGGGGCTTTAACAAATATGTAACAATAGGCGGTGTCACACAGAGGCCAAAAATCCGGATTTTAGTTATCCTCTTAATTGCTGTCTGTCATCAATTATCCCATTAAAAATCCTCTAACAAAGCAAGAAAATTCTCCCTGGAAAGGATTTTTCAAGGGATTTTTTAAGGGATTTTTTTTTGTGTGACGTCACCTAATGCCTCAGTCACACCTTTGCGTATGATGCTGCGTATTGCTGCGCTGTACGGGGTATATCAATACGCAGCCGTTCCCAGCAATACGCGGCAAATTTGAAGGTAGCAGTCACACTATTGCGTATCTAGCTCGTAGGTAGCTCGTATGCCGCTCGTACTAAGACTGCCTATGGTTGCCTATGACCACGCTATAGCTCGCTGTTGCTCATAGCAGTACGATTCAATAAGCAGTTTGCTCGCCACGTTGCGTATGTAACTGGTTCTTTGCTCGTTTGCTGCTCGCACCAGTACGTCTCGTTGCGTCTCATTGCGTGTTCGTTCGATTTAGCTCGTCTGTTGTTCGTACTGCAGCGTGCCAGCTCGCTCTACAGCGTACCAGCTCGCTTGGGCTGCGACGGCGTATAAATAAAAGTCATTTGCGGACTTCTGACGAGTCTACATCTACAAGAAAAATCAATCTGATGAAGAAAAAAAATGGCCAAGCAGCAGAGCTCTGCCTTGCAAAAGCTTAAGCTTTTGGTTCAGCTGGAAGAAGCAGAGGCGAAAGATGTTTATTTATTAACGTTATGAAGCGCAGCGACGGTGGTTGGTGCTATAGGCAACTAATCGCAGTGAGAGAGAGATCTAAAGCAAATGGCGTACGAGCTAGACTCGCAGCGTAGCGAGCGGCAATTGCAACGGTTCTTGCTGCTGCGAGTGGTAGGCGAGCAATAGCGCAACAATACGCGCAATCATGCGAACGACAACGAGCTCTGGCGAGGTAAATCGTGCAGGGAACGCAGCTATAGGCAGTGACACGCGCTCCAAAAAAAGAGGTGCGTATGGTTGCGTATACTTGCGCTAAGCCACTCGCTGTTGCTCGCATTCACTGGTTGCCACTCGTATCCGCTCGTAGGTGATTTGACCTTGCGTTTGCTTGCGATAGTTTAGAAAATTTTAAAACTAGCGAGTGGCAAACGCAGGCCTTTGCGCTAGTCTGCGTATTGAGTACGCAGTGAGCACGTTTCGTTGCGCTTTATTGGGTATGACTGCCTATGTCTGCGTTCGGGCAATACGCAGCAATACGCAAGCCCAATACGCAAAGGTGTGACTGAGGCATAATGAAGAAATTATGCATTTTCCGTCAGATATATTCAGCGATTAACAAAGAGCGAGCCAAATTTCCAACGCACCTGATATAAGATGCGTTCCCACAAAAGGGACTTTGATGTTGTAACCTGTCGCATATATGACTGAATCCAGATTGTCGATTTTAGTTCCGTCTGTGAAAACGACCCCCTTCTGTGTGAAGTGTTTGATACCGGGTTTGGCCGTCAATGCTCCACAAAAGATCCTGCAGAGTAAATGAAAGTACATGTACATGTAGTTGTTTGACATTATCTATCAGAGAACGAGAGTGCATTTATCTACAGGGTAAACGTATTATTCTCTAAAGTTCTTTTCACATGTTATTACGACAAGAAGGATTTGGGGCACTTTCTTAATGTTTACTGTGAAGAAGAAAAAAGACATTGTTTTACAGAATGCTACTTTTTAATCATGTAATAATAATAATAATATTAATAATAATATTTCTTGTTCACCCGGGGTATTAATACTGTTCTCCCTGAGGGCCCTACAATCATAATCATTACCCAGGCTTTAATGAGAAGGCAAGGCGCATCCCTTTAAAAAAAAAATACACTTTTGAGCTTTAAAAGCTAGGATATGCTGGTATCAATCTATTTAAGATGTTCGTAATATATCTAAGTTAGCGATGCAAAAAAAAATCAATTCTCTTTTGATAGAAATTAATACATAAACTTGTTTTTATTGGTGCAGGTCGGTATACAGTAGATATGCAATCAAAATCTACTGGTGTAAAACTGTGTGCAATAATGATCTCAATAATAAATTATTTCATCATGAAGTTATTTATTGTTTCTTAAAGGTATAAAGATAAAAATGTAGACTCTTTATGTTTTTCATACGTGCAAGAGTCATTAAGATGTGTGCGAAATTTTGAACGGTAGCAAATAATCTACTGGTACATGTTCTTAGCACTGGCGTACCTGAGGGGGGGGGCAAGGGGGCAGAGTGCCCCCCTGACGAGCTCCAGGGGAAAAAGGAAAAGGGGGAAGGGGAAAGGGAAAAAAGGGGAAAGAGAAAAAAAGGGGGGGGAAAAGAAAAGAAAGGAAAGGAAAGAAAAAGAAAAAAGGAAAAAGGAAAAAAGGAAGAAGAAGAAGAGAAAAAGAAGAAAGAGGGAAAAGAAAAGGAAAGAAAAAAATGGGGAAATTATTTTTTAAAAGACCATGGCCGTACGCACCGGGTGGGGGAGGGGGGGAGGCAGTTGACCCCAGATATTTTGAAAACGTACAATTTTTTCCTGAAAATGTTTAACAAAGCTCACAAGTAGTGAAGGCCTATACCAAATCCTTCAATTCTACTTTTGAAAATGCAAAAGTACCCTCATGACCAGTTTGGTCGCTCGAACACCCTTCACTCCTTTTGCTTTTGAGTTTCTTCAAAAACTTTTCATGCATCTTTCCCCCTCCCCCATCAGAAAAATATTCAGCATACGGCAAAGAAAAGAGAAATGAAAATAGGAAAACATAAGTGATAATTATAACAAATTCGACACTCTTCGCTGGCCCGAGCTGCTTGCTAGCCTGTCTTGTATTAATTGTTTTCACTTGCTCGTCCCCCTGAAAAAAGAAAAGGATTAGCATTGCCTAAAATACAATTGTGTCTGCCCCGACTGGCCCCAACCTGCAACCATGGCAACCATAACACCCAATGTATGTACCAAATGTTACTAAAAGAGACTAAATTCATTTTTTTCGTTCGTTACGCTCGCTCGCGAATAAATGAAATAGACATTGCTTTGAAAACAATTGTGCCCACCCTTGACCTGCAAAAATATCATTAAAAATGGAAGTGTTTTTTCGCCCTCTCGCCAAAAAGGAATTGATATCGTGTTAAACGCGATTGCGCCCATCCCGACCTGCACCAATAAAAACAAGTTTATGTATTAATTTCTATCAAAAGAGAATTGATTTTTTTTTGCATCGCTATGCTCGCTCACCAAAACGGAATTGACATTTCTAACAAAATATGTGCGCCCCCTTGCCTGCAACGAAAAACCCAGTAAATTTTGAGAGATATTGTTTCCTTTGTTTTTTTGTTTTACCCTCTCTTGCTACGCTGTCTTTACAATTAACATGCTCACCCCAACCTACAACAAATTACCAGTTGATAATTATGTACCAGACGTTAACCAAAGAAAATTTGGTTTGCTCACTAACTATACGCTCCCTCGCCAATATGGAATAGACATCACCTTAAACATGATTGTGTAAGCCCCGACCTGCAACAAAAAACCTGAAAATTATGCACCAATCATCATTAATTTTGTTTTGCCTGCCCACCAAAATGGGATTGACATCGGCTTAAACACGATTGTACCACCCCCGACCTGCAACAACAAAACAAAGTTTATGTACCAATTCATTGAGGACAATTGAACCATGTTTAATTGGTATTTTTTTAAATAAAATATAAGCGATTTTTTTTTCTTGCTCGCTACGCTCGCTCGCCAAAATGAAATTAACATCGCCAACGTGCCTGCCCTAACCTGCAACAACTAGTTAATAATTATGTACCAAACATTATTTAAAGAGGTGTTGGTGTGCTCGCTCGCCAAAACGGAATTTACATCACCTTTGATATGATAGTGTAAGCCCTGACCTGCAACAAAAAAAAATGAAATTTATGAACCAATTATCATTACAAAAAAAATTCTCGCTCGCTACGTTAACTCTCCAAAATAGAAATAACATCGCTTTGAATAATCAAGTTTATGTACCATGTTCTCACCGTAGAGAAGTGATTTTTTTCGCTCGCTCGCTACGCTCGTTAGCTCGTGGAATTATGTAGGGGGGTTGCCTGCCCGCCAAAATGGGATTGAAATTGCCTTAAACACGATTGTGCCCGCCCCGAATTGCAACAATGAAACACGTTTTATATACATGTAGCAATTCATTAAGAGAAAAGTGTATTTTTGCTCGCTAGCTAAAATGTGTATCTGATAAAATCACCCTAAACACAATGTTGTTCCCGCACCCGGTATGGGACAATTGGACCAAGTTCAAGTGGCAATTATTAAAAAAGAAGGGATTTCTTTCTTGCTCGCTTGCAAAAATGAAATTAACGTGGCTAACAAATGATGTGCCCACCCCAGACTTGCAACAATACCGGTTTATATACCAAACTTTACTTAAATATATTTTTTTCCCGCTCGCTCGCCAGAAGTGAAAATTAGCATCGCCTTTTTTGTTTTGTTTCGATCGCTTGCCCCCCCCCCCCCTGACGGAGTACCCCAGGTATGCCACTGGTTCTTAGGTGCTAAAGTTTGGTCTCGAGCAGGAAATTGATTCTTAATATTTATAGGTTTATTTATTCAACGTAGGGATATGTAATTAAACCGACTGGTATCAATGATAAGTTATTTTGTATGGCGCCATATATCTGTTTCAAAAAACATTCAATGGCGCGAGCTCCTCCAAAAAAGTTAGCATTTAAATGTCTGAAGGAAGATGTGAATTTTGAGAGAAGCTTTGAAGTGGTCAAGGTTGTCTATTTTGCGAATAGATGATGGGAGGGAATTCCACAGGCGAGGAGCAGTAGAGGAAAATGCCCGGTCTCCATATCCCTTGAGATGAGTAATGGGCATCTGGAGAGTAAGGCCAGATGAGCGAAGTCCAGGGCGAAGATGGCGCCGCTCAATTAAAGATGACACGTATCATGTAGTTATTAAGGTATTAGGTAACTTTGCCTCTGATTTTTAACAAATCCTGGATTTAGCCCATGCTGCAATCATAATTATAAACCTTTATGTCAAAAATGAATTCCATGACTTTTACAAGCCAATCGCCTGTTTGTTTATCAAAATATTTATGATTTGGAATTCGAAATTTCAGAAGCCGTTTCCCAATGGTTTTTAACAGCTTTTATTACGCTAGTCTACTCGGTAAAATGAGTATGGTAAAACCGGTCACTCAAAGATTTTTTACTTTTTTAAAGCACTTCATGATAATTTAAAAGCGCAATAGTTTTAGGGCTTTAATATTACACCATATCACAGACACTGGTAACACGTAGGGCCATGCATCTCAGATTTGTAACTCAAGCTTGGAACTCAAGTTCGCCTCGGGTTCCATGTGCGGGGTTTCATGTTATGTTTTATTTTATTCAAACTCCTTACCCGCTAACCCATATAATATCTGATAAAGTATTTGAGGTTTGCTTTACCAAACAAAATATCTTTTAGGTGCCCTTAAAGATACCCTTTAAAGTACTGTATTTTCAATCAACGAAGACTTAACCTTAATTCGACTCGTGAATAAGTCAAAGATGCTTCAATTATATCAGAACGTGCAATTCATGCTGATGGAAATAGGGAAACTGAATGATATATGATAACAGACATCTAATCCGAGGCATGACTTTGCGAATATGACGAGCTGACATACTTGGAATTGTCCTTGTATACTGAGTCACTGACTGTAATTTATGTGTATTAACAAATGAATTAACCGTATATATAATATTTGTGATTGATGAATTTCTATATAATTATGTAAATCGAGAAAGGGGTAATTGACCTTTGCTCGAATCTCAACGTACTTTTCTAAAGTTTATTATCTCAGGGATTTTACGCCCATATTATGTGTTGATACTTTTAGAGCCATATCCTACTAAATACTTCAAGAACATGATCTCAAAGTATTTTGCTCACAGCTTAAAAACTTAACTTCCCTTCAGCACTACTATAGTTTCCAATGAATCAATGGATGGTGGTGTCGGGCGTTAATGCTCAAAGGAAGTTCAAGTGTAGGGTAGATGCCAGGTCTTTGCCCGCCCCGCCCCCCCCCCCCCACTCAGTGTTATTTAGGGTACCCTATCTGAGGACTGCCAACATTTCCGAACCCCCCTTTCGCGGGCTTTTCGCGGCATTTTCGCGGGCTTTTCCTGCCTTGGAGACCCCCTAAATCATGAAAAATGCTCAATGTACCCCCCTTAATTCGGAATAATTTATCAGGAGTCCAAAGAGATGAGAGAAAAAAAGAAAAAAACACCCCTTTTTAAAGAAATCTCTGGGTGAAAAGTTAATACACCCCTTTTTTTAAACAATTTTCGGGCCAGACTTTGTCCCACGAAAAGTACCCCTTTACCGGACATTTTGGTAGCACGCATGGGGTCCTTCCGTTCTCGGACTGGGGGGGGGGGGGGGGGGGGGTCTTTGTTTTGAAAACGGATGAGCTCGCATTATTTTTAATGACAAGTGAAAGTGCACGTAGACACTGGCCCTCTGAACTTTATTTGCAGATACTAACATTGATTTATCATTTGTGGAAAACCACATTCATAATATTTTGAGCTTTTGGTTTGCAAGTAACACGATCTCATATGCTTTCGATTCATCAACAGAAAGCAATTTCAATAGCCTCACATACATATCGCTTATTGAACGTGCGAACATTGCAATGAAGTGTTACGTAATGTAAATGTGATTGTTATGCCTTGTGCATTAAGGTATTCAAATTGTCCTTTTTCGAAGTCTTTGTTATCATGGCAAGCTATTAAACCAAACAGAAGATTACACAAAATATGATCTGTGTTATCTAAGGTACTGTATGGTGGCATGAATCTTGAAAACGATCGCAAAGTCTTTCGAGAAATCAACTCAAGGGAATACCCTATTTTATTGCCTATAGAAATCCTGCTCGAAATTGTAATTGTCATGTTCCCACATTTTAGAAGGTGATGTACAAGGCCATTGAATTATCCTCAAGCTGATGTACAACAAAAATATTTGCCATAGCGTTTTGAGAGATAGTTGTGACACACGCACGCGTACGCGGTCAAAGGTCAATTAATGCAGCTCTAAAAAAAATTACCCTCCCATAGAGAATGGATGTGGGCAGGGGCGTAAATCTGTACCGAGGAGTGGGGGGATGATCGGCGATAGCCATCACATACTAGCACGAGCACACGCCCACACTAATTTACGCAAGCGCGCGCGATCGCGGACGCACAAAAACACAACACACACACACACGCACGCACGCACACATACGCACACATACACACGCACACACACAAACGAACAAACAACAAACAATATTAGAAAAAGAAGACGATTCGTTGTACCGTTCTCGACTCTTAATCCTCGTCTGAATTCAGTCCCCCCCCCCCCCTCCGCGCAGAGCGCGGAAGCTTTTACGTTTCATTAAATCATTAGAGAAAGAAGACGATTCGTTGTTCCGTTCTCGACTCTTAATCCTCGTCTGAATTCAGTTCCCCCCCCCTCCCCTTCAGCGCGAAGCGCGGAAGCTTTTACGTTTCATTAAATCATTAGGGAAAGAAGACGATTCGTTGTACCGTTCTCGACTCTTAATCCTCGTCTGAATTCAGTGAGTCCCCCCCCCCCCCCCCCCGCGCGGAGCGCGGAAGCTTTTACGTTTCATTAAATCATAAGAGAAAGAAGACGATTCGTCGTTCCGTTACTCTTAATCCTCGTCTGAATTCAGTTCCCCCCTCCCCTCCCGCGCGAAGCGCGCAAGCTTTTACGTTTCATTAAATCATTAGGGAAAGAAGACGATTCGTTGTACCGTTCCCGACTTTTAATCCTCATCTGAATTCAGTTTTTCCCTTCCCCCCACCTGTGCGAAGCGCGGAAGCTTTTACGTTCCACTAAATCATTAGAGAAAGAAGACGATTCGTTGTACCGTTCGCGACTTTTAATCCTCATCTGAATTCAGTTTTTCCCTCCCCCCCCCCCCTTCCCTCCCGCGCGAAGTGCGGAAGCTTTTACGATTCATTAAATCATTAGAGAAAGTAGACGATTCGTTGTACCGTTCTCTACTTTTAATCCTCATCTGAATTCAGTTCCCCCCTCCCCTCCCGCGCGAAGCGCGAAAGCTATTACATTTCATTAAATCATTAGAGAAAGAAGACGATTCGTTGTACCGTTCTCGACTTTTAATCCTCATCTGAATTCAGTTTTTCCCTTCCCTCCCCCCTCCCTCCCGCGCAAAGTGCGGAAGCTTTTACGTTTCATTAAATCATTAGAGAAAGAAGACGATTCGTTGTACCATTCTCGACTCTTAATTTCTTTAAAAAAGGGGGGGGGGATTTTTTTCTCTCTCTCTTTGGACTCCTGAAAAATGTAAAAAGGAGGTTATAAAATATCTTGAATATCATAGAAAAATTGATCAAATCCCGGGATCAAATTCCTGAAATTCCTGCTAGCTTTGAAAGCTCATTCAAGATTATTTCATTTTGAAAAGTAAAAGCATTGGCCCCCAGTCCCCCTCGATCGACTAGAGCTCACCTTTTAATCCTCATCTGAATTCAGTTTTTCCCTTCCCTCCCCCCTCCCTCCCGCGCAAAGCGCGGAAGCTTTTACGTTTCATTAAATCATTAGAGAAAGAAGACGATTCGTTGTACCATTCTCGACTCTTAATTTCTTTAAAAAAAGGGGGGGGGGATTTTTTTCTCTCTCTCTTTGGACTCCTGAAAAATGTAAAAAGGAGGTTATAAAATATCTTGAATATCATAGAAAAATTGATCAAATCCCGGGATCAAATTCCTGAAATTCCTGCTAGCTTTGAAAGCTCATTCAGGATTATTTCATTTTGAAAAGTAAAAGCATTGGCCCCCAGTCCCCCTCGATCGACTAGAGCTCACCTGAAATTGGGGGGGGGGGGGATCATTTAGCAGTGTTACGGATTTGGGGGGGGGGTCTCAAAGGTAGGAAAAGCCAGCGAAAAGCCGGCGAAAGGGGGATTCAGAAATGTTGGCAGTCGTGACTCCTGAGATAGGGTGGGGGGGGGGGGGTGCTTTCAAAGGGAGAAAACGAGCGTACGCGTACCCTAAATAACACTAAGTGGGGGGGGGAGCCGGGCATCTACTGTACATGATTGCACTTTTTAAGCGCTCGCGCGCTGGCGCACTTTACGTCTGGGCTATAATAATACCTTGCAAAATAACGAAATATTATTCTGAAGTTTATGAAGTGCTTGTTCGCGCACGTCGCGCAACTATTCTTAATGATAGTGACATACTGTATACGTGTAGGCTATACAGTTATACATAAATAAAAAATAACTCATTTCTCATGCATTATGCTAAAATTGAAACAATCACATTTTTTCTTCTTCTTCTTCTTCTTTTTCTCTCTTTTTTTGGGTAATATCAGCGGGGGATGATTGTACAGGCCATCCCCCCTACTTCGAGCCAGGGGGGATGCAGCCCCCCATCCCCCCGGGGATTTACGCCCCTGGATGTGGGAGTGATCTATTAGGAACTCCATGAAATGACATTTGATTTGTGTGAATGTAGTGCAATTCTTTGTTTACAATAAGGCTGACAGATGCAGCAAAGTGGGATGCTACGACTTGGGGAAAGGATCCTGCATGTCTTCCCTCTTCTCCTACCACTCTGACGAAAGAAAGAGTACCGGGGAAGAAATAAAAGTAAACACGACGAAACAAATCAAAACAAAAGAAACAAAAGCAACAAACCTGTTAGCAATATCATCGTTCACCATGACCTCGGAGCAGAAGAGCTTCCGGGTCGACCTCAGACCCAGGTTGTCCACGTTGAAGCGTGTTGCGAGATCTTTCTCGACCATGTTGCGACGATACCATTCTGGGAGCAGGAAGTTAAACCGACGGTTCAGAAAGAGATCCCTTGGCCAACCCATCGGGCCTGCTCTGGTGATCACCCAGGTTCCGTTGCGCATGCTAATGTACGTCTAAGGAGAGGAGAGGAGGGGTGATAGTGAATTACGTAAAGGATACATGCACACTGACTTGGTCTCGAACCCGGGACCTACCGGTTCAAAGACAATACATATGACCACAGATCTATACCGACTTTATAAATGCCCAGTATTGAATAATATAAACGATGCATAAAGGTAACCTTGATTAAACGAAATTAATTACCGCACACCGATAAAAATATACAGACGTCCTCGCCTTCTTTACTTCTCAAAAGGAATTATTATAAAGTAAGTGTCATATTTATTACCTTGAATAACGAAACATATTAATGCCTGGTATATATTTGTGGATCTACAAAATCAATGATGCTTATATAATCACCCTCATGTCTGCATTTATTAATTTTGTGATTGGTTTTCGGTTTGCTTGGAAAAGCTATTACCTTTTTCGACTTTCGACTGGTATCCACTGCAACATCTCCAGCAGAATGGGAGCCACCTGTTGCAAAAAAGAAAGAATGAAAAAGGTATACTCTTGTAATAATTGTAATAGTAATAACAACAGTGATACCTGATATTCGTATGACGCTTTACGTGAATGCTCCAATGCGATTTCAGTTTCAGTTTCAGTTTCAATTTATTTTCATATTTCACATGTTGTATAATACATCATCACATTTGGCATGTTACATTTTTGTAATTTTTTGGATGCATTTATACAAACAAAAGAATAATACATAAGACTAAGTTACTAAAGGAAGAAATATGATGGAGCCTAAAGAGAAAGCAATGCTTGTATGTCATAGGCTCCGGAAGTTATAACAATAATATAGTCTTGTGTTTATTAAATAACGTAAATGAATTAAATTGAAACTTATTATGAAGAAAAAATAAACAATGTTCATATACTTAGCAATATTTGTACTACATTTTCATTTGAAATGTTATACCAAGGAGTTTTATGAAATGGAGGCCCAACTGGCATCATATTATTTCAAGCTGTTGCCGTTTTCTATGGTTGCACAATCAAATATACTGGTGTGCTGTTACCATTGGAAAGCTTGAGTAGTAATTTTTTTCACCAAGAAATATCCTTAATATTTCACTTTTTATTTGAACTAACAAGGGGATATCGAACCGATGATAAACATTTGCTTGCAATGTATGATAGCAGCTTTAATTTGTGAAAAATATTAAAATTTTACAGTCCTAAAACCTGCAATATTATTTGACACTTTTCCGATTACTTCCGGCTCACGAAAATAAAAAGCAAATTTGTTCATGTACAGTTCTTTACGATGTTATATGTCAGATTAGTGCCCACACATGCCCAGTCGAGTAATTTTGATTAATATTTCAGGAAATTGTGCTCCATTTCCTTTCGCTTGCCTCCTGTAAAGGTAAGCACTGTGTACTGCTCGTATTATCAGACAAGTGGTAGCGAAAAGTATGTATCATTACAAAAGCACAATTCCCTTTGAAAGTGGCCCGTTAATTTGCAGCTTGACAGGAATCTTTTGTCTAGGTATCTGCAAGGAAGGTCCAGTTAAGCACATGCCTGACATATTTTCTTCTGGCGACATCGAAGATGGTTCAAAGGGAATGAGTCCATCTCTTAATAATTCTTGGTTATACCAACTGGATACTGGATTTAAAGCCCGCACGCAAGTGTGCACCATCTTCACTCCCGGGGGCGTATTCTAGCCTGAATTTGCACTATTTACCACCATGCATTTTAGCAAAGCAAAGATACGTTCTTTCAGATATCCTCACATTCAATGGAACTATTACCTCTAGAATATTATTAGCAACATTTTCTCCAAAGTACACAAGTGCCACCGCTGGGACTCGAATCACGGGCCGTTTGATCCACCGCTCGGAGAGCACTTCTACGTTTTGGGGATGACGTGTGGCTTTGCGTTTTATAATTTTCATTTTTCCATCATCGTAACGTAGAAGAGAAAGAAATCCGATCTGTGAGATATTCTGATAAGAATAATATCTAACGACCTTTTAAATCGGGAAAGGTTAACCTCTTTACCAAATCGTAACTTTCTTCATAATATCTGTCTGTAGGGTTTGTAAGGCCTTCAAATCGGGCAAAAGACTGAACGCTGGCTTCCCTGAAAAAAAATTTATAAAAAGGTTTTACTTAATTTTGCACGGATGGACATAGGACGCGGCACTCACCGACAACCAGGACAGTCTTGTTGGCGTAGGAATCCGCCTTCCTGTAATCATTACTGTGTAGGATCTCGCCCTCGAACTCGTCCTGCCCCGGGTAGGTCGGCATCTTCGCCTGGCTGAACATCCCCGTACACACCATCACGGCATCGAAGATATCAGTGCTCTTCCCGCCTGGTCCTTCCGTGGTCACTGACCACCGCCCCGTGGTGTCGTAGTCCTCGGCTTCCTCCAGCTTGAGTACCTTGGTGCTGAACCGGATGTGCTTGAGTAGACCAAAGTGTTCGGCGTAGTCTTCGTAGTACTTGCCTAATCGTTTGCCGGGGATGTAGGGCGGACAGTCCTTGGGGAAAGGGTAGTCGCTGTAGCACATCATTTCCTTGCTGGAGTTGGTGACCAGGGCGTGGTAGAGGGCGCTCTCCTCATGGTCGGTTCTCACCTCGTCTCTGAACACCCAGACACCACCTGAGAGGGGATTGTTTGAGAAACAAGGATGTTAAGATTTGGATTTGCGACACCCCCCCCCCCCCCCCCCCCCCTCCCCAACCTGTCAGGATATTGTCGGTAAAATTGCGCTGCCGTCGGGAAAAAGAGAAGAGGGGTAGGGAAAAAAAGAGAGGGGAAAAAAAGGAGAGGGAAAAAGAGAGGGAAAGGGAAAGAAAAGAAAAAAAGAAAAGGAAAAAAAAGAAAGAAAGGAAAGAAAATAGAAGAAAGAAAGAGAAAAAGAAAAAGAGGGAGGAGAGGAAAGAAAGGAAAAGAAAGAAAAGAAAGAAAAGGAAAAAAGAAGAAAAAAGAGTGAAAGGGAAACAAAAGAAACGAGGAATGAAAGAGAGGAGAGAGAGGGAAGGCAAGAGTCGGAGAGAGGAGGAGTGGGAGTAAAAGAAAGAAGGGGGTTGTTGTGTGGAGTCGCCTCGTCGAGGGAGCAAGAAAGACACGCATAAATATGTTGCTGTGTCGGGTCAGCTGTGTCGGTATTCTTGCTCGATCCTCGTGTACTATATCAATGCAGAAGTTTGAAGTCGGTGAGATGTATATTGTCGGTCGGCCGACAAGTTTTTTCCCCTACGAACTGTGACTTCTTATCCGCTGTGACGACTTCGAGAGTGACTACAACTACAATACATGTATTTTCTCGAAGTTTCACTTTCCTATAATATCAGCTAAAGAAATCAGAGGTTTAAAAATTTCGGGGAAACTATATTCAAACAAGGTTTAAGAGTCAACAACGGTACGAGGAATCGTCTTCCTTTCTCTATATTGTGATGAAACGCAAAAAAACGTTAAAGCTCTCGCTTCTCGCGGGAGTGGAAGGGGGAACTTCATTCAGCCAAGGATTACCAGTCGAAAACGGTACAATTTATCGTCTTCTTTTCCTAATAATTTAAGGAAACGTCTAAGCTTCCGCGCGAAGCGCGGGAGGCCCATCACCCACACCCCCCTAATGAGCGCGCTTTTAAGTGATTCTCTTGCTCACTACCGCCCCTCTCTAAAATAAGATCCTAGCTCCGCGCCTGCATTAAAATATATAGCTATGATGCTGACTAAATTGAAGAAATAATTCATATATTTATGTCGTCGAGGAAAATGACCATATGCAAGTCCTATAGATAGTCCATAGGAAAAACAATCAAGCCCTCGGCCCCAGGTTTATAGGTTTGAATTTGTAGATATTGGAAATTTAATTTTGTCGGTAAATGGTGGCTAGTTTTGTCGGTAATTGTTGGCCTCTACCCCCCCCCCCCCCCCCCACTGAAAAAGGTCTAGCGACGCCCCTGCCCATGTGCTCGTCTGTAGTGACATTTAAACAAAAGTTTAATGCATAAACAGAAAAAATATACATACGTTTAGCATGACTTGTAATACAGTATTAGACTTACCGACTTTCTCGTCCCTCTCGAAGCACACGGGTTCGAATCCCTCCTCCAGACAAGTCTTAATTGAGGCCAAGCCACTCACACCAGCCCCTATCACGGCAACCTGCTTAACAGCCATTTTGACTGCACTTCGAACTATGCACAGCTTGCAGGAAAACTGTAGAAAATGTCTGATCGATCGACGTTGATTCCAAGAGATGATGGCGAAGGCACTTCTCCTCAGTTCCGTTAATCTATTTAAAATTTAAAAAAATGAATAATACTTATTTTAAAAAGAGCACATTAGGATTTATAGTAGTAGTAGTAGTAGTATTGGCGGTGGTAGCGTTGGTGTTACTCGTAATAGTAGGAGGAGAGGAAAAAGGAGAAAACTGAAAAATAATTTGAAAGACCAACAACAATAGATGCAACAAAGACCGAGTCCGGTAAAATAAGTGTGACCGTACTACCTGCACAAAGCTATAGAATCAAATAGATTAAATTAAGGAGCCGGGTGGAGTACAATTAATATGTTAACTGGTGCGTGTACCGGAACATAAAAAATACTAAACACCCTCTTATAGAGTCTGGTATAAAGTAGAATTGGTTTATGGATAAACAACTGACAAAAATGGAGGTAGAGAAAGACAAAGAGATTACGTCGACAACAGAAACAACTTATGATATTAAATTAGTCAACCCAACGATGGGTATATACAATCACGTTTGACCGAAATGACACTTACTTACTTTGTTAAACCGGACTTTGAACAAAAGCCTAAACCACAGTAAATGTGTGTGTATCGACTATCATCTCCATGTTATACTGCATGCAAACGACAATAATTTTGGGGTTTTATCGAGCATTTCGTTTTCTAATCTGCACGTATCTCTTTTCAATAATGAGCAAAAATATTATATTAAACAGAAAGCAAAATTAGTTTCTTTTCTTCGGAAGATATTACGTGCATATCCGCCACGCACTGCAAAAATGATTTGGGGAAAACCTTAACTAGACTTTAATTCCCCGGGTGCCCTGGTAAAGAGGATCAATTTCAACGCGACTTCCGCTCAACATTTACAATGATTTTATTTACGACTCTTGATACAAGCATGACATGCGATATGGAGCTGCGTTGATCAATGTCATAGTTTGAGCGGAAAATAGGCTGGTATTTAATACGTCTATCACAAAATTCATGATTTTTTGCTTTTATTTCTGCTATTGTTCTGGTTGCATCATTATGGGTAGTTGAGAAATTGTACAGTACAAATTATTATTAGTAATAGTAGTAGTAATAGTGTAAGGTTGTAATTTTACCGATCCAAATGATTACTTGTTTATTTTACATTTAGCTTTCCATTCTGTAATGCTTTAGGACACTCTTGACCTACATTCATTGACTGATGTCTGTCAAGCTTTTGGCTTCTATTGTTCTATCCCTACTCATTCATACTCATTCATCCTCATTCAACATTACCTGCCATAGCACCACACACACACACACACGCACACACACACATACTCTTCCCATCTCCAAAGCAGGCACTATGAATATGACGGACAAAGAAAGAGGACAAAATATACAGTTCTTCAGGTAGACAAAGGAACATCCCTTCACTGCTATTATGTAAAAATGTGTAAAAACAGGTTTCACATGCATATTCACCTGTTCTACACATTTTTACATAATAGCAGTGAAAGATGTTCCTTTGTCTACATGAGGAACTGTATATTTTGTCCTCTTTCTTTGTCCGTCATGTTCATAGTGAGGGCTTCCACTAATGCTATGGTCACATTACCCCAAAGTACCCTGCTCGGCGGCCGAGCGGCGAGCTTTTAACCAATTCTGCCCGGCGGCTGCCCGGCCACCGAGCGGCGGCCGCCCAGGCACCGCTCGTTTTTAGGGCATCGCTCGGTCGCCGCTGAAGTTTTAGCGCGGAGTTAAAATTTGGCGGCGCCTGCTCACTTTTCACTCGCCGCCCAAAATACGCTCGGTGCCTGGGCGGTCGCCGCCCGGGCACCGACCTAATCGCTGGGCGATGCCTAATTCCAGCAGCGACCGAGCAGGCTACTGATCGGTCGGTCGCTGCTCTGATTTGTGACCATAGCTTTAGCCGAGTTGGAGCCTCGAGTTGTGGCGAGCTGGCGCGTTCTTATGGCAAGCCATTTTATCATTAAAACATATTTTTTGATATCAAGAAATAATTTTACGTTGTAAAGCAATATTCTTGATATCAAGAATTCGATTTCGTGATATCAAGAAGTCTATTCTTCTTTCGCAATTTGTTTCATGACTTTGTACTCTTCACACACAAAAATCGACCCATCACCATAACCTTTTTAGTGGTATAGGCCTGTAGGCCAGAAAAGGATCTCTTTGCAAATCGAGACTGATTTTTCAGAAAATCATGGTCAAGTTAATTTATCAACCCTCCTTTTTCGCCTTGAGCACATATAGATGTCCAATATTATTATTATTATTATTATTATCGACAAAAAGCTAATTAGGCCTGTAAAAATTATGGCTAGAATAGTGTATAAGTCTGATTTAACGGAAACTGCATGTGAATATACATTTAGATTGAAAATAAACTTCTGATATCCACATTAATACGAAATTTGAAGAGGTAAATTTGAGCATGAGTATGATTAATATCTAAAAATAGAAATGATTGAAGTTGACATAATTTGGCTATAAAATTTGTTTTTACAATGTTACAAATTAAGTGTGCTGGTTGATGTTTTAACCGCAACGCATAAACATGCATTTTAGCCTTGTACTGTTATGTATCAGTGACAGATGCCTCATACACGCAGAGAAAATTAGTTTAAATTAAATGTTATTTCATGATAGTGATGATAAGTCTGCGTCTACGGTCTGCGTCTGCGACTGGCGCAGTATTTGACGCACCTTGTGAAAGTGACTCCATGAACATTCATGTTTGTGCAATAATTGGTGCAAAGATACATGTCTAAAACACAGGCGATAAAAACAATATTATATAAATATAATGTTCAAAGTGCAAACATATATAATAAGATATCTGAAGTGGAATGATTATGAAAAAGCACATAGTAAATGGCTTTGAAAAATGATCTTCACAAAATATACAAATTAACAATAACTTTGGTACATACTTTAAAATCAAGATTTCAAAAAAGAGAAGATTAAAATAATAGAAAATGAAGGATGAAACTTTGCGTAAACATATCGACATTATAAGTTATTCGAATTTATTTTAATTGCTTACATAGTTATTTAAAGTGGTTTTATTGTGTAACTATTCTCAATTGTTATAGGAAGGTTATTCCATAAAACTGAATTCGTTATAGAAGATAGATACGATGAAATGGGGGATGAGAATGTTGGGCATTCCTGATATTATTTTACGGAGAGAACAATTTAAGGTGAAATAATTATCAAAAACTTCAGGAACCATATCGTTCAGTAGTTTGAACAAGAATATTACAGTTTCCAAAGATATTAATCCATGGATAGGTGAAATTTACATTTTCGTTTATAGAGAGAGGTTTACTAGAGGATAAATGCGTCATTAATCAACTACCACGTTTCTGAAGAAGAACAAAAATGATATATTCTTTAGATATTCTTATTGCTGTAAAGCCCCAAACAATATTACAATAGTTGATATAGGATGACACAAGACAGTGTGTAATATAACATTTTAAAGATTCTTTGAGGAAGAACTTGTAGTTTGTAAAAAAAAAATCCAATACCTCTTGATTCAGTTTTACATAAAATATGAACATGGTGGTTCCAAAAAAGTCATCTATAAAAATCCCTAAATCTATTTACTTATTTTCTATTAAGCATAACATCTGTTCAATGTTGGTTTGAGTACCAAATAAAAAATCATTATTTTGTGTATCAATGTTTAAAAATAAGTTACATTGCTTCCATCCAGTTACTGATGTTGGTGAGTTTAACATAATTAAATAACATTTTGGGATCTTGCCTTTACAAAAAACACATGTGTCGTCTGCGAACAGTTTAATTGTAAATATTTAGTGGGATATAGTAAATCGTAGAATATAATGATATAGACTAAAATAGAAGGGGGTCTTATTAAGTACTCCGCTCTTTAACATGCAATGAAATTCTAGCAATAAATATTAACTGTTTATGATTTAATAACGGTAACTTGAAGAAAAAAAATGGAGTGCCCCTAATACCTTAGTAGTGTAATTTGCATGATGACATTGAATGATCTGTAACATCAAAGGCTTAAGTTAAGTCAATCAAAATTGTCAGTACATATTCATTATTGTTTGTTGACCTATTAATGTTATTTAATCAAATCAAATATGACAGTTACTGTCGAATGGCCCTGCCTAAATCCAAAATGAGGTCTTAAGAAGTATATTGTGTATATCTAAAAAGTCAATTAATCTTTTGTAGATGCATTTTTCTAATATTTTAGAAAAATTGCATCTGATATAGGCTTTTTCCTTTATGAACAAAATAACAAATAGATAAAAGGATAAGAGGAATAACTCACCTTGTCCCCTTTATATACAACCAAATCTAAAGACCAACTGCTCCCAAACGACGCTCTCTATTGGAATGCCGTGAACTGTGGAATGCCCTTTGATCTTACATGACGTGCAAACTAACACACAAGCGTTGCATAAATTCCTTATAATTACCACTCGGTACCAGTATAATTTGTATTTTGCAGCTAATTCTGCATTTTTGTTGGTCTTGTTCCTACCAGCACCTGCTTCTACCAGCACTTCAGTAACTTAGCCAGGGACCCTAGTGACTTGTTCGGAAGTAGATGATAATGATAATCAAGAAGAAGAAAAATACTTTTCTAACTTTGATGACCCCCCCCCCCCCCTCCTAACCACATCTGCATTGAAAGCTAAAACGAATGAACTTTTGAGGTAAAGAAATTGTCGTGAGCCAGCAAGTCAACGAACCAGGCGCGTACACAGGGGGGGGGGGGGGGGGGGGGGGGGGGGGGGGGGGGGGGGGGGGGGGGGGGGGGGGGGGGGGGGGGGGGGAGTTTGGGGGTTAAACCCCCTTTGGTATTTTTCTGTGTGTAAACCCCCCCCCCCCATATAACCCCCCTAACCCCCCCCCCTTTGGATTTTTTAATTTTTTGATTTATAAAAATAAATAAATAATTAAAAAAAAATATTCCCATGGCTGACCTAAAAAAGCTGACCTTACCCCCCCCCCCCCCCCCCCCCCAACGGAGCAAAATGTCAAATTTTCAAATTTCGAGCCCCCCCCCCCAAAAAAAAAAGTGTCCTCTTACCCCCCCCCCCCCCCTCCCCCCGCTTATTCAGCGGCTGGCTGAGTCGTTGCGAAATTTTCGGCCCGATTTATATATATTAACCCCCCCCCCCCCCTTGAAAAAATACTGCGTACGCGCCTGCAACGAACTAACCTAATTTCCTTTTTACCCGAACCTTTTAACTTCATTTTAGATTGATTTTTTTGTAGGGAGCAGGATACTATTGTTTGTCTATAGTATAGCCGTCCTTAATCAATGGCCTATCCACAAAATTGATAAGTAGGGCGGGGTGGGAGGGGGTGGGAAGAGGAATTCTCTCTATTTTAGAGAGCTGCACAGGCCCTTGCATACCTTTTAAACCAATTTTATGGATTTTTGTTCATGTTTTTTCTGTGTGCGGATGATCTTCAAACTACACTTGTTTCTTTCTATTCAACACACACACACACACACGCACACACGCACGCGCGCACACATACGCACACGCACACCCCCACACACACACGCGCAAGCACTCACATTTTGTATGTATATTTATATATTTCGTTATATTTTATGTTATGTTCTAAATTTAATAAGCCCCCCCCCCCCCCCGTTTTTGCCAATGTAGTTGTCTCCAATTTTACGACTCTAAGTAGAGTTGCTGTATTTTTATATATTGGAAGTTCACTTTCCATTTCATTTTCTAGTGAAGAAGAACAGTTTTGTCATACATGTATTAACAAAGCTGAGTGGGCTATCCAGCCATTCACTCATAATCTTGATGTAATATGTACTTTTTTTATTTTGTTTGTATTGTGTTTTTATTGTGATTTGGAAAATTAATACCATACCCCCTCCTATACCATATAAGGTATTAAGTATATCATGGGAAATAAAGTTGGTCTAGCTTTCCGGCATCGCACCCTTACCCTGCATGGATAACTCGACTTGGTCGAGCTGTCAATGGTCATGATTTGTCCTGCTTCTTCTTCTTTTTCCCCCTTTTCCCCTTTCCTTCTTATCTGTTTTACTTCTCCTTGTTCGTTTCGTGTTTGTACATTGTATGTTGTTTTGAAATATTCAGGTCTTGTGTTTTCTAAGTCTTCGTAGGCAAAATTTAAAACATTTGTATTTTTATTTTTTCTGGGGAAACACAAACTACAAGCACTGCTTTTTAGTGGACCCCCCCCCCCCCCCCAATTTCCTCAGAAATTAAGAAATTCTTGTAATAATTTTATTATGTGCAAAGTTTATTTGTATAGTTTTTTGAAAAAATGAATTATGTATGAAATCAAATGTAATATCTTTGTTTACCTTTCTGTTGTAAATGAAATAAATTTGAATATGAATATGAATATGAATATGAATATATGAATGGTATGTGAACGAGTTATTCAGGTTGTCTGTCGGTCAGGCTGTCTAGGAATCATATACATTATAAATAACAAATATCAATGAAAATATTGAATAGTGATTATCTGAAGCTGATTTTTATTATCAACGTAGGAACATATTACATTTTATATTAGAACTTTTGAATTGACTATGGACTAATATATTTCCCTCTCACATATATTTACAGATCTAGGTTATGGTAAACAAAGTAAGTTTGCGCGAAATTAAATAGTTTTTCTACAAGTCAAATATTCTATAATCTTTCCGATTGTAGACAAACCGGAAAAAAATTCTCAAGATTTTAAAAATAGCAAGAGTGTAAAATTGTATAATGAAGGTCTTCTCACCTCGAAACTTGAAAATAGTTGAAAGTTAAGCATTTTAACCCTCCTTGCTTGTAGTCAAGATACAACGTGCTTCTTTTTATTTTTTCTTTACCTCGCCATAGAAATTTTAAAGCAAATCTCATCAATTTCTTTTAAAACCGATTTAGGTAAAGGAGTCAAAGAGCTTACATAAATTAGTTTGCCTTTTTTACGATACTGAAAAGATTCGCAACCCTGGCTCATTGTATTTCGTTCACAGTTCACACACACATAAACACATTCAGGGTAAGTCCTCGGACTTTATATCTTATCGCTGATTATTTGCGATATATAGTACCAGCATATTTCAGTGTAAACGAGAGAAAGAACATGCTAAGGCAGCTAAAAAGCCAGCCGCCCACCCACCGGCTGGCGAGCAATCACCGATCCCAGGGGGACGAGGGTCACGATCGTTGCCCTCCCCCCCCCCCGCCTCTCTTTTTTTTTGGGGGGGGGGATCTTCCTCCCCGGAAAATTTGAAAAAGTGCAACAAAAAAATGTTTAGCTAATACTGACTAAAGACTGCAACACACATACAGGCTCTTGAGGAGTGCAGCGTTTAGACTAACAAAAATGCACAAAAACTTCTCGCTCGGTCGCTAAGCTCCCCCGCATAATATCCTTAAAAATGTTCAAGTAAATATTGTAGAAAATCTGTATTCTATTGGTATCACGTAAGCACCGTTTACACAATGCTCCCTCGTCCCTCGCATTTCGTTCCCGCCCCCCCCCCCCAGGTCATGAAAAGAAATCGCAGCCCTTGTCGATATATAAAAACCAAGTTCCTTGATTGAAATTAAGACATTGTCTGTAGATTTGAGGATAAATTTACTGAAAATTAAAAAGTAAAAATTAGCATCCAAATTCATTTTCTATCAGGCTAAACGCTTTTAATCATTATTTTGGTTTCCTATTTATTTCATAATAATAATAGTTTTCAATTAATCGTGCAGAAACCATACACCTCCTCCCCCCCCCCCCCTCCAATTAAGAAAAAGAATTAGCATACTTCTAATAATGTGGAAAAATATTTGATTGCATGTGCTGTTTAATAATGAGGGCAAAATTAATGCCACCATCATAAAATAAAGGTGAGGGTAAAAGCAGCATACTTTGTACTATTAAAAAGGCAAATATGTCTGCACCTGTCATGAATAGTGACCGAGGGGCCGAGAGGGCCCTGCCTCCAAGGCTGTTCCCCCCCCCCCCCCCCCGCAAAAAACAGAGAGCAGGAAGGAAAGAGAAAAAATGAAAAGAGGAGATAAATAAAGAGAAGGATATTAGTTTTTTGCAGACAGAAAACAAAAAATGCAAAAATGATCATGCATTGGCATGTAAGTGTATCATTAGAATTATTCATATTGCTTTATATAACTCACTTTAGAAATCCAGCCATTCCTGTAAAGAAACGTAAAATGCCAAAACCAGTCAATAGTCTTTAGAAAAACGCCCTAGGGCACTTTTCAAAAGACTATTGGCCGGTTTTGGCATTTTACGTATATGCGTGCAATCTCAATGTAAAGGATTTTAGCACACAAACTCGAGTGGTGCGCGATCAGACACCCTATTAAGACTAGGTCTCGATAGCGTAAACAAACTTGAATACCATGATTGGTAAGTCGCACATGTATTCTATGACCCTTTTGGGTATATAAAAGTTATAATGACTGCTTTAATATTCGAGGCAAAGTTGTTTTGATAGGCTCTCGTGGAGGTTACATCGTGTTATCACCCTTCGGCACGCCTCGGGGCGATAGCACGATGTAGCCTCCCCGAGAGCATTTAAAAACAACTCTGTCTCTCATAGCAGTCACAAGTACTACATTATTACATCTTGTGAAATAGTATGCATATGCCCTACAAGCTTTTAGATTTTATTTTGTTTGTATTTGTATGAAAGAAAGTATTTGAAACTTATAATGCACATGATGCAATTTCCTGAGTGAAACGCTCTGTCGCCTTACAACTAATCGTACAAAGACTAAAAGTTGTCTTTATTGGCATGTTTGTTCCGGCAAAGAACCTGCTACGTATACATTTTTAAAAGTGATATATAGTAAACAACTAATCTTTTCACTCTGGTTCTGAAGGGTATATTAACACATTTTTTAAAATCATATTGTAGTTATCATATTACAGGTCAATAAAGTCTACTTTTTGAAACTTAATACCCAGCCCGAAATCGTTATTATCACGTACGACATCGGACAATGACTTGTTTTCACATATAAAATATTAAGGCTGATCCTATTGAAAATGGTTTTTGATTATATTGAAAATGATTATTGATTTACAGTATCTTTCCATCTCCGATACACAACTATTTGATATGATCGCCGAGGAATAATGCGCCTTGGCTTTGCGGCTCCTGCAAGAGCTGATGTATGCTGATAAGGATTCACAAAACTCAGTGTTTAGAGTGGGTTTCGAAGGAGTGACAGGAAGGGCGGCTGTGGGGGCGTTCACCCCCTCAAACGCCGGTCAATAGAGAGAGAGAGAGAGAGAGAGAGAGAAAGAGAGAGAGAGAGAAGAGAAAAAAAAAGGAAAAGGACGTAGAAAGAAAAAAGGAGGAGGCAAAGAAATATTTTTGAAAATTCAGACAAGGATTAAGAGTCGAGAACGGTACATCTTCTTTCTGTAATAGTTTAATGTAACGTCAAAGCTACCCCTCCCTGCACCCACTACCCAAAGGAGCGCTCTTCGCGCACTATGTAAGGGATTCGCACGCTTTGCGTGCTCATTACCGCCCCCGCCCCTAAAATAAAATCCTAGCTACGCGGGTGGGGAGTTAGCGTAAATGACCATGATGACACCCACAGAAACTAACCTTATTCATTACCGAACAAACACAGGAGAAGGAGCTCCTCGACACCATATGATAATAATACAGCATTTATTATGCGCCATCGATCTAGTAAACTATTCTGAGGCGCAGAGGGATAGAATTAGAATGAGATACATAGAGAAATGAGAAGGGGGAATGCATTGAATTTTAATGTAGCATTTAAATATCGAATAGGAAAAAGAGAATTACAAAATCTTTGCCAATATTATGTCATATACATTAATGATTTTTTCAAGGGGGAAGAAGATTTTCTTTTGGGGGAAGGGGTGAGGGGGGTGTCACTGGCAGATTGGTTGAACCCTGTCAAAGGTACTAATGTCCTTTGGCAAGACATTGATCTATATTTGCCACACTCAACCCAGGTGATGTACATAGGTACCTGGCAGGAATTAATTCTTTGAAATGCTAGAGCGCCGCAATGGCAGAACAGCTAAAACCGGGGTAATAATCTCCAAGTTTGGAAGCGCTTAGTGATTCTAATAAGCGCTATATAAAAAACTGAGTATTATTATTGTTATTACGAAAATATCCATTATTTGTTTTAATTATTCACACTAAAGTCAATACTAATTGCTTAGGGCAAAATGTATATAAACGTAGTCACATTACTGTACTATACTGTACTTTAATGTATTTGATTTGAGTGATTCTATCGCACTTCCAATTTTTGTAAAGGTATTTAAACATATATATAAATATATATAACAAAAATAGAGTATTTATTATCGAGTATTTTATTTGCTGAAAAAGAGTCACGTGACACTCAACAATTTGTTACGTTTCACGAGTGTGCAGTAGATATACAATCCTTTTTTGGCAAGGTAAAACACGAATAAAGGCGATTTAGACTGCGTACCTCTCTTATGCGTACCCATCTGACGCGAATGCAACCTTAATGTAATAGAGAGGGCCTGATTTCAAAAGATTACAAGTACCCTTAATTTTATAAAAACAAAAATATTGCATTTCGTTGTTCAATATAACATAAATTCACCTCCAAATTAAGAATTTTCCTCGTGCCATTAGATTTCAACCTTGGCTTGCGACCCCGGCGAAATTTAATATCACTCTGAATTTTTTTAATTGTCGGTTCATATATTTTGTTACACTGAATACCGGAGCATGCAATAGTTGTATCTCTGAGTAAATGATTTGCAGAAAGAATAGATACATTTTTTAAATGCCCATCATAAATGACCGTCATTCATACGCTAAACAGCCGCTGACCACTCTAAATAAAGCGGGTAAGATTTACCTAACATTGGGTAAAATGGGAACATGCATGGTTGTAGGGTAAATTCTACCCAATCTTGGTTTTTAAAACATTGATGATAATAATAATATGTTACATTTATATAGCTCATTACATAATAAAATTCGATGCGTTTTACATTAGATAAAATACAAAAATATAACTACGAAATACATTTTTACAAAAACCAGGAAATAATTTTACATAAATTCTACAATACTTAATTACTTTACAAAGAATGATATTAAATTTACAATATGCTACATACGGCTACGAGTACAGTTACTGTAACTATGATAGGATGAGAAAATATGTTACTTTAAATTTAATCTACTCTATAATTAATCAATGGAGGGGGCATCACAGACTCTAGTATATTAAGTAGATTATTCCAGACTTTGCGTATAATTTCACCCAACCAACATGCATGTTCCGCAGATTACTGGGTAAATCTTTTCTCTACTTGTCTCAGAGTGCATCTGTTTTTAGGTCATGAATTCCGGACGGGAATCGTAAAGTTATAGATACATCGATAATTTCTTAATACAAATCTTTATAAAAATGGCTCTCCTTCTTTATGAATTATAGGAAAATATCAAAGCGATTTGTACAATAATGTGCAACTCAATTCAATACATAATGCATATGAATATAACAGAAAGAGTGGAATGAAAGACGAAGACAATCTAGGAATGAAAAAAAAAGGAAACGATAAAACTGAAATAGAGGGATGGTATGCAAAAATGAGACCTATATCGAAATTTCAACTTCTTTTGTGATTAAGAAATATAAATTTATATTTAATGGGTTTTCCCAACGCAATACTTGTTTCCAGATTTGCTCCTTCTATGTTTTCATTTATCGACTAAAATGATCTCTGTTTTGATCATATTGTACTGATAATGAAGGAAGGAAATTGTGAATTTCTCTTCAAAATACATAATTTATATTCTCTACAGATATAAAACCTTTTGATTCTCTTTTTTTGTGCTAGTGTACGCGAAGATATAAATTTCTCTGCTGGAAATATCTCTTGTTCGAAAATTCCCTAGATGAAGAAAGCCATGAAGACAGATGAGAGAAGCAAGATGACCGACATCGTGGTCTCTACTCCAGATGACATATCATCGTCCTCGTCGTCTTCGACTTCGGCGAAGTCGAATCGAATCTGATCACCATCAGACAGCTGGGTCATAGAGAGATCTGAGGTATGTAAGAACGATAGATTAATGATGATGATTTTATTTATTTATTTATCAAGTCTTCTTCCAGTGATTGCGACACTGTCTGACGAGAAGGCCCTGTAAATGAACAAATTAATATGACTAGTATGACACAAGATTCCAATAAAACATGATCTACCACGGGTTTTTTAGAGCCGGTCACCTGGAGGTTTATTACTCCCTGAAGCCAATGGTGTTTTCCCTCTGTCCTAATAACATGACCACAATCATCTCATACCATTCATAGTAATGAACAAAAACAACAGGCCAGGGATTCACAAAGTTTGGGATAGTGTGAAGGAGGCAGAGGGGGCACTTACCCCCAAACCTACTCTCTCACCCTCGTCAGCAATTCAAAGAAAGTTCATGACTTCGATGAGGGGGACGGGGAGGTTAGAGGTATTAGATTATGGGCACATGTGAAAACTCTCAAGATCCGTCTTTCAATTCTAACTCCTCGGTTCGAAATTTGGCAGTCACATTTTCGATAGATTCCCCCCCCCCCCTCCACCCTCTCCATCCTCTGTAGGATGAAATCATCGTATTTTCGATGATTTTCACAAAACTGTATACATGATAAAAGACTTTATGTATAGTGATAATTTGTCAATGAGTTTCTCACCTCTAGGTAGTTTCATGTTAGTTTTGACGTTGAACGGAGTCCAGGCATATCCTCCTTGGTTAGTGATGTTGTTCAGTGTCATCACAGTCATGTTTGAGGTATCCACTGTAACTCTATTAGATTGAAACAAATTGAAACAAAATTGTAGGATAAACTAGACAAAATGGATGAAATACATTGATTTGAGAAACTAACATCAGACTAAATACACAAAACTCTAAGCGCTATCGAGTGTTTCCTAGAGAATTTATGCACCCGATCATACCATGAAAACTTGTAAGAGGAACTTATACCATGAATCGTAATTTGCTGAAATAGAACATTCTATAGTCCTGAGAATTGTATATTCCTTTTTCAAAATGAGACGCATTGAATTGCATCGTGAAAAATACTATTCAATGGCTAATAAATACTCGGCAAGTCTCAGAACTGAATATAAAGCCCTTCATGAGTAACGTGATAAGCTTATGGAGAATTATTGACACTTTTATAAACTTTGCTGCACACGTGACGTCATTTACTGACATACGCCTGCGTCAGCGAATGGCACGGTCTCTGACGCACCATGTGAGAGTGACACAAACGATCAACGCAAACATTGTGTTCAATTTATGGGACATGCGCTAATTACCTTCGTAGGATTGATAGCGTAGGGAATAACGCAAAGGGAGTGTAGGTATCTAATAAAAAATCTATCTTCTCAAACTTCTTTCCTCATTAAAGTCTAATTTCGCTTCTACTTTGTCTTCTCTACCTCCATTTTTTGTTCTATTTGTATCTATTATCATCAATTCATCATGATCATTAAGTATAGTTATATTGTATTTACATTTAACATCGTCTGCAGCTCTGCATACATCTGTTCAAATAGAGTGGCGTTTCACGAAAACGTCAACAGTACAATTTCACCGACATCCAAACGCGACTATTGCGAATAACACGCGTTCAATAGGATGTCGGTAAACTTGTACTTTTTACGGTTTCTTTAAAAAAACAAAAACCTTGGGGGTGTTTCACAAAGCCCTTTTTCAAATACAAATGACAAATATCAGTGACAAATCTGCTGATAACCAATCAGGAGTAAGGATTTATGAAGCTTATAACAAAAACTGTAATTTGTCACTGATGACAAGTTTTGTGAAACGGGTCCCTGGTCTATACCTTATATCCAATGGGATCTGCATGTTGACAAGCATCATGACGTCATACAATGATGGCTGTGATTGGTCGAAGAGTACCAGCTGATTGCAGACGGGTTCAAAGTTTGTTCCCGCCTTCACATTCTCTGTGTTGTCGTCTGCGACCGTGATGAACGTACTGAGATACGTCAGGGGCATGTTAGCAGAGATGACGGGTGCATTCAAGCATGGGCCTAAAAATGAATAATAATGTAATAATGACAACAGTGACAAGAACAGCAGGCTACCGCCATGCACTGCTACTATTACTATTTTCAGGTACTATTAATTTTAAAACGACATGGAGGCATGATACAAGATATAATACTATTTATTCATATGGACTGATCAGTGGCGTACGCAGGAATTTTTCAAGGGGGGGGGGGGTTTAACATAAAATTTCGCAACGACTCAGCCAGCCGCTGAATAAGCGGGGGGGGGGGGTTGGGTAAAGCACTTTTTTTTTTGGTCCAGAAATTTGAACATTTGACCGATTGACATTCCGTTTCGTTGGGGGGGGGGGGGGTATGGTCATCTTTTTTAGGTCGTCCATTAGGAATTAAAAAATAAAAAAAATAAAAAAATATTACAACTCATAAGGGGGGGGGGGTTCTCAAAATACATACACATACAAAAATTGAAGGGGGGGGGGTTAACCACAAACCCCCACCCTGCGTACGCGACTGGGACTGATTTAATATTTACCTGTGTAGTTTGCGATAACATGATCAGGATTACTGGCGTTGTAAGGAGGAGCGTACATGTAATTAAAAATGTATGAATCGCCATCTTCCAGGACTAACCAGTCAACGCCTGCAAAAGAGAAATTAAAAAAGAGGGGTAAATTCTAGCTAGAAAACAAAAACAAAAATACAAACACATAGGAAGCATAACAATACATTACTCGGGCGAATATCAAATAGGCCTGTTTACTAATTCTATGCATACTTCTTAATCAAATTAATTGAAAACTCAAGAGCTTGCCTGACATAGCAACAGCTATAATATATGCAAAGTGAATTCCCCCATAGAGATTTCAGTATGCTTAGCAGATTGTAAATGTATGTGTGCTTGCTTGATTTTTTGCTTTTTTAGATCTTTTCTTTTCTTTTTCTTTTTTGATATAGACCTATTTCATTTCATTATTTGTTTAAAACATAATATCCAGTATATGATAACATCCATATTTTGCACGAGAGATGTGTTGACATGACCAATTCTTACCAACAGGGGTCGCTATACCTTCTCCATCGAAGATTGCCCAGAAATAACCAGCAGCCCCTGTGACACCGTTTATGGTGGTAATGAAGTGGCCGTAGATAGGATGCACAGTTGCCATGTAGCTAGAAATATCAAAATATAGAACATTAATCAACTGACTGAAAAGAAAGGAGGAAGTAGAGTAACAGATTGGGATATTTTATTGTTTTCCGAAAGCGTTTGGGCTTTAAAGCCGACTTTCTTAAAAGACTATCTCTCCCTCCCTCTCTCTCTCTCTCTCCCCCCCCCCCCCCACCTCTCTCTCTCTCTCTCTCTGTCTCTCTCCCTCCCTCTCCCTCTATCTTTCTCTCTCGTATGTTTTGCCATCCGAGTGAAGGCCTGACAAGGGCCTCTCCATCTTAAGCTACTCCTTATCTCTGTTTACTTCCCCACAATAGATTCATCTTACGTGAAGTTATCTCCTTGTTGCTGACTAGCTGCCATCATGCCTTGCCACAGGTTTGCCCCTTGTGGCACCTCATATTGCATCATACATATAGTCGTGCCGTTGAAGCTGTTGTCGGCCGAGATAAAGTTGGTTATCTTAGGGACCTCTCCGCCAGGGAGGGCTTCACACTCGAATTCATCTCCTGAAATATATAGAAATAATTTGGATAATTTGAAAATGCAAAGTAAGAATGTACCAGGCGTATCATATAAAGATATCGACTGCTACGAGAGGACTGGCTGTTTTTATACGCTCAAGGGGAAATCATAGGCAACAGTATAACTTATGTTAACCAACGTTATAACTCAACGGGTTGATGATTGCTCTAAGCAGCTTTGAGACGATTAAACCATATTCACAACAACAAGACACAGAGACCAGACTGACTACAGATCGATCAAACAATGACATTAACACCAAAGGCTAAGAATCGGTCGGTTAAGAGTCGGATTACGCGGTGTGACTAGGCTATTACACCGCCGGTGACCCCCCCCCCCCCTTCCCTCATAATTACCTTCGTCGTCATCATTGACTTCGGCCTCATCATTGACTTCGGCGAAGACGAATCGAATCTGATCACCATCAGACAGCTGGGTCATAGAGAGATCTGAGGTATGTAAGAACGATAGATTCATGAGGATGATTTTATTTAATTATTTATCAAGTCTTCTTCCAATGATTGCGACACTGTCTTACAACAAGGCAAATTAACAAATGAATATGACTAGTATATAGCAAAAGATACCAACAAAACATAATTTACCACGGGGTTTTCAGAGCCGGTAACCTGGAGATTTATTACTCTCCGAAGCCAATTTTATTTTTCATACCATTCATAATAATTAACAAAGACAATAGGCCAGGAATTCACAAAGATTGGGTTAGTGCATTGATGGGTCCTGACAGGAGGGGACAGAGGCCGGGGCACCTACCAACACCCCTCCCTCACCCTTGAGTATGTGGGCTGGGTGTGTGTGGGGGGGGGGGGGTGACAGGAGTTCCGGATTCATTACTCGGGAGGGGGGATTTGACCTACTAAGATGCCCCCTACCTACCATATTGGTACGCCATCGTAGGTCGGATACAAGATGATACAGCCTTCAGAGTAAGTCTTGTTATCATTTTAATTGAAATCTTCAATAAGTTTGTATCTTTATACAATGGTTACAGATCTGTATACACAAACTATATATTTGAGACCGGTTGCTGTGATAGGGGCGATGGCTGAGGAGGGGGGGGGGGGTGAGGGTTGATGCTGTGAATCCACCCAATCGAATTTCTTTCCAACTGCTCGACTATCGTCAGCAACTCAAAGTAAGATGATGACGTCGATGAGGGGGACGGGGAGGTAGGAGGTATTGGATTATTCTTAACACCTGTCGGCACATTTGAAAACTCTGAGGACCCGTCTTTATATTCTTACTCCTCGGCTCGAAAATTGTCGGTCAACTTTTCGATAGATTTGCCCCCCCCCCCTTTCATCAACTTTATCTGGTGTAGCACAGTAGCAGACCCCCTGTAGGATGATATAATCGTATTTTCGATGATTTTCACAAAACTGTATACATGATAAAAGTATATTATATTTAGTGATGAGTTTCTCACCTCTAGGTAGTTTCATGTTAGTTTTGACGTTGAACGGAGTCCAGGCATACCCTCCTTGGTTAGTGATGTCGTTCAGTGTCATCACAGTCATGTTTGAGGTATCCAGTGTTACTCTATTAGATTGAAACAAAATTGAAACAAAATTGTAGGATAATCTAGACAAAAAGGATTTAAAAAAATATTTATGTGAACACTGACGTCAAGTTAAAAAAACAGAACTGTTTGCGCTCGAGTGTTTTCTATAGAATTTATGCACCAGATCATGCCTTGAAAACTTGTAAGAGGAACTGATACCATGAATCATAACTTGCTGAAATATAACATATTTTAGTCCTGAGAAGTCTATATTATTTTCTTCCTTTTTTTGTGGGGGGGGGGGGAGTATGATGGTTTGTAGGTCTGCATTATTTTTTCTTCAAAATGAGACGCATTGAATTACATCGTGAACAAATGCTATTTAATGGCTAATGAATACACAGCAAGTTTCCGGATTGAATGTAAAGCTCTTTATTAGTCATGCGATAAAGTTATGGAGAATAATAATATTGACACTTTGATGAACTTTGCTGCACACAAGACGTCATTTACTTACGTACGCCTGCGTCAGCGAATGGCGCCGTCTTTGACGCACCTTGTGAAGGTACTTGGTTGTGCGTGGAAAAAAAGAGTTTTTGTATACATCTAATCTGGTTAATGGTATTTCGAACTGACTTGAGTGCCCGCGTCTGCTACGATCTGGTTTAGGTTTTATGTGTGTTTAGGCATCTATGTCCAGCTGGCCATGTAACATTTTGTGGAAACAGCTTAGACGGTGAGCTTCGCGTCTGTCTTGGAGAGAGTTCCATTTAAGAGAATTTAGAAGGAGGGTGACGCTTTCTTGTCTCTGATAATGCTTGTGACAAAACGGGCTGCCTGCCTCTGGACTCGTTCGATAGAAGAAATGTTCTTAGCTGTGTATGGGTCCCAAGCAGCAACTGCGTAATCTAAGTGTGGTCTAACGAGGGTGAGGTAGAGTTTCTCCTTTATGGAAGTTGAGCAGTGATGAAAGTTGCGTCTCAGAAAACTCAATACTCCTATAGCTTTTGTTGTTGCGAGGTGAGTTTGGCCATTCCATCGGAGGTCGTTCTGGATCACAACACCAAGGTGACACAAACGATCAATACAAACACTGCGTTGAATTATTTGTACATGCGCTAATTGCCTTCGTAGGCTGATGGCGTATAGGGAATAACGCAAGGGAAATGACGCATTGGTATCTACCCTAACCCGTTTGGATGTAATCAGAAACTATTCAAAGCTACTTTGGAGATATTACTATCTGCGCATGGGCAGATAAAGTTCTTTGTGTGTGTGTGTGTGTGTGTGTGTGTGTGTGTGTGTGTTTTCAGCGTTTCATTCTTTTTGAGCATATTTACACCTTTCACTTTTTTTTCGCTTAATATTTGTAAATTCGTATTCTTCATATATTTCTAGTTTTTGATAATATATATATATATATATATAAATATACATTTTTTTTCTTATAAAGAGTTGATATCAATCCCAACTATGTACATAGGAGATAGGAGACGGCAAACTTGCGATTGATTGGAGGATTTACGATTAATTTGGATCAATCATATAACTCTTTATTAGACGGAGCCCAGAACTGTAAAAATCCGTCGAGACGAGTGCTGGTACGTGTTCATGAAAGCTATGTTATCATTATTTATTTATGCACCGACGGAACATTCTATGCTACACAGGTGGAAGAATTCTTTTGAAGAGAACACACAAGAGGCATTCAAGACGCACCATAACTTTGACAGTGATTTTTCTAAAATGAACAAAGTAGGCTTCTCCAAGATGATAAGATCTTTAGATATTTGATGACTCATAATTCATGATTTATTTATTCTTGTCCACAAATGTGGAATTTTGCTTTTCACCAGCAATAACAGGCAATTCAAGAAACCAAGACAAAAAAATATCTACATTTTTATTTCTGCAAGTCTGCATCTCCAAATAGAGCAGCTTTTCACGAAACCGTCAAAAGTACAATTTCACCGACATCCCAATGAAACGCGTCGATTACAATTAACACGCGTTTCAATGGGATGTCGGTAAACTTGTAATTCTTACGGTTTCGTTAAAACAGCGCCCTGGTCTTTACCTTATATCCAATGGGATCTGATTGTTGACCAGCATCATGACGTCATACAATGATGGCTGTGATTGGTCGAAGAGTACCAGCTGATTGCAGACCGGTTCAAAGTTTGTTCCCGCCTTCACATTATCTGTGTTGTCGTCTGCGACCGTGATGAACGTACTGAGATACGTCAGGGGCATGTTAGCAGGGATGACGGGTGCATTCAAGCATGGGCCTAAAAATGAACGATAAAGCAATAATGACAATAGCCTAAGAAAAGCAGGCTAACACCACTACTACTACTATTAGCCAACTACTACTACTGCTGCTGCTGCTGTTACTGCACATACACAACCCCCAACGCCTTCGCACACACACACCCACACACATCGTCACCCACACATTAAAATACATATAGGCCCCATATTGTTATTTTCAGGTTTTATACATTTTAAAACGACAAGGAGGCATGATACAAGATATAATACTATTTAATCATAAGGACTGATTTAATATTTACCTGTGTAGTTTGCGATAGTAGGACTACTGGCATTGTAGTACATGTAATTAAAAATGTATGAATCGCCATCTTCCAGGACTAAAGCGTCTACGCCTGCAAAAGAGAAATTTTAAAAAGAGGGGTCAATTGTAGCTAGAAAACAAAAACAAAAACAAAAATACAAAGACAAGGAAACCATAAAAATACATTACTCGAGCGAGAATCAAAAAGGCCTGTTCACTAACTGTATGCATACTTCTTAATCAATGGTTTCTCTTAAAAACTCAACGGCTTGCCAAAGGCTTGCCTAACATAGCAACAGCTAATATATGCAAAGTGAATTCCCCGGCCCAATTACTATTAGCATAGAGATTTCAGTATGCTTAGCAGATTGTAAATGAATGTGTGCTTGCTTTCTTTTTTCTTTTGGGGGTCTTTTCTTTTCTTTTTCTTTTTAATATATTTCATTTTATTATTTTGTTTAAAACATAACATCCAGCATAATTATGATAACATCCATATTTTGCATGAGAGATGTGATGACATGACCGATTCTTACCAACAGGAGTCGCTATACCTTCTCCATCGAAGATTGCCCAGAAATAACCATCAGCCGCTGTGACACCGTTTATGGTGGTAATGAAGTGGCCGTACTCAGAATTCAAATTTGCCATGTAGCTAGAAATATAAAAATATAAAACATTAATCAACTGACTGAAAAGAAAGGAGGAAGTAGAGTAACAGATTGGGATATTTTATTGTTTTCCGAAAGCGTTTGGGCTTTAAAGCCGACTTTCTTAGAAGACTGGTGTTATGCCTGTTCCACAGAGTTCCCGTCCCTATCTCTCTCTCTCTCTCTCTCTCTCTACCTTATCATGTTTTTACCCCCCTCGCTCTCTCTCTCTCTCTCTCTCTCTCTCTCTCTCTCTCTCTCTCTCTCTCTCTCTCCCTCCCCCTCTATCTCTTTCCATCCCTCCCTCTTTCTCTCTCTTTCTCTATCATATGTTTTGTCATCCGATTGAAGGCCGGACAAGCGCCTCTACGCCCTTCAGATACCCCTTGTCTCTGTTTACTTCCCTACACATAGATTACTCTTACGTGAAGTTATCTCCTTGTTGCTGATTAGCTGCTATCATGCCTTGCCACAGGTTTGCCCCTTGTGGCACCTCATATTGCATCATACATATAGTCGTGCCGTTGATGCTGTTGTCGGCCGAGATAAAGTTGGTTATCTTAGGGACCTCACCGCCAGGGAGGGCTTCACACTCGAATGCGTGTGCTGAAATATTTTTTTTTTAAATTGACAAATTGAAAATGAAATGTTAGAATGTACCCGGCTTATCATATAAAAGAGCATGATGAAAATCATTAAACTGGTACTATTAGCGCGAAATCCATGCAAACATTTGAACAGAATGTTCAACTTTTTAGCTGATTCTTGATTTCATTATGTGTGCACATAAACGTGAAAATAAGGATATATTTCACAAGTTTTTTATTAACGTATTTTGCATTGCCAGAACTCATTTCTCGTTAATAACATTCTACGCCAATAAGGGAGTTTACAGATAGCACATGGTACAAATGACCCCAAATATCCACAGATCTTTTACACATGGAGAAGTTCCACTTTAAGCATCTTAGAATAATAACTGCCAAAGTCCTAGATGTGCTTCATGAATACCTTTTGTTTGTCCTCTTGAAAAGAATACTTCCACCTGCGTATCATAGAATGTACCGTTGGTGCATAAATGAAAAATGTTACATAACTTTCATGAGCGCATATCCAGTATTCATCTCTGTGGGTTTTACCATTTTGGTACAAAATGACCTTTATCTGCCCATGCGCAGATTGTATCTATAAACTGGCTTATTGCGCATGATCCGTCATTATACTGACGTAGAACTGTGAGAGTGACATCGTATCATTGTGTTGTGTTGAATAAAAAGGCGAGTTTAATTTCCTTCGAAATCTGTACTAGCGCATGAAAAGTAAACGTAGTCGAAATGACGCGTTTTGTCCAACGTGGATATCAACTGCTGCCCATAACGATGGGATTTGTTTTTCTTTGTTACCTCTTTTCATGAAATGATAGTGATAATATAATTTGTTCTTGATAGATCAGTTCTTAGCACTATACTGATCAATGTAAAGAGTCAGAGAAATTGACCTTTTTATAAGGTTTTGAGATGATCATAACTTTATATATCAAGAGTAAATCATACTGTCAAAATCATTTCATAAAGAGAGATAAGGAATTTTAAGGAATTTTTTAAAATGAACTTTAAGGGCAACAGTACAACTTATGTCAATCAATGTAATAACGCAACGGGGTGATGGTTGCCCCAAGCAGCTTTGAGACGCTTATACTCTATAGTCACACAAACAAGACCAGACTGACTACACACCGATCACATAATGATAAACACCTTCAATCAGTGGCGGATCTAGCCGGTGGCGAGGGAGGGGGCCCAATTCGTGAGAAAATATTTAGCAGTGGTGCATAAGCCCCCCCCCCCCCCCCCCCCCCCCCTTGAGCAAAAAAAAAGAAGGTAAAATACCATCTTTTTGGGGGGGGCCCATGCCCCAACCATTGATCCACCACTGCCAACATTGGCCTTGAATCAGTCTGTTTAGAGTCGGTTTGGCCCACCTAATTATAACAACAATATTACAATGGAAGAGATTCCCAACGATACACGGTTGGTTGGTTCGCTAATTTACGGGCTCAATAACATAAATCCAGAGTAAAGAAAAATTGATGGCGTGACGTCAGAGAATGTGGTTATAAACATGTACGAAACATTCGGGTCATATTGTTCTGCGTTTGAGAAAAAAAAACATCGTTTAAGGGAGAGATAGAGAAAGAGAGAGAGAGAGAGAGAGAGGGGTGGGGTGGAGAAGGAGAGATATAGGCGAAGGGGAGATTGATAATAAAAGTAAATTAAGAATAAAGAACAACAGACGACATGACATCATGATAGACAGAAATGACGATGAAATGCGGCTATAAACACTAATGTATCCAGTATCCGGGTCATGGCTTGTTGTATTTGAGCAAACCAATGACTATGTAAGAAAGAGAAAAAGAGATAGAGAGAGAAGAGAGAGAGAGAGAGAGAGAGAGAGAGAGAGAAAATGAAAGAGAAAATCATTTAGTTGAAAGCTAGAGAAAGTTGACTCACTTGCGAAGAATGATGTGTAGAACAATGATTTCCAGAATATCAGAAGATTCCAATGAAACTGTAAATTTATCTCTAAACTGAGCAAGATAACGCTGATTCATGGGGGGCGTTTCATCAACATTTTTCCGCCGACAACAGCTACTGTCAGCGCTGACTAATTTGACCAATCAGAGGCCAAGAAAATAGTCGGTGACAAAAGAACTGTCGGTGAAAATGATATTAGTCGGTGAAAAACACCGACTGATTGTTTCATGAAACGCCCCCCCCCCACCCCCCCCCCCCCCCCCCCCATAGCACCTCGATCGCTATGTCTACTACTCTACAAGGAAGTATGAAAGCTTTAATTATATTCAGGAGATGCCCACTATACAATTGGTACAAAGGAATAAGGAACATCATTATGCGAAAAATGTGCAATGCAGTTTTATTGCAATGTATGCGAAAAAATGTTGACATTTTTATGACATCGCGTAATTTCACAGTTCTTTAGACAAGTTTTTGTGCTTTCAGTTTGGTTGTTCGTCGAGAAAATTGAATTTCTCGAACGAATTTGTATGACATAGATATTTTTCTCCTCCTTTTATCCCCCCACTCTCTCTCTCTCTCTCCCTCTCTCTCTCTCTTTATCTCTCTCTATCTAATTTAAAGTTAATGCGAGCTGCCCACTTTTGTAAGCTCTGTATATAGCTGCTCCACGTGTACCTGGTGAATAGATGTTATAAGAGAACTAAATGAGATGTACGTACGGAAGCGTTAAAGTGCCATTCTACTTGACGACATGACAAGATATTTCATCTTGTCAAGTCGACTTAATATCCATATCATGTCGACATGTAAAGATATTTAACCTACCATGTCGACTTATCAACTTTTATTAGTCGACATGGCGAAATAAATTATCTTGCCAAGTCGACTTCACAAAAAGTTCATGTCGTCATGGCGACATATGTTATCTTACCAAGTCGACTTCTAAAAAAATACATGTCGTCTTGGCGACATAATTATATTATCTTACCAAGTCGACTACCCAAAAAGTAATGTCGACATGGCGAAATAAATTATCTTGCCAAGTCGACTTCACAAAAAGTTCATGTCGTCATGGCGACATAAGTTATCTTACATGCACCATCAATGGTGATCGTGAGGCGATCGAGGGACCGGGATCAGGACTAAAGTCACTAGACCTAGACTAGTCGACTGTGAATGAACTACACGTACGCGCGCTGCATGAAATAGTCGTCACACTACATATCTCGCCATGACGACATATACTTTTTGGGAAGTCGACTTGGTGAGATAATTTATGTCGCTATTACGAGATGAACTTTTTTGTGAAGTCGACTTGGCAAGATAATACATGTCGCCATGATGACATGAACTTTTTGTGAAGTCGACTTGGCAAGATAATTTATTTCGCCATGTCGACATTACTTTTTGGGTAGTCGACTTGGTAAGATAATATATGTCGCCAAGACGACATGTATTTTTTTAGAAGTCGACTTGGTAAGATAACTTATGTCGCCATGACGACATGAACTTTTTGTGAAGTCGACTTGGCAAGATAATTTATTTCGCCATGTCGACTAATAAAAGTTGATAAGTCGACATGGTAGGTTAAATATCTTTACATGTCGACATGATATGGACATTAAGTCGACTTGACAAGATGAAATATCTCGTCATGTCGTCAAGTAGAATGGCACTTTAACGCTTCCGTAGTAACATGATTGCAAAAAACGTTCAAAGATATCAACCTAGGGCAATTCTAGTTGCCTTTTGCGTCGACTGTTCAAATGAACGCACAATAACATGTTACAAAGTCAGAACTTGATTTCTATATAAATACAACAGAATGTTGTAAATATTCTGAAGTTGATTCCTAGAAAGTCTTTGCGACCATGTTTCATTGGATATGGCCAGGGGGTGTTTCACAAAGATTCTAAGTCGAACTTAACTCTAAGTTGGACTTAAATATTATGGAGAGCCATTTGTAGTCTTATAATGAAATAGGTTCAAATGCAAAAATAAGTATTTTAGACTTTTCATAAATTCTACATCAAGAACATGAAATCTCCCAGGATAATAGAAAAATATGAATGACTTGAATCAACATGTTATGCCTTTTAAAATAACTTTTATTAAATTAATTTTTAAGGATGCTAACGGCTTTCCATAATTTTTAAGTCTAACTTAAAGATAAGTTCAACTTAGGATCTGCGTGAAACACCCCCAGGCCTTTAATATAAAAAACGGCAATGTGATATTATAATTACTCTTGGTCTCCCACAATACTTCCGTATATTATGCCACCTCTCATTAATTTCTGGCACATGTAATGAGTTCTAGTCGACTAAAACATAATTACGAGCGTACAATTATATTTCCATTATGTTATTAAAATTAAACGTGGTAGCAAAACAGGAGGGCTCTTAAACTTTAAGTGTGACTCGTAGTTTTAAATTCGAAGTAATTAGCTCGTGGTTAAGTACCGTGTGGACGACCGTGGCTTCGGAAGTTGATGATTTTACTCGAAGTTTGATACAAAGATCAATCGTTAACGCGATAACTATACGACTAGCTGGGGGGGGGGCACAATTTAACTTCTTTAACTTGTAATTTCGACTGCTTGCCAAAGCACAGTCTCGTTTCAGGGTCGTGTGAACCATAGTCGTTGTTTATAGTGGGTCGTTGTTTAAAACTTACTTAATTTAATAAACAGACCAGACTTATTATATATAAAGAAAGTAACATGAATGAATGAATGACTAAGTACTGTTGATGAATTCGTATTATGACCGTGTTCTTCTATCTTTGCCATGTAAAGCATTGTCTTGTCCCTTTCTCGTCTCTGTTGGCATCCCCCTTTTTCTTTCCCCTATTTTGTAGTTCCTTTTGAAGTTACGGATTTGTTAATTTAATTACTCATTATTCCTAAGTATCATTTGAGGTGTTCACACTTGTACAAGCATTGCTTTTTAGTGGACCCCTCTGTTTACAACATGTATTTCTTACATTTGTTTCAAATGCCTATAATTGATTTGTAATGTTTTGTTGGAAAAATTCATTTCAACTTCAATTCGTGAATACATTACTAAATGAATGAATTGCTGGGTGAATGAATGCCTGAATACCTGAATGTTAATGATCATACTTAATTGCTTACTCACCACCATCGTGACCATGCACGCATCCAATGGAGAAGATAAAGGCGATACAGGCCACAGTCATCAATTTCATTAAGAGGGTCATTATGTCTTATTTCGAGGATGAGCCTGGATAAGAACAGCAGAAACAGCAGCAGCAACAGCAGCAATAACTTCTGAACAGAAATGACTAGTTGCAAGTGGTAAGCTAAACTTTCTGAAGATCGCAAGAGCACATAATAGTTATATAGGATATAAAACGCCCTGTTTCAACATTTGTTGCTTGTACTTCCGTGAGTACTTCCACGAAGAATTACTTGACATCTATTTCTAGAATATCTATGCTGTATCTGTTGCTGGTACTTCTCTGGGCGAGGCTTGAACAGTGACCAATTAGGAGGTTTCTGTAGTATCACGTGATGATGACTAGTCACAAAATAAACACGGAAATAAACTTTTTTTGTTCTTTTTTTGTGTGAGTTGTCAGTTATGGATGTTCTAAAGGTAGGGTCCATTGTCTAACGTAACTATGTGCGTATCACATAGACAAAATATGTACCGAAACTGAGCCCATGTTCATATCGGTCTTATGTTTGACTTGAGTAATTCTATTGTGCCTGTTTGAAAAGACGCTCTCCCAGGCACTCTCCCCGGTCTCAGTTGGGGTTTCCCCTCTTCTTACATCTAAACAAATATGAAGCCATTCTTCACTGAATGCCATTTCTCATTTTATTGTTGCTAGATGATTTCGGTAATTTTGTTTATTTGTCCTTTAAACCCCTCTTTTTGTTCTCCTCGAAATATTCAATTCAATTCAATTCAATTCAAAGTTTATTCAACGCTCTTCATAAAAACATTTCAAACATACAAATACAGAATGGAATAATAAAAAACAAGAAAGTGATAACAAATTACAATGGCAATTTATAAGAGCATTTGGGATAGGCAGAAACGAGGGATTCCTTATATGAAAGCCTACCCCTAAAAACACACATACAGGTAAAAAAAAAACCAAAAAAAAATAAAACAAACAAAAACAAACAAAAAAACAAGAACAAAAGAACAGAACAAACAAACAAAAATATATACTAAAACATACTACCATGTACGATCAGAGTAAAAAAAAAAGTGTCAAACTTGCTCATGCTATTAATACTGATTATTATATTTACTTAACAGAAATTGTTTATATTTAATTTTAAAAAGATTGAGAGTTTTGCATTTTTTTTATTTCCTGAGGTATACTATTCCATATTAATTACATTGAGTGTTTTGCAAGGAGATAAAAGGACTGTGTATTAATGCTCATAACACAATCGTGCATCGTATCATAGCAGTCGTTTTAATCATGTATTCATTATAAAAAAAAAATCTATAGATCCAGAATTTAAAAAAAAACACGACGTGACGGCATACTATAGGCAGAAATGACATTGAAAATGTGGTTACAAAGTACAAACACTAATGGAGTGTCCGGGTCATGTCTCGTTGCATTTGAGCAAAACAATAATGTCGGAAAGAGAGAAAGAGAGAGATAAGAAAGAAAGAGAGAGAGAGAGAGAGAGAGAGATAGAGAGAGAGAGGGGGAGAGAGAGAGAGAGAGAGAGAGAAGCTATATAGAACCTTCTCGAGAGAATATAGGCTAGACTAACTTGCCAGGAATGATTTCCCGATGATCAGAAGATGCCAATGAAACTGTAAAGATTATAGCAAACTAAAGCTTGCATTGGTTCATATCACCTAGCACACTGTTGGTCATAAAGGTGGAATAATTACTTTTACCCTAATTTATGGAATGATTTTGACAATGATTTATTCGTAATAGATAATAATCATAATAATAATAATAATAATAGCCTAATAGTCCACTCCAAATTGGAGACATCCAAGGTGTCAGCTTCCCCAGGACGTCAATGATATCATTCAGTCACTTGGAATTCATCGAAGGAGAACACGCAGAGGATCTCGGGGTGGCCAAAGAAAGAACAGTATCAGACGGAAGAGCCATGGTAATCCATCTTCGAACTTTCAACTTTGCTCTGTAAATGTACGGTCTGTCTGTAACAAGACTGCTCTGATACATGATTTCATATGTGATAGCAACGCGGACCTGATTGCCATGACAGAAACCTGGCTGACGGACAATGATGCAACGGTTCTGCATGAACTCATCCCTACTGGATATCGTTTTGTTCACCAACCACGGATGGGCCGTCGTGGTGGTGGAACCGGTCTCGCTTATAAAGAGACAATCAACGTCCATTAAGTTGCTGCGGGTGAAAAGGACTCCTTTGAGTTTGCAGAATATTCTATCTCATGTAAATCATTTCGCTTGCAACTAATTAATATCTATAGACCGCCCTATTCTGAATCACATCCAGTGACGGTTACATCTTTTGTATCAGAATTTAATGACTTCATTCAATGTCATTTGTTTTTAAACACTCCTTTATTAATCATAGGAGATTTCAATATTCATGTGGATACTGCCAATGCAGATGCTAGACTCTTTGTAGATCTTCTCGAATCGCTTTGTTGTAAACAATTGGTTAATTTCTCTACACATGTACACGGTCACACCCTTGACCTCATGATATGTCGTCAGTCTGATGATATCGTATTTGGGTCACCATGGCCACATAGTTCTATATTATCTGATCACATTCCAGTCATGTGTTTTCTAAACTCTTCTAAACCTCCATTGTCTAAACTGACATCATTTCGAAAGCTGTCTGCTATTGATGTGAATAGATTGAAGTTAGACATCGCTGAAAGCGAGCTCTGTATGCACACACCTAGTACCCTCACTGAACTAGCTTTGTTGTATGATACTACGCTTAGTGATATCTTAGAGAAACATGCCCCTGTTGTTACTAAACAGATAGTGTTACGTCCCCAAGTACCGTGGTATACTGACTGTGTCAGGACAGAAAAAAGGAAAAAGAGAAAGGCTGAAAAGCGCTGGTTGAAAACTAGGGCCGATAGTGATTGGGACAACTATAAGTCTGTTCGAAATGCAACATTGAAACTTTTGAACAAAGCTCGTGGAAAATATCACAGAGATCTGATCATGGAAAATAAGGATAATCAAAACAAGTTATTCAATGTTGTCAAGTCTCTATTGAACATGTCTAATAAACAACCCCTGATACCTTGTAGTACTGATAAACATAAGTTTGCGAATGACCTAGGTGATTATTTTCGTGACAAAGTCGTGAAAATCCACAAGAATATTGAAACTAGATTAGATGCAATGAATGAACCCAGGACCTATTCTCCATTAGCAACTTACCATGATGTCGATGTTTTGAGCAATTTCAAACCTCTTTCTGAGCACCAAGTTGAAAAACTTATACTTAACCTCAGTAAGAAGTCATGCTCTTTAGATCCTATGCCCACGAAACTTCTTCTACAATGTATCGACATATTAATTCCTGTGTTCACATCATTGATTAATCTTTCTCTCTCGACTGGTCATTTTCCCATGCAATGGAAAAATGCCCTCATCACACCTTTATTGAAAAAACCTGGTCTTGACGCAGATTTTAAGAACTTAAGACCTATCAGCAATCTGAAATATATATCGAAGTTGGTTGAGGGTGCTGCTACCCAGCAAATTATGGATCACCTCAATAACAACTCACTTTTGCCATGTACTCAGTCTGCATATAGACAATTCCATAGTACTGAAACTGCACTGCTAAGAATAAAGAGTGATCTATTGATGGCTATGGATTCCCAGAAAGTCACTCTTTTACTGTTATTAGATCTAAGTAGTGCATTCGACACCATAGATCATTCTTGCTTATTAGAAACTTTAAAGACCTGTTTTGGCATAGATGGTAGTGTTCTTGAATGGATAGAGTCGTATTTGGCGAATAGATATCAGAAGGTCAAAATAGACGATGTGATCTCTGATGATTTGCCAGTGCCTTTCGGAGTTCCACAAGGTTCTCGGCTGGGTCCTTTGTTATTTACTCTGTACACTGCTAATCTCATTTCAAATGTTCGAACAAATTTCCCCGAGATATCATGCCACTGATATGCAGATGACACACAGCTGTATGTATCATTCAGACCTGATGGACATGCTAAAGAGCGATGTGTCTCACTCCTAGAAACATGTGTTGACTATGTACGTGGATGGATGTTGCAAAATAGGCTCATGCTTAATGATGGTAAAACTGAATTATTGATCATTGGCACACCTAAACAGACATCCAAAATCAACTTAAACAGTGTATCAATTGGAGACTCTGTAATAGAACCATCTGTTAGTGCAAGAAATCTTGGAGTACAGTTCGATTCGAATTTGAATATGAGAGAGCACATCACAAATGTCTGTAAATCAGCATACTACATGATCTATAATCTCAGACGTATTCGTAAATATTTAGATAAGGACATTACGAAAGATATTGTACATGCATTTATCAATAATAAGCTGGACTATTGTAATGGTCTACTGTATGGGATCCCTGACTGTCAAATAGTGAGATTGCAACGGGTTCAAAACACCTGTGCAAGGCTGATCTGTGGTTGTTCTAAATTCACACGGATCACCCCAATTTTAAGAAATCTACATTGGTTACCAGTACGCCAGAGAATAACATTCAAAATCTTGCTGATTGTATATAAAGCACTTCTTGGTCAAGCTCCCACTTATATCAAAGAACTGTTGAATTTCAAACCTAATCAACACAATCGCAACTTGCGCAGTTCCCGAGACACTTTGTTGCTACAGATCCCATCTATCAAAACAAAAATAACGCTAGGTGATCGAGCATTTGCTTGTGCAGCCCCAAAACTCTGGAATAACTTGCCATTTGAAGTCAGGAAATCACCATCTGTAAACGTCTTTAAGTCAAAACTGAAAACACTTCTTTTTAATTAACTGTACCGTAAATCTAAGCATATCAGGAGCTCTTGTAGCGCAGTAGAATATATACCTAATGTTGGATAGTTTCTGCGCTTTATAAATGTACTATTATTATTATTATTAAACCGAAACGGAAATTCTTTTTGCCCAATTGATCGTGAGCCCAGCAGCCACTGAGCAGCGCCAGATGGACGTTGCTCTATCCCTTATTGTTGAACGCCAAACAAGGTAGCAACAACTCCCATCTTTTAACGTCTTTTGGAATGACGCGGCCGGGGTTCGAAGCCACGACCTCCCGGTTGTGAGGCGGACGCTCTACTGACTAAGCCAACACTCCGGACTAGATAATAATATAAAATCTCAGATTTTATTGAATAATAATTTGCGAGTGTTTGTTCTGCGTGACCGCTGAAGCATCTGCGTGCCACTGTATATGCTAATCAACTATTAATCGACACGGTTTTGATCCTGGGGCCTCACAGTAACGAGGCCATTGCTTAGACACTGAATCATGAATGTACGCAGTGGGGGCTAGGGTACGGGGCCGCCCCCACAAATACAAAAAAAATACAATACATTATCAATAATTCATTGCAGTTTTCCCGGTCCCCAGCAGGAACAATTTTTCCGTAGGGCCATGCATTATGTTTCAAGCCACGTTTGAATTTATTTTGGAGGGGAACTGCCCCCAGGCTCCCCGTCAGTACGCCAGTGCGATGGAGCATAGTGAACGAGAGGAATGAAGGTGACGGAAGTGACTATCCCCTCACAGGCTTTTGAAGTCTTCTGCAGCTGACATTACTGGACCCACATGTATGGTTAATTAGCAGTTTGCATCAAAATACTTTAAAAGTACATTACACAACTTAATACAGTAATATACAATTTCCACAAGCAATCACTTCTAGATGGTTTAAATTGAAGGGGAAAATAATGATTTGAGTTCGAACTGGAAGCAATAAGCATTACATGTTTGTGATTGGAAAAAAAGTGCTTGCGTGAAAGTTATAAAAACTTTGTGGTAGGCAGAATTATACTCTTCGCGGCCAAAGGGATGACAAAAAATAATATGACAATGAAACCAGCAAACTGTGGCAGGATTAATGGCGGGGACAACCTGCTAAAAGAGCACGTAGAATAGGTATATCGAGAAGTTAGAAGTTTTAAAGGAGATAAAATCTTTGGCATTAGTCATGTTCGACTTAGGTAATACAAAGTTTTGGGAAATTTTGAAAATTGGGTGGATAGTGAATCTTTACAATTTTGATATATTTGGATGCCCCTGTGGATGTATTATAAGCACTAAAAAAAATAGCCCCTAAAACACTTCTGTTTGCGAGAAAAATTGAATATAACAATTTACCGGTGCTCCCGGTAAATATTGATAAATTTCAAATACCGCCTATGGCCGTACAATCGTAGCTGCGACCATGAAAATCTCAGAATATGTAGTTGGGATATATAATTTCCAAACGAGAATAGCTAATCGGTCGATTTCAGTCAAGAAACATTGTTTCATTTGCTAAATTAATATCTTGACCTTGAGAGGGAGCTATACCACATAAAGAGTTTATTATTTACAATTTCATAACTAGACTCGATTTCAACCGCGACCACGATCAATGTATATTGTAGGATCGCATATGCTTCCAATATGCTTATTTGAACCAAATTCATAACCCCATACCAAAACTTTGTAATACCTTTAACCCTAAAAAGGCCGGGCTATTTGAGGTCTTACTACGGGCGGGGGGGGGGGGGCATTATGGCCCCCCCCCCTTAAGATCTTGGCCGCCAAGCGGCCGATCGCCGCGAAAATTTGCTCATTCCTAATGTTATACCTTGTTTTGATAATTTCTTATGTATTTCATTGTTTTTTTAACTTATGTATTTCATTGTTTTTGTTGTTTTATTTCATTTCTGACTACAATTCAACTATTTTGACTCCCAAAACAACCACCTAAACTTTAAACAAGACCCAATAACCTATGTTTGATCTGTTTTTAGGAAAAATGACTTTTCCATATGTTTTGTACACAGATCACGAAAATGAGCCATTTTCGGGCTGACATGCAAAGACAAAAGGTCACGTGACCTTGTAACCGTAGGTCCAATTTTCAAAAAAATTATTTTAAAAGTTGCGCAAGACTTGAAAGAAAAAAGTCAGCGAGCGGCGGGGCGCCATCCATATGCGTTCCCGAGCAATCGGAAAATCGTGGAGGGGGTATTGGCAGGAGCGGATCTAGCTTTTTGCTCAGGGGGGGGTTGACCAATAATGACGATGCGGAGCATCGTCCACGAGCCGCGAAGCGGCGAGCCGATTTTTGGGGGTGTTTATTTAAACCCCGTAAGTGATGTTTTCCTGGCATCTATTAACACAATGGAGACCATAAAAAGCAGTGCATGATAACGTCTTTTTAAATCAAGTAACAGTTAAATACACAGTTATATCCAGAGTTATCATGTGTTTGGTTAAGTTACCAGATGAGTTGAATATCTTCTCACAATATTTGCACTTGAAAGGGTTTCTCTCCAGCGTGCGTTCTTTTTTCTTTCTTTTTTTCTTTTTTTTCTTCTTTTTTTTTTTTCCTTTTTTTTCCTTTTTTTTTTTTTTAATGTGGGGATTTCGGGGATGAGAATCGGCAACGCTGGCCTAGCTTGTCACTTCGGCGGCGGCCCGTGTCCTCAAAAAAGCTGATGGGGGGGGGGGGCAAGGGACTCTGTGACATTTGTTCGCCCAACCCCCCCCCCCCCTCCCCCCAAAAAGAAATAATAATAATAATAATAATAATAATAATAATAATAATAATAATAATAAATGAAATAAATACATAGAAATAGAATAAAATAAAATTACAAGTTTAAAAAAAAAGATAAGATTTAAAAAAATGGTCCCCGGATTTTTTTTTTTTGGGGGGGGTTGCAACCCCCCCAACCCCCCCTCTAGATCCGCTTCTGATTGGGCATAATTTATTACAAAGTTTTGGTATGGGGTCGTTTTCTAGTGCTTATAATACATTCACAGGGGCATCACATGGGCATCACAGGGGCATCCAAATATATGAACATTTTTTAAAGAATTACTATCAATCCAATTTTCAAAATTTCCCAAATCTTTGCATTACCTTTACCTCGTCCTTCTTTAATTGTTTATCCCCTCCTTTTTCTCTTCTTCTTGTCCCCCTCCCCCCTCCCCCCTTTTTTTTTATTTAGTTTTTTAGTTTTTATCGGGGGACACGTGTCCCCTGTGCCACCCCCCCCCCCTGAATCCGCCACTGGACAGATAGAGCAGATTTTACATAGTGGGCGTGGCAACTACTGTTACATGACCAAACCCCTACCTACCAAGTAACTGGTTTTTCGACCAATCACGATAGAGTATTGACAGGTTATACAACATTGGGGGGCGGGGCAACTAACTCACATGTATCACGTAACTCACCTCAATCCAGCAAACATAGAGTCTAGATCTACAAACTGTGGTGAAGAGTCCGAAAAATGCATGTAATAAATAGGAGATTACTTGAAGTAGACAATAGTTTGATCTTGTATGCTGACTTTAACTTTGGGCCGCAACTTAATCAGAATAGTAAATAGAAAAGTCAGCAATCAGGTAGAAAATCGGAAAATCGGACCGAGCACGAATCGTAGTTTGCTGCAGTGCAGTGCCAGTGAATGAGTGATCAACTGTCCGACGACACTCCGAACAACAGTGCCATCGCGTCGTCAGCCCGTGCAGAGCTGAGTCGTTGGTATCAGCAGGTATGTAAACTAAATCATTTTCTTTCCGTTCTAGATTGCTTAGTGTGCATGCAGTTAGTAACCAGGCGGTGTGACTGTTGTTGAATGGAAGTATTATCTTTGAATGATGACGATTTTGAACATATTTAACCGACAGTGCACAGCTCAGTTTACTGCATGTAGTCAGTAGACTCTACATAATATGTGCACAGCATAGTCAAACTCAAAGATTTAATTTTGTAAAGTGAGCCCCGCCCCCCCCCCCCCCAATCCGGGGTCGGAATGACCGCATGCGTGTTGCCAAAATGTCCAGTAAAGGGGTACTTTTCGTGCGACAAAGTCTGGCCCGAAAATTGTAAAAAAAAGGGGTGTATTTGACTTTTCACCCGGGAGATTTCTTTAAAAAGAGGGTGTTTTTTTTTCTCATCTCTTTGGACTCCTGAGAAATTATTCTGAATTTAGGGGGGGGGGGGGTACATTGAGCATTTTTCTGAATTTAGGGGGGTCTCCAAGGCAGGAAAAGCCCGCAAAAAGCCTGCAAAATGGGGGTTCGGAAATGTTGGCAGTCCTCAGATAGGGATTGCTTTCAAAAAGAGGGAACTAGCATATGCGTACCCTACAGGTGTACATAACACTGAGTAGGGGGGGGGGGGGGGGCGGGAAGGGAGCTGAGTGAGTGACTCTGCTAAACAAATCAAATCTCACTTTAATAACCACTATTTTTGCCTCAATTTAATTTTTTTTTTAAACAAATAACAAGGCAACATAAACATTTATACAATTTATAATGAAGTACCGTATTAATTAAAGACTGCTTTGAGTTTATGATATAGATTCTATTCTCATTTTGCCTGTTTATTTTTGTTAATCTTCAACGTACAGCAAAATAACAGCTTGAGAGCTTATATAATGCAATCATCCTATTTTCTGTACAGAAGTATACATTCTTTACGATTTGCTGTTAATTTAATATTAGATTTTCAATTCTGCTGCTTCTTCAGATGCTACGAAGAATATATAGCCGATCTGAGCCAGTCTTCCATATCTCATCAGCACCAACCAACCCCAACCAAGCTGCCAAGATGATGAGCATTTTCAAAAACATGTTCAACAAACTACAAATGCCAGGGTATGAACTAGTCAAAACTTATGAGGTAAGTAACTCTATCTAGACTGTGCATACCGTATACCTTAGATGGTTGCTGGATGCAGTTTTATTCCTTATTTTTTTAAGGGAACCAACCACAAAAACAAAATGATTTATCTTTTATTAGACAACATAAGATCACCCCCCCCCCCTCCCTAAGAATGAATAAATAAATGAATGAGACTATCAAATTTTAGCGATTCAAGCACATACTGCAAAGAAGAAAAAGAATAAAAACATACAAACGTGTTTAACGAAAAGTCTGCAATGTCACTTTACCTTTATGTAGATTATTGAGATCAGTGGCATCTCTTTATATACCGGTAATGTAGAAGATGGTAGTTTGTGGAATACTGATACTAAACCAAAATATACAGGGCAAAACATCTTAGGTGATTGGTTGAGTTTAATCTTCATATAAAGACATGATGTAATGTTAATAGCATACTGGGTAGAAACTTTTTACTGTTGATTGATCTTTGAGTTGTGATGCAAAAGTTGAATCTGTTAGGACAGGCAAAAATATTTTGAATTATGCAAAACTCAACTTAGGAAGTGTGAATAACACATGTTTGGCATAGTTTGGTAAAAAAAAAAAATGATTTGACTTAGGCAAAATTTGGCTCATGCAACTTACAGTTAATAAGTAGAGCTAACTGTATTTAAGATTTACATGTTGAAAAAGGTCTGCAACTTCAGTTCTGAAGTCCATTTAGCACCAACTTAATTTATAACTTCATCCATCCATGGACCCAACACTTGGTACTTGGTACTTGGTTGTTGTTCCTCCAAAAGATTCCTGGTGGAATTTAAACTGGAGGTCGTGGTGGCAGAGAGTGGACTTATTTCGGAAGGAGTGCTACTTTAAACTTTGCTGAGTCAGTCAGGGATACTAAGGTCGGATTGAGATTATTCCATGCTTCGATTGTGCGAGGAAAAAATGAGTTCTTGTATACATCCAATCTGGCTAATGGTATTTCAAACTGACTTGAGTGCCCGCGTCTGCTACGATCTGGTTTAGGTTTAATGTGGGTTCGGGGATCTATGTCCAGCTGGCCATGTAACATTTTGTGGAAACAGCTTAGACGGTGAGCTTCGCGTCTGTCTTGGAGGGAGTTCCACTTAAGAGAATTTAGAAGGTGGGTGACGCTTGCTTCTCTCTGATAAGTGCTTGTGACAAAACGGGCTGCCTGCCTCTGGACTCGTTCGATAGAAGAAATGTTCTTAGCTGTGTATGGGTCCCAAGCAGCAACTGCATAATCTAAGTGTGGCCTAACGAGGGTGAGATAGAGTTTCTCCTTAATGGAAGTTGAGCAGTGATGAAAGTTGCGTCTCAGAAAACTCAAAACCCCAATAGCTTTTGTTGTTGCGAGGTGAGTTTGGCCATTCCATCGGAGGTCGTTCTGGATCACAACACCAAGGTACTTTGTCTGCTTACATTCTTCCAGGGTGACACCAAGGAGGTTGTATGAAGATTTACCCGGTTTCTTCTTCCTGGTGACACGCATTGATTCACACTTCTTGGGGTTGAATTTCATGCCCCATTTCTGAGACCACTCCACCATTGCATCAAGGTCTTGTTGCAGGATGTCCACGTCGTTCACTGATTTCACTGGACGGTACAGCATGCAATCGTCTGCAAATAGCTTGGTGGTGCTTTTGACTTTGTCGTGAATGTCATTTATGAAGAGCAAGAACAAGTGGGGACCGAGCACAGTGCCTTGCGGGGTTCCACTTAGAACTGGCTTCCAGTCGGAATGTTTTCCGTTTACACATACGCGTTGAAGTCGTTTTGTAAGGAAATTTGTCACCCATCTTAAGTTATCTGAACGGATTCCATGATAATCTAGCTTGTGAAGTAACTTCTGGTGGGGGATGACATCAAAGGCTTTAGAGAAGTCAAGTGTAATCAAATCTGTGGTGGCTTTTTCATCTAGGTTCTTAGCCAGGTCGTTTATCGTCAAAATAAGTTGAGATTCACATGATCTGTGTCTCCTAAATGCGTGTTGATTTTCTGCCAGAATATCGAGTTCGTTAAGGTGGCTCATGAGGTTACTATCAATAATATGTTCCAATAGTTTACAACAGGTACTCGTGAGTGAAATAGGGCGGTAATTTGCTGGGTCAGTGGTAGAGCCCTTCTTAAAAAGTGGAGTGATATTTGCCTTTCTCCAGTCCAGTGGGAGATCACCAGAATCGAGTGACTGTTGGAAGATGAACTGCAAGATGGGAGCCAGTTCTTCTGCTGCAATTTTGAGAGCTTGGTTCTGAATCTGGTCCGGGCCGATAGCCTTGGTGACATTGATGTTAAGTAGTAGCTTCCTTACACCTTCGACGTCAACCCGGGTGGGAGGCATATCAGGAAAAGGGCTGGGTGGAAGGTTGGGGAGCGATGACGGTGACTTGTCTTCACGGGTAAATACACTTTGAAATTGATTGGCGAGGACTTCAGCTTTCTCCAGATCTTCAGAGATTAGCTTGCCTTCTACCTTAAGCATCTGGACACCGGTGTTGTCTGTCCGTCTTGATTTAACGTACCTCCAGAAGGCCTTCGGGTTATCACCCTCGAGGATTGAAGAGACATGTTGTCTGTGGGCGCTTCTAATGGTACGATCGATCTGCTTTCTTGCTTTGGTGAATTTGTCCCAATCCCGTTGTGCACCACTTCTCTTGGCATGAATATATAACTTCTCCTTTTTATTACATAGGCGTTTTAATTTCCCTGTAAACCATGGAGTACGTGCTCGGCCCTTTACAGTCTTGTGGGGAACATTATTTGTAACAATAGTTTCCAATGTGTCCCTTAACCAGGTCCAGTTTTCTTCTACGGATCTATTTCCTGGTTGAAGCTTGAAGAAATCTTCTCCAAGCTGTCTTGCCCGGTCTTTGAATTCCTCATTATCTACTTTATTCCAGAGGTGAAGTCTGCGGGGTGGTTTTGGAGGAACCGTGGTCTTAGTATGAAGTTTTGCTAGGATGACAAGGTGATCGCTAATTCCAGTACGAGAAGAGACTTCAGAAATTAAGTCTGGATGTGAAGTTAACAACAGGTCAAGGGTGTTTTCTGTGCCACTTGACTCGTCACGTCTAGTGGGAAAGGTGACTTTTTGAGACAAATGATTATTAATAAGAACTTGAGCTAGGGCATCCTGGAGGGCACCTTTAGGATCACTTTGTGTTCCGTCTGACCAGTCTACACCCGGGACGTTGAAATCGCCGCCGAGGATGATGAGTGGAGAGCGTAACAAAGAGTTTATTTTTGAAAGTTGTGAGTCCAGGTCCTGGAGAGGTGCGACTTTTGAGTCAGGTGGGCGATAAAAACTTCCTATCTGCAGCGTCTTGCCTTGGAGGGTAGCTTGACACCATATTTGTTCAGAGTCAGTACCCAAATCAGTTCTTTCAAAACAAGGAATGGAGTCGTTGATGGCAATAAACACGCCACCTCCATGCGAATTTCTGTCCTTTCTAAAAACTTGAAGGGGGGTACAGAGCACATTTTTTTTTTTTTTGCTCCCGAAAATTTGAAAAACGCGCCGGCCAAAAAATTCGCTCAGGGGGGGGGGGGGGGGGGGGGGGGGGGGGGGGGGGGGGTAGTGAGCACATTTTTTTTTTTTGATCCTCAAAAAAATTTCAATTTGCACCCCCCCCCCTTGAGCGCCAGGGGGGGGGGCCCAACCCCCAAAAAGGTAAAAATCACGTGATTTTACATGTTTTTTTTTCTCAAGGGGGGGGGGGGGGCCAGGCCCCCGGGCCCCCCTGGATCCGCCACTGCACGGAATCAGGATATTTTGCTGTCCACTCATTTCTATTGGAATTCTTACAATTTTTCTTTTAGAAAGGATACGAAGAGCGGAAGTATGCCCCCTCTCGTTGGGTTTCAACATCCTTAGATCTAATCACAGCAGAAGAAGCAGCAGCAGTCACCACGAAAGAGAGACGAGGGTCCTTCTTCAAGCTCTTTAACTATATTCAGGGAGAGAATGAAGGCGGTAAGTATTAACATCCTTTCTGATCAGGGGCGGATCTAGCTTTTTGCCAAGAGGGGAGGGGGGGTTTGACCCAGTGGCGATCCAGGATTTTCCAAAAATCACGCTGTTTTACTTTTTTTCTTTTTTTTTTCTTTTTTTTCTCCTATTTTTGTTTCTTTTTTTTCTTTTTCACTTGGCCGCCCAAGGGGGGGGGGGGGGGGTTAAAACCCTGAAACCCTAGATCCGCCCCTGCGGTTGTATGTTTGTGTACTTACCAAAGCCTGTGGAGGCATAGTGGTGCAGTGCATATTACTGATGCTTCCTAAATAGGAGATCCTAGCTTGATTCAATTTCTGACTTGAAATACAGAGGCAATGCAGTATTAAATTGGTTTGCAGAAGTGTCAATCACTGTGGTATCATGGTAATTCTCCCCCCCCCCCCCTATCCCATAATGACACAGGGTTATATAATGATGTCAGGGGTACATTCTAGTAGACCAACCAAGAAATAGATAAGGAAATACAGAAGAGAAGAGAGATCTATTAAAGAGCCAATGAGACCTGACATTTGCTGTTGGTCTAGTGAATCCTCATAACATTGTTAGGAGGCCAGCCAAACGGACATTCTTGGTCTGACGGACAGGCACGTAGCCTGTCCGTCAGACCAAGGATCGGTTGAACTTTTTTAGACCCCTTGTTTTTTACCTCGATAGATTACATGTATGTGCCCCCCCCCCCCCCCCAAAAAAAAACCATCAAACTCTGGCTACGTGCCTGCTGACTGACTGTAGCTGATGTCAGTGCCCAAGATAAAAATGGAAATGCATGTTTCACAGAATTAGTATGTATTCAACAGATAAGGTCACTCTGTTGTATGTGTGTCAGATATTGGTATATAAAGCCTCGGTCACAAATGCCATTATGAACTGCTACGAACGCCGTACAAACGATTTTCAGAAAATGGAAATTCGGGAAGACAATGGAAAAACGGAGATTCGTACGAACCTTTGTGACCGTAGCTTTAGTTATGCTGATAATTTGGAATATGATCCAACTTATACTTGGCTCCTGTACAACCTTGTAACTTATTTCTTCTTTGAATTTCATTTTCTTTTTTCAAACTTACAGGTCACAAGATTGAAATGACTGCTCCCGTGGCCAGACAATACATTCCTGGGCAGGGCCCTGCATGCGAGACCAAATACACAATGTCATTCTTTGTCCCCAGGGAGTTCACAGAGAATACCCCCAAACCAACAGCTCCAGATGTTTTTATCACTGACCTGCCAGGAATGACAGTCTTTGTCAAGTAAGTTGTGAATTCTAAATTTTATTTAATGCTCCTGGGAATATATAGCATATATTCCCATCATGCATGTGTTTTTTTCCTGTCTTACATCAACCCCCCCACTCAAAAGGTGAGGAGGAAAAATAGAGGAGGGGGGGGGGGGTGGAGGGGGGAAGAGAAAGAAAGGGAGAGCATAAGGCACTCCCTTTCGTCACTCATAACAGGGTTCCCCTGACTTGGTGGACCATTGATGCACTGTTGTGGCTGCGAATAGAAATCAAATAATAACTAGGCTTTTTGTTTTGTTTCACATACACCAGACATTGTTTTAGCTTTGCATTTGTTGAGTACTGAGACTCAGATAATTGTCTCTTTAAAACAAAACCATCACATGATTTCAGATCATGTTGTTGCATTAGTACCCTTAACTAAGGCATTGATCCTTACTACCTACATGTATCTGTCTTCCTTGGATTGTACATAAGCTGTAGGATCTCCAGGTCTTAATTGAAGGCATCATTGCTTCTTCCCCTTATCCAGAATAATAATCAAGCTCTTAATCAATATTTTATCATTTTCTGTAATATTCCAATAGGAAATTTGGTGGAAATGCTAATGATGAGAAGTACATGGAGGAGATGAAAAAGTTCATTCCAATCCTGGAAAAAGATGGCCACCAGGTCAAGGATGATGTCTACTACTTTGCAGGCTACGACAGCCCCTTCAAGCTGCTCAACCGCAGGAACGAGGTCTGGCTGGTCAAGGACTGTGAAGACGACCAGCATTCTCACCTGGTGGTTCCTGCAGGAGAAAGTGGAGCGGATGCAGCAGGAAGTGCCTCTCCTGATGAAGATCCTTCAAGAAGTCCTGAGCAAATGGGAGAAGAACAGGAACTCTCTCACTTGGAGGTTCCTGAAGGGGCAGTAGGTGGAGCAGATGCTGCAGAGAGCACAACTGCCTCTGAAGATCAAACTTTTTCAGAGAATCCAAATGAAATAGGCATGAACTAATATATTGCAATGTAGCTTTGGAAGATCTGACTGCCTTTGAATTCAGACTCTTTTAGAGTCCAAATTTAAGAGGCATAGGCTAGAATATTGTGATGCAATTCATGGTTCACCAGTAGCCAAAGAGGGCCGAACTGAAGACCAAACCTTTTCAGAGAATCCGAATCAAACAGGGTAGGGGTGAAAGACAGTGGTGCAACTCGGTTGTTTGTTGCCCCAAAAGATATATCTGTAGCTATAGTTTGATGTTGTATGTGTTTTTGTAAGTCACTTCATAGATGTCTGCCATTGATAAAGTCTTGTCAACGTAGTATTATCCAAGGACTGCAGAGATTTTTTTTGTGCTGTTTATGATGTTTTGGGATGAGCAAAAACACTGAACTACTGTACAAGGTTATACTTATGAAATGTGTTCATTGTATTGATAGACAAGTCTAATGTTTGTTTTTTTAAAACTCTTTCAAGGCTGGCATTAGAGGGTACTTACAGGGTACTTCTCTGAGTTATCAATGATTGTTATGTAGAAAATGTACCAGTGCCAAATAGTATTTTGTATTTTATTAATTAATATTAATTAACAAAATACAGAAATAGAATCTTCCCTTGTATGGCGGTACTTTTTGGTGAATGTGTGTGTGTGTGTGTGTGTGTGGGGGGGGGGGGATCAGGGTCATTAAATGAAATGTAGCAAAGAATCATACTAAAAGGCTTGTACAGATATGCAGTGAATAAACCGCATTTAAATCTCAAAATGTGTAAATGAATGACAGCTGCATGCAGCAGAGGTCACTGAGGTTTGTGTTTTGAGATACAGAACTGTGAAGTATATTACACTTTCTCCATCATACTGGTAAACAAAAATGGCATACCGTATCTGAATGAGGCTTTAATGTGTGTTCTTTACATGAATGTAAAAAGAGAGATATTCTCTGTGTTATGAAATGAGCATTGTCTTGCCCATTTATCTTTGGCCTTATTACTTAACCAATGCGTATGTTATATGTATGCCCTGTATATTTATCAAAGAAATATCTAGTATACACATCTAGCATCGTACACCACAACACTTATCTTTATCCTCAGAGAAAATGTATGAGCCAAACAGTGCAAAAATGACATACAAAAAATATAGCCAATTTGTGTAATGATGAAGCATATGTTTGTTTAGTTAGTTATAGTTTTTTCATCTGCTGTATTATAACATCCATATAACTACATGTACACCAGGTCACTTGTCATTCAGAAAGAAGTTATTTTCGTAAATTGCAGAATTTATGAAGTCGACTGTATCTCATGTTTTAGGTTCTGACAAAGCCACATCTATTCTCATTTTATGAGAATATGAGCTCTAGAACAATGTTTAGCGTATGTAAACCATAATCCATTTGTTTGTTTCAGTACTAAAATTCTGGATCCACAGTGTACCGCCTCTACTTTTCAATAGCTAATCAGTAGGGCGCTATGCCCTTGTGATACTCCACAGAGGATGTGCATCCACTTTCATGTAGCTGCCAACATAAACAAATAACTGGAAAAATTCTGTGGAAAACTGACTTCATGGTATATTTGAGTCGACTATTTTGTTTGCATTTATAACAGTGTATATCTAAGTGATATGTAATGTCTTTTTGTTTAAAAAGTTTAGAGCTTAAACACCATACAGAGTATTATTCCTAATAATTGTAAGATGTAAAGTAATATAATAGTTAACAGTGAAATCTAAATCAATCTTTTTGTGTACAAGTATAAACTGCAATGTACATTTATGCCTCGATCGATCATCTCATGTACAAATTGTATTTCAATTTCCAAGGCGATGATATACTTGCAATAAATGATGTATGTAAATTTTCTTCAATTTTTTAAAACTATTAAACTGCATTTGATTTTCTCAAGTCACGAGTCTCAATATTTTTTGTTAGAAATTAACGCATTTTATTTTGACCAACATCATTATGCAGAAAGGAACAGGAATTCTTTTCGTTATGTCATAATATTGCTCCCAGGCTGCAAGTCTTGTCACTCAGGATGTTTTAACTGAGCTTGTTGGGTTTCAGCATTGCTAATATATTTTCCCCTCCCTTCCAATGCCCTTCCCCCTTGTCTTTTGTTCTCTCTGTCTCTCTCTCTTCTTCTTATCTGTCTGTCTCTCTCTCTCTTGCACCCCCTCCCTCCCTCACTCGCTCCCTCTCTCTGTACGACCACTTACTCTGTCTAAACCATAGCAATTACAACTTCAAAAAATATAAGCCAGTGACAAAATATGTGTCACATTATTACAAGAGCTACAATCTCCTACATGTATTTCATCTGTAAATCGATTTTTATTTCACAGTACAACAGATGAAGAGAAATCCTTGATAACAATAATCTGGAATTGGGTAGCTCTAAACACGAAACTTGTTTAAAACACTCGGATAGGACTTAAAGCCGTGTCTCCTGGTTGCTTACTTCCGAGCATCTATACATGTACATGAATTATTCCTGAATACAACTAAAAACTGCTGGGCAAAGCAAGACACCTCATATTGAAGAAAAACATATTATGCTTACTTGTACGAGTTAAATGCAGCATTGTTTGCCTAAAGAGAGGCTTTGTAAAAGGCCAAACTATTATGAATTCTCCTGCTAAAGCCCCATTAAAGCTTGTTCAGATATGGCACGGAATATTGCCACAGTTATTTTATGTGTAAATGAATAGTAAATGCATGCAACAAAGGACTTGCATGTATTCACTAAGCACAGAAAATGCAAAGCCAGATTACAACACTTTATGTTATAGAAAAAACTGCCAAGTCTGCCATAGGCATGCCGCGTAATATCTGAACGTGCCTCTCAAATACAAGGTAAACTGCTTCAAAAGAAAAGTTGCAGCAAAGGAAAACATCTTTTTACTATTTGGGGGTAAAAAATGACTGCATGCAACAGAGGCTCCTATGCATACTCTGTAATCTATGCATTGCAATTTGCAAAACTTTTGATGCACAACGATACTCCTGCCATTTCAATTTCATGTGGTATTTTCATTGTAGGTGGTTCACTATGCCATGTCTTAACGAGGCTTAATGCCTTTCAAGCGTCACACTGAACTTTTACATCACTAGGTCTGTTCTTGATACAAGAAAAACAATCCCGCTTGGGTAAACAAGATTCCCTGCTTCCATACCAAAGTAGCAATACATAGCATCTTTGCATTCATATATGAAGTGAGAGAATTCTAGAGAACCATTAGCACCAAGATTACTACCACTTAGAATATTCAGACAAAGGCATACCATGTATCTCTTCAGGGGCATTGATCTACTTTCGGACTTAAATGGTGGGGGGGGGGGGGGTATACATTTGTTGTTTGAGAGCATAAACTGTTTAGGATAATCAGTCCTGCAACAAGTGGGACGCACACCTGTTTTCCACACCCCTCTCCCAAGATCAATGCCTCATAATCAATGAGATCACAACAATGTCAGGGTTCACCGCGCCCTGATTAGCAACGTCCGTCATGAAGGCGGGATCTGTTGGTTGCTTGCGGACTCTGTGGGTAGCTGCCCCGCCCCACTGCTAGGCTGGTTAAGGGAAGGCACCGCCCCATGCTGGGGTATGCCCTCAGCCACCTGGTACGGCTGGAAATGGCCCCCTGTTGCAGCAGTGGGTTGCATGCCAGGTTGTAGATGTAGTCCCTGCTGTTGGGCCTGGGCTGCTTGGGCGGCCTGTAACTGCAACCACTCCTGCTGTTCTATTGCTGCTTGCTCTTGTCTGGCCTAAAATGAATTTGAATAGGAGCACGTTGTAGTCATGAGGTCGTGAAATTAAAATGCTGTTAAGTAAGTCACAGCAACAAAATTGCATGAAATTTCAGAAAGAATGATAAGGGACATAAAATTAATCAAATACTATTAGTGATGACAGTGATATACAGTAACGGCAACTATAGTAATTAAAATCTTGTTTTTCTAATGATGTTCACTCTTACATAAAATGATCGGCTTCATTCCCAATCATTTGATATTGGTTTAGCTAATTAAGATCTTGTGCATATTCCAAACAGTGAAAATGATTCATTAGCGCAGATATGCAAGAAACTGTTCCCCTTCATCTTCTGTCGTACATCAACACATCCATTGAGGTGATGACATTTTTTGTGCCCCCTCTTTTACAAAATCCTGTCCATATTTACCTTTTCGAAGAGCTCCTGCTGCTGCCTCAGAAGTTCCTCTTCAGGTATGCCAAGGTTCTCAAGACGAGTGCTTGCTTTCCTCTTCTTTGCTGCAACTGTCTTGCATTCCTCTAGGACTGACTTGCACTCTTGTAGGTAATCTCCAAACCCTAAGCTGTCTAATGCTGCAAATGATTCGAGAATCAAAGAAAAATATTGTGAAGATAATTTGGATATTGGATACCAATTGTGAGATAGAAACCAGATTTAATTTGCTATTTCTATCAATGGTATTAGTTGTAATACTTGTAATAGTTGATACATGAATGCTTGCAGTATATTTTGGTAGTTTAGGAATATCAAAATTTTAAAAAACAATGCAAGTCTTCGCAATCAATTTGTTATTATTTTCCATTAAAAAAACACATAGATAAAGACTAAAAGCAAACCATTCTAATTAAATACCCTTTTCAGGGAGGGGGAGGGAGAGTTGAATATAAGGCCTTACCTTAATAATTAATATATACATTCACAAAGTTCTATTCAAAAAAAGTACTATAGAATGAGCTTAATCAAAGTTTCTGACTAATTACCTTTGATACTAGCCCAATATTTGTTAAATTCAATATATCTGTTGAGAGTAAGAAGGGTGTTAAACACTAGAGTGAACACCCTTCTGGCTCTCAGTAGAAGATATTTCTCTGTTTCTGCTTGACTTTACCTTGGAGTGCATGTTCTGGAGATATCGTCTTCTTGGCCTGTTTATTGCAGATGTCATTTGCTTCTGATGACACCAACTGAATAAACTCGGTGCAGCAATTTAAAATCAGCTCTCGTGCATCGTTTGCAACTCGGACGTTGGGTAGTAGTTCCTTGATCATCTTATTGAGTGGGGCTCGAGGCACAGTCAGTTCATCCTCCGGAAGTTGAGAAGACTGTGGATCTGCCATGTTTACTACCTGCAAAATTGACGAAGAGGCTGCATTTAATTTCAAACAAATACATTAAGTAAGTGCAGGATTAGCCAATGCAAAGGCTTGAATGTTGACCAAAAAATGAGACAAGAATGAACTTTTAAAAAAATAAAATAAAAGCTATGATTGGATAAAGTTTGGTAATACTTTGAAATAATGACCACCCTTTCATCCTGCACAATAGTAGTTTATTAATGTATCACATTATTAATTAACTGGTATAGTATAATAGCTTTCTAATTCTAACCTTTGTCTTTGATGTTCGTCCCCCATCACAGATTTTGCAATTTTGATTTGACTTGAGCGTACACACAACATTCAACAAGTGCAACAAAGGAGTTAACTTCACAAGCTAGAAAACATTGTTTTACAATAATCGCATTCCATTGAAATATGGAAAGACGACATCCCTAATGAGTTCAGAAATTATCTAGATACTAAACAAGTTTTCCCATTTTGTTGAATTGGCCAAGCAAGCAAAGCACACTTTACTCACGCGATAATAACCATATGGGACCGTACACAGTTTTAACCATCATGAAAAATAACTCTGTTTCCATTAAAATAGGGACTTGTTCATCTCCACATACAGAAAATCAAATGAGGGTAATTGTATGATAACTACTGCAACTATCACAATACATAAAAATAAAAAGCAAAAGGATTAGAGGAAACTTACAGCTCTGCTAAAGATTCTTGGCTGGATTTAGATTTGCTATCGTTGCGGGTCAAAGGTCAATTGTGTTATGGCTGCGCTTGGAAGAGCTACGGTTCGAGCCGTTCAAGGCAAAAAGAGGTTAATTCCTCAAAGGGCTGCATTAGTTTTGGTAAGTTGACTCGCTTTAAACAATAAGTAATCAAGATAGTTTTAAGTTTTCAATATATATCTTCGTTTGCCGGTGTATGTTGATGTTGATTGTCGATAAAGACAGGCGTTAGTTTACGTTAGTTTACGTTGCGTCATGTGAAACTTTCGTATTGCGTAACTAGATCTAGTCCAAACTCGAGTCCGAGTCCAAGTACGTGATTGAATGGTGTCATTACTTTTTAGTGAATTTAACAAGTGAAAACCCTCCATTCTTTCAAGTTTTGCTGATAACGATAATTGATGTAGACTATGAACATCTTGGCGCTAGTTCAGAAGTCTATAAAAACTTTGAGCCAAAACTCTGGGTCTGGCGTGAAGATTAAAAGTAGTTTTCCTACCAAAAATGAAGTAGACCCTAGGGTCTAAATATTCATCAAAATGTCCAAATGAAGGTCATGATTAAAAAGTCAATATGTTTGTTACCTGTTTGTTTCAATTTTTTTTATTTTTTTCAGAGTATTTTCCTAAAACAAAGACTTATAATATGCACTTTCTCACGGGATCGGATTCACGGCAAACTGCAGCACAATACGATTGCATACCGTCAATCTGTGTCTTTCCATGTTTTATATGATAAATGATCCGCAAGTTATTATAGTTTTTATACCCCAAAATTGAAGAAAAAAAGTAACTTAGGGGTCTACTTCACTCTACGAGTTACAGTGAAGTAAATTTTCTCGTAGATCTAGGATAACAAAGTTTAAATATTTATTATTTTGATTTCTTTCTATCTGCCATTTAGACTCAAGCAGCTGTTGAGAAGATAAAGACACTTGTTATCAATAAATCAGAAGTAGAAGGACTAAGGGTCGGAGTGAAGACGAGAGGGTGCAATGGACTCAGTTACACACTAGACTATGCCAAGGAGAAACAGAAGTTTGATGAGGAGGTCGTTCAAGATGGTAAGAAAAAAGGTTTTCATACTGGGCATCATTTCACTACATTGTCATAAGTACAATTTCACCGACATCCCTTTGAAACGCATAGTACTTGCAATACCACGTTGTCAGCGAACTTGTACTTCATGCACTTTATGTCTTATTAGGGGGAAAAATATTTCACCTGTTGTAACCAATCTAGATTACGGCCTCCTGCTTTTTCTTTTTCTTAATCTTATTCTTCTTCTACTATTTCTACTTCTTCTTCCATCTTCTTCTTCTAAATGTACTTCATTTTTTCTTCCTCTTGTACTTCATTTTTTCTTCTTCTTCTTCAACTTCTTCTTCTTAAGCTTCTCTTGTTCTTCTTCTCCTCTTTCTCCATCTTCCTCCTTCTTCCACCTTCTTCCTCTTTCTCCTTCTTCCTCTTCTTCTTTGTCTTCTTCTTCTTCATGATAATGGATTCAAAATATACATGGACATCACCTTTGTAAATCTTGGATCTGTAAAAAATCAGGACACATGTTTTTAATAGTCATGCTACATACCTGATTGATGAGGATTTTAAAGAATTAAAAGAGTTTAAAAGTTGATTTGCTTCTATAAATATTTCATTTTCATTATGTTTCATCTCTTTTTCCACAGGGGTGAAAATCTTCATTGACTCTAAAGCACAACTGACGCTGCTTGGAACGGAAATGGACTTTGTAAATACCAAGCTGTCCAGCGAATTTGTCTTCAACAATCCCAACATCAAAGGAACGTGTGGGTGTGGAGAAAGCTTCAATGTATAGCATTAATTGTAATGGAACTGCTACTCATTCTTATCACTATCCCCTACAGCGAGGGGAAAATCGTTGCTGCCTCGGGAAACGCCCTACATTAATTTTGTTGAAGCATAAAATCACTTACTGTGAATTGTCGCGATCGATGTCTTTGGTAGTAATGTGATTTTTGTTTTTAAAACTTGGGCAGTAATTAACTTGAAAGTCTATTGAGAGATGAGAAGCTTAAGGGTTTCACTCTCTCCAATGGGTCGGAAAGAAAGTACATCATACATTTTTGGGCAAATCAAAGGTATCTGTTCATTAGGTATCCCATAAGCCACCATGTATGTTTAGTTAGGAACGTGAAACAACATCAAAGTCATTATTTTATTTCATCATTTGGTCTGGCCAAGGTCTAGTAGAACCTATTTATAAGTTACCAATGATCAGATATCTCAAAATCACAGATGTGGTCAGTAATGATTATGACAAAATAGCTTGGACTTGCCCCTGATGCTGATTGTTGTGTTCACATGGAAATACATGTAATTACAGTGAAAGGGTTAAGAATGATTTGTATCTATTTGAGTGAGAATAACATGTTGTTGATACATAACATTTTGTACTTAGAAGGATAGACAGCCAGCAATGGTACTTCTGAGAAATAATGCGACAGTTCATGATCATCCTATTACAAATGCATGGTGGCTATGAGCAATATACATATATCCATTACTAATATGATTCTTAGTTATGAATTTCAAGGTTGTTCAAAGTTTGATCTCAATTTTCCCATGAGAGAGGTAAAAGACATGTTTATAAAAGAGAGCAGTTATTGTCCGATTTTAGTTTCGTTACTTGGGCCTACTTCTGTCAATTTTTAGGTTATTCTCATCAAAGCGACAACTGCTGATATTCAAAAGCTTTCATAATCATGTCACATTTCAGTCACAAATCCTTTTTTTGTTAGTATAATAGTCTTCGCAATTCAAGTACTTATGTACTCTGCTTACACAATTGCTGTGCCCATGTTGTCTCTGAACGAGTGGTACCAATTAAGTTTTTATCTGGTCATCAATGATACATTTGGCAGTGCCATGATACACTTGTATGCAGTAAAACTGATATATTGTAGGACATTATCCAGGAATCTAATTGGTTTCTTGTTATATAAACAAAACATTATAATGCTAAATTGCTAGTCCAGTGAACATGAAGATTTGATGAAAGCAATGTTGATAGTGTTTCATTTGTAAATAATAGAGAATGCAATTTATATATTATGTGTTATAAAACAGTATTTTTCATGATCAAGTCGCATCTTGTGCACTAATATGACTTGGAGCTGTGTTGTCATTTAATTATGTGATTTTCATTGAAATGAAAACTTTCATCTGAATTTCCTTGGATGGCAATTTTCATGAGCTGAAATAAAACGCACAATTTTCATTCTTTTGCACATCCATAATGGAAAATTTAAAACAAAAATCTGTTCCGTTTCTTTTGAAATATTTCTTTCTCAAATATTAATGTTCTAAATTTTGATCAATTGAACCAGTGTAGGAGTTCCAATTATTCAAATACACATCAAATAATATTCTTTTGTTTCTTATGTTTAATCTTTTTTTTTTTTTTATATAATATCTAATAAGTTGCCTATCTTTGAGTAGAGTTACCTGCCAAGGGGCATTGCTAGACCATTTTGATTTACAATCTGCAGACAAGGAAACATAAGATGTGCAAACAAATTTACTGCCAGATATTTACATCTATTCCCCAGAAAAAGCAAGGAAATAAAGGAATAAAATAAAACAAGAGGTCACAAATTGTAAAGGTTTGCTAGTACCCCCCCCCCCCCATACACACACACACACACACACATACACTGTATGATTTACATATCATTATTCTGTGCTAGGGATCCCTCAATTATCTACAAATGTTTGTTCCCATACTGTACTAATTCATAAATTTGTGAATTATACCTGTTCATGTACATCAGAACATACATTCATACATGCGACATTGTATGTAATGGTTTCTCCATAAGACTCAGTGATGGCAAGTCTGTAACTCCCAATGTAACAATAACTTTCCTGTGAAAGAGAAATAATGAGTCAAATTTATGCCGTCTCCCCACCCCTTTGTCCCCCAAGATATGTAATATTTTTTTGTTTCTAATGAATAATTTTATGTCTGATATTTATGCCACGGAAAAAAATTACCATATGTTCTTGTTTTGTATAGACTCTTTAATGCATGGTGTGTGTGTATTTGATGAGGTCATCAAACCTGGATTGTTAATTGTGCATCGGGATGTTCAATTGATTGTCTGATGATTTGTTCATGCAGAAGGTAATTATATTGCATATAATGTGCATCTACGCTCAAGCTGTTGTTACATTCTTTTGTGTCATGTGTCATTTTTCTTGTGTGTTTGGTATATTTTGCCTGGTGTTCATATTCAAATATCACAAGCTCTTAAAGATAATACAAAGTTTTGGTATGGGGTCATGAATTTGGTTCAAATGAACATAACGGAAGCATATGCGATCCTACAATATTCAGTGATCATTGTCGCGGTCTAAAGTTATGCAATTGTAAATAATAAACTCTTTATGTTGTATAGCTCCTCTCAAGGTCAAGATATTAATTAACCTATAAAACAATGTTTCTTGATTAAAATCAACCGATTAGCTATTCCCGTTTGGAAATTATATATATCACAACTACCGGTACATATTCTGAGATTTTCATGGTCGCAGCTACCATTGTACGGCCGTAGGCGCTATTTGAAATTTATCCAAATTTACCGGGAGCACCGGTAAATTTTTATTATTCAATCATCTCAAAAGCAGAAGTGTTTTAGGGGCTAAATTTTCTCGTGCTTATAATACATCCACAGGGGCATCCAAATATATCAACATTGTAAAGAATCACTATCCACCCAGTTTTCAAAATTTACCAAAACTTTGTATTACCTTTAAAGTAAATATGTAGCTTTTGAGAATATGGTATATTTTGCCAGGTATTCATTTTCAAATATCACAAGCTATTAAAGTAATACCGGTATGTACATGTAGCTTCTTTTTTTTTTTTTTTTTTAAGTTGGTTAAAAAAATGAGAGAAATCTAAATTACAATGAAGCTATGATGAATAATGTGGACATGAACTGAATGAGGGCACAAAGATTAGACTGGAATAGCGCCATCACCCTTCCACTTTTGAAGAGGTTTGAAGGTGGTCTTCAATTTTCTGTGACCCTTTCCAGTTGTGCTCTCTTCCTCTGTTTCTTCTTTTCGCTCTTCCATTTCAACTTCTATCTTTCTCTTATTTCTTCTTTCACTCTCTTTCTCTATTTCTGTCTTTCCCTCCCTCCCTCTCCATCTATATCTCCTCTTTCTATCCTATATATTTCTCTCACTCTTATCTTTCTTACATGTTTCCGAGGCAGCTCTATCTCCCTCTCCCTCCCTCCTTCTCTCTCTCCCTCTCACTCTATATTTCCCCTGATATTTCCTTTCTCTCTATCCTGTATATATATATCTCTCTCTCTCTTATCTGTCTTACATGTTTTCGAGGCAGCTCTCACTCTCTTTCTCTCTCTCTCTCTCTCTCTCTCACTCTCTCCCTCTCTCTCTCCTACATATATGTATCTCTTTCTCTCTCTCTCTCACTCTTATCTTTCTTACATGTTTTTGAGGCAGCTCTTACTCTCTCTCTATTTACAAAATCCCAATCCTTCATTTAATTAAGGTGTGCATATTACAATAGGTGATGCGCCCTCTCTAGTCTCTACCTAAACATTGGTTATTTCTGAGATATGTTTGAAAGCGGTTTCCATAATGGATTCATGCATGTAGCAATCATGACACACATGACAAACTCGTACTGTTTATCTTTTCCTTTTATTGGAAAATAAATAAAATCATGGTGGCTTCATATACATGTATATATCAAGAAGAAAATACAATCACAAGAAATATTCAATATAAAAAACCTTGAATAGTGCAGTCTTTTAGTAAATACATGACTGTATATGGATATATCACTCATAAGGCAAAACACAACTTGTTGACCACGTCTAGAAGAAGAAACATCAGAACACAAAAATATCCAACATGATATATTTGTTGTGTGATGAGCAGCAGGGCATAGACACATACATTGATTATTTTTCCTTACTTTTATATAGTTCTGTAACAAAAGTATAACAAAATCATATAGTAAATAGCTGGAAAGCCAGAAGATGCACAAACCATGCATATCTAGGTGTGGTCCCTATAAGCAAGGTCGAAACTCTATATAATGTGTTTTTATTCAAATATACATCCACTGACCAAGCATCAGTTAGTACCCTTCTGTCAGATACACAATGGTTATTTTATAAAATACAGCTCGGCCTACAAAGTTTTGTGGAAAGGATTACATAACATCTGGTCATTTTTTGTATTGCACATGGAGACTCATCTATCTCCGATCTTGATTATAATGCTGGATTCAACACATGATATCTCCCTTTAAACTTTTTGCCATCATTGAAAATATAATATTTTTTAAATAACCTTTTTAATTGACATGGAAGTTTCCCATGATAAAACATGCTCACAATTTTACACCCTAATAAAAGAAATGTTCATAAAATTAGTGCAAACTTAACCATGAATTAAAAAGAAAAGTCAAATTGTATCAATGGACTATTATTAAAGTCATTATTTCAAACACGTATATATCTATTTTAGTTAAAACCAATACCCATATTTAAGCTACAAGAAAATAAAACTTAATTCAAGCAAAATCAAAGCTATTTTTAAGAATAGAAAGCTTAGTAATATTTGTTATACATTTCAATGGATAAAGAAATATACAAATTGTCAGAAATGTTAGTTTTGTTCTCTCTTGAGGTTTCAAGGTTGTCAAATATATGCTTATATGTAGCAAAATAGAGTCGCAATCGGATATATTAAAGATAACCAAAACAAGCCAGCGCAGGGTATTAAATATTTAAAAGAAACTGTCATATCACAAAGAGAGTGTTACGCTGCATGCCCAGTGTGATCTGTCACATTTTGTTTTTGTGGTTGCTGCTGCTGCTGCTGTTGTTATTAAAGCCAATGCAACATCAATGATACAAATAGCAATATACAACATGACATCATATTTTCATGACACATATACATGAAGGGTTAAAGAGGAAAATACTTGTAGTATAGTAACTCTCCTTATTGGTGTGTCTAGATGCAAAATATTAAATTTCAACAACAATTCCTAGAAAAAAGGAAGGATTAACAGAAAATGATTCAACATAATCTGACCTAAAATTTCATAATGTGAAATGAATTAAAGGCAGGCAGAATTGTACTTTTGAATTACATGAAAGATAATCATTTTAAAAGGTATAACTAAACTCTTTAAAAAATTGTCATTATGTCTTTAAAACCTCAACAACATGATGAGAAAGGAAAACATGAAAAATGCACTAAATTTTTTTAGGCCAGTGAAGAAAAAAAAATCTGATTTTTCAGATGATAATTCAGAGAGTGAACACTCTATTAAGACAAACTTAACAAATATGTGTTCTCCACATTCATTTCAACACTTTCTAGAATAGAAACGAAAAAAAAAAAAAAAAAAAAAAAAAAATCTGTCATACTTTAGGATATATATATATGTACCAGAAACCGATAACAAAAATCTTCACATCTTAAAAAAAAATAAGCACCATTGCTTGACAAGCATAAAAGCTTTAAAAAATTCTGGCAAGATAAAAGTGAAAAAGCATACAACACATGATGACATCACAAAAGAACATACTGTATATCATTTGTGATACAGTTCAAATGCAAGATGAAAAGTGCAGTGAGCAGCATAGTGCAAATATTTCCTTACGCCAACACAATGTGTCAGCAAACTAGCAAACGCTTTTATGGAAACAAATTTAAAAAAATTATTGGACAGCTTGCTAGCTGTAAGAACAAATGAAAGAACAAATAAACAACAAATATATTAAACAACAAGGGCTTTTCGACTGTCACCTCGACAAAGTGAACTGTGACATGATGACGTCATTCTGATCATCAGCGCATGCACCACATTGTCTAACTTGTGCATTACCAGAATTAAGGTCGCTTTCACCTTGGTTTTGACGTTCACCTCAATCTAGAACGCCGTTCTCTATAGCGACATTACGTATCTAACTAGCTGTACTGGTGTGGAGTATGCACATGCATGACATATAACATCACATGATGTCATCATGCTCACTAGTGCAGCGAGCGGGCGCTGACTGAAATCGAGATGGTTTCAAAGGGAAGTTAACAAAGAAATTGGTTACCGGAGTGACCTTAATATAACAAGTGTGAAAAGCCTAGTGAAAATTAAGTCTTGTAATAACAGTGCAACATTGTAGAACATTGCAACTCTGAGTGAAAGAAATTACAGGGAGGGAAGAATAAATAATCACTAATCAGTCATTGGTTCAAACTCTGCACATCAGTATCACAATTTAAAAATACATAAAGCAACATAAGTAGAACATATAAAACACCACATACAGCGCATGCTTTTATGAGAAATCTATTGAATATATTTTCTAATCTGCATAATGTATATCTGTACAGTATCTTACAGTTTTTGCAACAGAGGCTTGTAACAGAACATTGCCTGAATATAAAGAACTCTCTATACACTTCAATTCTTTCTTGTTTGTACAAAGAGCTGTAAATAATATATATATATATGAGCTCTCTTTCTCTTTAAAATGAATACAAATAAAAGAGATTTTTGTTTAAATTTATATGCAACATTTGTTCTGCATGATGAAAACTTCAGCACTGCACTTTTAAACAATTCTTTTCATAACAATCAGAGTTTATTTATTGCTCTTCTCTTTAAGACTGTGTTCTTCTTTCTACATATTACCATAAGACACTTCTGGGCCCTCATACTTAAAGAAAATTAAAGAAAAACTAAAATTAGTATATTTTCTTGCAATGATAGAAATGATGAACTAAAATAGAAATTCAGCGCTTCCTTCGATCTGAATTCTGCTTACCCAGTATTCATGGAGCTTGTACATCTTAAAGTTGCTCAAGCGTGGGTATATACTCGTTCGTGAAGTAGGCAACTTGGCGATCACTCCCGATCACTACATAACACTGAGCCAATGGGTATTACGCTCCTGTGCGTGCGTACGTGTGCTGCCCTCTATATACCCACGCTTGAGCAACTTTAAGATATTCAAATGGGGGTTTCCTATCAGTCATCAAAATAGGTCCTATTATTCTGGGAAGGAAGACGATGCTTTGGGACTATAAAATGATCACTGCAAAAATCGAAAGAGATCATAAAGATTGAAATTTCTCATTGCGTAATGAGTCGTATCTGTAACAGTGTTTCATACAAGGGGACCGTAAAGTTCCGATTAGTAGAGCTAAACTCAAAAACTGTTAACATCATCCTGTCACAATGTATTTAGTTTTACCGTATTGGACGAGTACTCTGACATGAACAATCAGATTTATCTCATAAGACTCTTGCTAAACAGGTCTTGGCCATACTTTCCTCTTATAACCTATATCACCATAATACCGTCAATATTTCCTAAGCTTTGGTCCTATCAGGACTGCAGGGTTGCCAAGTTTCCGTCTTGTTTAAAATGCATTCCTGGAGCTTGCATAACCATGTAGAGAATATCTTTAGCTATAGTGGTAGCCATTACCAAAGCCAGGGCTCTATTATAATGTTTTGTACAGTTATAACAATAGCTAGCATCTCCTGTGTCATACGCTGTTGCCACTGAATTCAATTTTCTGAGCCATGATACTGAGTACTTGCTCTAGGAGTCTGTATCGTTCTGTGGCATTGTCCGTCGTGGCCTTACTCCCCCACAGGAGCCTCAGATGGAGCTCCGTCTTGAACGCATCAAGGAGGTCTTCTTCTGGTGGATGCTTGGCAAGCTTGGCATGGGCGTTGATACGGTAGAGATTGGTCTGTTGCGCCAACATGTGAGCATTCTGCAGATGGCCAAGCATAATGTCCAAGCCATAGGACGGTGCAGTTTCCTCCCAAGTCTCGCCGTTCGGAACGGTGAGCAACACCTCCTTGGGTACCGTCTGGGACCAGTCTCGGTCCAGGGCTGCGGACCAGTCACGCTCTAGGAGCTGGATGATGGGTAGGATGTGCGGAAGGCTGGTCTTGGTGAGCGGGACCACGTTCTCACCAGCATTGATGGACTTGAGCAGGGAGCGTAGCTTGGTGTCGTAGTTGACGGCGGTGTTGGTGAAACGTGATCTCAGCTGGTCCCATGTGCTTCTCAGATAGGCAACCTGATATTACCAATGAAAGAAAAAACAAGGAGTTGTCATTAGCAGAAGTTCTGAATAACCCTGTAAGAAGATTGCTGATGATTTGCAGAACATACATGTAGTGATGTCCTCCGAATCAAATGATTGATGTGGAAGTACAATACTGTTATAACTGGAGACAAAGTGTTTCCTACAAAAGAAAGTTTGAAAATTTGACATGCCAACTGCATGTACCCCAGACATCTATCGCATTAGAACTATTCCCTTTGGAGAATTTCCCTTAAGATAGCTACAGCTCAACTCCTAGGGCAACTAACCCCCGAGGTAAAGTAATATACCCCCAAAGACAATCAACAATTGATGACTACCCCCCCCCCCCCCCCTTCAAAATTTGTTCCATCCTTATTTCATAGACAAATACAGGTCCATAGACTATAAACTAAGTTAAGGGTGGGTGTGGGGACGTATTATGATTTAGTGATAAGGGATATTTACTTCTTCTTCTTTTTTTTTTGGGGGGGGGGGGGGGTAGCAATTGTCAGGATGTCATTATCCTAAAGCCTTAGGAGGGTAAATGTATGCCTTCTTTAAAGCCCTACTGTACTACTTGTAGCTACTTGCTCCCTCTATATAGAAAACAATTCCAAAGCGGTGCCTGTTGGTCCCCCATGATCCTCTTTTTAATAAGTTAATTGAGAGAAAGTTGATGAGATAGCCACCTGTCAGTGACCTCGCTGGGTGGTCTAATCCCCCTGGCCAAACTAGTACAGACAGGCTTTAAAGAGGTGAGAATTGTTTTGTTCTCACCTGTTTGGTTGCGAGAGCATCCATGATGGTAGAGAAACTGAAGAGGTTACCCAGGGAACCACGCAATGTCTCCGCCAGCTGAATCCACTGATGCAGCACTTGAACTCTGACCTCTAGGTCATCACAGGTCAACAGGGTCGCCATGCAAAACATCTTGAGTGAATTGTGCCTGTTGTTGAATAAAACAAAAATGTGAAAAAAATGTTTGAGTTCTAGTAATAACAAAATATATAATCTTTAGAGAATCAACATGAGGCATGACTTCATCAACTGGAGATTGCCAAATAGCCCGCTATTTCTGATTTGGGAAATAATACCGAAGTTACAAATCGCGGCTTCATCAGCTCAGATTCAACCTCGAAACTTGAAACTCGACCATGAGAAATAAGTTCAACAGATTTTGCTCAGCGTTCGTGCATAGTCTTCGGGCTGGAGAAGACGCACAGGACAAATAGCAGGATATTTTGCAATCTATCCAAAGAGATCTTGGGATGATTATCTCGACCAAATATCCTGCTAATTGCAACTTCGGGCTGATGAAGATGCAAACTAATTGGATAATTTGCGATCGGGATAGTCGAAATAGCGGGACTCATTTGGCAATCTCGAGCTGATGAAGACAGGCCTAAGTTTTGATAGGATGATCAAAATCCTTAGATTGCCCCCTTTTTTCAGATTTTATTATTTTTGTCTCAGATTTTTCTGTTCCTTCTCTGCCCAACCTCGATTACATGTATCTTTCATTCTCGTTTTCAAAATGAAAACTTAACTCATGCAGTAAGATTAACTAATGAACTCTTCACTAATTTACAAACAAATCATGAAAGTAACATTTCAGGAGAATAAAGGTACTTCGTGCTCTAGAAACTGTTAGGATTCTTAACTGCTTTAAATCACTCATGTGCGAACACATAGAATTAATACAATGCATTGGCAAGATTTGATGACCTTTAAATCATTTAATCTAAGCTTTGCGATTAAACTAATGCAATGAGTAGGGCCTAATAGTTATACAATGAAGGATTTTGTTACCAGGTTTTGTTCAAACTTTTCAACAGAAAAAAAAGAAGTCAAATATTTGATTTTGAAGTCAATGACTTCTATTAGATGACCTTTAAATCATTTAATCTAAGCTTTGTGTTTAAACTAATGCAATGAGTATAGGGCCTAATAGCTATAAATTGAAGGATTTTGTTACCAGCTTTTGTTGCCAACTTTTGAAGTCATATATGTGTTTTTGATGTCAATGACTTCTAATATCTCTGATCAAAGCCAGAAGGACTTTAACTCTGTGTTAAAGATTCAGTTAATGCCCTCCTGGCTCCAAACAGACAATATCTACACAGGAAATAGGTGTCGCTTAAAAAAATATAACAATGACGAAAGCAGACCTTACAAATGTGAAGTCCACTCTATTCAGATGGGGGAAAAATGGATAAATCTGAGGTTGATTTAAAGGGGCAAAATTAGATTTTCAATTTAGCATAATATGCAAATGTCAACTGCACAACTTTTGAGTTTCCATTTCTCAAATTCTGGTTCACATTCTTAATTTAGAATGAGATGTTGCACAAAAAAGGCTGTCACAGATTGATAGAGGGAGATATGCTATACATGTACTTAAAGGTCCTTTTACACTCATTGTCAGATGATGCCCATCATGTGTAAATCAATCTGTCAATTTCTTCACATGGCACTTCATAATCAAATTCTTAAAGATAGGTAAAGGAGAATCAAATTATTTTTGAATATATGACTGCATTGCCTAAATTTTAAAGCCAAAACAAAATGCCTGTCTTAAATACATTACAAAGTCGCACTCTCTTGAACTAGAATTCATATCAAATGTATTCATAAATTACTAAATTTTTCCTTTAAAGTTCAAACTACAAACGTGTTCAGGAAGCCCCACCTAGGCTAGGTCCAACCCATTCACTGGCTGGCTACTGCCCCGGAAAATGACCAAAACATTTGTAAAACCAACACAATCATGATGAAACTCATTTTGTCTGGAAGCTGCATTAAGAGATATTGTAGGCCTAAAAATACTTCAGGAAATTAAGACATCTCTGGTAAAAAGAATCACTTGCCATTATCTGTATTAAACTGGGCACTTTGGACAATATTACTGCCTTTAAATACTTTGACTTCAATAAACAGTGACAAAATTACACAACTCGGGAAGAGAGACCATAACGGTTACAGTGATTTAGTTCGCTTTCCTCTTCCCCGGCAGCCAACTGATGCACTTAGAGGACCTCCTGGAAGATTGTGCATTTATAATTGACATTCTCTTAATGTTTGTTTACCTATATTTACATTGTTATATTTTTTGTGAATTGCCGAATAAATAATAAGTAAATAATAAATAAATGTTGAGGCAAAGTGATATGATCATTGTTCTGCATACCGGTATATGGGTATGATTCTCAAAATTAACAAGGGCATGGTAGCAAACCAGTTTTACACATTTTTAATGGGAAAAATGCAATACCAGAAAACCCTTGTGATTGTACCATTATAACAAAGGGATTTTGAAACTGAAAATCAAATTTTCAAAGTGAAATCTACACATCAATGTTCCAGAGAATTTCTACAGAGATAAAATTGTTTTGAGAATCAGCTGACAAGAAATTAAAGAATCTGTGTCATCTATCTTTATCTACATGTATCTTTTACAATATTTTGGCCAAGAAAAGGATATTCCACAAACTAAATATATTGGAGATGTTGCCAACAAATCTATGCATGGGGTGCAAAAAAATGAATTTGATCCTGTTATTGAGAGATAAGAAGGCAAGATGATCCTGGGTGTTTATATTAATTGATAATTCATTTCCTTCCCACTTTATCACAGGACAGAATCTAAGCTGCAACACATGATAACTGGCCCTCTCAATTACTTCATGTTTGAGGCTTTCCTCTTCCTGTTTGCACACCTGAAGAGTATTCTCTCTTTGAAAATCACTAGTATAAAAACTGATGATAGTCATAAGATGAAAATCTTACTCTCTTTTTTGTCTCATTTCACAATCTTGCATGGTGAAGAGGAAAATTAAGCGTTACCGGTATTTCTTATGTCGCTATCCAACATTTCTTTATACACTGTTTAGACAAGGACAATTTTAATTACTTATCGCATAGCTACACAAGACTCATAGCTGCATCGTGAATGCTAGTAGTCTGAGTTACAATTTGAAGTAACACAAAAGGGCTGTCCTCATCAGCTCGAGTTTGCCAAATAACCCACTATTTTCAGACTCGGGATATTATCCCAAAGCTCGAAATTACGTCTTCACCACACCGATTCGCTCATCACAAACTAGCTCAGACGTGCACAAATTAGCCCGCTATTTTCGAAGTAGCAGGATATTTTGGAAACAAGACCAATATTTCTTAGGATATTTGGTCGAGAAAATATCCGACTAATTGCATCTATGGGCTGATGAAGACGCAAATTAACTGGTTAATTTGCGATCCTGATAGTTAAAATAGCGGGTTATTTGGCAAACTCAAGCTGATTAAGAAAGCCCTTTTGTGGTTCCTACTTCAAATTGTAACCCGGCTTTCAGACTGATGAGGATAGGCCTAAAGACCTCAAGCTTTAGAGCTTGCCCTTGGCCTAGTTTTTGATGATACATACCTTTCCATGATGTCTAGTCTAAACTGTCCACCATGAGGGAGGCAGAGCAGCTCCAAGCCAGGCATTGAGTTGTTGTTGCATCCATGCCCTATTCTACATACCTGTCAGAGATAGATTGAAGAACAAAAAGAGTGTGTATATGAAACGAATGAATGATTGATTGATAATCATTTCATAGATATACATCAGAGTTCCAAGCCAGGCATTGAGTTATGCTACCTCCTATTCTGCATAACTGGGGGGGGGGGGGGAGGGGGAGGGGAAGGGGAGAAATAAAAAGGAGTTAAGAAACTGAAAGATATTACATGAATACACTTCAAAAAATGAGCTGAAAAGGGGGACAACCTTTAAAAAATAAATATAGATTAATAACCTGTGAACATTTTTACTAGATTTACAATTGCACATACCGGTAAAGTCTTTTGTATTGAAACCAGTATGAGAAACCCTTTAACTGTAACTTTCCTGATACTGTTCCCGATTATTTGTTTCTCAAGTCATCTATATCATCATTATCAAAATAAATTTTGGAATATTCATGGAGGTGCTGTTAAATTTATTGTCTAGATTAAAAGAGGAAATATTCAAAAGAACCAGTTTATACAGTCCAACATGCTTTCACAACCACCTGTATGGAAAGACAATCTGTCTACAAAAAACACATTTTTTGTTTTCCTTCAAAATGGTTTCTCATTGAAACATGTACCTGTACACAAAGACCACCTGCCTATAAAGACCACTTTTCTTGTCTCCTTGGGTAGTCTTTATAAATAGACAGGTTTGACTGTACATCACAAGAATGGTAAATCTTCCGTCAAATATAAACTTTTTATATTAGCTGTTAATGTTCTATATACATCCTTTATCCAAGGAACGTACAGGTAAACACAGAGATGTTCAAACATTAATCCTTCAATGGGTGCCTACAATTCACATCAAAATGGCAAAGAAAGATAAATAGATTCAGCTGGGCTTGTTCAAACATTACCTACAGACATTGGTGGATCAAAGGTGTCCGGGGAGGGGTGGACAACCAGCCTACACCTTGCCCCTTTTAAAACCCAATCTGGCAAACCTTATATAAAAATATAAAAACTTAGCCCTGGCCCCTCTTCATAAAAGGGTGTTCTTGTGCCTCCTTTAAATATCACAACCCAAAAGCATCTGAAAATGTGACCATCCTCTTTTTTCTGCTTTCTCTATTTATGGGGGGGGGGGAAGGAAAATTGCCCCCGCCCCCTTCAATAGGATTGTGAATCCACTCTCTATTACAGATGCATGCAGTTTACTTAGCTTACTAAGGTCTTGCTAGTGCACCAATATGTCTAACCTTCTTGAGTTGCAGTGTTTGCAATGTGCTGTGTGAGTCATTAATGTTTAACCCAAACACACACCAAGTTCTTTTCTTTTGCAGCAAGAAAAAGGTAAATAAAGAGTTCACAAAGGATGCGAGTATGCAGGGACTTTTACTGTGTACAAATCAGTCTAGCACAGGAACTACATAAATGCTATAGTATCAAACTGCAGCAATTTTAAATGCCATTGAAATAAGGATAACAATGTACTGCCCAGCAAAGGTTGCCAAAATACCCAAATAAATATTGCAACAAAATATCATTGATACATGCATAAACTTATAAAGATAAAATGAAAATAAAATTTCAAATAAATAAGGAAACATAACACTGCCCTGCCAAGGTTATAGAAACACAAAAATAAATTGCAACAAATGTTATTGAAATAAGGAAACAAAGTGCATGTATTGCCAAGCTAGGGTTGCCCAAAATCAGGATGTGGTCCCAATACTATGAATCGAGTGAGCATTTTATGGGAAAAGAAAAGGAATAGAGTGACAGTTAATGGCTTTTATTTGGAGTGTGGTGAATAACTGATGGAGATGTGGCCAATTTGTCACAGTAATTAAATTTAGTAAACAGCCGATGGTTGGCTGAAAATCTATCCATTTCCTCCTCTCTCTCTCTCTCTCTCTCTCTCTCTCTCTCTCTCTCAACCAATTGATCGATCACTCAATCAATCAATCTACCTGTGTATCTAATAATCTGTCTATCCCTGCTTCTTTCTGTCTCTATATTTCTTTGTCTCCCTATGTCTATTTGAGGGTTTGAGTGTATGTGTGGGTGTGTATGTCTCTCTCTCTCTCTCTCTCATTATGTTTATCTCTCTCTCTCTCTCTCTCTCTCCCTCTCTCTCTCCCTCTCTCTCTCCCTCTCCCTCTCTCAACCACTTATTTTCAATGGAGTGTGACTGTGTGATAATACAAGTGTAATGACAAAAGCAAGACAAAAAAGGTTCACAGATTATAAACAAAAACAGATGAAAACTTACCTCTGTATCGACAAGTGTGAGATGTCTGGCAAGGGCTAAGGGGTTTGCATCAAACAGCATCTGCCTGATGGTATCCATAGAGGTTTTATCTAAAGGTTTGTTCTCTGGTTGTAGGAGCGATGACACAAAGTCTTGAGGATAGAAGACGGACTCCGTTTCACGGAGAGGAAGGTTAGTTTGCAAGGTTTGCGGTTTCTTCTCAAGGTGGTTCGGCGATGACCGCTGCGCGACCCGCGAGTAGTCGCTATCCAGGACCGAGAATCGAGTACCAGAGTTGACCCGCTTTCGCGGCTTCACGTCAAGATTCTGTTCTTCGATCTGCACTGGGGATGATTCTTGAGGCGGCTCCTGGATGATCGGTGGGATGATGGGATTGGAATCATCATCATGCAGCATGGTGTACCGGATAGTGTCTTTGGGATCCACAGGATCTACTGGAAGGTCAATCTCACTATAAATGTGTTCTCTTATGATTGGTTGGACGAGAGAAGAGGTGGTCTGGGGAGATGGAGTTTTGGTCTCTACGGTTGTTGAGGTCATTGCTGGTGCAGGTGCGGTTGACTCTGCTGTTGACAGAGATGTTGACTCTGCTGTTGACTGTGACAGTGCTGTTGACTCTGCTGTTGACTGTGAAGTCGACTCTGTTGTTGACTCTGTTGTCGACTCTGTTGTCGACTCTGTCATTGACTCTGTCGTTGACTCTGCTTTTGACTCAGTTGTGTCCTTGGTGTCAGCATCGCCTTCTAAAGGTGTCTGCTCACTAGGGTCTGGAGTCACTTGTATCTGTGGTGTAGGTGAGACAGAAGGAACTCTGGCTGGGGATGCAGTGGTGGAGGATCCGTCAATGGATGTCATTGATATGCTCCCTTCATCGTCTGAAGCAGAGGTGTTCAAGCAAGGTTTTGTCTCTGCATAGTCACTTTCAATTGGTCCTACTTGTGCATATTCCATGCTTGGACTCAAAATGGGTTCACTCCCTGTCCTGGTATAACCTCTCTGTTCCCTTGACAATGGAGACGGGGTAGGGGAGGATGACAATGATAAAGGTGAGATCCTCCCTAGCAACGGATGACTATCAGCGCGGTTCACAACCTGTTTCTCCACCCCACCATTGAGATGAAACGGTGTGGGGTTGCTTCCCGATCTCTGACGCAACCCCTCACCTCCATTCGACGCCCTGCGAGGGGTCACGACCTTCTTCTGCAGTTGCCCGTAGATGTATCCACCCGAATGGGACTTGTTGGTTGCAGCATATTTATTGTCGGTGTAGCTCAGCGGTAGAGTTCTGTTGACCGGGTGCTGGATCACCGCTCCAGACGCCTGCGACACTGGTCTGCAGTTCCCGACATAGAACTTAATAAGAGAAGGGATCGCATCAAAGCACTCCTTTTCAAACTGGTACTGGACGCTAGCGTATGGTGAATGTGCCTTCAGCACCACTTTATTCACAACAAAATGCATTGACACTCCCTTCCATCGCACTGTCAGTACAAAGTTCCCAGGTTTAGAGATGGAGTCCCGCACAAGGAAATCACCGTTCTCTCGTATCAGTTTCTCGGCTTTCTCACGGCTGATTCCTCCGTGGAACCAGGCGTGGCTCCTAACATCTTCACTTGGAAGCTTGAACTCCTCCTCGAGCAGCTTGCGGAGGTCCTCCGGAGTCATGTCTTGGAGACTCATCTTGGTCCTGATTGGGGACGGAGGTGGCTGCATGGAAAAGGAAGAGAATCAGAGATGATTTTCCTGACAATCCTCGAACAGTTGCCCACTATCCCATTTAACTCAATGACTATCATTTGATTTTGATCAATAGACTCCAGTTGGATATATCTCAGGATTAGCCACGCTAAGTCATATTCACTTGTCCGTTAAAACAAGGAGCACAACTATACAGCATATCATTTTCTCCTGAACATTGCATGCTGTGATTTTTTATCTATGACTTTATGCGACCTTTGATATGCCAAGAAATGGCGTAGACAAGCACACAGATAAAGAGATCAACTCTTTCAAATACATTTACGTCCCTTAATGCAAGGTTTTGAATGGTTTATATGTTTGCGTAGTAATGACAATACCCCAACCAAAGAGAGCTGAAATGAGTGTTAATCCATAGGTCAAATATTGGTGACCCTTTTCTTTTGTACCCCTTTACGACAAAATCATTCCTCATTGTGATTCCATTCAATTACTCTTTTGCACTTTATCACAGGAAGGGCAATTGATCAAACTTTGGAGGGCAGTCTGGATTATTTAAGCTCATTATCACACAAAATCTATGATGGATATATTATTCTCAATCACAAATACGCTTTATCAACAAGTTACCTATGGTCTATGGCAGGGCTAAACACTAAACTGTTGGGAAAGGTGTCTGGATCGATCTTTTTACAGTCTCTATGCACGAGACATATAATTTCAATTTTTTTTTTTTTTTTTTTTTTTGGGGGGGGGGGGGGGTCTGGGCTTGGATTTTAAGCGTCCATGTGTCCTGGTCACCTGCAAGTGTCGACCCTTGTCCATGGAGTAAATTTCCTTGCACATACATGTGGGTCAACTAGTCTATCCCCAACTTGCTCTAACTCTATCTTCAGGTAGAGTGTAATCTTGTTATTTTGTTGTTGTTGTTGATTTTTCAACTCGTAATATCTTGTCTTGTATGAAAACAATATCTGAAGTCAATATCAGAAGAAAGAATACTTTGTTTGTGATTGATCCGCATACATTATGACTAAGTCTGATGTATGTACTCACCTTACTGAAATGATCTTCTGGTATTGAACTGTAAAGACAAGTGAAGAAAAAGATTCATTCAAAACATGTCAATATCAAAATTAATTCAATGCAAATAAAATTTAACTATTTCAATCGCAAATCATTCAATCAAGTACCATTTTATAACTATTAGAAATATCAATATTCTATTGGATAAATCTAAACATATATGATAGATTCATGGTATTATATAAAACAAGAACATCATGTAAGTGATCCAGGATGTACAACTTGACATGCCCAAACAAATTTGTTGATACAAACTGACAAAAACCCAAGGATAAATAAAACAAATAATTAAAAAGGATATGGTTTGCATGTATTTCCGGCAGTGGTAGGCACCAACATGAACAAAGATAAATTACATCAGCTTTGAGTCAGAAAGGCTTTATAACTAATAGAAATGTACACAGACTAAATACTTTTCTGGCTCTCTGCAAACTATTTAAATCATTGACATATTCCTCTTGGCAAACTTCTCAAAAATTTGAAGCATATCGTTCTTTGTAAACACCCTTTTAGCATTTGTCTTTTCTGATTCTATAGTGTTTCTATAAGTTTGTAATGGTGGTACTCATAGAATACTCACAATATAGGGAAACAAATCAAATATACAATTATCTTTGTCTATATTTACAACAAATTATTTCTAAAAATGTTTATCCTTATCATTTATGAGTAATAACATTCTTTATATCAAGTCTCTTCCCCCTGAACTCAAACACATTTTTGTCAATTTTTGGAATACATTTTAACATGTATTTCCAACAAGAGAGCCTCAATTCTTTAAAAGTAAATAGATACATGTATGATATATGCCATGAACACATAGTCATGGTAATATTGAACCCATTTTTAAACCTTTCAAGTTTCAACCGCTATCCCATATTGAATGCAAACTGATACAGGAGAAAACAACAATGTACAGTGTATCATGAGTGCCGGTAGATAGATTTTCCAGAGAACCTGTTTCAAAAGCTTCACATTCAAATAAACATGCAATAAATACATACCGACGACATGGCAAGTAGTCATAATCGTCATAGTCGTATGATGGCGAGAGACAAACCTCCATCTTAAACATGCAGAGAAAAACAATCAATATAATCCACAATAAACTCCAAAGCAACTCTCCTCTCCAAACTCTAAACCAAGAATGAAACTCTGCCTCTAGTCTAATAAACACCCCCACTGTTACTAAACTAGATAGGCAGTTGTGAAGGCACGTGTACGCTCTGGTATTCCAATGGTTTTCTCATTAGGTGCGTCATCATTGATATACATTAAGACCAACTGGGACTTCTCAGGTAAATGGTTCAAGATACTAGACCAATTAGTGCTTATCAGGAAAACAATCAAAAGTTTGAAGTCCCACCTGCCAGAGTTAGGCAATTCTCGCTCATTAGAGGAATTATTTGAAGCTTATATAAAATATCATAATCCCAGACTGAGTATATCTTTACTGTTAATAGATCAGTCTGCTAATTGGTCAATTGGTTAGCTTTTATTGCATGGACAAGCTTGATTTTGCTTACCGATAGGATAATAGCTTGAGATGAGGACCAAATAATAACAGTCGCTTAATATTCTTATTAGAAGGATGAAATAGTCTGGTATTTGCATCTTCAGTGTGATTTAGCTGGAGCTAAGTTCTTACAAGCACAGCCCTGATATGCTTGAGATAAATAATAACTTAAACTATAAATTTCCTGATAATAATAGATGATATCTCAAACAGAAGGATAAACCACTATGCTATTTGCATCTTGGCTGTTGACTAGCTTGTGATAGTCGTGATTGGACAGACCCCGGGACAAACCCCGGTGTCAGAATGAGCCGACTATTGTTCAAACTTGGGCTAGTGAAAACAGGCCTAATGAACTTGAGAACCCGGTGAATCAGATTGTTGCTGATAACCAACCGAGTCATCAGCCCAGCTGGTGGTATGACCTCAAACTCTGCGTGATGGAAGTGCGTGAAATGTCCTAGGGCGTAGCCAGATAGGGTATTGATCGGAGGGGCACTGGTGATCAACTTTCAATGAGGCTGTGTTTTGAGATCAGGCTATACACAAGAGCTTCTAAAAGACAGTATTCAAAGCTGTGAAAATCTTTGGGGAGTCATTTGTGATGGGTTTGAAGTGAGCCATGTGATTTATCAATCTTGAAACCTATCAACTGCAACTCTTTCAATAAAAGCTGTAGCGCTAGATCTTCTATTTCAGAAATTGAACATCAGTTTGTTTGCACTGGAAAATGATCCTACAAGCCTAGAAGCAAACAAATCCTCAATGACTTTATCAAAACATACAAGGATTCTCTAATTCTCATATGAATCCCAGCAAGTACATGTATTTACTATCATGAAACTGTGTTGTTTCAGGTTCTCTGGTGCTGTTTATACCAACTACAATTTTTTTTGTTTAAAGAAACAGGCTAATGGATCCTCATTAACGTATGTAGAACCCATGCTTGCCCTCAGTCTATAAACTAAATGTTTCAAGATCAACTTTGACAAAAGTTCTACAAGTTGACATACCCAGAAACAGGGGCACCCATCCCCATGTATCACTTGGCCCATATACAGCAACGCGATCCCCTGAATTCCACCACGGACTGGAAGCAACTCCATCCTGTTCCACCTGCACAGCTAGCTCTCGATCGATCGTAGGAGGTCCGGTATATTCTCCTTCAGCGGGTCAGCCGCACTAACACGCACGCTTGCAACAATCACCATGGAGTTACTCCATGTTATGACTGAGCTGCGGAAGTCAATTCTCGCTAGCCCAAAGGGGGATTCCATCACATGTTACACAACAGGGGTGGATGGAGCTTCTCTGTTAACTACTTAGGAACGAATGTGCAGCGAATTCCAATTCTAGCTAGCTGAAAAGGGTGACAAAGTCTGTTACACAATGAACAGGGGTGACAAGCTTCTCTGTGTAACAACCGAGTAACAACTGTGCAGGGAATTCCTATACTCACTAGATAAATTGGGGGACTACAGTTGTTACACAACAGGGGTGAAAAGAGCATCTCAGTGTTATGACTGAGTAACGAATGTGCAGCAGATTCCAATTCTCGCTAACTCAGAGGGGGACTCCGTCATGTGTTACACAACAGGGGTGATTGGTTTGATCAGTCATGGGTGACTCAGGGGTAGGGATTAATGAAATCAATGGAGGTAGAAAGAGATTTCACTTTCTGTTTTCAAGAAGAAGGCACTATAATCTCAACAAATACTTGTGTGTTGCTGAAGAACAATGATGTGAGGGGGTTGTGGGAGGGGGGATGGGGCTGACTGTTCTTTTTATTTCTTCTAAATACTTTGTTAGTATATTCACCAATCAGCAATTACCCAAATAAAAAGGGATGTACATACAAAACTTGGAGTGTTTCACCAGTTTAACCAAATCTGTTTTCCGCTTCTAATCAGATCAAATACTTGTTGTGAGGGGGCGGAGGGATGAGGATATTTCTATAGATTAGTTGCAAGACCATTTATAAGTGTACTAGAACGCTATCAAGGTTTTCGAAACCATTTCCTGTTTTCAAGAATAAACTGATGGGGTTGGAGAGGGGCTGACATTTCTATAGACTTTGGTGCTTGAACAGTTTACAATTACAGGTAAAATAACAAAATAATGTGCCCACAAGCTTTGAAAAATAAATACTGGCAATTGAAATCAACATTATAAATACATATGTATATATAAAACAAACCAGGAAACTCTGTACCTGAACTATTCTTAGAACATGAATCCCCAGAAAAATACATAATTCTACATGAATAGATTTTAACCACTTTGAATCCGTAATTTGAATGTATGAGCTTAAAGAGATTTAAAAGATATTTCACACTACAGCCCTACATAATTCAACAAATTTGATACAGTTTACACTTTATACACACCCCACAAAAAATGTATCAAGGGGTGGGGTGATTTATTACAAATATCAACAACCTGTACAAGGCCTATGATAAAAGAGTTAAAGAAGGTCAAATATAAAAGGTCAAACAATTAATCAAATCGGACTGTACATCATACATCAATGTCAAAGCTTTGTGGTACAGCTATATTAAAGTTTTCAATACGAAGCCAGATAAGTGTGTCTTTCTACTCCAAATTCAGGTGAACTACATGTAGGCCTTATTACACTGCAGGATATTATACAGATACCGTAGTATAGATACCATTTTCCACTTTTCCAGGTGGAAATGCATTTGATAATCAGATAATTCAAATCAATGCTTATTCTATGGAGAATTGGAGAAATACCTGTAAGTCTAATGACTCTCACTTTATTAAGATATATTCAGAGCAATAACATTATTTTGAGGAGCAAAAACTGGCACATATATTTGAAATGTTGCTAGGCCAGAAAAATACCTGATAATCTCTTTAGACTATTAGCCTTTTTATAAAATTCAAATACCAAAGAGAAAATTGCCTTTTAATAAAAATTCATGACACTCTTTGCTTGCAACATAGACAAATGCAAATGCAATTTTACTTGGTTGTCTGTTAGCAAAATGTTGATTGCCCAGAGTATCAAAGGGGGCAGGAGGTTCCAGCACCCCACAATATGTGAGGAAAGCCATCAACTTGGACAGACAGTTTCCGATTATAATTTAATCTCATTCAGAGCAGCCCTCAATTGACCTTGCCTTTTTTGACAGGTATATTTGATGTCATTAGTATCAAATATTTGCAGAAATTTATCAATTCTATAGTTGATTCTACCAGATTAGAAAAAGAATGATCTATAAAGTGATGCTTTATGGTATGTAATAATTTGTCATTTTGAGCCAGAAGGTTGTTAACCCTGTATTGAAGAATATGAGTTAATGCCATCTGGCTCTAAACAGTTGAATCAAAGTTATTTTGTTAGTTTAAAGTATCCCTCCAACTGGAATATATCATTTTAATTTTCACTTGTTATTCATTCATAAGAAAATATACAAACTCTTCAATATATCAAGAATTAAGGGAAATATTTGATTACTGAGAAAGAATAGAGAAATATATAAGTTCCTATATATTCCCCCCCCCCCCCCCAATGCCCCCACAATATCTTTTCCTTGCCTCCAAAAAGAATGCCTAATGTTTTGCTTTCAGAACAGATGTACATTTCTACAACAATAAAGTTTGAAGTAGGACCTTTCAACATTGGTATTCTTCAAAACAAGAAAAGCAAACATACATTTGAAAGCACTTTAAGCACTGGAATGTGACACAAATAGAATGAAAGTTTTTGTAACAAAAATTTGACTGAGAATTGGATGTGGAATAACAACCCAGTCTGTTGACACAAAGGACTACCCTTTTCTCTTCCTTCACGCTAATGTTTTCTCATTTTGTGTTTCCAAAAATAAACAGTTAGGCCTGTAAAGTGTAAGCTAGAATTTGTCGTTTGCTTGTATTTTCTCAACCACCCTACTTCATTTTGTAAGAAGCCTGTATACTCTACATATAACTTCAAAGTTTCAGTTTTATTTTGTTTCATAAATATACTAAAAAAACAAATTCCTTTGACCTGTATAGATGGATGGCGGTGTTTATCTTTGAGAAATCAAATTTCATACTTGACCAAGCTTGTTTGGTCAAACAGCAAAACAAGTCCGACGAATAAAAAGAACAAATGCGTATGGAATAAACCCATTTCACACCCTTTTATACAGCTCTTACCGTACAATGCACACACACTCCAACACCATTTGCATCTTCTCTCCAAAGATTTTGTGACTAAAACCGCATTCTATTTCTGATCTATCCTTGGACGGGCAACTTGTATTCCTATTCAAGAGACATGTCAACAGAGACACGTCTATTATTTCTCCCTTTTCTCTATATCTCCTCATCCAGACAAGCACAATTATACAAACAAGATGTGTTCCGATTATTTTTTGTCTGAATGTCATGTAACAAAATGTTGTCTCGCTTATCAAAGGTTTGAGCATCATTTTGAACAAACATTGATTAAGTATTAAGATTTTTCATGATTTGATATTTCATTTTAAAATGAAAGAATATTCTCAGGCCTCTAGACAAGGAGGTTACTAAAATTATCAAATAATGCAATATCACCTTCTTTGAAGCAACTACAGAAGGATATCATTGCATTGAAGTTTACCCAATAGCATTCTTATACTTATGGATAACACTGAATATTAATGAATCTGGAATGCCCCCCCCCCCCCCCCCCCCCCCCTCCCTCAACTTCATTTTGTGTAAGATCTGAATGAGAGCAAGGAACCAATTTTCCATGGCCTGAAATTTGTTATACAATGTTTCTTTTGGTATGAATGGGACTATCTATCTCAATGTATATCTTGAAGGTTACAGGCATGCTGTGGGTTTTCACCAACTGTCCTCTGTGGTAAACCATACATACAACAACCATAATGGCAGAGTGAAGGCATTCTACACTTCACTGTGACATGTGGTTTGCGCAGTGTTTTTGGTAATACATTGTACACTGAGCTCTCGATATGCTGACAGCAGTGTCATAGAATAGGAAAGGTTTTTTTGGCCAACCCGGTTGGGTAAGCACAAAACAAAAGAATATACAAGATTTGCATATATATCTTTAAAGACATATTATTACTCAGATCATAAGATTCAGGTTTGACCCCAGACAATGTATGCACATTCTCCATTCCCTTGGGAGCGTTCCAGTCAGGCATCATTTTAAAGACGCTCACAATCCTGAGCAAACTACATGTACCATGTACCCATTTAACACCTGGGTGGAGAGTGGCAAATGTGGATTAAAGTCTTGCCAAATGATGTCAGTGCCGGGCTGGGATTTGAACCCTCAACCCTTGGATTGAGAGTCAAGTGAATGAACCACTATACCACGACACCTTCAAATTCATAACATGTCAACACCAATTTTCCAATATTTGCTATGATATTTGACATCATCCTCACTCTTAACCCACTCTCTGCTGGTAGCTTGCTGGTTCCTGTATTAGGCCTAGGGGAATACGAGAATCCAGTAATCAAAGAGTTATTCAACCTACCTGTATCTAAAGTGTGGTCTGGACGGTGATCCTGGTGTTTGGTTGGGTGTGCCGACGATCCTGGGTGACCTGGGCGGGGTGGAGGCAAGAGGTGGTAGTCCAGTACCTAGGAGCAGCAAAGTTCAAATGAAAAGTTGATGAGAACTCACCCTAGGGGTAGGGGTAGGGTTAGGAACAGTATTTAGTATAGGGTTTTAATAAAAAAGAATTGGGTTAGAGGGTCAAGATAGCTTCCTGGTTTGAGTAGGAAAATGAACATCTATCACGTGTAGCCAGATCATTTTTGTACAACCAGTCGTTCATGCAGTCGTTTGCAACTGGGTCATATACTCTGCTTAGATTTATCTAAAATCGCGATGAAGAAGCGCCCGGGATTAAAGCAAACATATCGCATGAGACCGGCCTCCCGTAGCTGCGTGCAGACCCTAATCTTCATATTAATAAATACAGGAGCATAATTTGAAGACATTTCCTGCAAATTGATCCAATTAATTAGTAAAGCAGTATATGTCTTCAGGGGGAGAGATACATGCCAACTCGCCACCATGCATTTTTGCAAATAAAAAAAAGGATGACCATCAATTAATTCCAAAATGGATCTTAACCACTTAAAAGCTGCACATGTACCGGCAGGCAATTAAACTGCCAGAATATTGTATATGGTATGCTGTACTGTTTATGCTGTATTGGAGAAAAAAATAAATATATTTCTTCTTAAAAAGTATTGACAGTTCTGCAATTAATTAGACAATGCATTAAACTGAAGTTTTGAATTTCAGTGATCAACATTGTAAGTCACAAAGAGAGGGGGGGGGGGACTTCAAACTACATAAGCTGAAGTTAAACTACATGTTCAAGATGTATGCAATATAAAAGACCAATTGATAAAGCTCAACAGTTTTGCTGATAACTTTCAAACTTATAATGTGACACTTATTAAACTCTTAGACTCAGAATTCTACATTGGAAATACTTTTTTTATTTGTCGAGAAATGATTTTCCTTTCAACTTTCAAGAAATGGTTTTCCTTTCAACCTGTAAAAGATATGCATTTAACCAAGTCTGAGAACACTGTCATTTGGGAACAAAATTAGACCTTCCATAAAATGACAGGCTTCTATAAAGAAAAAAAGACACAACACTTGCATTGACGACCTTTGGTATTTTGCCAAGAGCTCACCTGGATCTATGCAAAGCTGTAAAATTTTCATTTTCTTCCAGTTTTTGAAAGATTCCTTAAGAGGGGTCACACTTGAAGTAAAGAAGTAGTCAGGAAACAGGGTGACAGGCCCATAAATTGATAGGATCCCATAAAGAAAGGTTCGTTCACATACGACAAATACAATATTCTAAATCTAGTTGGAAAATGTGTTTTCTGACAATTTTCAACTCTGAATATATTTTTCATGTATGTTTTGTTCCAAATCGTTATCCTAAAAATGTGTTTTTTCCCCATTTTTACCCCATTTTTTTCCATGAAAAAATAGAAGAAACAGTAGTTTACTTTTCTAGGAAATAGCATAAATATATAGAGAAATGGCAACAAAAAATTATATTTTATCAATGTAAAAATGACCGGGAAAAGGTCCTGCACATGTACAGGTGTATCTGCATTTTATGAGATACAGAAATGTGATGTGCAAATTAAAGGAAACCAAAACCTTCATACTAAGTTACTTTTATTTTAAAAGTTTAAAAGATTTGAATAAAATCAGTGAAAATTTGAACAAAATCGGGCAAGGAATAAGGAAGTAAGAGCTTTTTGAAATGACTAGTCACTAGAGGGCGGTATTCAATTTGATGACATCATCTGTGAACAACTCTCCATGCCTTTTGTACATAAAATTTCACAATTTTTTTGTTTTCTTCGTATTTATTTGTGTTCTTTATCCGACTTCATAACATGTGAAGTAGAATATCATTTGGCATTATATATCTTGCTTTCGGGGGAGTACATTATCTCAATCATAAGAAAGAAGGAAAAACATGAAATTTGATGTACAAAAGGCATGGAGAGTTGTTCACAGATGATGTCATCAAATTGAATACCGCCCTCTAGTGACTAGTCATTTCAAAAAGCTCTTACTTCCTTATTCCTTGCCCGATTTTGTTCAAATTATCACTGATATTTTTCAAATATCTTAAACTTTACAATAAAAGTAACTTAGTATGAAGGTTTTGGTTTCCTTTAAGGATGCTTCTTTTTGCCAGGCTGGCTGTTAACCATGGCTGTTTTATCCTGACATGTATGAACAAGGCCTAAGTGGGGATCTAGGAGCTGATCCATAACTCATCCCAAAAGAACTGAAAGAATAAACCTGATGAAACGTTGGAGTACGAATGAGGCTTAGCCAATTAATCAAGAGCGTATTTATTCCTTCCATTACAGCTAGAGCCCTTCCAATTTCATCAATGACCCCCTCGTAAAAATTCTAAGTAAACTCAAGAAGTTGTGTTGCCAGGGCGAAAGATGCTGTAATGGAGGGGGCTATTAAGTAATTCATTCATGGATATGATAGATCACATGTTTCCAAGAATTTGACTAGAGTGCAGAAAGGGAGCTTCACACTTCATTTTAGGTTGAAACTAACAGTGTAGTATGATCAAAAACATTATATGGTATACCCAGGGATGATGTTATGAGTTTACAAATCTGTGGTATACCTTGCTCTATTAGCAATTAAAGGGAAAGTCCACCTTGATATTTTCACCGACCTGTTCCTCTCATTTTTCTGCTTCCATTAAAACCAACTTCATATCAGAGTGAACTTTAAAAGATTGTAACTACACATAAAGGACTTGACACAAGTAGAAAATCTGAGACATGTAAAAAGTTGTCAAATTTTGGAAACGACAAACCTAGCATTACTTGGGATATACTCAAAGAACATAGCTATTATGTTTTGTCAATTAACTATCTAACCTGAGAGCTAAAATATATCACTCTTCAAAGTGCTTTGGAAGTCTTTATTCAGTCAGTTGCTCCAAAAACTGTTTTAATCTCACAGTGAATGTTAAGAATATATACTGACAAGTAAACACTAAACACCTGGGTCGAGATAGACGACTATAGACAAAAGCCTTGTCTCAGCTAGGACTTATGAACTGGGTTGTGTTTTCAACCCTCCACCTCTTGTTTGTGAGGCAGGTGGACGAACCGCAGAGCCACACACTATACTTTGATAGAAGTAAGCACCTACCAGCTATACTTGTCCGTTTGAGTTTCTCTCTAATGTAGACAAGGTTGGACACCAGTCTCGCTCGGTGAGCAGCATTACGGATCCCGAGGTCTAGAAGATTCTTCTCGGTCCAATGCAGCAGTTCCTGTAAAAAATTAGAAGAAACGAACAAACAAAAATCACAGAATTAGAACAATTCACTGTCTGGTGTATTTTGGTACTGCCATAATAGGCCATTTTTATGCCTCCGCCACCGAAGGTGGTGCCGGAGGCATCATGTTTTCGGGTTGTCCGTCCGTACGTCCGTCCGTCCCGTTTGACCGTTATCACAATATCTCAAGAACCATTTAAGATTTAAACTTAAGACTCGGGAATAGTATTTATCACCATAGGAAAACGATCTGATTAGATTTTGGAGTACGTAGGTCAAAGGTCACAGGTCACAGAGGTCAACTTATGAAATTCCTTGTATTGAGTTTGTTAGCGCGATATCTCAAGAACCATTTGAGATTTAAACTTCAAACTTAAGGATAGTATGTATCACCATAGGAAGACGATCCGATTAGATTTTGGAGCACGTATGTCAAAGGTCAAGGGTCACAGAGGTCAACTTATGAAATTCCATACATTGAGATTGTTATCATGATATCTCAAGAACCACTGGAGATTTAAACTTCAAACTTAGTGATAGTGTGTATCACTATAGGAAAACAATCTGATTACATTTTGGAGCACGTAGGTCAAAGGTCAAGGGTCATAGAGGTCAACTTATGAAATTCCATACATTGAGATTGTTATCATGATATCTCAAGAACCACTGGAGATGTAAAAACTTCAAACTTAAGGATAGTATGTATCACCATAGGAAGACGATCTGATTAGATTTTGGAGCACGTAGGTCAAAGGTCAAGGGTCACAGAGGTCAACTTATGAAATTCCATACATTGAGATTGTTATCATAATATCTCAAGAACCACTGGAGATTTAAACTTCAAACTTAATGATAGTGTGTATCACCATAGGAAGACAATCTGATTAGATTTTGGAGCACGTAGGTCAAAGGTCAAGGGTCACAGAGGTCAACTTATGAAATTCCATACATTGAGATTGTTATCATGATATCTCAAGAACCACTGGAGATTTAAACTCCAAACTTGTTTAAATTGCTCTATGGCGGAGGCATCATTTTCGACTGCGCACAGTCAAAATTCCATCTAGTTTCATAATGTAATCAAATTTAATGCAAAAATCTTTGTTAAGTGCCATTTAAAAAATTATTCATTCCTTGTTATGAATAATTGTATTACATTAGTCAGAATGCATTCATTGTGTGTTGTTAGGTAGACAAGGCACTTTGTCCTACCTAGCAACAAAGCATCATTTTTTTTTTAGAGAGGCTATAATGCAGAGGAGAAGAATGTCAACGTGTAGCTAAAAATAGAAACTCTACATGAAGTTGGGTCTTTTCTTGTCATGTCGGGATTGAAAGGTTAAGAAGGTTGTACTCAAATGCAGCAGTTTCTTTATAAAAAAAAAGGGGGGTGGATGGATATCAAGTCAGCCCCCCCAAAATGAAAGCAGAGGATAAATTAGCTCAGGTAAAGAGGAGAAAAAGCTCTATCAAAATAATAATATACTGATACATAAAATTTACTATGAGAAAATTATACTTCTACAACATCAAATAAAAACAAGCTCCCTTGTACGAAAACAGGTATTCTTTACTATGTTACAAAGCAATATCATGTGTATTCTAATAACAGACCCCTATTTGATTTCAAGAAAAAAGTCAAATGTCACAGGTTTTTAAAGTTCTTCTTGTTTCAATGTAGTAGAGTTCCTGAATGAAAAACGAAAACATCAAGGAAGTAGTAGAAGTCACTGCCATGCAGGTGTGTATTCTGGTATTGCTTACAGGTAAATATAAATTCTGGTGTTGGCGGAAACTAAAATGTCACAGGTCAAGCACGTTCTTCTGGTTTCAATGGAAGTACTAGGTATATCCATGAATTAGGTACAAATGATTGGCAGGTGTATTTTGGTGCTGCTATTAAGTGGGACACAAGATTATATCTCAATAGAATGAAGAAAAAAAAAGACATACAGTACAGTAGCAATTAGAGTAGACCCTTGCGAATGTGCAGATTTTAAAAAAGGAGAAAAATGAAATTGAATCTTCTCTTGCTTATTCTGTATTTGAATAAACATTAAAATGTTAAGAAATACACAAGCTAATCTGATTACCTGTTGTTGGAAAGTCCTTGAACACAATTCAGATGTTTAAATGATAACACACGGAAAAGAAAATGTGTTCATTTAGTATTTTTCAGCATATAGTAAAGAAATTTTAACTTGACTCAAACTGAACTGTACTGCATTTACCACAAACACCACAGTGATTTAAGAAGTGCAAACTCCAATTCCTAGTACCGGTACCGGTCCTCTCTTCAATGTGGCGCAACAAAATCAACATTTGATTGTTAGAGCTTGTTTGATATGAAATAATGAGTAATGTACAAATGCAGTAAGATCCTATTTGCTGTACTTGGCATGGCATAATTACATTTTCTGTTGCATTAAAGTCATTGCGAATTCTTCCACGGTACAGTTAATTACAACAATAAATGGTAGATATGACAAATATGATAACATCATAAATTGCTCACCCCCTTGTACAAATATTTGATTATGAATATGAACTCAAGCGATTACAGAAATTCCAGGCTTTGTTTTACCTCACACACAAAACAGGCACGAAATATGCAGGAAGTTTGACTCGACTCACTGCACACAAATCAGTCCAAGTTTACCAAGTAGATCAACCGTTTCCACTACTGCCTCTCCAACATACATGAAGGAATGTACAAGAAAACTTTCTACCTATAAAGGGTCTTTCATCACTTTCCAAAAGCATTAGAATTGCAAGAAAACTGTAGAATAGTGTCAACAAGTTGACAATAGTTGCATTTTAACTGCACTGGTAGGTTTTGAGTCCTGATGAACTAAAGTCCAACCGCCCCCTTTCACAAAACAAAGACCACATTTCTTTCTATTGTCATTGTAGTCTACAAGATGAAACTTTTTTATGAACCTAATGATGTCTGACTGTCCATTTGTGTTTCATGCATATGTAGATAGTGATCATAAGGCAGGAATAGACAGAATGGAGATGGTACACATATTGTGTGCTTACTTTAAGTTCTGTGGCCAGGATATTAGGGCAATGTAGTATTAAAGTTGGACACCATATAATAAACATACTCTCATTATTTGTGATCAGCAATTTAAATGTAATTTGTATTTGTGATCTATAACTTATTTTGTTGTTGTATTGATTACTGTTTTACCAATTAGACAGTAAAAGCGTTGTCGAAAACCATAGGTCAAACCACACACAGAACATACCTTCAAAATTGTTTGTATTTTGTATTTGAATGCAGATTTGGTCTGTCAACAAACCCTTTTCACAAAAAGTAGATATTCCCTTTTTTATTTCCTTATTTTCTCAGAATTGGCATCCTAGTTTATGCTTTCATAAAACCTCCTCAACTCTTTAGTTTTCTACTTTTTGATATTCTAAAGCAACTTTTTGACCATTCAATACAACGCAAAGATCAATATAGGCCTACTAAGTTTCCTGAATAATTTCAGATTAAAAGCAAGCCCTAACAGGCTGCTCAGCAAGACAGTATAAATACTACTGGACACCTTGCCAGTTTTCAAAATGGTTTTGATTGTGATGAGACATATAGGAATGTCTCAAGAAAATAAAATGGTCTCCTTTGTAAGACTATCCATGTATCATGCACCACTAAGTTTTCTGTGACCAGTATGAAAGAAGGAATATTTACGCATGGGGGTCACCAGAGAATGAATAGAAAACACTTTCGTAGCAGACACAATAATATGAAATCCTCAATCAATAATACCTTTCTACACAACATTCTTAGTATGCATACAAACAATGCACTCCAGGTGAAGAGATTGCGCAAATAAATGGCTCATTATTTCCCCATGACATCATCAAATGAATGCTCCTAATAAGTAATATGCCCAGGAACTGATTTTGAAAAGGCCTATAAATATCATTCTGGGTGAATTAGAACCAGCTGAGTTACATTTGAGGCAATTAGCAATTATTGATACGTAAGTGAGGTCCACATACGGTCTGTTAACTTTAAGTTTAGGTCCTGGTTTTGATATCTTGCACCTAAAAAGTTTAAGTTAACTTAAAGTATTACAAACCATTACAGATCGGTTAGCGTGATAACTACAAGCATAGCACCTCTTTTGCTACTCAGTAAAGCTTGTTTGCTATTGCCCTGGCTCAGTTAATAGTTGTACTGAATAACAACAAAAGTTTCTTTTGATCGAGGCAAAAGCAATTACAAAAGATGGAAACATTGGGAACCAAGGATGAAAAAGTATTACAAACAATTATTGAACAAGTAAATGTAATTGCTTTAAAAGCGAAAGTCCCTGAGTGGCTGGGGGCAAAATCTATATAAAGACGAAGTCCTCTTTAGTAAAAGTTTGTTGATGTTTTTCAAGAAGATTTAAAGAACTCTACAGCTATTAACAAACAACTCTTTCAAGATAGGCTGCATTTCATTCACGTTCTATTTGTACAACTGTGAAAAATAAATATTATGTTTTGCTGCAGGACATACATGTACATGTATATGTTGGAAGGAACACAATTTAGAACACTCTAGCTTCGGATAGCAACCACTGCATTAAGATCATAGAACAACCAACAGATACACAACTGAAGAATGGAGCATGGGATATATATATATATATATATATATATATATATATCTTTATATAAAATCTGGTTAGTAAATAATTGCATGCAATGTTTACTAAATAATATCTGAAGACAATTCCAAAAATTGAGAGCAATTTTGTGGGGAGCTATGCAAAATGTTTATTCAAAGTTTTTGGGAAAATCAAGAAAACAAACAAAGACATATAACAGGTGAAATATTCTTTCCACAAGATGAAATTTATAGGATTGTTTTGTTTAATGGTAATTATCTTTCTCAAATAAAAGAGCATCTAGGAAATGTTATATACAAAATAGACAGACTTCTTTGCAAACTAATATTTTTTTCCACCTGATCCTTTGACTAATATAATAGT